GAAAGTAGCTAGTAAAATACCTATAATATTAATTAAGGGCCTTAATTAGATCTTATAGCTTTTCTTTAGATAATATAGTTTTAATATTTCTATTTCTGGCTTAGGAAAAACTTTTATATTTCCTAAGGCTATTTATATTTCTCTATAATATTAAGCTTAATTCTTTTACTATATATGGCTTTTTAAATCCAGTTTAGAAAAAGAATAAAGAGATTTCTTCTTTATAAGCTAAGGTTTCTAGAACTTATTTATAGCTATAGCTTTATTTCTTTTATTTATATCTTTTTAGTACTAGTTATTTTTTCCAGGTTCTAAGTTCTTATATATAATAGTTAGGACCTTATCCTAACTTTTCTTTCTAGGCTAATTATTTGGCTAGATTAATTTTCTATTCTTATAATTAATTAGGATACTAGTATTTATAAACTATTATTATTCTAAAATTATATTATACTTATCTAATCTTATAACTAGTATAGGTACTAGGATCTTCTATTTATTAATTAAGAATATAAGCTTAATATAGTAAGTAATAAGTATAGTCTATTTACTATTAAATTCCCTTATATTATAAGATAATACTAATTAAATAGGCTTAATATCTAGAAATTATTTAATTATTTTTATAAACTTGAAATTAATAAAAATATATTTGTTTATTCCGGTATTAATAAGAGAAGAAGTTTTAATATCTAATTTATTATTACTAATTATATAAGGAAATATAAATACTTTATCTCCTAGTAATTAGCTTAAATTAACTTCTACTATATTTATATAATATAGCCCTAAAAAGGAGACTTTTTTTAGGGGTCTTTATTTCTCTATTCTATATTCTTAGATAGTTTACTTATAGTAAGTACTACTAGTTTAGCTATTAAAACTTACTTTATATATTTTGTTTTAGGCTCTAGATAGTTTCTAGATATATAACTAAATCTATTATAGTTATAGTACTTGAGATCTAAGAATCCGGACTTTGGAGTAATAGACTTATTTATTACTAAAGTCTTAGGAATAGGCTTTATATAAGGAGTACTTCCTAAACTTGGCTTATTTATATCTTTATTAGCTTTTTTAGATACCTATTCTTTCTTTTTATAATAAACTTAAATCTACTAGTTATTTATAATATAATATTATATAAACTCTATAGTACAAATAGCCGGATTATTATAGTATATAACTATGGCCTCTTAGAGCTTTTAGATAAGCTTATTATTTAGGTTATTTTTAAGGTCCTATAAATTAATATTTCTATTTATTATATATTTTAGAAATAGGATATAAAACTCCTGAAAAGTCTGGCTCTTTTTTATAAATAGCTTCTTAAATACTTATTAAGTATTATACTTCTTATTTAGATTACTATATAATTTCTTTAGATAGGTATATAGTTCCCTAATAGTCTTATATATATATTAACTATTCTGGTTTAGGTAAAAAGAGATTAGTATAAGGATATAGCTACCTATATAGCCGGATATATAAATAATCTTAAGGTTTTTTATCTAATAGATATTAGAGTTATTATAGAGCTTGTTTTTAATCTGAACTAACTAATTATTAAAAGTAATACTATCCTTAGTTATACTTTCGAAAATAAAAGAATTAAAGAGTTTAACTAAGTATTTATTTTCTAGAATAGGAGAACTAGTTATTTTAGTAGGCTATATAATAAGCTTCTTAATAATAGCTTTATTCTTTTATAGGGCTTATTTGGTTTCTTTTAGCTAATTATAATAATTCTTATTATAGGTAAGGATATTATATATCTTTAGAATTAGTTTAATAATCTCTTTATATAAAGCCTTTAGGTTCCAAAGTAATTCTTAGAACTCTGCCTTTAATAAGGCAGGTTCCTCTTTTTTCTTTATTCTCTAGAAAAGAATATCTTTTCTATTATAAATATTAATAGGATATTTAAATCCCTTAGGAGATTTAATAAGAGGCTCTGGTCTACTTTCTAGTAATATACTAGTAGTATCTTATACTATAGCTCCTTTTAACTTACCTAGTTATTCCAGGACTTGCTTTCTTATAGATCTTCATTTAGTAGTAAGGTTACTGGCCTATTTGCTTATCTAGCCGGTCCAGGGCTTTCTTGCCTAGTTATTCTAGGGCTTTCTTTTATTCTAATATTAGTTAACCGGTTCGGGAATAGCTATAGTATATTATATTTATACTTATTAAAAACCAATTGGATAAATATTATTTAAATCCTCTATAGAATTGAGAAATGAGTAAGCTTTAAATTATATTACAAGTATAAGATCTAGGGCCTGGAAGGTATAATAGTAGTTACTAAAAGGGCAGCAAGTCAGGAAGTAATCCAAAGTAGTATTATAACTGAAACTTGAAGAAGCAAGTGAGTTATAGGAGGTATAAAGCCTTATGGGCTTGCATACGGACCACGTATACGCATGTACTTGCTAGGATACTTGGGCACTCTATAACAGAAGGCATAGTTAGACTATCTCTATTTTAATGATTTAAAGCTAAAGAGAGAAGAGGATCCCGAAGGAGCCTCGGATCTAAATAATCGCAAGCTATATACGGGCCTATATACTAGCTTAAGCTCGGGGTTATATATAATAATCAGGTAACTACAGATGCCTTACTCAGATACCAGATGCCTCTCTAGCTCTAGTCTAACTTCTACTAGTACCATATATTATAATAATCGTAACAAATTCTATAAGAATTATATCTAATACTAAAGACATATATTAAATCAGGATCTAATTTGAGCTTTGCCTAACTAGCTTACTATATAAAACAGGTATTTATTAATAAAGACCCTAGCCTCTTAAGATCTCTTTATATAATATCCAGAGCCTTCTACTTTATAGACTAAACAGTTATATTTATAGTTATATTCTTGTCTTTCAAGCTCTTATTACTCTAAAAATATAATATTCCCTTTATAATTACTAATATATTTTCGATTTATATATTACTAATATTCGTAAATTCGTCTATAATAATACTAATATTACTTGAGGTATTAATAATTTCGGTAACTTGTATTTTTATAGAATTATAGTACTAATCGAGAATTATAGAACCAAGAGTATAGTAATTAGGAAGAGTATAGCCTAAAGCTTTAAAAAACTCTTACTATTCGGAGGTCTCAAATTAATAGAAAGGCGAATAGGATATAAAGATAGCTATACTAAATAAGGTATTAAGCTTATACTTTGAGGAGGCTAGAGTACTATAAGAATAGAAAGTAAGCTTCTTTTACTTCTTATTATTAGGAAGACCCTTTGCCCGTTACTCTTTTTAATGCTTTTCTATTTAGAGATATAAAGTATATGTTTTAAAGTAATTTTCTATAATTATAGTATTCTATATCCGGGCAAATAGTAGAGGGTCTTTGCTATCTTTATAGTAGTAGTAATAAGCAAATGGCGTGGATTATCCAGGTTTTGAGGGCTTCTTATTAAAGGTATTATAAACCCAATCATGTTTAAGAGCATACTAAACGTTATTGCCTCCCATTTTATTAATTCTTGTAGTATTAATAATTAATAATTAGAAACGATAGAGCATTTAGGAGGGAGATTTTTTTCTGCCGCTTGCTTACCGCTCGCCCGATTAGGCTAGTGCGTTACATGACTGTAATGTAAGGTGTAAAATGCTTTACTTAATAAATTACGGTGGTAATAGTAAAACACTTTTCTTTTATAATAAAGTGCCAACCCTAGACATCATGCTTTGAATCGACAACTCTTCTCACCGCTCGAACAACCCCATGCCGCCGAGACATTGTAGTCAGCAGCAGATCAGCTTGTGCTAAGTTGCATATCCCGCCCCCGAATCCTCTCCGGACATGCTGCAGGCTGACTACAAGAAACAACGGAAGAGCTGAAATTCTGCTTATGGAATTAACATGACTGAAAGGTCAAATTAAGTCGTTCCACGGAATTTTCGGTGACAGACCCACAAGTAGAATTATGCAAACAAACTTTTAGTGCGCAACATTCAGACCGCCTCAGAAACATAAAAAGGCAACATTCTGCAGGGACCTTCGAAACTGCTCACCGACTTGGCCAAGCACTCGAGTTGCTAGAGTGCTTCCATCTGATCATCAGGTCACTGCAGCCTTGCTGTATAGGCCTTGCATTGGTCCAGACCTCCACTCCTGGGGCGGATCAACTAGTAAGGTTCTAGCATGGATTCTTTTTGTGACGTGGACGAATGCCGTGTGGTGTGTGGTGTGTGGATTAGTGAGGCGGACGCTTGTCCCTTCCCGAGCGACGATTGCGATTTGTGCATGGAATACGGCGTCATGCCATTGATTGATTGATCTGGATCCCTCTCATTCGTCTAAATACACCCTTTCCCAATTCCAATATACGATACGCTATGCCAGCAGCGTAGCAGGACGTATCGATGGCCAATTTCCCAGAAAAGTTCGATTAATCGCATCAATCGGATCCATAATCAACAACCCCTTACCATCCCCCCATAGATCCAGATGCACCAAGATATCCATAGAAGAGGCATCTTCCTATAAATTCAGTTCCGCCAGGACATTCTTGAATCGTACAGACAAAACAGATGACTCCCTAAAACAACGTGTGGCGAGAACTGTACATGCTCTCGCCCGCAACGATAGCCCAGCCATCCTCGAGAAGTGACAAAAGAGATTTTCAGCTGTGAAGCAGTCTTGCTCGCCTCTCTCTTCCAAACTTATATTTGTGCAGTCTATAGGGGGTATTTTGAAGACAAGAAGCAATGAGAATCGCGTCTATGGCGGCTCCCTCTTAAGGTATGAAGTATAACAATGAAAATGAGGTGTCAACAACAACTAGACGCCGGAATATACACGCTGAACCCCGGTGATGGAAGAACAAGATGAGCCCACGTTACAAAGGAACGTATGAAAGTGAAGGAGGCCATGCCCCCAGAGATCCTCAACACCGTGCAAATGTAGATGTGACAAAAAGAACTTTTCCTCCTTTTGATGTACAGACTAACGATCTCCTGATCGTCTAAAAGCGGCTCGAAGCTGCAAAGAGACTTGCAGCGGCGTCGGCGGCCCATTCATTCTCCTCGTAGTCGTACGGTGGCGTTGATGACTGTTTGTCCCTGACTGGGGCTTTCGAGGGAGTCACATGCGTAATGCCTTGTCCGAAGAGGACCGCATTTCCACTGGCCGAGGGGGATGGAGTAGGATAGGGATTTGATAGTGCCAGGTTGCTGGAGGACTGTCTCAGGGCTTGTCGACCATCGTTCTGACCAGAATTTCGGTCCAACCGTTTCATAACTCTGTGGGTGCTGGATAAGACCTCGTCAAGCAACTCGTCTTCCTCATCGGGTGTTTCGTATTGACGAGCCCCGCCAGGCACTTGAGAACGCCGTGTCCGACTTGAGATTGGTCCCACGCCTCGTAAATTGTCCACTGATCGGGGTTGTTGGGGAAGAGAATGGTGACGCTTAAGGACGCTGCTCGGACTGATGAGGTGGTTTGGCGGAGGGGGAGCATTGCCTGCTTGGGATGAGTCAAGATTCTGCTGCACATTTCGCAGTGCCTTATCTAAAGCCTCGTAGGTATCGACCTTTTGAACAGGACTTGGAAGTTGGCTGCTATCAACTACCATCGAAGAACGATTGCTGGCCCATGGTCCACATCCTGCTTGGGCTTCAATGTCCATTGACTTGGGTGAGATTGGTGTCTGGGATTGACGGCCCGAGAATCGCCTCGCTCGTTTTCTCAAATGTGAGAAGAAACTTTCTTTCTGCCCATTGGGCGGCGAAGCAAGGCCCGAGTTGCCATTCAAGGCCATCTCAGCTTGTTGCCGATGTATATCGGCATAGTGATTGTTCGTTGATGCCACCGAAAGCTGCCTGCCGATTTTCTTGGCAACTTTGTCGTCTACATTCAATGTCTGCTGACTAGCATTTGAGTATGAATTGCTATATGATGGTGTGCGACTGCTTGCTTGTGCTGTGACGGCATCTGACAAGGGGGATATGGGCTTGATTGTGGGTAAAATGGGCATTGGAGCACCGTTGGATGGACCATTGTTCCATGTTGATCTTTTGGCAGCTGGTGGCCGGGTCTTCGTTACTGGAATCTCGGTGGCTGCATGCACGGGTGAGGGCCGTGGAGCAATGTTCTCCTTTCCAGCTGACTGCGCAACGCTTGCGGAGCTCTCGGACCGGCCGATCAACGATTTTCTAAACCACGATGACTTCGAAGATGATGTCGCACTTTCTGTCAAGTCTTTGGAGCCACGATAGCTCAAGTCCGATTGCTTCCTACCGAGCATCTTTGATGCCGACGACTTGGGCCGGAGAGGATCAACGGCATCGGTAAAGAATTCATGAGCCAGAGCTTGCGTGGATGTCGGTCTGCTCTTCGGATCCCACATCAAACACCACGTGACGAAGTTGCTGAGTGAAGCTGGCCATTGTGGAGGCTGAAGTATGGTATCCATGGAATGAGGTGCCATCTTTGGGAAGGAAAATCCAAGTTTGCCGGCCAGGCGAGTGCCTTCCCTCCAATCTCCGCCTCCAACTCGTGAACCAGCTTTGTTGTACCAATTGCCCGGGCTGCCCATAATCTCGCAGACCCTCCACACCTGGTCAACCTCGTTCCCCCCCGGAAATAATGGCTTCAGTGTCGCAATTTCGACAGCCATGGCACCAATCGCCCAGATGTCAACTGGTGCCGAGTACTCTCCCGCACGAAGTAAAACTTCGGGCGCGCGATACCAACGAGTCGAGACGTAAGTTGTATAGGCGAGTTTCGAGTGAGTCTCCCGAGCAAGTCCAAAATCGGCAATCTTAACCGTGTACGCGGGTGGAGTTGAGGGAGGAGTGACCATGGCCGAGTATCGTCGAAAGGATGTACCCGAGTCTTGCTGTGTTGATGTCGACACGAGGATGTTCTCGGGTTTGATGTCGCGATGGAAGAAATGGTGAGCGTGAATATGCTCCAAACCCTGCATAATTTGGAACAGGATACTTTTGACACTGGCGACATCTAAACATTTGTGGTCACGGGCTTTCATCAATTGATATAAATTCCCGTCCATGTATTCCATGCATATGTGGAGCTTCTTACTGAAGGGATCGAGGAAGATGTCCAATGCTGGGACAAGGTGTTGATGTTGAGGAAGAGTTCTGAGGAATACGACCTCTCGAAGTTCGAGACACGGAGCGAAGGACTCGAATTGCTTCTTCATCGTTTTGATCGCGATCTAACATGGTCGGTTAGCTTCCATGATCCTGTATGACTTTAGGGACACATACGATAGTTCCTCGTCGTGCCACACTAGAACCTGCAGCACGAACTCGCGCAAGCACGACGCTTCCAAAGCTGCCATCTCCGATGTCTTTCAAGACCTCAAATCGGTCTTCCAACGCCGTGCCTGGTGTGGTTTGAGGTGTCGACCCTCGATGGGTGAGATCGTACGCTACGGTCATGGTTGAGGTGGAAAGGGTGGTCCTCCGGCTATTTCATCCCAGGTTGAAGGTGTTGAGGTGCTGGATCAACGATGGTGCTGTTCGAGTAACAATGTCAGCCGTGTTTCAAGCAATCTTCGACGGCTATATCACGACGTAGAATTCAATCAAGCATACCTATGATTGCCGTTGATGAGCTCGTCGCGAGGTGATTGCCATAAATGAGTGTGGATAGGTCGAGCAAGTGCAGTGGTCGAAGGAGCGATGGAGCGACCGGAAGGGGATACTGGAGATGAGCGAGCCTCGCGGACGATGAGCGGAGTCGATAGGGGTAACGTCAGAGTGGTTTGGTGATGCTGAGGACGCAAAGGAAGTGTCGATGTTGCCTCCCAAGTTGTGGATGAGGTTGGCTAGGACAGCGCATGAAGTTTAGAAGGTCGCGCGTTGTCGCATGAAGGATCGCCAATCTGGGAGAAGCTGGCAAATTTCGGTTACAAAAATGGATTCGAGAAGGAACGTTCCTTCAGGGGCCGCGGTGGCGGGGCGGGAGAAGGCACAATTAGCAAAGGCGGCATAAAGTTGGGGACGAGGACGAAGGCGTGCGAGGTTAATTGACTTTGGTCGTGGTCGGGGTCTGGGTGATGTACTGTATCACTGCGAGCCTGCGTGCCCTTGTTGATGGGGGCCCCGCTAGCCACGACAACGCTGCTGGGAGGGCTCGCTCGCTGAGTGAGAGATGCCAAAATAGAATAAGCTCCAGAATTCCTTTACGCGTGGATATGGATTTGGTTCTTAGTGCTGCTGAGCCTTCAGGCCTTTGCTGATTGTTTCCAGGTCTGAGGGCTTTCGATAGCACTTGCAGTTCTGTAGTTACAGGTCCGGACCTCGAAGAACCGTGATCTACAGAAGTATGCGCGTGCGCGTTATTGGGAGGGCGGTGCGGCACTTTCTCCATATCCAATCCCTTCCCCTATTTTTCTGGTGCCCAAGCAGCTGTCCCAGGAGCCCCGTCGAATAAAAGCATCCCTTGACTGCTGCCCAATCTTCTCACCTCCGGCTGTCACGTTTTCCCCGTCCCTTGGAGCCCTCTTCACAAACGACCAACGGGCGGCCGAGCCCGAGCCCCTTTTCTCTGTGATGGGACAAGGGGCCCCATCAATTAGTCTGTCCGTTCCTGACCTAGTCTGCATTGCTCGGCCCTAAAGCCACTTACCTGCAACGCTCACTTGGGAGTAGCTTTCGGGACGGTCCCCGGCTCTAGCCTTTCCCCTGCAAGCCCCATTGTGCCGGCCCAGGAGTAAGGTGTCGAGATCGGTGAGGTCAAGCTCTCATATTATTGAACCCCGGAACATTCCATTTTGGAAACATCAGAAACAAGGAACTGTTCAGTGCGGCACCGGCTCGGCTTGGTTGTGGCTGTGCCAGGCACAGGGGGTAATTGGCCACCCTTCCAGGCAGGGTGCATGGATGCTTTTGCAAGGATCCCAAGCTTTTCGCTTTTGAAACGCAGTCATCGGATGTTTTAGGGGTTCCAGAACCCGAGGGTTTGGATTGGATCTCTGAGACAGGTTCTGAAAAGGAGAAAAGCCGTAGCGTCACGTGCTGGCTCGTAACGTCATTTCCACTTATTCGTCCCTAGAAGTTGAACAATCTCCAATAGTCTCTCTCTGTTTGGAGTTCAAATGGATCTTGAGTATAGTGCTGGAAGTATCCGCATGGTCTGGACATCACAGCGTATGACGAAACATTCTTGAAGTCGATGAAGGTGAAGGTGGTTTAAGACCTTCAAGCTGAGGGCAGACAACATTATTCAAATAAATGATGTGTAGCAGCGGGGAAGACATGGCCAGCGAAGACTACCTCCAGTGGAGAAGCGAAGTCGATGATAATCTGCTGCAAATGCACCAGCAGCCGTCAGCAACCTCATTTCCAAGAATCTGAATGATTGAGACGGAGAAAACCAGACCCGTCGGATCAATAGAGGAGGGCTGCCTCGAAAGCCAAGCTAGCAACTCTGAACCACTGTTCTCAGTCAAAAGTTTTTGACATCTTTCAGTCAATCATGGCTCATTCGCCCTCAGAACGGAGAAGACGAGCACTTCTGCAGCGGGAAAAGCAGTTCCAAAGCGTTTGCAATTGAAGCCAGTGAACTCCAGGACAAGGAACCAGAGCAGCAATAGCAGCAATAGCAGCGTGTTTAGCAACTCACAGAGGTTGACAGTGTCTAATCGAGATCCGAGAGGAAAGGCCGTGGGATTAGTGTTCCGATGTAAGCTTGGTTAAATTGTTCAATTAAGGACTTCAAAACAATCGGCAAGGCAGCAATGCTGGTTGCGAGACATATTCATTGAGTAATCTCAACGTATCTGGGGGATGTTAGCCATGATCAGACATCGGGGCAGTTGGTGAGCTCACGAGTGTGTCAGTCATTGTTCCAGTGGTCTCACGTAACATGCAAAGCGCGTAGAAGGTAGTCTTCAGAGGCTGATAGTAGGTAGGAGGAAGATGCAAAGTCGCTGTAGTAACCTTGATCATGAGCGTACTGGTCACATTTTTCGAGGAGTAAATAAGTCCCGTATAATTCTCCTCGAATCGACCGCACCATTACATTTTACGATGCCATCGATAATCGGAGAAGCGTGGAGCAGAGATAACCAAAGCGAAAGAGAACAGTGAGCTGAAGAAAGAGTGCAAGGCATAGCGGAAGTTTCTTAAGGATGCAGAAAGCGGTGGTGCTGCTGCCAACATGGAGCCCAGCGAGGGCCTAATCCCAGTGGAGGCTGGCGCATCAGACTTTGGTCCTATTAGCGTTCTTCCACAAACTGCAAGGGCCTTGATATAGGATCTCTTAAGCATTGCAGCCCTCTCATTGACAGTGCCTTAAACTCGCTCTGATGCCATTAACGCCCTTGCCCTCACCTTGTAGATGTATTCGTTGAACTGCTTTGAAGCAGGGAGCATAATTTTCCACTCGAGACGAAAGCATATTTGTAGCTGGAAGCTTAAGCAGGCTGGGTATTCAATGCTGGATGACCGCTGTATGGTCTTGGAGTAGAGGAACACTCTCTGGTCTGGAGTTGTCGGCATGATTCCAGAAGTGGCCGGGAGTAAACATACTCCGAATGCGCTGGCTCCAGGTCAAGTCCTGGGGGTCCCAGAGCGAGTAAGAATAGCTTCATGACTGTCTCGCTGTCTTCCCCCTCGCTATCTGCTTTTCTTGTAGGATCTTGTTGAGAGAACATCTGTGGGGATGGAATCGTTTGGCGATCTGCTTGCAAAGTTGAGATGTAAACACGGGCGAATATGACGGCATCGACGTCAAAGCAGCAAAGACCTTAGTTCGAGCATCGATTGTAGGGCTGCAGCACATTAGCATAGATGGAGATTGCATTCTTTACAGACAGTCTTTCATGTTGAGGAGGGTAGATATTGATATGTCTGCTGCAAGGAATCAAACCATTGAAAAAGGGGTGATTCGGGAAAAGAAATCCAAAATAACTTCCGGGGCTGTTCAAATGCCAAAGGCCGTTGGTTCTTCTTCCCAAGGCAAAAAGCGACTCCGTTTGATCTCAAATAGCCTGTTTAAATCAGATTCACTGCGGAGAGGTGCAGTGCAGTGCAGCTCAGCCTTTGGAGGAGAGTGCTCGCTAAAATTAGAGTGCTAAGTCAACACGCCTGCTTAAAGGCCATTCTCGCAGCTAAACCATTTTCTTTCTTACAACCCTCATTCATCGGAGGTTTGTATCGTATCACCGCCTTCCATCCCCAAGGTAGATGTCTATGGGCCTCCATCACACTCCTTCTACCTCCTTCTCCTCCACAATTCCCCACTCGCTCAGCTGGAATAGCGTCTGCGTGGCTTCAGCTCTGGGAACCCCCTCGCCCATGCTCCTCACCCCTCCACCGATCTACCTCTGCACTCTCATCACATCTTCATCCGCCTTTCAAAGCAAGCATGCTAACTTTCGCGTCACAGAATACCACAAAGATGAAGAACTTCACTTCCGAGCAGTAAGTTCGATCTCGGATTTTGAAAGTGAACTTCGGCTGACTCGCCTTTGCAGAAAGAAGTCCGTCCGGCTCCTCGACAGGTGAGTTACATTCTGCAAATCAATCTCTTGAAAGCTGCTAATGCTGAATAGATACAAGTGTTTCATCTGCCAGAAGTGGTAAGCTTGCCTTCTCAGTTCCTGAGATCCCCTTTCGAGTACAGAAAATTCCATACTAATTCGATCGCAGGAAGCCCAATGCCTGCTTCTCCAAGAAGCAACTAGGCACATACACCTACAAGGAGGGGACCGGTCAATCAGTCGATGGAGTCTCCGCTCGCCTTCGTTGGTAAGTCCACAACTGCGAGACTGTGACTGTTCCAAGGCTAATCCGAGATAGTATGGCTTGCGTTGGAGGTCAGACTGGTGAGTTGAGGTGCGAAGGACCGTGCGGTCTTGTTCTGGCTCTTGATGCATTCTCAAAGCAAGCTCGTAGCAATGGTGGTAGCAAGTGGTGTGTTAGCTGCACTTCGTGGAAGGAAGCTGCTGAACCCGGTGTCACCACTGTAAGAATGAAACATCAGCGAAAGTGATGCACTTCTGACTTTTTCAAGGCTCCAGCTGTCTCCACCGACATCGCTCCGGATGAACAAGATGTAAGTGAATGCTGGAACCCTTTAGTACATTGAGATCTTGAGAACGACGCGCGGTTGATTGTGATGTGCGATGGCTGACCTGAGAATAGACTTATAATGCTACGGCGACGGCCAGCGAGAATGACAATAATGCTGCTATGAGTGACCCCGAAGCAGGCTGGTCTGATGACGAGTATGAAAGCTACGGCTACCCAGGTAAGAATGCCATATACCATCTGAGAATTTGTTAACAAGCGAATAGGCGCTGGTACATCCGAGCTGGACGCCGCTTCATCCGCCGGTGTTCACACAAACTTCACCGCTGTTCCGTACGCTGGTTTTGGAGCTTTGAGTCTGTCTGGTGCTTCCGAGAATGAGAACTCCTATGCCGCCCCCCTTGGGTAAGCCTACATCTCCCTATCATATTTTGAATGCAATGACCAATATTGTGTAGTCAACCATCAAGGGGTGCTTGTGGTCTGGGCTCAAGTCTTTCTGGTAATGTTCCGACCTACACAGCCTACGATTCTCACGGCAATGCGCACACCAAGCAACGTGTCCCGTCCGAGACAGCCTCACAAGCTTCAAATGCTACAGTTGTCCCTGAAAGAAACAGCAACTGGGCAAAGCCTGCTGGCCGAAGAGTCGAGCCGAAGATGACAACCCCTGTTGTTCTTCCTTCAGCACATGGCTATGGAAGCGACTCAGAAGACGAGATGTAAACGGATTCCGCGGCTCGCCTTTGTGGATGGATTTAGGTGTGGTCCGGTTTTCAAAAAATGAGTTTTCACTTCTCCTTGCATTCTGCAGTTGATAGATAGCCTTGCACAGTACTCACGAATACAATGAATTCCAGAAACGAGATCCAATCGATGAAAAGTAAAAAAGTAAATGTTACATCTCTCCCAAACCTCGAGCTTACTGCAGAGTGGTGGGCTCAACTTTCTAGTGGTCTTTTAAGCTGCAATAGGGCGAAGGGAGGCGAGTGATTGTATTCAGAAAAGTTGGGTCGTTAATATAATTCATTTTCCCAACATTATTTGGGATATTTGAACAATAGGGATGCTGCGAAAGTGGAATCCGAAAGGCACTTTCTTCGTACTGTAAATCTGCTAGAAGAATGACCGGAATCCAAGAATCTAGCAATTAGCAGGGCATTCTCCTCGGAAAGGCAGGGGTTTCTGAGAGAACACCAAAACATTTCTAGAAGTATGAGAAGTTGTCCCTCGTCCAGACAGATGCATGGGCTAGACATGAATGACAATACCTTTGATCAGCGGCCCTGTTCCACGCCTTCATAATTTCTGCTTCAAGGCATCTGAAAATGCACAACTAAAGGACATCATGATAACAAGTGGTACTGGCTCCCCTGCTCAATTCCAACAGGCCGCGTTCCAGTCGTAGTGCGAAATCAGAGAGTTGAGTTTGAAGGATGGAAGTGCGAGGTTTGTTGAAATGAAGTTGAAGCTTCATTGCAGTCAGTGACCCTTTTCATCACGAAGATTCTGCCAGTCACTCTTTTCCAATTGTTTTTGTATTTACGGCCATACGGTTGGATGTTCCTTACTAGCTCTCTCGAAAGATGGACGGATTTTTGGATGTGATTTTTAGGAAGGATGGGTGTGTCCTTCATTAAGCTGGAAAAAAGAGATGTGCGAGTGATCATGTATGTAGATATGCTTACTGCCCGGTACATCAAAAGAGACTACATATAAACTTACTACGCTCTGTATCAGTAATGTTATCCGGAATATCGATAAGATGTAGTTGAACTGAACACTATTTCCTTACTCACATCCTCGAGCAGCTGCAATTAGAGCAACTCTGTTCTACTGGAAGGTAAGCCTCCAGGTTCCGGAAGCTATACCTGCCTTCTGAGTTTTTATGGGCACGCCCACGAACTTCTTATTGCGTTTCACCCGTTCAATTTCTCTAGGTTTTCCATGTCCTTTGTTGGCTTTTATTGGCATTCATTTCGCATCTCATGTATAATACAGACTATTCCGTCATGAACGATGGCCTTCGTTGCAATCTAAGCCTACGTGGCTTCTGAATATCCCAATTTGCACAATGTTGCCATGCCTCCCATGAGCAATCTAGCTCTCAACAGCTAAAGCCTTGGCCCCAATGAGCTTCCCACTCCCAATGCCAACGACCCAATACTCAGCTCTCGAGCCCTCTCTACCGATCCTGTAGACCCTAACATCACTCCCCTTTGTAGCATCCCTCGTGGCATCAACAATTTCCTTGTATTGTCCTTGTGTATCCCACTCTCCAATATCCATAATCTGTACCTCCGCATCATCAGGACTTGGGTGGTTGACCAACTTCGCAAAGGTAGCTAGTCGTGCCGTGTCAGCGGAGGGTTAACATCAAAAGCGGAGAAGCAACTGACCCTCATCCGGCAGCTTCTTCCCCTCAAACTTCAGACAAACCGGCACAAACGGCTCATCCGCATCGCTAACATAGAAAGCATCACTCGTAGCCTTCTTCAGCGCCGCCGGGATCGTAACGCCCTGATCCAGAGCCTTCAACTCCACCTTCCCCTTCCCCTGCGTCTTCGCTGTCCCCTCATTGGGATCCCTATTCGCCTTATCCAGAAACGCCATGTAGTCCTCGTCTGACGCCATCCTGCTGAGCTTCACACCAGCTAGTCCCTCTCCCGGGCCTGTTCCTTGCGGCCTCGTTGGTTTCGATTTCGTGCTCGTGCTATAGAAGAGCTTCTTCTCAGCCTTTCCAATTCCTCTCTTCTGGACGAAAGAAGAAGATGGGATGAAAGAACGCTCAAAGCTCACGCAGTAGGCGCTGGTACGGGCGCTGTAGCGGCAACGCCCCTCGTCACTTCCAAGGTCGCCGCAGCTTCTGTCTCGGTCCTGCTCTCGCCACCGGGCTCGACTGTTGGCGGGACAGTGGCTAGATGCTCGTCTTGGAGCCCTCGTTGTGCGTCCTTGACAGACGGCGATTGCGCGCCTGCCTGCGAAGCTGCGAAGGGTGATAATGGCGGCGATACAGATTCGACACGAGCGCGATTTTTAGAGGCTCCTCCCTCCTTCTTCTCGCGCAGTTTCTTGATGTAGTGAGAGGAGAGGCCTAAGCAACCGACGACAGCTCCATCAGGTTCAGAGCTTTATGCTTTATGTAGGGGTTGGTGGGGTTGATGAGGCGGGGTGATTGGATTGCATGTGCTTGGAAAGGACGTGCGCTTTTGAGGGGCGATGACGAATGTGGGCAGGAAGATTCAAGAATTTCAAGGGTGTTGAAGGATTCGGTGTTTGAGATCATACATTTCGAATTGGAGCATTATGTCACACGAAGTACTGGACAGAATTGGTACAATTTTGTTGCTTTTCATAGATTCATTCATGAATTGCTATCTACTCCATGCCCAGATTTTGGGTGACCATCAGAAAGCACACGATGCAATGTAATCCCCCCTTACACCAGATCGTGAAGCCGGAAAAGAAATGCAATCCCGCACTTAAGAAGTAGTTTGGATGTCCTTCTTGAGCGTACCCAGGAAGTTGTGCTTCTCTTGAGGTGTTTGATATGCACCGTGGCCGAACTTCGACGAGGTGTCGATCCATTTCAGCTCAACCTTCTCCAATGCCTTTCTCGAGGTGTGAATGAACATGGACTTTCGGAGAGTCATGATCCGCTTCTTGACACCAGGAACAGAACCTTTGAGGATGATAAAATCATTCTTGACCTCGCCATATCGGACAAAGCCACCCATACTGCATAGTCTTAGCGATAGTTAGGAAAACCAATTGGACGAAACTTACGGAGTGATTTGCTTCTTGGAGACATCGAACTCAGTTGATGCGTTACCCTCGTCCTCGCCCTTGCCAATACGGTAGACCTTGTGGTTGGTCGAGGTACGGTGGTGATATCCGTCTTGACCAGCACGGGCAACAGTCCACTGGACGTGGGAAGGATGCCAGGCACCAATACAAGCAACCTTTCGGAGACCCTTGTGTGTCTTTCTCGGAAGTTTCTTGGTTCCCCATCTGCTTGTGACACCCTGGAAACCGTGACCCTTGGTAACAGCAATGACATCGATCATCTCATCTTGCTCGAAGATGGAGGAGATCTCAACTGGCTTCTCGAACAAACCGGAGGCGAACTCAACCTTGTCAGCAACGCTGCCACCGTTGACTTGGATTTCCATCAAGTGGGCCTTCTTTTGCTTCAGAGGGGTCTTGCGGATTTGGGTGTGGGCGAGAACACGGACAACGGTGCAGTACTTCTTGATGCGCTCGAGCTCACGTGTGATTGAGGAGCCAGAGTTCTCAGAGTGCTTCTTGGCATACTTGGTGAAGGCCTTCTTCTTACTCTTGTACCAGTTCTTGTAGAAACGACGCTTAACCTCATCGCTCAAGTGCTCAGCCCAGACGGTGGTGAGGGATCGAAGACCGCGAGGAGTTTCAATGTAACCAACTAGACCAACAACGATCACCTATAAAAGATGTTAGCCATTGGCACAAAGCCAAGCGGGCTGCATTGTTCGTACCGGTGGTGTCTCGATGACCGTAACAGCCTCAACAACCTCCTTCTTGTGTGACTTCGCACCGGGTCGGTCGAGGTCGCGGACGATTGTGGTCATGCCGGCCTTGTAGCCCATGGTGGCAGTGAGGTGGACAGGCTTTTTCGGGTCATCCTTGGGGAAGCTGATTGAAGTTAGCAAGCTCTTGACAACCGCGAGGAAGAGGGGAATTTTTTTTCACCTCTTGACCTTTCCTCTATGGCGGGCAGCTCTCTTTCGAGGCAAGAAGGCAAGAGAGCCGTGGCGGGGTGCCTCAAATTTTCTGTGCGACATCGTTGAGGATCTCGAGATACGTATCTGAGATCGCCAATGTCGTTGAAATGGTCTTGCGCGTCGGCGTTGCGCAGTTGTTGATCTGAAGATATTCTCTGAAAATATTACCGAAATCTGGCTGTGGGAGGCTTTGTGCTAGCGCGGCGCTAATATCTTAGCGAATTCAAGAAAAAAAGCGATCAACACGTGATCCGAGAACATGACAAGAGAAGAGAAGAAAACCTGGAAAGACTGACTATCAATAGACACGAATTTCTCCATCAAGAACAAACCCTGTTAATGTACGGGTGGAAGTAGTACAACGGATTTGGATTGTCCCAGAAAGATGTGGTTCGTCCGACTTGTCCAAGCTCCACAGCCAAGGTCACGCGATCTGCTTCACAAACTCGAGGCCATCAGAGAAACTCAGTCTAGTTCGGACGTCAAGACCCAAGCACGGAATTTCCTGATGCCAGCCTGATATTTGGCTCTCATCTCTCCTGTCGTTTCTACGATACTAACACAGTCTTCAGCTGTTATGGAACCTATCCAATTCTTCGTTGTCGATGATCCCAGACCCAGATGAGTTGGTTGCGAATACACAATCTCACTCTCAACTGACGCACAATCATCCAGCTCACCTCGAAGTTTTGCATCTCGTCCGACGATATCACTCCATTCACAATGTTTAGGGAACTTTTCGTGAAAATTCGTCATTCTATACAATACGCTCAACGAGAAGAGTGATTTACACTTCGTGAGATCAACACAAACAAACGAAAACATTTCCAACTCAAGCCGCGGTTTCAACTTTTGGTTGGCCATTCGACACACCGTTCACAGCATGCCCGTTTACACCACTTGGGGATGTAGTCTTGGCTTCTCCTGATGCAGAACCTGGCCCAGATCCCGATGCTGAAACAATGCCACCCTTCTTATCCTCTTCTCCATCGTCATCATAGTCTTCATCAACATCCATCTTTCTCGCTGCACGTTCAGGCTCTCCAACAAGTGGCGGAGGTGGGGGTGGATGATCGAGGCGATCTCTCTGCTCTCGGTCCTCCATGGGATACTCCTTTGGGGCAGGAGGCGGGGGAGGAGGGGGCAACTCATGCATTGGAGTGTGCACCGGCGGTGGTCCTTGCTGCATAGGTGGGAGGTGATTTGGTGGGAGACCATGGGTTGGTGGATGATGGGCGGCTTCGGACGGATGATAGTTTTCATTTGCTCGGCGCTGCTCCTCTGCTCTTCTTTGTTCTTCGACGCGTCGCTGATCATCCATGCGCCTCTGCTCCTCACGGCGGGCTTCTGAAGAGCTTCGACGGAACTGCTCTCGCGGGGGTGTAGATGGTCTGCGGTGATGCATGTCATTCATCTGAGCTCGGTTCTCGTCTGATGCAGCTTTCTTCATAGATGGCTCTTCTTCCCACTCCCCTCTTCTCTTTGAGCCAACGGAACCTGGCCTCTCCCCGTTGCGCTCAGCTGCGGCTGCTTCTGCAGCAGCGAGAGCAGAAGCTGGCGGAGGAGCACCTCCCTCGATACCACCAGGATTGGAGCTATCTGGATGATGTGGGTACTGGTGGGGGTGTGGATAACCAGACTTGGGAGATGGCATTCGGTTGTCCATTATCGGTCGGACTTGTGGGGGAGGGCTGCCACCTCGAAATGAGGGTAAAGAACCTGGGCCTGAACCGTTCATGTTTGACGGTGCCGGAGGAAGCACAGCAGAGCCACCTGGGCCGGCGTAATTTGGATTTGAGACTCGCTGTGGCTGAGAAGGAGGGCCTGATGGCGGGGGTCCGGGTTGAGGTAGTCCTGGTCCTGAGTAAGGGCCCATAGGGGCGTGATGCTCACGTGGAGGAGTGCGACGAGGTGGTGGTGGAGGAGGAGGAGGGGGTCCTCTATCAGATCCTGGGTATTGTCTCATTTGCTGCTCCTGCCTAGGGCTTTGAGCACGAGGTGGAGGTGGAATCGGACCGGGGCCACGAGCTGGTTCCCGCTGGTCATACGGATTTGCTGGATGCGGCGGTGGATTTATCTCGGCCAGGCGGCCACCCCAGCCATTTGCGGGTGGTCCCGCTGGCGGTCCTGAGGGTGGAGGCTGGGGAGCTGAGTTGCCCCATTGAGGTCCTGGAGGACCAACTGCCCCAGTAGCCTGGTAAGCCTGAGGATGGACATCTTGCGGAAGTGGAGCACTTGTCTGCACAGGAAGTCCGTTGGTCTGGCCACTGCGGAGTAGCTGAAGACGAGCCTTGATGTGCACATTCTGGGGGTCGAGCTCGGCGGCTCGTTGATAGGCATCCAGGGCGTCGTTGATCTGGTTGTTGCAGGATTCATACTGTAACACCACTTAGCGATGTCTCAAATGGAATTCGGCTGAAAATGAAGCAAACTTACCAAAGTTCCCAAGTCGTACCAGACCTCGGAGATGTACGGGTTCAAGCGTATCGCGCGGGAGTATGCATCAAGTGCATCTCGGTACTGGTTAATTTGGTAATACAAAACGCCAATCGAGCACCAGAATGTCGGGTTCCGTCCATCGCGATAGACTGCTTGTTGATAGGCCTCGTACGCCTTTGGGTACTTTTGTTGTGACATGTAGCATCGGCCAAGCAGATACCAGCTTTGCGCATCACTTTGATCTGCCACGTGTTAGTGTGTGGAATGTGGGACCACTCATTTTTGACGAGTCTTACCAGAACTGACAGACTGCTCCAGATACTCAATCGCTTGCTCCTGGCTGCTGAAACTGTTGCTCTGCTGGTGATGCAGCCAGCCAAGCTGCTGAAGGACCTTTGCATGCTTCGGATCTCGGTCGAGCACACGTCGATAGGCCGACTTGGCATTGTCGTACTAAAACGGTCGTCAGAATTAGGTCACTGTAACTGGAAATCAATCGACTTACATCTTTCTGCTGCTCATGAACATGTCCAATCTGGAACCAGATGTCCTCTTCAGTCAGAGGGGTCGGTGGCACGGAAACAATGTATCGGAAGCACTGCAAACAATGAGCGACGGCGTAATGTGGGCATCTTGCTTCAGGCTGCTCTGCTTACCTCAAGACTTTGCTGGTACTTCTGCTGCTGCTTGTAAATTATACCGAGGCGGAAGTAGATTTCGTTGGCCTTTTCGAAGTCGGGTTGCATGCGCATGACTTGCGAAAACGCTTCTTCGGCATGCTCGAGCGACCCATAGCGATCGTAGAGGATGCCAATACCGTACCAAAGTTTCGGTTCCTGGTCAACGTGTTAGTTATAGAAAATACGAGAGAACGTTTTGGCTACCTTCGGGTCCCTGAGGTGGTATAGGGCTTGCTGGTACGCCGAGTAGGCTTGTTGCAAGTCGTCCATCATCAAATAACAGTGGCCTGCGGGAGTTAGCGACAGCAAGAACAAGCAAATCTACGACACTCACCCAAACTCCCCCAAACATCTCCATTGTTGCCATCTAGCTTGAGAATGTTTTGGAGGTACTCCACGGCTTTGTGGAATTGCTCTTGTGTCCGGAGGATGCAGCTTATGGCGTTCATGGCGGGAATGGACCTCGGATTGGCACGCAGTGCGTGTTCATAAGAAATCATAGCTTCATCGAGATTGCCCAGAAGCTCTGCAAGGCTCCCTGTACAATTGTGTAAATGACGAGTATTTGATATGGACAAGACCACCTACCAATTTGTAGCCACACCGCTTCATTCATCGCCGCCATCTGTTGCTGCGCAGCTGGCCATTGCTGCTGTGGAGGAGGCATGCTTGGCGGCGGTGGAGGAGGACCACTAGGTGGACCATGATGCAAATTCATACCAGCCGGAGGGGACGGGTGATGCGTCGCCATGGCTCAGTTCGCGACAAATTGTGAACTCCGCCTAGGATTGCGGGTTCGCACCCAAAATGTATCGCCAAAAAAAATACAAATATTCCAACCCGTCAAGAACAGGGGCGGATCTGAAGTCTACTGGGACAAGTCAATCGATCAGAACCATGCGAATACCATCTGAAGCACTCGATCGTTGGAGGGAATAAACGTCAACGCGGTCGCACTTCGAGGCGGCTGCTTTTGGTGGCGCAGGGGTCCAGGAGCTCGGCCGAAGAGATATTCGTGATAAGTCTCGTGGAGATAGATGCAGAGGGTGAAGAGGACGAGTGCAGGCAGACCTGTGTCGATGGGGGTGTCGATGGGGTGTCGTTGGGGGTGAGCTCGACTCGCAGCTTCTCGCTCCGTACAACGCTCAGAGTTTGAGGCTGGAAGAAGGAAGTGACGGAGCGGGCAAAGGAAGGAGCAGCCCACAGTTCCATCAACACCGCGAACTCCCCTTACCCAGCGCTAGCACTTGTCTGACCAGGAAGCGCATGGGAGGCCGGCTAGCCTGAGCTGCAGATGCTTGTCATCCATGGATTTGTGGCGCCCACAACAGCCCGGAAGTCGAACATGATGGGTCGCTGGCGGGGCTAGGCCCAACTGGGAAATGACTGGCCGCCAGGGGCCATTCCGCGCTCGCGCTATGCCCGATGGCGTACTATCGCAGGGGAGGGGGGGAGGGGGAGGACTGTCCAAGGGGGGAGGGCGTGGGATCCGCTGCAACTCTGCAGTTCTGCAGTGCTGCAGTGTGGGCGAACGGTTGACGCCGCGAGCTTTCCCGTCCGGGCCCATTCGCAAGAATGATGTTCCAACTTCCCCGGAATCGTGTGCAGGACAGTACTGTTACTGTACGGGGAGTACTATAAATTTACATTGCAGCGCGCGTGCTCGTCTCGTCCTCGTCCCCGTCCTCGTCCTCAGACTCCGGCGCAGACTCAGGCTCAGTCAGACTCGAGCCGCGATCAACTGCGCCGTCCTCTGGGTCCCGCCCAGCAGTCAGGTCGTGATGGTCCGCGCAGGTCTCAGGGCAGGCAGTCCCGCGAGCGCAAGACTTGGGCACGACGCAGTAGTGTCGTGACGGCGCCGGGGCCGGGCGGAGGGCATTATTTGACGGCGGACAGAGCTCGCATTTGTGGGGGTTTTGGGTTGCAGCGGAAAAAGGCCATCATCGATGGTGATGGGCAAGGGGCAAGGGTGTCATCGTGGTGGTGGCTGTCCGATGTCTCACGCTGGGGAAACACTCGACGAGCGGCGAAATAAGACTAACTAACCTGCGGCCCGGTTGCCCTATCGGGATCCAGGGCTGCAGGCCGCTCGTTTCTCAACGATCCAGGGAGCAAAGACCAGGCATGCCAGGCAAGACCCAGCATGGCACAAGAGATCCGGGAGCCATGCCAGTCTGCCACCCAGTTGCCAGAGCCGGAGCCAAAGGCAGAGCCAGAGCCAGAGCCAGAGCCAGAGCCAGGGCCAGAGCCAGGGCCAGAGCGAATGGAGTGGCACAGCATGAGAGGTTCGGCAAAGTCTTCATCTCCTGCAGGCGCAAGCGAGCAGGCCGGCGCCCACGCCAGCATGCATATCACCACCAGAAAACGGCTGCAGCGATCAATCAATCAAGCTTCAGCTGTCCATCCGGGGCTCCCACTGCCCTCCCTACTGGGCTCCCAATGGGGTATCAATCCAGAACCCTTGATCAAATACCCAGCCCAGGTCTGGTATATCCTGGCCGCTTGCCACGTCTCCCGTCCCAAGCTCCCATGACTCAAGTCAGATATCTTAATAAAGATACAGTGCTTGCGCAGTAGTTCTAGGCTGCGTCGGAATAAATTCGATGAGGTGAGTCGTGTCGCATTCAGCCGCCGCATCCGGATGTGAACTGTATTATTTCCCCGCGTCTCCAGACGGCAGGGAATGATATCAACGAAGCTTGGGTGTGATGATTTCCTCTTGATCTTGAAACAAGATCGACAACGCTCAGAAACATCTCGGGAGAAAACGTGAAGTCTCTCAGATTCGGCTTATCCGGGAAACGGGTCATGTCTCTGTCGATGTCTGTGAATAGCACTTGACTTGTGCTGCCACTCACAAACTTCCTCCCCCATCCTTCGCCAAAGCAGCACAAGGGCCCAGGAACCCAGCCGCCCTCCTCGGCGTCACGTTCCCCCCCAAACCATAAACCATCTCAAAGCGAAGCCTGACAAACGTCACGTCCTGTAATGCAGTGCATGGTGTGGCTGGGCGCATACATACAAACACAAAGCTATTGTCGGCAATCCTCCTCTCATGGCCCTTGGCCGCCCCCTTCCATTTTCTTTTAGACGGACTGACCCCTCACTGGACTTTAACTGTCACCAGCGCGACGATGCGCGCAGAACACCTCGATTGGATAAACGACTGTGCTTTTCAGCCACTGGGTACATGGCGGCACTGAAACTGGTACGACATAGCTCTTTTGCTTGTCCAAAGCTTGTCGACTCAGGGAGCGATGGCCGCATCGAGAATGGTAGCACGTGACATGGAGATCGACTTCGTCTTCGACTTAATATACTTGGGATATGAGTGTTCTCCATGAGGGGCCGATACTGCGGAGGTGGGTGGTTGGGAACATTTATCTGGAGAAAGAAGAATCGGAGAATCATGGAAGCTCTCGGCTGGTCACGTGCTTGGGGCTTGACCTGCATGCAGACAGAAGGGTTTTTTTTACTCTGAACCGCCACGACGCCTTTCTACATGCCAGCATGCCAGCCCCATCCGGAAAAAAAGAAAAGAAACCGAAAAACCTAACTGAATTTCCTCCAAATCAGCAGCGTGAAGATCCCTACCTCCAAATCGAACGCCCCACGTCCACTTTCATCCACATATGCATGCTTCAAAGGCTCAAACATGGGCGGCTACGAGGCTAAAAGCGCATGCCGCTGACCGACAGCGGCGGCATTTGACCTATAAAAGTTTCATCGGAAGCCACTCCTCCACCGCAACACCAGTAAGGCAAGGCAAGGCGCTGTGCATGTATGTCTCCCTCCCCCACGAAGGAGGGCGAGCGGCAGGCTATGAATTGTGTCAGATGCACAAAGCTGTTGCCTTCCCCCCCTCCTCTGTGCATCCCGCCTGTGCTGACAATCGCAAAAATCCCACTGGGCACCGCTGCGGCTGATCCCGAACACGGAAATGGCCCAAGCCCCGTCCCCTCGCCTCTCCTCCCCCATCCAAACAATAGAACTGGTGCGAATTTGGAGAAACAGGACTCAGAAGAAGTGGAATCACAGGTTCAGAATCAAATCTCGATCCGTGTCTCACGCCCCGGCCGGCTCGTGGAGTGAGTCGGATTTCCTTTTTCCGGGGGTTCTTGCCATCTGCAGAAGTGAGCCCCTGGGCACCAACCCCAACATCAGAAACCTTCTCCGCCACCATCTCCCACCAGCGCCCTGAAGTTGCGCCACTTAGCCCACTGAGACGCCTTGCCAGCTAGCCTTTAAAGATCGAGACCCTAGGCCTTTTGGGCACCCTGTTTAGTGCGTGCTTGACGCTGAACAGTGAACGCGATTGAATCATAGGGGGTGGTCAATAAGAATGGGTAGGCTGCACTCGGTGACTGCGCCTTGAGGTTGGAAGGTGAAGATTATGAGGGAAGAGGATTGTGGAGTCATTAAAAACACCTCGGATCATTTCTTGCGTTTGAAACATCCAGTTAATAATACCATAACCCTGCCAAGGCACCTGCGAGCTGTCCCCCGCACATGCCTGCGGCTGCCCAGCTATATCACAACTCGTAGGACAGTAATTCTCCCTTTGACCTAGTTACTCTGTAATAGTCCCCTAACATTTACTACACTCCACTGTCGTACCCGAAGGACATTAACAAGTCTCCCAGAATGTTGCAGTAATGCGGGTGTATGTAATATAATTCAGATATATCAGGAAGAGAGGTGTGGCGCGGAGGGCCAGAGCTTAAGGTTAAATACAGTGAATATGGTCACGTGAGGTCAGATCACGTTGTCAGCCTGCAGTTGCCATGCAACATAAAGCTTAATAATTAAATTATGATTAATTAGATAATTAAATAAATTAAATATAATTAATTACCTTAATTATTTTTTGGACACACTTTATAACTATAATAGGGTAATATGCATATGCTTATTAGCCAGGATTTGCCTATACCCACTGCGTAAGTTCACGTTCAATTTTCACATCAGCTAGGCAATATGGCGTAGTTTCTATCGAACGCCCACTAGATGAATCATACCAGCACTTGGCTCAAATGAGATCATTCTTCTAAAGTCCTCTACATAGAAGGAGCATCTTTATTTGATGACGACCATTCGTTTCTGGTGGTCGTTGCCTCACTAGAGCTTCACTTGATGACAGAGCAGCTGAGAATTTGGGTATCATAGTGATATACAGTCAACATTATACACGCCTAGCACCGAGATCTATCCGCAGATCCTCCAACGCCACCAAATTATAATAGGATCACGCCGCCGTACGATTGTCATATCTTCTTTCTCTTAATGAGCTCCTTTTTCGTCTTCTCTTTCAGGTACATAAGTCGTCTCTCCAAGCATGGCAGATGGTGTCTGAACATTTGGCTGAGGTTGTATTTGCACACTAGGCCCGGCTTGAGTTGGCGGTGGAGTTTGAGTCTTCGCAGGTCCTGCTGTCGCAGCGTGTAACCTCTGATCTAAAGCCTTCAATGCCAAAGCCCGCCTCCTCTCTGCTTCTGCTCGTGCCCCTCCTGGAGCACCTCGCTGGATAAAGGTATCACCTCGAGATGCTGATACGTCTGCGGCTGAGAACGGTGTACATATGCGCAGTGACACAAGGATGTTATAAACCTGGTTCGAGAAGACGGAAACGAATGGCTTCACTGGGTCGGGGAAGAATTCGGCGAAAGCAAAAGTTTCGCTAGCATCTCCTCGCAATGAAGCTGGTTGGGAAGTTTCGAGGTCTGGGAAAGCAGGCTTATAGAACCGCAGATATGTCCAGCTAGTCAAGAATGCATTCGTGACCAGGAAGAAACTGGCAGCACTCAGGATGGGAGTGAGGGATAGCAGAAAGACGCCGAGGATATGGAGGAGGGGGAATCGAGGAACTCGGAGTGAAACAATGCCGCGGAACAGCGTAACGGTATGTGCGGGTACGAGTTGTGAGAAGGCGACAAGGAAGGATATTTGTAAAGATATGGTGCCGTTGATAGTCATTAACCTCGGGTTGGTCAGCAAATTGAATAGCAGGAGTGGAAGTCTGCACTTACGTCCAGCTCATATCCCCAGTAATTGCAAATAAAATCACCAAGGCCCCAAAGCAAGCCAAATTAGGGATCAGCGCAGCAACTAGGAGAAACTTTCCAAACTCTGCTGACGTCCACGCTCTCTCAAGATACCTCCCTCCATAGTAGATTGTAGCGCCAGAGATTCCCAGCGTGAAGACATTGTTCTCCACCAGAGTTGTGGTGAGGAAGGTCCAAGGATATATCAGAGATAGTTGCGGTACTAGAACGAGGTATGGAACGACGACGTCAGACTCCTCCGTCCATTGCCGGTAGCGGATTGCAAAACTCAGGAGAGACTGCGCCACAAGGGCAATGAGGAGGAGACGCGTGATGGGTGGGATGTTCAGTCTAGGAGGCATGGCGGCGTACTTGGAGGGTCCTTGGAGGATCGACGTAGGGGTGGAGGGACGTTGATTGTTCCTGAGTCTCTGGATGTTCCAGAGCTCCAGAAGGAAGAGGACAACACGCGGAAGTTAGCTCAGTCACGTGGCATATTTTAAGCATCGAATGAATCCGCCTCGCTTCGAGAACAAGTTGAGCAACGCCTGAAACTCCCGGGCATGTTCAGAAGATCCACTCTCCCGTTCCCTACCATCCATGCTGCTGAACGTTGCCCGCAGTTGATCGCATCTCTATCACATCTACACTCACCATCGACATGTCGCACCGCGTGTAGAAGCCGCTATGGCCGCGAGATTCTTATTCTCCCTGTTCCCAGGCCCAGACTCCTCTGCTCCTCTGCTCCAGTTTGTCACAGCCAATCGACAAACCCTGCGAACCCTATGTCGCTGGCGCGCCGCTGCTCACTTTAGCAGGAATTAGGGAGAGCCAGGCGATCCAGCAGAAGCAGCACCGCACCTCCGAACACCCTCTCCCGCGCCCATTGGTGCGTCTTGATTGGAAGCCTTGAAGGCGTCGATCCCTGACAACGAAGCACCCCTACATGGTCTCTGCCCCTGCAAAATCGTACCTGCTCTCGGCTTGGTGGTGGCCAGGTCTGCCAGCCGCCTTAGTCCCAGTCCCCACATCAAGCATCCCGCACGACTATTTCGTCTGTTCCGGAGGACCTTCATTCCTGATCTCGACACTCACCCATCAACACCAGCCCACAAGACGACCTGACGAATATACCGCTCCCCGCCATCTCCTCGTGCATCGCGAGGCCCCCACAGCGAAGCGATGACGAAGGAGAAGCTCGATTCCCATAGGATCAACTATCTGATCTGGAGGTACGTGTTTCCTCGTGATCCACCCGCTCGGTTTTCAGGTACAGAGGCTTTCGCTAACGGCAATTACATCACAGGTATCTCTTGGAATCAGGTTCGTACACGTCGGATTCGGTGTATCAGGCCCTTGGTGAGAACTAATCACGGTGCTCCAGATTATCGAGAGACTGCTGCTCGACTCCAGAAGGAGTGGAACGTCCAAGATCCGCAGGAGTTACCATTTGCGCCCCATGTCACTCATCATGCACTAGTGTCTGTTTTGAACAGAGGCCTTCTGTACAATGTGCAGGAGAGGGAACCCGAGCAGGTGCGTAGAAAATGAAATTGGGAGCTAATCCTGACCATCTCGGTCCCAACTGACACTCACCGCAGTCCACGGGCGACGTTGCGGCTCCTGCGTGCGGATTCTTTGGTCCTTTAATGCCAGCATCGCCAGCGGCTGACGAGGATTTTGAAAATGCCCGAAAACGCCAAATCGACAACGACCAGGCCCAAATTCAAGGCGGACCACCAGTAAAGAAAGCACGTCTCAGCAATGGCTACGAGAATGGCTTCGAACCAACTCCAATGGACATCGATGACGACCAAAACGGCGATGAAAACGCGTACCCATCGCCCGAGCAGGTGCCCTCTCCAGTCATTGTCACGGTCGGACCCGAGCAAGGCACGCAGGTGGACAAAGTCCACGAACTGTCGACTGAAACGACGTTTCTCGAGCTTTCAGATGAGCCTTCGTCGAGAAACGCCGTGCTGCTACAATGCGAATTTAATCCCATTGATCCCACGATCTTGGCCGCAGCGGGAACCGATGCGCTAGCCCGCATGTGGACGCTCTCGCGTATCATTCCCGATTCAGGGTCGGAAAGCCCCAGAAGCACCAGGAAGCCTGTCTTTGCATCTGCACACAACCTTCTCGACGAGAGCGCTCCTTCTACTACTACTGCTACCGGTCTATCGTGGTCATCCGATGGAAACTATCTCGCAGTATCTAGTGAGCCGCAGGATGACGGCGATGGGAATGGGAAGGTAGATGCAAAGGTGGAGTTCTGGGACAACAATGCACAATCCTTCGCCGAATTCAACAGCTTCGAATCGCCGGTTTGTTGTCTCCATTGGAATCTTGCCAATACTGCCTGCTTGGCCATCTCCCCGCAGGATGAGAACAGAGGTACGCTGTTGACTGTCATGCTCCCAAATATGAGCAACTCCTTGTCTTACTCTTTACCAAATCATTCGCTGGATCAGCAAATGCTGGATGCTACCTGGACGAGCGAGGACGAATTTTTCATATGTGGCGGTGACCTCCTTCTCGCATTCCATTGCACTGAAGAATCGATATCACCCGGGAAAAAGCATGAGACTCGAGACAACGACACCCTTTGCAGGGTTACCTACGACTGGCACTCCCGGCTGCTGGCTACCACGAACGAGTCAGGCATAATTGATGTGCGTCAAAGATTGAAAAGGTCCTCTGAATTCTGACTGACTTGTGGATAGATTTGGGATCAAGCAGCACACATCCGTTCATTTAACGCTCACCAAGGCCAAGTTAATTCGTTGGTCTGGCAACCCATTCCGTTTCTTGTGGCTGTAGAAGATGATGCAGAGCGACTGCTGGCGTCGTGTGGTGAGGACGGGGCCATAAGCATCTGGAATGCCCGTTCTGTAGATTCAAAACCAAAGTGCTCAATGACGATGGGCAACGCTGTAGTTGCCGTGTCATTTACACCTGATGGCGCATTTATTGCTGGTGCTACTAGTCAGCGAGTCTGTATTTGGAAAGTTGACGATGTTCACCTCCCTCGAGCGATTTGGACCAGAGGAGATGAAGTCGGCTGGCGAACACCCCAGTCTCAACACTCCTCCACAGATGAGGACCAATTTTCGTTATGTTGGGATGCAAATGGCCAAAAGCTTGCCTATGGGGTGAACAGTCGGGTATGTCTATTTCTTTCATGCGATCTCGCAGAAACTAATCAAATGAAGTTGGCAGTGATAAACTTTCGCCGATGACCGGACGACTCAAGGAAAACGACAATGAATCTTGACAGTGTGCGACCTGACGACTTGGGATGGAAATATTCGGCGATGGTACTATGATTATACCATTGCAAGTACGTCGACGATGAAGTATGACGGGACGATACAAAATCAAACCCGATTTCATCATGAATGTTACGGCAAGGCGGTAGCTCGAAACAGAGAGATAAGGCACCAGAGGTGGCTTAAAAGCGACAAAGTGTCGTGCCGCGGTAGAGACGCGATTGGCTTGCAAGCCCGCAAGCCTTTTTAAAAGATGCACTATCCCTTACTGGGTAATCAATAGAGATTGATATACAAGCATTGCATAAAACACTAAAGTGTCCACGAGCAGTGCTCGGGTTGTCCATATAACGGGTTTTGATTGTCTGTAGCGCTGCCTTTCCGTTTCTCCAACCCTAGATCTCATGAATATCAAGTTGGCAACCCCTGCCAGCGGGTGAATAAATTGGCAGTGGTAATACAGAACTTATGCAACGAGACGATTTTTTGGTGCAACTCAAGAGGCATAATTTGTCACACTACAGTAGTTATGTCACCTTTATCTTTAATCACCAGGTTGGGAGAGGGTATGAAGACGCAATGAAACTCAGCATTCAACGACTTCAGGAATTAGGAAGGAACTTATTTTATCGCTCTTCAAGTCTCTCACAAATTTTGTATTGCACTATCGAAAATGAAACTGTTGCATCTATTTTGCTTTTGGGTCGCTCAAAGGCCTACGCAGACCAACCCAGCTTCCTCGTATTCAAGCGTACCCCATCTCCCTGCACCACCTCTGTGATCTTCTTCCTAGTCGACCACCTCAGCAACGTCATGGAGTGTTTCGCGAACTTGTACTTTCCTTGGCCATCCCATTTACTCTCCTTCACGCCCACTTGCTCTTCCCCTTCCACATTCACAGCTTTGACATCCTTCCCAGTGATTGTGTATACCTCTACTTCTTTTCCCACACTCACCAGATCAACTTCAAAGTCGGTTGTCTCGTTGATGTTAACGACCACAAGACTAATGACTCCATGTTCATTCACAGAAGCACTGACATCCAACCAACTAGCACCTTGCTCCAGCACCCCCTGAAGCCAAGCTGGTTCCGTCACACCACCATAAGCGCCAGCACTGACATGAACGCCTACCGTCCAACCCCTCATATACCTACTGAAAAGTAACAACGGCCACCATGTCGCCTGCTTCACAACCCCATCCTTCGTCGTCATCAACGGACTAATAACATTCACGCTCTGCGCAATATTCGCCATTCCTACCCACCGACTCTGCCTCACAAAAACATTCAACCACACCGCCACCCCGAGCGCATCAGACAGCGTATACAGCTCCTCCGCGCCCTTTTCCCCGGGTGCCCGCGTAGGATCCCACATATTCCACTCATCGAAGCAGATCTTCGTCTTCCCCACACTCGGCGGTATGTTTTTTTCGATCCGCGCAATATCGATCAGTGCGGCAGCCGTCTCAATCGCGCGCTCAGCCGAGAGCGGCGCGGTGACGTTCGAGAGGTGCGATTTGCCAGACGTGTAGATGTGTATTGAGTGCATGTCCGCGTACTGGATGCAAAAATTGAGAACTTTGTGGTCCCATGATGAATGGCCGGTTTCGCCGCAGAGGATGAGGCAGAGAGACGGATCGAGAAGTTTGAGGGCTTTGGCCCATTGGAAGGCTTTCTTGGAGTAGTCTTCTGCCGTCATTTGCTCAACTTGCCATGGGCCCCAGACCTGGGCTTATCAGTCCAAATCTGAAGAAAAGAGGCGAGAAGGACGCACCTCGTTACCTAATGCCCAATACTTAATATTGTAAGGCTCCTCATGGCCATTCTTCCGTCGAAGGTTGGCATAATAAGTATTCCTCGTCCCATTGCAATACTCAACCCAAGCTAACGCCTCATCCAGAGACCCAGTTCCCATGTTGAGACAGAAATACGGCTCAACTCTGTTCTCTTTCCCTTCACTCAAAACTCCGAGCCAGTGCATGAATTCGTCAGTCCCTGTCACCCATCAGTATTTTTTGAATGGAGAGAGGAGCACATGCTCGCGTTACGTACCGAACTGATTAGTTTCCGTCCCCAGCCAAGCAAGTTCCGGACGAGAAGGTCTGTTCTCTCGCGGTCCAACTCCATCTTGCCAGTGGTAAGTTGCGATGAAATTCCCACCTGGGTAGCGGATCACGGGAATGTCGAGGTCGCGAAGGGCAGAGAGGACGTCAGTCCTGTAGCCATGGGTGTCTGAAAGTGGGTTTTCGGGGTCGTAGATGCCGCCGTAGATGCAGCGGCCCATGTGTCTGGAGAGGGTTGCTGTCAGCGAGAGAAGTTGTGATGAAAATCATGAAATAGGGGATTTCGGGAGGATGCTTTGAGAAAGAGTCCACGGAGGAATGTAAAGCAGATTGGCTGTCATAAGTCCAAAAGCAGAAGACTCACTCCATGAAACCTCCATATATGTTTGGATCTTCAAAAATCGTAAGTAAATTTCTGACTTCACCCCATTCTTGACGTACCGATTTTCGAAAGTCTCCTCGAGACATCGACAATAATCGAGGGGGTTTCATCTTCAGGAATTCTCGTGAAAGTCGTCATCTTTCTACTATGCTTCGGCCGTGCTTGCGGGGTGGGAATGGCCAGTCTTCGTGGCCGACAGTCAGACAGCAGAGGTAAGATATCCCATCCCAAAATCTCTTGAGAGCGGGCCATTGGATGATGCACATTTCGGTATTTCTGTCACTTCTTGGCGGCCTCAGCTCATGACGGCTCCATCTTCCATGATGAGCCCGCAGGCGCCACAAAAATATGTGGTTGACGGCTGCATCAGCGAGCGCGCTGATTGGAGCGCATATATCCTCATTTGCTACTGTGTATGCAAGGAGGGGAGAAGGCGCCTCTCTGGCCGCTGAGTTGTGGAAAAATGCAGCAGCGCCCGCGCCGTCAAGCTAAGGTTACTTCCTGTAGTGCCCAGAAGCTTGACCTTCCCCACACTTCACTTTGGCCCCGCCAGCCACTTGGTCATTGCGACAACATCGGTCAATTGCCAGCAACCGACCGGGCTCCACGGTTTGGACGTGCCGAAATGGAGGACAGAAGAACGACCGAAGTGGACGGTCAAGCGGCATTGGCTGGATGCCACCACCTCAATGGTATGCGGGCCAATAGAGCAGTTCCTGTTTGCCGTCCCTCGTCTCCCTGGCGTTTGCACGCCACACCAACGGCGCTCTGCTGTGATACTGTATCTGCTCTGCTTGGGATTGAAGCAGTCTTGCACATGGCAGCCCCCCAGTCTCCCCGCATGGAAATCTTCCCCCCACCGGACGGAAGCTATTCTCCGAGACTATAAGGATGCCTTTCCAATCCCTTCCCTTGTGAATTTTCTCATGTCATTCTTGCCTCTGGCAGTTCTCCTCTCTTTGTTTCTGTGCCTGGAAATCAGCCATCATGGTTCTCGCTCCAAAGCTCTACCAGTTCCTCGTGGGCGTGTTCGCCTCCATGGGATCTATCCTTTTTGGATATGATCTCGGAGTTATTGCTGAAGTGTGAGGGCGGTGGTCTTCTGGAATAATGACATTGTACTAACTAGAATCAAGCATTGCATCCCAATCCTTCACTACTTTCTTCAACCACCCAACCAGCACTCAAACGTGAGAAATTATCCTGCTAGTTGCCGTGGAAGATACTAATCAAGCTAGTGGAATTGTTGTATCGTTCTTCACGGGCGGTGCTTTCTGTGGAGCTGGATTGGCAGGTCCTGTAAGTCTACTTCCCAGCCAGGTCACAACTGAACAAGTGCTAACAGCCAGTAGGCGGGAGATAGACTGGGACGAAGATTGACGATTGTCATTGGAAGCATAATCTACCTTCTCGGTGGAGCCCTGCAAACGGGAGCTGCAAACATGGGTATGCTCTGGGCAGGACGTTGGCTGGCAGGTGTCGGTGTCGGCTTTTTGGTCATGATCATTCCTCTATATCAGTCCGAGATTGCTCATCCATCAATTCGGGGCACAATCACATCTCTCCAACAGTTCATGCTTGGTATTGGGGCCTTTGTCGCTGGATGGATCAGTTACGGGACCTATGTTGGGCTGCATAACCAGGCTCAGTGGCGCCTGCCACTCGGTCTTCAGATGCTCCCAGCTGTTGTACTTGGTGAGACATGTCATTCAGGGTTTTGGAATCGGTGTTTACTGATTTGGTTGGCCAGGCGCCTTGATTATGCTCTTCCCGGAATCGCCACGTGTAAGTCACCTCTATTTTCTTTCAAGAACTAAAACTAACAACTGTTTCAGTGGCTCATCGATCACAACCGACCAGACGAAGGCTTGAGGACGCTTGCTCGGCTTCACTCCAATGGCGACGAAAATGACCCATGGGTCAGGGCCGAGTTCGATCAAATTCAGGAGAGCATCACATTTGAGCATGAGAACGAAGCTAAATCATACTTTGAGTACGCAGTACCTCCCTAATATCACTTCTCGGAGACTGACTTCGACTAGGCTCTTCACGAACAGATCCTCTTTTCGTCGCTTGTTCATTGCCTGTGCCCTCCAAGCCTCCATCCAAATGACTGGTGTCTCAGCCATCCAATACTACAGCGTCAAGATCTATGGGCAAATTGGCATCAGCGGCTCAGACGCTCTCAAGTACCAAGCAATCAACAACATCATCGCCCTCGTCGGAGAAGCCTGCTGCGTCCTATTCGTTGACAAGCTCGGACGTCGACGTCCCTTGATCGGAGGCAACCTCTTCAACATGGTCTGCTTCCTCGTGGCGTGTATCCTGATCGGTGTGTTCCTCCTCAATCCCCCTCTTAATCTCAACTATAGTTAATGCCAAACACAGCCAAATTCCCACCCGGCACAACAAACAACCACGCCGCCTCCTGGGGCTTCATAATATGCACGTGGCTCTACAACTTCTCCTTCTCCGCGACGTGCGGCCCTCTGTCCTGGGTCATTCCCGCCGAGATTTTCGACACACGGACCCGTTCAAAGGGCGTCTCGATCGCCACCATGGTATCCTTCGCCTTCAACACCCTGATCGGGCAAATCACCGACACGGCGATGACCAACATCGGATACCGATACTACTACCTCTTCATTATCTGCAACTTTACGAACGCACTGTTCTTTTATCTATTCTTGCCTGAGACGAAAAATCTGCCGCTTGAGGAGATGAATTATCTGTTTACGAATGCGCCGTACCTTGTGGCCGGACATGATAAGAGTAAGTATCGTGCGGGCTACGCGGAGGACCTGGAGAGGCGCGCTGTGGAGATTAGGGAGAAGGGTGGGGTTATTGGGGATCAGGAGCATGAGGAGGATGTAACAAGGGTGCAGTAGCCTGAAATGCGAAATATCAGTGAAGTGAGTTGTAGTCGTCAAATTGAAAACTTCTGTTTGTAGGAGAGATAGCTGAAAGAAACCCCTACTCAAGAAGCACCGTTAAATATGCAACGTTCCCCGTCACCGATTATCACCATGGCGTGGCAAATCGGAGCTCAAATCTTCGCTTTAGTATTATGCAGGCACACGGTCAACGGGTCTCGGACTCACTCGTGTCGAAAGGCAGCAGGGCAGTTCCTCTAGGGTAGTCACATGCCTCGCTCCGAACTCGCGACCCTCCTTGATATACCTCAATAAGCATTCTTTTTTATTTCTGCAGGAAACAAGCCTTGAGAAGGTGGTTAAGTGTGGACTGGCGCGGGCTCCAGCCTTCAATACCCCATGAAATTGTGTTGACGTCGTATATAATTAATTTAAAGCGTTTGTGTTTCAACTCACTGGCTTCGTGGCTGAGCGGTACGTGACTTTCCCAAGTACGTTAGCGAAAGCCTGGTGTGTTAAAGTGCTTAGGAGAAGCTCGTCAATATCAACTCTTCCTAGACTTTCCTAGAAATCTAGGGTAGTCGTAAGCACACTTAACATAAGACCTTCAAAAGAGGGTGGTGTGCAGAACTGTTTTGTCCCTCCAAATAATTTTTCTATACTCTTAGTTAGGCACCTTTTGAAGCTTTTGATAAAGTTGCTAAGCGAGAGAGGGGTGAAAGCAAGATAGAGGCACTTATGTATTTCAATTTAAAGTGAAGATCGATAGTTCTGGACAAGTGGTTAATAAAAACGACACACAAAAACCCACCCTAGCGCACGACTTTTGAGTGTAGAGGGGCTTTAAAAATCCCTTTTTTAAACGGGTTTGCTAAGTAAGGGACGCCTGGCGAGTCCTGGAGTTTTTGCCTTCTTGGGGTGGGCTTGAGCGCTCTTTTGTTTTTCGCGGTGTGTTTTGTCTTATCTTTTGGCAGTTGTTAATAAGCGAGCCCGTTTCAAGTAAGAGTGGAGAAGTAAACAGTGTGAATGGGGGAGATTTACTGAGCCTCGAAGGATGGAAATCGATCCAAGAGAAAGGAATAAACGTGTGCGGAATTGTCACTTTAGTCTATGGGGAGTCAGACATGCAATGTGAGATAAGGATTAAAAGAGAGAGATCCTCAAAACCTTTTGCTGTTAAAGACTCGCTCGGCAAAACTGAGATCGGGAGGGAAGGGAACCCTATTTCTGTTATTATTCAGAATAGAACTGCACACGAATCGTCTCACAGACCTTAAGTCCAAATGTAGTTTCATTCAATGGCTATCGTGTATCAACGTCTCTACTACCCCAGCAACCAAATTCATCCAAGAGCAAGTTTGATCCCCATATGCTTCATAAACAATGCTGTATTTACTCGTACAACCGATCTGAATCCACGATTTACTTCTTTCCCTTACCCTTCGCACCAGCTGGTCTTCCTCTAGGCTTAGCAGCCTTCTTTGGTTTGACATCCTCCGATCCATCATCCTCATCGTCCTCATCATCATTCTTGGCCTTCGTCTTGGAGGCCTTCCTCGGTGCCGCCTTCCTTTCCGCAGCCTGCTTCTTGACCTTCGGCTGCTTGATGTATTTGTCTTTCTTCAGGTCGGTCTCGTCATCATCTTCCTCCTTTGGTTCAACTGCGATTTCATCATCTTCCTCCTCCATTGCTTCTTCGAGATCCGGGACTTCCTTGGTCATCTTTGCTGGTGCCACAACATTGCTTGCTTTCATGAATGGCAGAGGATGGGTTCGGGCGTTGTAGCTACAATAAGTTAGTGCTGGATTCTTGGGATATCGCAATCAGTGCTTACAGTCGGGTGAAAGCAGACTTGGTCTGAGTCTCCAAGCGAACATTTTCTTGATCTTGAGGTCCTAGACCAAGTTCCATCATGTAGTCGAAATCATCTTTAGTCAAGAAATAGCTATCCATCAAGTCAATGACCTCATCAACACTATCCTTACCCTCCATCTCCAGACGTTTGATCATCCGCGTCCAAAGGACGGGCAGATATTGCTGACGGATTTCGTGCCGGTCCCCAGACGATCGAAGACGCATGTGTGATTGTATCTCCTTCACGTATCGAAGCAACTTGTTCATCTTGCTGTTGTTGCCAAGCCAGCTCGTGAACGCGATCTGGCTTTGCACGAGGCCTGCCACGTAACTGGCTGGTCTGACAGTACTGAACACCGCATGTGTTGGCATAAGACTCCATTGTTGCTGTGAGCCGTGGATCATCCTGTCAACTAGGTCTCCATCACTGATGCTCTCCGCAGCCTGGTCTGCAAGCTGCAGAGCTTTAAGATTTGCTTCCTTTCCGTTCAATTGCCCGATCAGGGATGGTTTGGTCTTCAGAAAATTTTCTTGAACCATCAGGTAGCTGAATTCATGATCATTGAAATATAACTCGATCTTGTCGTTGAGAGTAGCCTTGCTCGCCGGCGCGAACATTCCACCACCAAGAAGCTTTTGGCAAAGATCCCAAGGCTTCAGAACCACGTGTTTCTCCCAGGCTTTGGTCATTGATTTGCCTTTATCAAAGTCCATAGCTGTTTGATCGAGCTTGGCTGTAGAGATCATGTTGATGATTTGCCGAATGTCTTTATTGCTACCTTCAATAAGAGCATCGATGACATTGGGCGGAAGCTTGAGGCCTTCTCTGTGGCAAATGGTAGCAATTCGAGATCGGACTTGCTCAACAGTTGGACGTCGGAAAGGAACATCCAAAGTTACGTGATCGAAAGGCTTCATCTTTGGTAACTTTCGGTCATTGCAGATCAAGATCAAAGGGATATCAGTCTTCTTGCACACTTTAGCCAAGGCGCCAACTCCACCTCGATCTCCTGCAGACATGCCGTCTACCTCATCCATGATGAGTACAATTTTCTTCTTGTGCTCGTCGACTTTCTTCCCATCCCCAGCAAAGTATCCCAATAAGGAGTTGTTGTTCAGGACTTCGTTGAGGCCAGATTCAACCATTTTCTTGCTTCGAGTGTCACTGGCATTGCTCTCCAAGACATCGTAACCGGCGAGTTTGGCGGCCAAATGAGCTGCAGTTGTCTTTCCAATGCCGGGTGGACCATGAACGATAATGGCTCGATATCCGCCAAGGCCTTCAGGACCTTTCATTGCAAATCCATACTTGTGTGCCTTAGCCCAACCTTTCAGCCAGTTCTGAATCTTTTCCACTTGACCTTTATTGCCGCAGATTTGATTCATCGACGTCGGGGCGTATTTACTTGTCCACAATTGTGAGGACGGGTCAGGTTGTCGAATGGTAGGGGGAGGGGGAGCAATGCCTTTCTCGGCGGCGAGTCTTCGCCGTTCCTTTTCAGCCTTCTTGGCTTCTAAGGCTTTGCTCTTCTCTTCTCTCTCCATTTCCTCGGCCTCTTTCTTGATCTTTTCCAATTCTGCCTTCTTCTTCTCCAAGTTCTTCTCTGCAGCCTTGCCATCTCCACCGTTGGCCGGCATCGTTCGAATGAGTGCAAGGAGGCCATCCTCATTAATGGTCTTAATCTTCAGGTCCGAAATTTTTCGAAGCTTGCTTGGACCAGCATCTGTCCCGAGGACTACAAAACTAGTCTTGCTGCTGGGACTCCCCGTAACCTTACCGCCATAGCGTTTTACAAGTTCTTGTCCCTCTTCTCTAGAAAGTGTCTCAAGCAAACCAGTGAACACAAACGTAAGACCGACAAGGCAGTTCTCTTCGCCGACAGGTATCTCCTTCGACCCAGCCGCAGGGGGTGGTCCTGCGTTTCCACCGCCCGCTCCAGCCTTTCTCCAGTCGAACTTGTGATCCGGATCTTGCGGTGGAGGCGTAGGTGGACGGACTGTGGGGATGTTATCAAGAATTGCCCGTACCGCAGAACTTTCCGGCTCGTTCTTCTTCGGAGCTCGAGGTTTCTTGGCAGGAGGTTGTTTTGCTGATTTGCTCTTTGAAGACTTGGCAGCTGGAGTGATGTCGTCCTTATCCTCGTCAGATTCCAGATCCACGGACTTCCGCTTCTTGCTCCCAGACTTGGTGACTGGTTTGTCAATGTCCATCATGTCATCGCTATCATCTGGTACTACAAAGTCATCATCTCCAACCTCCTTCATGTCAACATCCTCATTCTTCTTATTTGTGACCGACTTGGATTTGGTACTTGTCTTCTTGGGCTTCGGTAAGGGTTCATCATCACTATCGACTTCCACGTAGGCGTCATCTTTGTGCTTCCCATTCTTCTTCACATCAGCCGCGAAGATGTCATCTCCTGCATCCTCGTCATCATCTAGGAAAGCAAAATCGTCATCGTCCTTTGGCTGGCTGTATGAAGCTGTAGTCTTTTTGCGGGCAGATGATCGGCCGTTGGACTCGATAGGTTCAACTGCTTTTGGCTTTGTCGGTGTTGACTTAGCAGGCTTGGGCTTGGCTTTGCTGCTCATTGCAAAGTAATCTGCAGTGCTTGTTTCTTCGCCTTTGGGGGATTCTTTCTTGCTGGTGATTCCGTTAGTGAAGTGTATTGTAAGACAAAAGACACGCTTACACAGCATTCTTAGGAGGGGCTCTCTTCGGAGTCGCTCTCTTAGATCTTGAGGGAATTAGTAACTGTACATTTCTCGAGGGCCCGGGAAACTAACGGCGGAGCAGGCTCATCGTCATCACTGTCATCAATGATCTTGCGGCTTTCTAGGACGATTTAGCATCTGTGAGCCATTTCGGGCCAGTCACATAAAATCTTACTGCTGCGCTTTTTCTTGGAATCTTCTTCCTTCTTGCTTTCCTTCTCGCGAATGGGGGTATTGGTTTTACCCCCAAAGAAGCTCCGGATGTCTGCAGGCATTTTGAGTGTCCGAGAATCTTCGTAAAGGGCGGCTTTGATGGTAGCACAATATTTCCTCAAAAGATTAGGAAATTATCATTGTGGTGGGAGGAAATGCGTTGAAAGTTTCGCAGACCACATTGATGATGTACGCGACTTTCTTGACGCGAGAACGTCGGGAAGGCGCGACCCTGCCTAAATTGATTGCCCTTGAAATTTTAGGCAATAAGGCTGCCATTTTCAACATCTGGGGAACTTTCGTCGAAGCTTCACTTCAGCAGCAAGCAACTCAACAATCATGAAGCTTCGAAATGTTTCGGGCTTTGCTGCCCAATTTGAGAGGCTTTCTATAGCTTCTACCACTCAGCGACCTCTTTGTACGGCTCTCTCCTCTTCTACCTCGAACAAACCATCTTTTCCTTATAATGGCACCTCAACTCGGCGACCGTTTTCGAACACAACCGCTAGAGCTGGTAATTGGCTCCTGCCAACCATGCCAGAGAGGAAGAGATCACGGAAAGGACGACCTCGTGTGCCAACAGGCGGATCATCTCGAGGGACAACCATAGTATGGGGTGATTATGGCCTGCGGATGTGTGATCATCATCGCAGAGTCAGTGCTTCTCAACTGAAGATTGGAGAAGAAGCTATCAAGGTCCGGCTAAAGGGGATGCGGTATCGATTGTACAAGAGGGTTTGCGCAAGCATTGGTGTTTATAGCAGTGGTAATGAGGTATGGTTGAAGCAGGTTCTATTTTTCAACGGGAGTTGTAGCTCATGATATCCAGGTTCGTATGGGGAAAGGGAAAGGCTCTTTCGATCATTGGGCATCCAGAATTGCTGTCAGCAAGGTAATTTTTGAATTGAAAGGGGATATTCACGAACAAGTGGCAAGAGACGCCTTCCGATTAGCCGGGAACAAAATGCCTGGTAGGTCATGGGTTTCATTGTACTTTAGCAATATAGCACTGACTTATGCCGCAGGCCAATACGAATTTGTAAAGAAGGGAGATCCGCCTGTTGTTGGTATCACGAAATTGGACGGCATTACAATGGAAGAACTGAAAAGACCTCGACGTAAGATTCCTTTGGGATCAATATCAGCTAGGTCAACATCTAAAACGCTACTACCAACTGCTTCTGCATCTACGTCTCCAGCGGCGTAAACTGTACTTGTATTATAGACATATTGTTCTTCATCAGAATTTTAAGCCTCTGAGAGAGGAGGAAAACAGAAGAAATGACACTTTGTGAGCAGTGAAGAAAGAGCCACTCCACTCCACCCAACGTTACAAGCCACAGCTGCTCAAGTCGCAGAAAAAAATAATTCGATGTTGCCAGGATATTCTATTGCAGTGGAATTCTTCCAGCTTGATGAAAACGCCGAGTACGCCTCCTTTAGCCAGAACTCCTTGCTGCAAATCGTGAGATACCCTTGATGCCCAGCCCATTGACTACATCTCCATATTTCACATTGTGAACAAGCCCCAAATAGCCCATGCAGGCTCTCACCTCTTTCACTCATCAGAAGAGCTCTCATCATTGTTTTGCGTCTCCTTAAGTACCTGCATTCCATCGTCAGCTCCAGGCCCGTATCATGCAGCAAAGGCATCAACCTCGTCCAGCTTCATCTTTAGTGTTGTCATCATATTCTCTTTGATCACCAGAGTCTGGTCATCCAGCTCTTCGACGATGAAGGCATGCTCTTCGTTGTCTATCTTGACGATGATGGACTTGATAGACGGATCGCACTGCACGAGAACACCTGGATAGATTCTTAACATTAGACAAGTATATCCCAGAGGAAACTGGTAGAGAAACGCGAACCTCTGATAGCTCGAGGCATCTTGAGCCTGCTTAACTTTCGCTGCCTGTTTGATCAAGAGGTTTGATGTCTCGTGACTTCTGGAGAGGAGTTCCGGAAGCCTGTAAACTCCGGAGCCGGAATGTTTCACGTTGGTTGGCGGACTGCCGTCTCAGCATCGAATACCTAAGATGACGAATCAAATCCCGAGATCTGTGCCAAGCGTGCCAAGGGGTCCGGTACTTCCGGGCTTTCGTGCATGAGCATCAGATGCTGGGAGTCATGGATGAAGTGGAGGGGTTGGTTGCTTATGAATGCAGCTGGAGCTGCGAACATTCGATCGATGTGTTCATTCACCTTGCATCGTTATTACCCCTATCATCTTTTCCCCCGCCAAAATCCATCATTGTTCGAGTCAAACCGAGTCAAATGTGAGAGGTGAGGTTCATCATTGATTGCCAGGAAGTGGTGATGACGACGAGACACACGACCAAAGTACACATGCTCATCTCAGCCTAATCGCTTTGCATTTCCACTTCTTCTACTCCTACAACAAATCTTGTCTTGTTGCATATCAAATATGCGTTCCAGACAACGATCGAGACCGTCCTGTGCATGTGCCAGGACATTTCAGTTCTCCTCGTCCCTGCTCTTCCTCTCTATGATCCTCCCCTCTTCTTCCTTCGCCCAGATCACCGCCACTTCAACAAGCAGTATGTACATTCCCGAAATCCTGTTTACTCTTCCATCAAGTCACGCTAACCTCGGTTTCTTCAGGCTCTGCGTCCTCAACAGCAAACCCAGCATCAACCTCCTCGCCCTCCACATCTCCAAATCCTCGACCAAGCCCCACAATAATTGATCCTCCCCCCTCATACCCCACAAACACCACCTCAGAATCCGACATAAACAACAATGTCTTCCACTTCTACTTCCTCATAATCGCCATCGCAGCCATCATCTTCTTCCTCGGCATTCTCTACATCAGCCGCAGAAAGAAACGGAAAGCAGAAATTATGCGTTCAAACAGTCAGCGAGCACTAGCACGAGACGTCGAAGGTTTCCGCAGATTTGGTCGAACTATGGGAAGGAGTGGACTCGGTTGGCCTACCAGCACAACGCAGAGGATTAGAACCGATGTTGAAGAGGGCTTGGATGAACTGGGCGAGGCTCCTCCGCCTTATGTGCCGGGAACGAAACCTCCGAGCTTGAGGAGTGTAGAGAGGGAGAGGAGGGAGAGTTCGAGTTCTGAGCATATTGTGGGAGAAGCTGTGGAGTTAAGGCCTCTGAGTAAGGATGTTGAGCACCCGCCGGGATATCATGAGCATCTTGCCTCTGAGGCTGGTGCTGGGGTTACGAGACCAGATACGGCTGTTACGGCTTCAGAGAGGTTTTCGTCTACGAGGTGACTTATTCACCATACGGGAAGCTCTTCGGAGCAGGATGGGGCTGTGGTTAGGTAATGGAGTACATGGTCGGGGTTGGATATTGGCGTTGTGGTCCAAAATTGGGTCGGTACATATGAGTGGTCAAGGAAGTGCATAATAACGGACAACTCTCAATCCAAGCTGTCAAAGCATTGCTTTGGAAAAAGGAGACTTTTGATTTCGTATTCTCATGGCTTGCTCTCAGATCTTAGTTGAATCTTCTTGTCATCGCAGCTGGCTTATTCCCGAGTATTCCATCAATCTCTTTCAAAATGTCCGGGGTCAACTTCTCCTGAGCAGACAGGGCTTGCACGCTGTCATAAACCTGTTGTGGACGACTAGCCCCCGTAATCGCAGAACTGACTCTCTTGTTCTTCAACACCCAAGCCATCGCCAATGTAGCCAGAGAAATATCCAACTTCTGAGCAACCGGTTTCAATTTGGCCACAACATCGAGGTCCTTCTTCCAAGCTTCGTCACCAAATCGCTCATTCATGCTCTTCACCCAAGGATCATCACTACTCCCCAGTCTCGAATCTTTCGGTATCCCGTCATTATATTTCCCGGTAAGGATTCCCGTTTTCAGGGGACTGAAAATGGTTAAGCCCAGTCCAGTTTCTTCGTACAAGTGCTGGAATTCCTTTTCGACTTTCGTGCGAGCAAGCATGTTGTATTGTGGCTGTTCCATAATCGGTCCAATTAATCCCAATTTGTCGGCAACTCTCCACGCAGAGGCGATCTCGTCCGCATCCCATTCAGAAGTTCCCCAGTAGAAGGCTTTCCCTTGGTCGATGATATGGTTGAAGGCTCGAACTGTCTCTTCGATGGGTGTATCGCGGTCAGGTCGATGAGCGTAAATCAAGTCAACGTATTCTAGGTCCAACCGTTTAAGGGAGGCATTGACGCCCTCGATAACGTGCTTTCGAGAAAGCCCGACATTATTAATTGGATTTTCGCCAAAAGCAGCCCCCCAGTATATCTGGCAACTGTCAGTTCTTGTCCGGGAGGATTGGATGAAAAAGGGGGCGTACCTTGGTGGATATAACAAGATCATTGCGCTTCCAACCAAACTTCTTGATTGCTTGACCCATAATTTTCTCGGACTCTCCATCGCTGTATCCTTCTGCACAGTCGAAGAAATTTATGCCGATATCGTAGGCCGCTTTCATGCAAGCAAAGGTGTTTTCTGGATTGGGTCAGTATTGTAGTTGGTGGACAGAAGTATCACTTGCCATTCTCGACATGCCCACCATATGTCAACCATCCGCCCAGGGAAATAGCAGAAACCTTGAGGCCAGAGTAGCCCAGGCGTCTGTATTCCATTTTCGGGAGACCTGATGGTACTGACATCCTGTGAAGTTGTCGAATATTGAAATCAGTCAGGATAAGTTGTCAATTGGGAATGAAAAAAAGACAAGCCCCCAATGTTTAAATCAATATAATTTCGAAGCGGGAGAAAGAGGGAGGCCCTAGAGCTTTTATACGCCCAAATTCCTTGCCCCCTTAGCGGGGTAAATTCTTTCCAAAAATGGGGGCATATTCTGAAAGTGGCACCGTTGGGCCACAATATGTCACTGTTCGTACGGTTCAGACGGCTGAAATCTCCGTGTTGAAGCAATTGATAAGCAGTTCTGACGTCTGTGTGACAAGCCACAGAAATTTCCGCCAACATCATCCCATTTTTGAGCTGCCTCCTTTCGAGAAGGATGAGGTCTCGGAGAGAGATGCCCCGCAGCGGGGCGGGCAGCCAGTCGGCGCTTTGTTCAGGGGCTGGCCCCTGCTGAAGATCCAAATCGTTGGCGAGCGTCTCGACGACATGTCGAGGATTCAGATCTTCTGCTGCAGGGGGTGGCCGTACTCAACTCCCGTGGCGAGGAATCTAAATCTGGTGTCCTTGGAATTAGATTTCCACCGCCAAGTCATTGACCGTATTCATCTATCCGTGTTCAGCAGCACAGAAAAGTTCTCGATGAATGCCAACAACGGAGTCCAGATCGATGGGCCCATGGGCCTCGAAAATCAGACCCTTAGTCCTTTATCGCAGAGAGGAATAATTGTGTCATGTTGCAATGGAGTAGTGGTAGTCCATAGGTTCAATGCTCAGACGGGAGGCTCATTGAGGGGGACGTCGAAAAGGACTATGTTGACTTGCCCTTTTCCTCGATACAAAGGATCAGTCATAATTCGATACACTTAGTCTGTCGTCCCTCAAAATTCGACTCTCGAACTGCAGCTACTGAGAGAACTTTTGGAATCGGCATATTTCATTGCAAGTTCTTCAGGCCTCCTCCCTAATGCCAGGAAGTCGAGCTTAAGCCAGCTCAATCTCGAGGGGCATTTGCTTACATGTTTAAGCCACTCTTGCAACACTTGCTGCATGTCTTTTCAACTCATTACATTCAAGGCTTGGTCCTTTTAGAACTTAATTGGACGTTGCTCGGTGTGGATGTGAAAGCAGGTTCATGGAACCAGTTGGTCTGGGCCTCATTCAAATTCAACATTCCCTTTAATGTATCAAACAATTCAAAGGCACGGACGCCTGAATTAGCTGAGCTGATACTACCAACTGGTGGAAATAGGGCCAATTCTTACCTATACATACTTCTGAAAGACCTCAACCACTTTATTGTTATACCCGCAAGCAAAGCTTTCCACCCTCGGTCTGCGTCACAACAACCAAAACGTCGAACTCGAGTGAGCGCTCACGTTATATGCCATTCCATCTAAAGCCAAGGATATTCACCTTTGATATTTGAAGGCACCAAAGGTACCGGAAGGTGACTTAGCTGTGCTGTGCAAGCTTTGGTGGCCCTTACTTCGCTTGGAGGTTAAGATAAAAGGCCGATTTTCACCTTCTGTTCACCTTCTTCCCACAGCAACTTCTTTTCCTTTCACACTCGACACCTGTCTTTCCATCTACTACACTACAACCTTTAGCCATCATCTCGTCAGTCCTTCGCGAGGTCAACCACTGGAGAAGAGCACTTCAATTTCTTGTAAGCGTCCCCGTCTCCTCGTTCGAGCTCCAGCCCCTCTTCAGATTGGCACATCTTGCACCCAACACGCCGTCGTCTGCTTCTATCTTAACACTCATCGAGGTAACCCTCTACATATTCGCATCACCATTGCACGTATACTCTTCCCTCTTCACGGACACAACTTCGTGTTCATTCGCAAACTCATCACACGTCGGTCTTGAACCTCAATTCTAGATCGTCGCGTTGAAGTTTTTGGACGATCGGAGCCTCGGTGAGGACCTTCTCAACAGCTCCGTCATACTTTCCCTCACTTCCATTCACTATTTCTTGCCTGTACCGAAGACAAAGACTTTCTCAAAGGGCAGTATTCGGCAAGACAGTGTCCATCACAGCTCCCCGTATTTTTTACATCCAATTCACCCTCCTGATTCATCATCATTCATCTTTCCACTCATTTCCTCCGAAACTCCTACATCGTTTTCAAGGTTGTTCCTTCTTCCTTCGTCGATCTGCAACTGCTTTCACCTGCAATAAATTCATAATCGACCTTGATTGTACTGGTACTCCTGCTAACATTGATCCTCTGCAGATCGAGGACTTGATTTTACCCTTGCATTCGTCCAAACGACCAACATGTCCTGGGACACTGGAGCCGGCGGTAGCTGGAACGAGGGTGGAGACGCAGCAGCACCTGCTAGTGGCACATGGAACGGTGGTGAGCCAGCTGCGAATGGCTATGGCGGAGGAGACTATGGTAATGGCGGAGGAGACTATGGTAATGGCGGCGGCGGTTTTGGTGACGGTGAAGGCGGTGGCCGCCAAGGCGGTGGATGCTTCAACTGTGGTGAAGAAGGGTAAGTTCATGTCGAGTTCATTATCTTTGATTTCTTTGCTGACTTTGTATCAGCCATTCCAAGAAGGACTGTCCCAACCCAGCAAAGCCGAGGCCTTGCTTTAACTGCGGTGAGGACGGGTAAGTCTATCTTTTTCCCTCGGTTGTTATCACATGAATACCTTCATTCAAGAGCAAACTTACACGCGACCCTCTTGATCAAGTTTCTTCAATTCCCTGTTCTACACATCCACATAGCGTCGAACCTCCAACTAACTATTTCAAGTCACACCAAGGCCGAATGCCCCAACGAGGCCGTTGCACGCGAGTTCACTGGCACCTGCCGTCTCTGTGAGCAGCAAGGTCATCGTGCCTCCGACTGCCCCAATAAGCCCCCTGAGATCTGCAAGAACTGCCAGGAGGAGGGTCACGGTCCTTTCGAGTGCAAGAACCCTCGAAAGATCGACCGCAGCAAGCTTCCTGATGTCGAGCCAGCTGCTTGCTGGGTCTTGATCAAGGAAGCCGTAGCAGAGCGTGATATGGAAGATGTCAAGGATGCAATCCAAATCTTCTTGAAGTCAGTCCCTGAGACGACTTATGCTGAGCTCGAGAAGGCTTTCCGCACCCAGAGCATCAGTATCTACTTGATCTGCGTCGAGAAGGAGCTCCAGCCGACTTTCACCAACAGTAAGTGCATTCCGTCCCTCCAATCTCAGAACTACTTCTCGTGCTCGATATCATATCTTGTTATCTTCAGCGAATTGGCGATCAAATTAAGCTAAATAGTTTCTAGTGGACCTTCAAGGTAATCTTGACAAGAAGTACTCGGTTTCTTGGCGTTGGTCCGATAAGGCTGCCCGTCCAAAGGAGAAGGATGGATGGCCAACTACGGAGGAGAACCTTGAGCGATTGCAGGATGCTGGTGAGCCTGTTGATCGTGGCATCGTCAAGTGTTCCAACTGCGAGCAACTTGGCCACATGAAGGCTAAATGCCCCGAGGAGCCGAATGAGGTTGATCGTCCAGTTGTCAAGTGCTACAATTGTGATGAGATCGGCCATCGTGTTCGTGATTGTAAGTTCAATTCTCTAATCTATTCGTTTCGAAAAGTTGCTGATCAAGAATGCGAAAGGCCCAAACCCGCGTCCTGACAAGTTTGCATGCCGCAATTGCAAGCAGTCTGGCCATTCGTCCAAGGAGTGTAAGTAATACCAGAGTCGACTTTTGCTCTGTAAACATACTGATGCTGTCCTAGGTCCAGAACCTCGTTCGGCCGAGGGCGTTGAGTGCAAGAAGTGCGGCGAAGGTATGTTTCACAGCCAAATCTGCTTCATCCATAGAATTTAATGGCAATAGTTGGTCACTTTTCTCGTGACTGCCCTCAAGGAGGCGGCGGCGGCGCTTGCCACAATTGTGGTGAGGAAGGTCATCGCAAGCAGGACTGCACGAATCCACGGAAGATTGTTTGTCGCAACTGTGACGTCGAAGGTCACGAAAGCCGAGACTGCCCCGAGCCAAAGGACTGGTCTCGTGTTAAGTGCTCCAATTGTCAAGAAATGGGCCACACTAAGGTCCGCTGCAAGAAGCCGATTGCTGCCGAGGATGGCGACGCTGGCGGTTACGGTGGTGGTGCTGGTTTCTCTGGCAATGCTGGAGGTGACGCTGCTGATTACTCCGGCGGTGGCGGCGACTTCGGCGGAGCTGCTTCTGGTGGCGATAGCTGGGGTGGAGGTGGCCAAGTTGTTGCTGCTAGTGGAGGCTGGTAGATTTCGTTCCCTCTTGGACACCACTTTTCTGTCGATTGCCATCATCAGGGCGACAGATATTACGAGTGGATTCGTTCGGGATTGCTTCTTCGAAGGCCCTTTTCTCTGTCAATTGTCATACTCAATGGCGGTGGACCATATGAGCGGAGGGGTTTCTCTTTTTTCATTTCACACGAATGGTTGTGAGTTGCTTGCATGCATGAGAGGTGAGGAGAACACGACAGAAATGACAAAATAGCTAGCACTTTTGTGTATCTAGCGACCAAAAACACTACATACCCACAAATCATTGCGTACTTGACGTGATACATGTTGAATTGTCAGAAGCTTCCGTTGAATAGTTAATACTTGAGCTTCAGGCACCTTTATGAGAGCGAGTGGGAGGAGTGATTCAACGATGGGTTGAGGTTTGAGGTTGATTGTCCTCAAAAACTTCTTCGCTTCTAGCAACTAAGAACAAAGCAAGGGGCAGGGGTAGTTCTTTGGAAAAGAACCTTAATCCGGTAGTCTTGCCGTTTGCGGAACTTGGAAATCACTCCACATGAAGCTGGACTTTGGGAAATGAAGTAAGATCGAAAACAGTCCTTTTATTTTGTACCTTGAGAGTATCTATTAACCGTCTTCACCACACTCCAATTCTCACTTCCGGCCGGCTCGCATCTATCTGTGCTCATTGGGTATCAACTCTCCCCTTTTCTCTCCAATTACTTCACACATTATTCTCCCCCTTCTCAAGCACCGAACTGTCCCCGCTCTCCATCTCTCGTCCCCCATTCCGGTTAACATCCTCCACACCTCTAACCATCGGCTTATGCGTAGCTCCAGCAATGCTGTTTGACCTGACAGCATGTTCCTCTGTCGCCTCATAGTCAATAAGCAACTCCCCATGCTTTCCATAGCGCAATGGCTCGTTTTCCGCTGTCTTGACCACACCCAACCAGCCGCGCCAGCCTCGTTGCGTCTTGCGGAAGATGATGTCGATCTCTTCGAGGGAGCGATAGGCGGTCTCCGGATAGAAGAAATAGACGACGGGAAATATGAAAGCATTGCTACGGTGGGTTAGCACTTCATTTGTGGAAAGGGGAGGAGAGGGAGAGAACCATACATTACGGCGAAGATAACGTAGGTCTTGTATCCGATGGATGAGAAGGATACGGGGGTTATCATCACAACCTGGGAAAGACATTAGTCTTGACGTCTGCGGAGGAGGGAACAGAGGCGTACCATGAAATTGAAGATCCAGTTTGCACTGGTAGACAGACCGTTGGCTGGTGCTCGAACCTTCAGTGGCACAATTTCTGCGGGGTAGAGCCCTGTGAAGGTGTTTAGCAAAAGTTGATGAACGAGAAATGTTGGGAGCACTGTAAACTTACATGTCATTCCCAACCACCCGACCGCGAAAAATGTGTTGAAGACAAACAAGAATACGGCAGAGATGACGCCAGGAGCTGACCCTCCCATGTTTGATTGAGACATGTAATTCATGCCAGCAAGAATTGCCATCGAGCCTGACATTCCGGCAGCACCGAAGAGCATGAGAGAGCGTCTTCCAAACTTCTCGATAGTATAGACGGCAACCCAGGAGGCGATGAAATACTCTGTTCCGTTTGCAGCAGCAAGAAGGCGGGCGGTAACATCTCCAAGTCCAATGTACTGTTGGTATATGGTAGCTGCGTAATAGGTGATCAAATTTATACCACTAAAACAACTCAGTAACATGTTTCTTCGGGGGGGTAAGGACCCAGGTGTGGGTGGGAGGATGAGACATCCTCCCTACCAGTGAAAATAGGGAGCTCGGGCTATTGACAAAGGAATGGGTTATTTACGATATTTGTTGGAAGACTTGATTGACATAGCCTAGGACAACACGGTGGAAGTTCCTCTCGGGTCCCATGGAGAACAGGTCAGCCCAACCATGCTCCTTCATCTCCAGGACTGTGTCCTTGATCTCGACAAACTCGGTACGGACAAGGCGGTCGTCCGTTGGCAAATCGGCCAGAGCTGCAATGACGTTCAGAGCTTCATCTTCGTTTCCCTTGAGGATAAGCCACTGGAGAAGATTAGAGTCTATTCAATGTCCCATGATATCGGAAGATACGACTTACTCTTGGTGATTCGGGAAGTTCAAGGATGAATGCTAACAGGATGAGAGCGAAGAAAATCTGAAAAGCAATGGGGAAACGCCAGGACACCGTGCTGGGTTCGAGGAAGGAGAATCCGAAATCGACCCAGTAAGATAAGCAGATGCCTCCTGTAATCATAGCTCCCTCGATCATGACCATCTTTCCACGTTTGTGTGACTTGGAAGTTTCTGATGCCCACGTGGGAACAGTAGAAGTGTTCATGCCTACATTATGTCGAGTCAGTATTAGTGATCAGAAAATAGGACCATAACGTCTTGGACATTTCGGATAGGGTTCAGGGGTCCAGGACACAACATTAAACCGAAACTTCGACATTCAAGTAAGGGAAAGAAGCTAGAGAATATACGTACCATTACCAAAACCAGTGATGATTCTCCCTACGATCAAGTGGGCCAAGCTAAAAGCAGAGCATTGTAGAATGGCGCCAACAATCATGATAGAAGAGCCCAGGAAGATCATCTTCCTTCTACCGAGAAGATCACCAATGAAGATGGTGATGACAGCCCCAACGAAGCAGCCAACATTGTAACTCGCAACTGAGATACCCTGGATGGTGGCAATGTGGTTGTTTCCTGGATTGTCGACCGTATTGATCTCGGGAAATTGTCGGACCCAGCTTCCAAGAGTCAGAAGCCCACCCATAACACCTTGGTCGTAACCAAAGAGACTGTGTGTTGGTCAGTGCCGGTCCCAAGCAAGCTGGAAATTGAAATAAGGTAGAGTATAGAGAGTGCTAAAAGGTATTAAAATGAACAGATCCCTAGTAAATACTTGAGCTGATCTAGGCCCGACATAATCGCAGAACTATCACGGATACTCCTCCGTGTGGAAAGAAATAAGATGCCTCTAGGAGACGGCAAGAGCAATGGGGAACTCAATCGAGCCGGATTTTAGATGAGACAGGAAGGGACCTCACAAGAAATCGATTCCAGCAATGATCCCCACTGCAAGGTTAAGGGATTGGCCTCGGAGGCCAAAGTACCGACCACTGCCGAACATGATGAAGCTAAGCTAAATGTTCTGGAGGTTAAGGAAAGTGTCGCGAGACTGACGTATAAAACCTCTGTTGTCAAAAAGGATGAAAAACAAACAAGAACGAATTTGTTGAAAGGAAATTGGGGTGTTGATCATGGACTTATGTAGAAGACTCAGATGCCACGAGGACCGCTATTATGTTTTAGTACAGTCCGAGGATGATCACTCAAAAAGGCGTCCCGGAACGGTGCGGTCGTGCCTGCTGTCACACTTTCAAAAAGAGTTCTGCGGTGTGAGATACTAGCTCCTTCCCTGGGACTGACTCGTCTCTCATTGCCAGGATCCCAAAGGCCCTGAGAAATGTCTCTGTGGAGAAAGAATTTTGACATCTCACCCCGTTGATTTGGCGAACTGGTTTCGTCTGGGGTTTCTCCTCCTCCACACGCTAATATTCGCCGCTGATCATCGCGGGTGCTTGCCGAATCGAGCAAACGCCTAGAAACCGAAATATTTCCAAAATATTAAGGCTTCGGATTCCCAGATTGGGAATACCGTTCAAGCGATCCTATGCAAGCACGACGGGCAGCTTTTGATCTCGTCGAATGGGAGCTGTCTTGCTGGCGGGGGAGATGTTCCGTCGTGCGCCGTTTGACGCCTTTGGGGTTGATGTCATACTCCGGGTGTTTCTCATCCTCAATTTTCACCAAGTCCTCCACATCACTTTACGTGAGAAGCCGCCAGACAATGAAATACCTTTTGGTGGACCCTCTGGGTTACCCAAAGAAGTAACCCGAATGTCGTGAAGTTGAAATCACATGAGTGAGGCCCTCAGATCCCCCCCTGAATTAACGGTCACCGAAAGTCTCACTGTCGCGTGGGCTTCGGGCCAAATTAGAGGATATATCAAATTACTCAGAGGTATGGCTATTGACTTCGACAAGCCTCAAGAGTACATTTTCTTACCCACCATGTCATGATGTGGATAACATTGTCTCAGAGGAACCGGCGTTAGCTCGACGTATGGACTGCAGGGCTGCACGCCAGCCGAGTTGGTGGAAACGGGTATCTTCATTAGAGCTTCTCAAATCTAGGTTTCGTCTTCCTTAGCCCAGACAGCATAGCTCTCTCAACGTCGCTGGTCTGTATTGCCGCCGAGTTCCAGACACCAGTGTATCTCAAACTGTCCGCAACGGTGTGATCCCTTGCGTGGTTCAACAACTCTTTCGTCCCTTGCACTGCAATCGGACTCTTGGTCGCCAGCAACTCTGCCATCTCCAGCGCTGCCTGTAATGCCTTCTCTTTTGTCTCTAACACCCGACTGACATATCCTACTTGATATGCTTCTTGTGCTCCGAAGACTCGAGCTGAGAGAGAGACCTCCTTGACCCAGGAGAAATTTCCCACGGCCTTGGGCAGGCGGGTAAGTGTTCCAATATCTGCAGCTAGCCCAATGTCGACTTCTTTGACAGCAAATTTGGTGTCTGCACTGCAGATACGAATATCGGCGCAGGTTGATATATCCATACCCAGACCAAGGGTAAAGCCATGCATTACGCATATCACAGCTAGAAGATAGAAATTAACCAATGATGATTTCTCGACGCCGCAATGGAGATAAAAGACCGAAAGGGGGAAACGTACGTTTCTCGCACTTCTCCACGCTACTTATACAATTTTGAAACTCCTCCACATGCCTCTTGATCCCCACCGCTTTTCTGGCCACATCCTCTGTTTTGCCTTCCTGCTGTTGTAATATCCCTGCTTGACTTGCAGCTTGCACGTCTAGACCTGCTGTGAAAGCTCTATCCCCTGCCCCGGATAAAATTATAGCTCGAATTTCGGGATCGTGTGATAGGGTGTCAAAGACGGTCTTAAATTCTAACCACATTGCTTCAAAGAATGAATTGAGTTTTGAAGGGCGGTTGATCTGTACGTGGGCGACGTAAGGTAGCGGTCTATCGACAAGGAAATATTGGTACGGCATCGTGGGGAGATGGAATCGGGAAGGGAAGGAGAGTTGGCGGGCTGGTTAGGGTTCCGGTTGCTTCTGGGGACGATGGTAAGGGATGGATAGATTAGAATGATTCGAATAATTGTGAGACCTCGTTGCTTGTTCCAAGTTAGATAGTAAGGATTGTACGTTTTCTCACGATCGGGGTCGTCTTGTTAGGAATACTCATCAAGGTCGGCAGTAAGCAAGCTCGGGCAGGAGGCTGAGGTTGTGCCTCGGCTGCGCTCGTGAAGGGCAATAGAGCTAAAGCGGCACTCTTTTTCAATGTCCCAAGTCAAGTTGGACATCTCAAACAATTCTTCCCAGGTGTATACTTGCATTATGGTACATTCAAAAATTCTTCACTTTGTATGTCTGGGAAGCGTTACTGTATTGAAACCCTATCCCAGATAACGTTCTAGCTTTGACTGAACTTCAGAAGATCTTGAAAACTGGTGCCGCTTTTTTCATCTTTCACGAGCTGAGATAGGGGTAACGGGGAAGTCTATTCCTTTCATGAACTCATCTTGGATGTGATGCAATGCGTAAGTTGGTTTCTACTTCGGTTGGGCTTCCATCGGTCCTTCAGGGCAAGCAGATGGTCAATGTAATTTTAGAAGCGACTTGTTTCTCCCCGTCCCCCCTGCACTATGCATCAACCACGCTCCGAGAAATAAGCAATTCATCCTTCCTTCTGCATAAATTCTCATTTGTGCTCTTGAATCGAGCCTCAGTGGAGACTAATTTTAGGCCCTTTATATTTACTTCTTCCATCTCCTCAACCCATGAACACGTTGCATTGCTGTTCAAGTGCTGGCATATTGCAAGGATTGAACAGCCAATGCAGTCAATTCTGTCAGAGCCTCGATTATTGGCATGCTGAGTGAAAGTGCTCCATACCAGCTCGAAAGTCAGAAGTCATGGCATGTGCACTTTTACATTGTACTTGCACGGAAAGCACATCCATAAGGCTGAATTTTGCGGGAGGACTGAGATCGACCCCTCGCCAAGCGCCTATTTTCTCTCGTGGCTTCTTGGCTTGCAGCGGGCGCGACAGGGCGTTTATTGCAGAGCACCAGCACTGCAGGAATCACTTCACCCTGGTCCGTTCGTTCGTTCTTTCAGAACGCAACGCAGGAGCTAATGCTTTGTCACGCAGGGTGACCTTGCAGAACGGGGAATGAACGCTGTTCAGAATGCTGTTCAAGACGCTGTTCAAGCAGCGAGGGGCTCTAAAGAGGAGCTCCAAACCCACACCGGCTCCTCAAATGGTGGTGCTGGTGCTGGTGCTGGGGGCCTGTGGGGTGATCGCTGCAGCCTCTCAACGGCCGGAATGTGCCGAAACGCCGCAGCCAATCACCGCTGCTGAGATGCCGGTGATTCCTGCGATCGTCGTTTTGTCGTTCTGCTGTGCCCCCCGAAGCGCATCTGTGCGCTCTGCCGTGGCCAATCCTCACTGAAAGCAGGAGTGCTCGCCGACTTGTCCTCCGTACCTCTGACTTTGAGCGAGCGATTATGGTCTCGCGGCATGAGAATGGTTATTGGACGCGTTGACTGATTGCCCGAGAATGAGCATATCCCATGTCTTATGTCCTATGTCCTATGTCTCACTGACCCTCCGCCAACATCTGCCTGCCAGCTTTATCCTGCGATGACCGAATCGATGCAAATTTTCTCAGAGCAATACCAATAAATGCAAGTTCGAACTCTCTTTCGTACAATTAGACCTTACGCCTTTGCGCTCCCTTGTGTTGATGGTCGCGTTTCTGGTTGCAATCGCTGATGTATGTCTTGCAGTGTGCGCGAGATGATTGAAATCGACGAACATAGCCTGCCGTTTGTGCGAACCGGCCAAGCGCTGCTCATGCTTGATCTGCAAAATGATTTTATTGAGAGTAGTGCTGTGCTGCCCGTACGAAATCCCCCAGGCTTCATCGACAACATAGTCAAACTACTCCCCGAGTTCCGAGCTTGCGGGCCCGTAATATCAATCCGCAGCATCTTCGAAGCCTCTCGGCCGTTCAACGAGCCTCAAGGCGAGAGCGAGAGCGTTATTACCAACGACGAGCTGCCCCCCATCACAAGAGATGTCGGCTCTAAGTCGCGGGCGAGACTCTTGAAAAAGCTCACGGAACAAAATGGCAAGAAGTCCCAATCGAGAACCACGGATTTCAGCACAGCGGCACTAGCGGTGGACAATGGTCCTGAAATGGAAGAAGATGACGAGGATGACGATTCAGAGGAGGAAGATAACTCAGTACCGGAGACCTTCTTGACGGTGGGGCCAGGATTACAACAGAATGTCGTCTTGCCTGCCTCGCCTGGGACGAACTTCGCTGAATCCATAGTGATGGCAGCCGATGTCAAGAAGGACTTATTTGGTCAGAAAACATACTACTCGGCGTTTAAAGATGGAAGTCTTGTCCAGACTTTACGGGCGAAATTCGTGACGGAAATCTACATCTGCGGAGCTCTGACCAACATCAGCATCTTCGCGACTGCGATGGACGCTGCGCGGCATGGCTATGCGATCACAATTGTTGAAGACTGTGTTGGTTACAGAAGCAAAGCGCGGCACAACGAAGCTTTACGGCGACTGCAAGAGTTCGCTGGCTGCGAATTGATGACCAGTAAGGAACTCATCGAAGGCCTACGAGAAAAGGCGAGAATGAGACAGGCACCTGCTCGGCACCCAAGGCCGCAACGACCACAAGGAAAGAATGCTGGACTTGAAAATTTGATGGCTAGCCTGAGTCTTAAATCCGCAGAGACGAATTCTACTGGGTCGTCAGCAAAAGTGGCTGATAGGGGCGATGCCGGTGCTGCATTACCAGTTGATGATACAACCGAGCCACCTGATGTTGAATTTCCAAAAAAAGCAACGGACGTCGACGGCAAGAAGAGAGAAAGAGTTAAGTCGAAAGTAAAGTCGCGACGACGGCCTTCAAAATCATTGCCGAAAGAAATTGGTGTTCCTGGAGAGTCATCTCATTCATCGCAGGAGAAATCTCCCCCAAGTCCAACATCTGCTACCCTCAGCGCTGCATCGCAGGCGCTCGAGAAATTGCCAACGTCTTTTTCAACAGAGACCCAGCCATCGACTTCTCTTAGCGTTGAAGGCTCAAAGCATAAAGAAGATAGCCCCAAATCATCTCATCTCGTTGTGGATCCTGAGCTCAAGTCGACTGAAAATGGAGCGACTGCCAAAGATGCCAAAGATTCCAAATCTGTTAAACCGCTGTCAGCGTTGAAAGCAGAGATGGAGCCGGCTTCGAATGCAGACGGCCTTTTCTCTCTGTGTGAAGGTGACACCTCAATCATCCATAACCTTCTGGACGATGAATCAGAGAAGGGTATTTTCGAAAAGCTTCGAGACGAAGTACGATGGCAGAAGATGTCTCATCAGGGTGGAGATGTCCCAAGATTAGTAGTTGTTCAGGGTGAGGTTGAGGAAGATGGAAGTATACCCATCTATCGGCATCCAGCAGACGAATCACCTCCCCTACTACCATTTTCACCCACGGTGTCACTCATTCGGGCACAAGTCGAGAAAAAACTTGGGCATCCAGTTAATCATGTACTGATCCAGTACTACCGTGATGGGACCGATTACATCTCGGAACATAGCGACAAGACGTTGGACATTGTTCCAAAGACTTTCATCGCAAATGTCAGCCTGGGTGCCCAGAGAACCATGGTGTTCAGGACGAAGAAGCCTCACAAGACAGACGACACCGTTAACATTGCTCCTGCTAAACCCCGCGAAGCTGTCAAAGCCCCTCTTCCACACAATTCGTTGTGCAGGATGGGCTTGGTGACGAATATGCGCTGGCTGCACAGTATTCGCCAGGATAAACGCCCAACACAGGAGAAAAAGCCTGAAGAGCTGGTCTACGGAGGTGGCCGAATCTCATTGACGTTCAGATTGATAGGAACGTTCCTCGATAAGGACCACCAGAAAATCTGGGGTCAAGGTGCTGTGGCCAAAACCAAGGAAGAAGCAAGGAGAGTCATCAATGGGAAAACTGAAGAAGCGGAGAGGATGATTTACGCATTTGGCACAGAGAATCAATCTTCTGAATTCGGCTGGAAAGCGACCTACGGTGAAGGTTTTGATGTTCTTCACATGTCGAGCAGTCCGAAATTGTTCCTATCTGGCGATTTCGTTGCGGATCTGAGAGTCAAGCTGATGTTGGCGGAATATGGCATTGCGTGGACCGAGGGCAAAGTTTCGCCTTCCTTCAACGGGAAGGGTAGGAGTCCTTCTAAAGATGTTCCAGAACTTCCCGAGGCCTTCCCTGTCAAGTTCGTTGACAGTGATTTGAGCAAGTCTACTATCGTTGGAGATCTAGCCATCTTACTCTACCTCGATGCAGTATACGGACCCATGGCGAACAAAAAAATTAAGTCGCCGCAGGAGCTTGCAAAGCAGTATACTCGCATGTACCAGAGCGGTGATCTCCTGAAGTTGTGGAAAACAGAGCCTTTCAGCGCGAAGCCATTTCAACGCGAATTGGAGATGTGGGAAACCTTTGCAAAGGAAGAGTCAAAATTCATCGCTGGACCTTCGATATCTCTGGCCGATTACGCCATATTACCTGTCTTGCTCAAAGTTCAGAATGAATGGGACAAATTTACAGGATTCGATAATTTGGCTGATTATTGTTGCATGTTGAGGCACATAGACTTTGTCGCTAAGGTTCTTGGTCCAATGGAAGCAGAGAGTACTTGATTTAAACCTAAGGGATTGGGCGAATTGGAGACCAAATGGGATCAAGTGTTTGAGACGAAAGGAATTGAAGGGCAACAGGACGAACAATGAGGCATGATACTGTCTTAGATGATAGGGTGTTTCATGGGTGAAAACGGACATCCAGATTTTCTTGCCTCTTTTGGGACATGGCGATGGCGATAGGAACAAGGAAAGGATTTACGGTACTAAATGAAATAAAAGTCACAATTGTCAAGTACCTGGGCTTATACATTGTACTTGTTCATAGTAATTGATCCTGACGGCCATCATATTTAACTGGCAAAGCTCTTGGCAGGGCCAAGATCTCGTCATCATTCCAGAGGATCTTTTCATACATTGTGCCAGCTCGCCCTAGCAACATCATTTCAGGATATCAATCTCCCTACCCCCATCTAAACTCTTCCATCTCACAAAACCCCCTCCACCCCTTCCCATCCACAACCTCCTGCCTCCTCTCCCTCTCCCCCCAAGCCTCCTCAACACTAATCCCCTCCCCAAACGCACCCACCGTTACCCTCTCAACACCAAGCCACCCCCTCCATCCAACCATAACATCCCCTCCCACTCCACCAAGCACAAAAGTACCCATCCATTCCCGTCCTTTACTACCATGTTTCCCCCAGAGCATATAGTTCTCTAACCCTTGTAACGTTACCTTCAACCTCTCCTTCGAGCACCTGAACACATGAACATGCCCCAAATCCCCCATCGACAACCCCATCCCCATCAAATGACTTGGCGAGAACCGTCCATCGAGATCAAGCACTGCCACAGTCCCCTCTAAATCTCTCACCAGATGACTTATCATGGAATAGATCAAAGGGAAGCCGCGCCCGGTGATGGATAGGTTGCCGCCATGTTGCTTCCAGAGGTCATCGAGGACTGGGATGCCGGTTCGCGAGGGACGGACGTGGTTTGAGTGTGTACGGAGGTCTTTGAGGAGCTGTTGAAAAGAGGGTTAGTTTCGGGGTCTTATCGATAAGGAATGTTTAAGACGCACGTCTTCCAAGCTCCCTTCTTCTGCCGCTACTTCCCTTAGCAGTCTTGCTCCGAGGACTTCCGTAGAGTTGATCTGTAGTGCCATCCTGCCAGCCTTCGTTCCTTTGGTATTGAGCTTGCTCTACCTGGGGTGAGCATAAGCGTCAGAGAGGAGGAGCGATCAACATGGCACCATTCGTCGAGACGTGGCCGGCGCGCGAGCTAGAATTCCGCTCACAGGTCTCGCTGAAAGGGAATAAGAGGAAGGGATTCGATGGCGATTTGAAGGGGTGCGAGTTGTTGGAGATGCTGCAGTATAAGTGTGAGGTTGAGAAGCCGGTAACGAGGGAGAGTGTGACCCGGTGCTGGCCTATTGAGAGGATGTTTAGACGGTGAGTTGCTTGCTAATTGGGGTTTGGAGATGAGTGATGGCTGATTTGGGTGTGTTTAGGTGTGTGGATCAGAATGGGGGTTTTATGGTTGAGACAACGGCTTGGGAAGGGAAGAAGGGTGGTTGAGGGTGGAGGACGGAGTTTTGGAGGATGTTGATGCTTTACGTTCATGAACTTGTGGATCAAATGGGCCTCCTAGAAACGCAATCAGGGCCAAAACCATTTGGTACATACACGCGTCACGAGAACGTTGGAACAACTCGACAGAGATGATGATTCATGTCGATCTGCCTTATGCTGCGAAGGAGGCCATTGATATAGGCTATGGGTGTTTATTCTTACAGTTCTGCTCGCACCCAGTCACCGCTGTGTGCATGAGCTGTTCCAGAAAATGCAAATGCCGTCTCTGAGCGAGACTTCCCAAACTCCACGCTCAAATGCTCAAGTACCCAAACCGAATTCCATTATGTCTGCATCATATCTCGAGTACCGGAGGAGGCTTTCTCTTCGCAGGAGCTCCCTTTCTGAAGAACGGTGAATTGGCGTTGACAATCATGCTCTGATCACGTTCCTGGCTAGCCCCTTCACCTGCCAATGACTGTTTAGTGAACACGAGGTCGTCCATCGCTTTCTCCCAAACCTCATGCCTCTCTTTGCTTTTCGGGTCCTTGCTTGCTATCTTCTTGACATCTTTCTCCTTCCCTACTTTGCTCACTCTCGTCAACCGCCGCAACGCTTCTTCACCTTGCCTAGCAGCTTTCGCAGCTTCCTCTCGGATCTTTCTCGGATTCGTCTCCCGGACGGACTGCTTATCAGTCCATTTGTACGTATGTTGACCTGGAAATGAGGGGAACTTTTTTGGTATGTACTGTTTGTCGTTCTTATCTTTCTCTCCACTGAGTTCAGACCCTAATAAAATACCAGCTGAAGATGTCGGTAACTTTTCCACTGGTAGAGCCTCGAGTTGAATGAGCAATTTGGAGCGAGGAATTGGCGGGTTCAGATGTGGCTCTATGGAGGCGATAGGTAGATCGAACTCTTCAAGGGCGTATTTGAAGTCGAGGGGCGTTGGGAGTGATCGTCTTGCATTGAGCATTGAAGAAGTCACTTTGGAAAGGAAGTGCGCCGCGTCTGCCTGAGTGAGCTTGTACAACTTTAAAGGTAAGATCAAAACTGACATGTCTCAACTTCCGCGCACATTGCCTCCAAAGACTCCGGCGTAGCTGCTGTGAATCCCACATGCTCAAGAGTGAGCGCAACTGAGCGCAACAGAAGCTGATGCGGATCGTCATCGAACATGCGTCTCTGGCTGGGGATCGGACTCGTATCCTCTTCTGGCGGTGGCGTATTAGGTAGAGTCTCCTCGAATCTTCTCCTCTTCATCCCGGGCTCGTCTATGCTGTCATCGTCGCTGTGCGAAGGAGTGGAACGCTTTAACGACATCGGAGCCATGGTGAGAAAGCCCCAGCGGCGACTGAAGTAGTCGATCGTTGAAACATTCAAAGCAGTATCAAGGACAGTCGCATGGCGATGGAAACCATACGTTTGTCGAGTTGTCAAGTTGAGGTTGATTCACTGTTGCAAGTAATTTATATCTCCAGCTCGATATTCGCAGCCTCGACAGTGCAGTAGATCGCGGTTTTTGGTGATCCGTGCACGGTCACGTGCCTTAGCTCGGTTCGATATCATGCGATTTCGACCTCCTTCACTGTTCTGTCCCCAACGACCAAGAACCACAACTGAGAGCTTCCGCACAGAGTTCACAAATCAAACGCAATGGCAATCAGACCAATTACTGGAGTAAGTATTCACAACCCCAGACGGACTTGCTCGGGCAGCTCCATTCGCGATCTTCAAGCTTCGGGAAACATGGGCTGACTTCTCTTCCAGATGCTCCGACGGGGCCTCGTCCTTGACCTCAGCGTTGCCGGCGGTAAGTGATATCAAACTCGGAATAATATATCGTGCGGGAAGGAACCTGCGGATATGGGGTTTCGTGCCAATTGGAAAGGGAGGATAGCTTGGGATGGTTCTCAAAAGACTGATCCGTTTACAACATAGGCCTCGGAATGTCATTCGGATACCTCTTCTGGTAGGCTATAAGATTCTGATTATTCTCAATGGCAAGACGGATTTCATTGACAATCTGTAGGTACGGATACCACGTACCCGCAGTCAACAAACGGGATCGATACTACAGCAAATTGGAGGACCAGAGAGCGGCAAACGCGGCAGCATAGAGAGGTCCAGAGCATTATAGATGGTCTGAGCAGTCGGAATGGGAGGTTGTGGAACTGGCGGATGTCGATTGGGTTGATGCGTGGACGAAGGAGGTGAAGTTGTACATTACCAACATGGACGGAGCTTTGGCAATGCGTACACGTTTCCGATTCTTCGAGTTGCACCTTGGACATTCAGACCTTTGTCGTGTGCTTTACGAAACCGAATGTTTCTCTACTCGAATGTCATGCAACCTCATGTTGAAAAGCTGGTATGATGTTTGTATCAAGCCGATCTGGATGAAGAGCCTAGAAGTGTCTGGCCTTCACATTTCGTTAATTGTATCAGCCGATTTACTTCCGGTAAGATCGTCTTTAATTTTGGACAGTACAGAGGAGTTCGAGGATATTGGGCAGCTTTGAGGCTGAAGGTCCATGGTAAAGGTCTTGGCTGCCTGGGTGAAAATGAATCCGAAAAGAGTCAACATGAGTGTCTTGAGGCTTAAATATATATATATCAAGCAACAGGCGCCGCTACAGGGTATGTATAGTTAAGACGTTAGAATTTTATGAAGCAGGTTTCTTGGGTAGTAACGGCTCTCGACTTCAATTTCGCGGAACTGATTGATGAATGGAAGAGAATGGACTCAATTGACATGACTCAAAGTTACTGAAGATCCAAATTATCACCGGCTCTCGAATTTATCTCTGCCTCACTATCAAACGTCTGGGATCCCTTTCCAGCGCAATCCCCTCTTTGGCGATCACGTGACATTTTTGGTCTTTCCAAGTCTGGCATTTGCCGCTGCGATTGCGTCTATTGGGACTTATTTCTTTTCAAAGCTTACTTTAAAATATTGAACACTTTGCATGCAAGAATGTTGATTTTCAAAAGTTTTTTTCCATCGGCCATGCCAGGAGGCCACATTTTGCGCTAAGGTTAGCGGGGCTTAGGGTGTCGCTTAGAGATCCCGCCCACAGAGATTATTTCTACGATATTTTGTCCAAACTCGACGTCGCAAATCGATTGAGCAACGCCCAAACGATCCTGCAAGATGACCGAACAACTCATTCTCAAGGGCACCCTTGAGGGCCACTCGGGATGGGTCACCTCCCTCGCGACCTCACTCGAAAACCCCAACATGCTACTGTCCGGTTCTCGCGATAAGTCGCTGATCATCTGGAACTTGACCCGCGATGAGAGCTCCTACGGTTACCCCAAACGATCTCTTCACGGTCACTCGCACATTGTGTCTGACTGCGTATGTTATTCTACTGGGCCAATGAGTTTCTGCTGTGAGCATAAACGCTAAGACTGATCTAGGTTATCTCCTCCGACGGTGCCTATGCTCTCTCTGCTTCTTGGGACAAGACTCTCCGCCTTTGGGAGCTTTCCACCGGTACCACCACCAGACGCTTTGTTGGCCACACCAACGATGTTCTGTCCGTTTCCTTCTCTGCCGACAACAGACAAATTGTCTCCGGGTCCCGCGATCGAACAATCAAGCTCTGGAACACTCTTGGTGACTGCAAGTTCACTATCACCGAGAAGGGCCACGCCGACTGGGTTTCTTGTGTACGATTCAGTCCAAACCCTCAAAACCCGGTCATTGTCAGCTGTGGATGGGACAAGCTTGTTAAGGTGAGCAATTCGACATTGTGCAAGTCAGAATTGGGCGAACGGGCTTCTATATGATGCTACGCAATCTACAAAGTATTTGCTACTTCAGAGCCTGGGAGACCAGGCCATGAGACAAACCAACACCAATGCACTGAAATTGAGTTTCGCTCGCCTAGAATTTTGAAGCAGTTTCGTACAAGAATTGTGCTGACAGCTTGGATAGGTCTGGGAGCTCTCTTCCTGCCGGTTGCAAACAGACCACATCGGACATACTGGCTACATCAACACCGTTACTATCTCCCCAGACGGATCTCTCTGCGCCTCAGGTGGCAAAGACGGAACCACCATGCTCTGGGATTTGAACGAGTCGAAGCACCTGTACTCCTTGAACGCTGGTGATGAGATCCACGCCCTCGTATTCTCGCCCAACCGATACTGGCTCTGTGCTGCCACCTCCAGCAGTATCATCATCTTTGATTTAGAGAAGAAGAGCAAGGTCGACGAGTTGAAGCCGGAATTCCAGGCAGTTGGAAAGAAGAGCAGAGAGCCAGAGTGCGTTAGCTTGGCGTGGAGCGCGGATGGTCAAACTTTATTCGCTGGTTACACTGACAACATCATTCGGGCTTGGGGTGTTATGTCAAGAGCGTAAGGAGTTTGATTGCATAAGGGTTATCATGGTCGGGAAGACTTTGCGGGCTTTGCGATCTCTTGTTGGTTGACAAGTTGTACTCCAGAGCATGGCATTAACCGGAGCTCAATGAAAAATTAGAAATTCATCAACAACAAGTGCCGTAATAGAGCAAATGTTGCCAATAGATTGCTACTTGGCTTGAAGTTTAGCCTTCAACACAACCTCTTGGCAAGTGCCAAGGGCTTGCTCTACGTGTCAGGTGCAAGAAAACAGGGTATTTATGACCTGTTCTCATAGCCTCAACCCAAAGTTAGAGGTCCACTTGGCAGATCAATTGCTACACAATAAGCGGGTATTGCGCGCTACAAGTGTCCGCTAAACTGTCGATAGACGCGATGATCTCATACGCCCTGCTATCAAGACTTCAGCCTCTTGGAATAGACTGGGCCTACGACCGGCCGTCAGGCAACAAGTAACTAGACTCATAACTTCTGACATATCCTCACAATGTCGTTTCTGCAATTTCTCCTACCTTAATAGATAAAGCCCTCAGTTCACCACTGATCTTGCAGAATATCGAAGAGTTGACTTCCACTGGATCGCCGAGGATAAAAAGACTCACCAAGCACAATAGCTGTTAATCTGGCTCGAGCACCAGCCATTGCTTACCTGCGACCTACCAGAATTCCAATTGGACCTCACAGGCGACGTGCATCCTGTGCCTATTTTGTCGTTGCGGCCACCGAGAGCAAAATCCCGGTCTAACAAATCGCAGTCAGAGGATTTCTCTGGATGTCGTGTCCCTTTCAGAGGCGTAGCAACGATATCTCGTTCAAGATATAGCTCCTTCCAACTGTTTTACGGGATAGTGAATAGATGGATGGTATTGCAAAACTATTTTTGGGAAGATCGCAACCATCCTGCTTTCTATCTGGAAGTCATCTCAAGTGCCATAAATCAACCACACTTTGCGAGTACAACATATTATCTCTCTAAATGCTCACGCTGAACACGAAGCTCACTGATGGGCTCGTTGCAATTGTCTTTATCTGCCTGCTACGAGTTGGACGGAGTGAAGGTTAGTTCAGTCCGGGTCGTTGAGGTTATATGCTTATCTAGACCAGCTCCCCATAGCTCCACCACGACCGAACTTTCTGCCGTCTAACTGGGCAGCCAATGTGGACACTGTACAGTTGAGGGAATCGGCACCACTAACCAATGATGACCTGATATAATCACAACGTAATCTTACATGGCAACAGCGATATACATTGTCATCAGTGATACTAGATCTACAATCGGATCTTCAATCAACTACACCAACACTATAACAGCACTAATTGATTCAAGCGCCTGTCTTAATTCATGGGAAGTATGTAGCGGACAAACTTTTTATACCTTCAATACCATCTCTGGAGTGGATTCTTCGTGAGCCAGTATCCTCTTTGTCTGCTGCCTGAGACTGATTACAACAGTATCTAGTCTTCTTCTAACGCACACGAACACATTCATTGCAGAGCAAATGATTTCTAAGATTTGGAAATCCACGGTAAAAATTACGAGACAGCCATAATGCCAACTACTATCTGCGGTTACGATGCGGCCGTGACTCTCCCAGAGGTCACGTATTACTATACTTATACCGCATCGCTCAACTGGACATCTAGTAGATCCCTGTTGGAGGATGGTGACAAGAGTGTTGAACTAGGCCCATTTGTGAGAGGCTCGGATTCATCTGCGTCCTATTTCATGACTTGGGCTAGGTTAGGGTCACGTCCAGGTCCCTGCAGTATGATAATGGATGGATACGCAACAGCCAAGATTGGAGTTACAGCATTGACCACCAACAGACCCTGGTTATGAAACCGGCTTTAATGGAAATATACGGCGGAGGACGGCACGGCTATCAGTCATTGGCATCAGAGACACCAAGATGCGAACTTGCAAGTCCCCTGCTGCGCTACCTCCCACCTCGGCCGAAGGGTGGCACACCTCTCTCGACATACTTCTCGAGAGAAATGGTCACTGAGTAAGTAGCATGTTTCTGTCACCGTTTCGAAGTACTGGATAGTTCCAGAGGAAGTACACCTTGAGTGTGACACTGCCTCACTAGCTGCCAGATAGGCTCAATCTTGTCTTCTATAAAGTCGTATCGGACATTGTAAATGAATCTAGAGAAGAAAAAGTTCTAATTACCGCACAAGACACCCATCAGTCAATATCGAACCCAGTCAGAAGATGACCCTCGCCTATTTCACTCCTAACACTTCAAACTTTTGACCCCCCTGCCTCAAGAAAAGCTCTCTTTTTAAATGTAGATAGGTATTTAATAGCATATCAATGCATTCCTTTTGCTGTTCCTATCATAATTATCCTTCTCCAATGAGATTTCGTGAGGTGACGTAAATGAAATGAACAAGAGGTTGTCGCCCCTCAGGATTTACCCCGCGGAACAGGGGGCAGGGAATAAATAGAGTTCCGTTGCACGTCGCATTTTAAAGCCATAATAGTCTAAATTCCTTCAGTATCAAATCGAAGCATTTTTCTTCCGCCACGAGTACTTTTCGCGGTCTGAATCCATGAAAATGACTTCAGGCTCAAATCACATTTGCGCATACTTGATCAGCCGACTTCTCATCACAACAATTTTGGAACTCGTCGCATTTCTTTAATCTTATTACTAAAGCTAAGTGGACGGGGAACTGTGAAAGGACCGCAGAAGAGATGCAGTTGACCAGATCAGGCATTTCCAAGCCAAAAACCTGCCCACCCAAGACAGAAATTCATGCGATTCAGCCACCGTTCCTACACCCCACTGAGATCACCGTATTTCCAGCCTTGAACAAGCCCATTCTTGTTGCCTTACACTGGAGCCCAAGTCACCATCATTGACCCATTGGCTGCGATAAGAATGCATGGCATCACAGATGGGATGTTAATGCGTAGTATGGCCGCCCCAATTCCCATTGTTTCTGCAAGGATTGCCTCTTGGGCTGTGCTGGCCATGCGAGCACCTGTTGGAGCTCGGGTATCATTCAAAAAATTATGAAGCGGGGGATTGCTTGACTGGTGACCGGTTTGTGATCCTCTGTCGGCGGAGATCGGTTGGTTGGGCACAGCTCGACTGAAGTCGCGGATAAAATGCGTCTGCTGAGCTGTGCCATTGGGGTTGAAAGCCTGACTTGTGCCCAGGTGTTGCTGGAGATTGGAAGCATGTAAGGGTCGTCGAAGAGTTCCCGCAGAAGGTCCAGCTGGGAAGGATGGTTGCTGATGAAATTCTAGGTCAGAACACTACTCAGTGACGGAACGAGACGAGCAAAGCCAAACCTTGGACATCTTGAAATGCTTTAAAAAAAAGACTTCAACTTTCGCAGACTTGAGCTCAAAAGACTGGTAGTGCGAAATCTCGTTATACCCAAAGAATATCTTCAGTTATGAATGAAGTTATGCTCAAAAATTAGTTCGAGAAACTTGAATGACTTGTATCAGCACATGGGGAGCACCTTCTAAAAAGATTTTGAACGGAATTTATACTTCTCTGTGGGTAGCAGACCCATAAACCAACATCGCGAACTCAATTGACAGAGTTCTGTTCTGAAAATTGAATTCCGAGAAACCAGATCCGAGATCTAGGAAAGCAGACCAACATATCTAAAAATAGACTTCTGATTGAAAGGGGACAAGAGGGCTGATAGAACTGAATAAGCATCTGGGAACATATTTCCGTTGTTTCAATAAGCGCCCGAGTTGGGCGAAGATGTTTACGTGCTATGTTGAGTCTATCTTGAGATAAGCTGGTCAAGACCGTGCAGGACAATTGACTCCAAACGCCCCCTCGAAACACTTGCCTGAGGATGATGAACTTCAATGTCAGCAGCTGAAGTAATTTGATGACTTTATCATCAATCAAATGCACACTGGCAGCTAGACTTAACCAATGAAGCGCAAAAACACTTTGAACAGGTAATTTTGATGAGCTCCCAAGAACATCCGCGCTGGCGTGTAAGATTTGGAAGACCGCAAGAGATACTGAAGTGGGCCACCCAAAGACCCTGAAACTTTCGGAGGCTTCGCATGGCGCGCCATCCAACTTGGTCGAGATATATTTAGATGTTGGTCCTGCTGGATCGACGCTTTTCTGCAGTGTCGACGTGGTGGGTGAACATGGAAGAACATTGGTGGTGTGTGGCGCTTATGCCATTTTGAAACAAGGGCAGGTCAGCAACAAAGGTAGGTTCTGATTGGACAGGGGTGTTGGAAAGTTTATGGGTCACAGGTATCTCGAAAACTCATTTCTTGTATTCGATTTCCTGGAAATCAGAATCTGGTTTTGGGTCAGGTTCAACACTTAACGCGAAGTCATGTGATCTCACGGTTACACGAGCCGCTTCCTGTGACGACACGCGACCTGCAGCTGGACAGAGCCCTCTGAATGTCACTCAGCGAAGTCTTCAAATCTGGGGAGATTACAATTTTCAGTTCACACCTGAAATAGAGGTCACCACTCCAGTTCCGTTTAGATCAAGAATGTGACGGCCTCCAAGATGTGTGGAAGATACGCGCTTGCTTGGGTATGGATACGTCCTCTGCACATGGGGTCGCAGCTAACAGCCTGCAGCGGGCCTCCCAAGTTAGGGCCTACCTTGAAAATGAGCATATGCCGATTTATGAGGCTCCAAATGACGAAGGTGATGGGGCTCCGCGACAAAGCTACAATTTCGCTCCTGGATATTATGGCATTGTCTACCGTGCAGACACACCTGATTGGGGCGCAGGACCTCGGCATCATAAGAAGGGGGAGGGAGAGTCTGAAGAGCAACCTCCAGCAGAGGTTGAAGAGGGGGCAGCTGAGCCACAGGAAGTCCGATACAAGCTACAGTCCATGAAGTGGGGTCTTATCCCGTTCTGGACGAAGCGCAACCCTGATTACGGATCCATGATGAAGACAATAAACTGCCGAGGCGACTCGTTGATCGAAAACAAGGGCATGTGGACGACAATGAAGCAAAAAAAGCGATGCATAGTCCTGGCTCAAGGATTCTATGAATGGTTGAAGAAAGGGAAGGACAAGATCCCTCATTTTGTGAAGCGAAAGGACGGCAAATTGATGTGTTTTGCTGGTCTATGGGATTGTGTTCAATATGAAGGTCTAGCTCCTACCGCTTCTCTGATGAATGTCGCTGACTGCTGGTCTGCAGGCTCAGACGAAAAGCATTACACTTACACCGTTATTACGACCGATTCGAATAAGCAACTCAAGTTTCTTCACGACCGAATGCCTGTCATATTTGAAAATAGCTCGGAAGAGCTTCGGACTTGGCTAGATCCGAATCGCTTAACTTGGTCGAAGGAACTACAAAGTTTGCTGAAACCATTCCAAGGAGAATTAGAGGTGTATCCCGTCAGCAAGGAAGTTGGAAAAGTTGGCAACAATTCTCCTAATTTCATCATTCCCGTCGCAAGCAGCAAGAACAAGTCGAACATTGCAAATTTTTTTGCGAAGAGCGCTTTGAAAGATACCTCAAAGCTTGGGGTCACAGCCAAGACTTCGAAATTAGTCGAATCCAAGAGCGAGAGCGCCCAGAAGGAGACGAAGGAGACGCCAATCAAAGCCGAGGACGAGGATCGTAAAACCGTCAACCACTCTGGATCCGAAGATAATGCCCCTCTACCTGCTCCAAAAGAGGAAGCCAAACAGGGAATCAAACGAGAGTTGGATGTCCCAGACGAGGAGTCACTAAAGAAAGTAGCAAAAACATCCGCCAGTCCATTTAAAGCGTCCTCTCCTCCCAAGCCAGCCCGCAAGACAAGAAGTGCCACAAGCAATAATACAGCAAGTCCTTCTAAAACTTCGGGAAAGGACAAGGGCAGTCAGAAGATAACGAATTTCTTTGGGAGATAAGTGGCAGGTGGCGTTCATGTCAGATACCAGAATCGGAGTTTGGCGTCCAGTGGTGTTGTCTCATAACTGTGGGTGAAGCCTTCATCAATGGTGGCAAATGTTTATTACGCAATTAGTTGGAAGAAACATGACCGGACCATCATGTATATTTACAAATGAACGGTAAGTATATACAGTGCGTCAAGCGAGAAAACCATGCGCTTTATTTGCAATTTCCAGCCGTCGGCCAAATTTATCGTGCTAAGCAAGACTTTACAAGTGAAGTATCTTGCATATTTGTTCCGCTCCCAGTTGGGGTCTCCGTGAGAACTGTTTCATATCGTTAACTATAATCTGGCAAGTAGGGCCTTCAAGAAATGCTGACCATATGTCGAGTCGAATGAGCCTGCGGACCACCCAATGTAGCCCAGGTAGACGTCAGAATTTGCACTAAATAAATTGTTTAGCATCGGTTCATCGCAAACGTTAGAAGGAGGCTGTACTTGATGAATGCTATTTGTGTACACAACAGCTTCTGGCACGACGCTACATTGCCACCGCCTGTCTCCGAATTCAAAGCCATTCTCTTGTTTGTTCGAAGCCATGCAGCAAGGGGCTGGAAGGCATCGGCACTTGAACAAATCAGCCACATGTTACTTTATGGGGAAAGGGAAAAGGGAGCCGAGAGCTGTGACATCATCCCGCTAGCTAGTTTAATAGGGACCTCGGGGCATGGAGAAAGAAATAGGTTCTTTACACATTGTCTTTCGTGCATTCCGGGTGTGTTCCACTGTTATCACTATCCAAGTATTTGTGTACGTCGAAGACGAGGTTTGTGGTAGTGCCACCTGGGTTCGTGACATTAAGCAAAGCTGGGCCCGATCTGCCATGGAATCAGTATGGTTATTCCCTAATTTTCAAAACAGCAAGCTCAGAAGCTTGGTGGCTCCTGAGAAGCTCTCGGCCTCTGAGTTTTCACAAGTATCGAAAGTCTTACCCATTCGAGATAAATGCTCCAGCCGAAGTGTAGTCATTTCCTGGCAAGAGAACTTAAGATCCATTAGATTGTGTGTTATCACTGCGGATCTACGAGTACTTACTTAACTGGGTAGTTGCGCCAGCTCCTCGGATTGCGTTGACGACAAGTTGGACGGTAGCAGCCCACTTGGTAATGTCTACCTCGTGAGGTTCGTTCATTACGCCAAATATGATATTGCCAGTTCTCTTGTATTTTGTCGCAAGTTGCGTCCATAAGTTAACAAACTGGTCATTTGTGGGCCCTGATCCTTGACCTATAATCTGTCCATTCCAGCGTGCGTAGTTGTGAACGTCAATAACACAGCTTGCACCGGTGGCTAAACATGCTTGAACAAGTTGATCGTATTTTGCGAGGTTCCCTGAATCAAGGGTTCCTCCTAGCTTGTTATTGACCAGATACTGCCATCCAACTGGAAGTCTGAAGATGTTCATGTTGTCGTTCGTGGCAAAGTGTTGCATCTGAGCTTCCCCATCTGGTCCATTCAGTGCCCTTACAGGAGGGTATACTTTCGAAATATTTTGGCTTCCATCAGTCAGACACCCGAAGTCGAAGCCTGCAATGTTCACTCCAACTGACAACTTGTTAGCGTAACGTTATGTCAGAAGTGTTGATAGCTCACCAAATTTGACCTTGCCAGTTCCGCTTGGGGCAGGAGGCGCAGCGGTTGATGCTACTGTTTGCACGTCAGCATTAGCTTTTATGACCCGGTCCAGTGACTGTCGGAGTTCGAGAGGTGTAGCCAACCAGTACTGCTTACCATCAATGTTACCAGGCAAAGCAAGTGCCCCACTGGAAAGCAAAATGCATGAGAATACGAAAAGCCTCATTTTGAATTTCAAGATGCCCTGGATTTAGTCCTAGAAAAAGAGATCATAAACCGCGAGTACAGGAGCAGCCCCTATAATTATATAGGCTCCATCATGGAGGAGAACTCAATTCGAAACCACAAACTCCCCCACGATTCCCCCTAAAGAAGTGAGTGCTCTTTGACATTAAGTGGCTGTCGGGCCGAGGAGACTTCAGGGCCAAAATACAGTAGGGCTTGAATGTTCTCCGAAAGCTCAAACCTCGTGACATCCAAAGTCAGTGGAAGCATAGACTCAACTATTGCAAATTGTCTTGTTTACAGTGATAAGCAACACATCTGGCTCTAAACAATGTTGACATCCTACCAAGCGGCGCGGATGGCCGTATGGGGATGCGTTCGTCTGACGAAATCGATCAATATCCTACCATCTTAAGATAGGGTCATGTGCTGATGGTGATCCGAATAGAGAAACATCGGGCAATTTTTTTCCGGTGTCAATCTCCATGTTTAAACCACGCATGTGGTTGTGGTTTCAAACGTCATGGGTATTAATCCGGAACGCCTTGCCAAGTTGGGGGGGTACTCAGGGGTAAACGGTCGGCAGCTTGAATCTGAATCTTTGGAATGCAACGACTTGCATGAGCGATTTGAAGTGTCATCTTTACCGAGATCTCGTTGGAGGAATAAATGTCCCTCGACTGATCCCAGTACACTCCTTAATGCCCTTAGTTAGTAATTCCAGCATGGCTCCTTGGACGCCGTATCCGTCGGCAGCTGTGCCCCGTGGAACACCTTGTTCAAGTGAACCTGTCCTGTTTCATGGTGCCGTTTGTGTACTGACTTAGCCCAATTTATGTTTTATGTTTGATTGTACGGCTCCGTTCCCGGAGGTTGTTGTTTCGGTCAGAGAGGTTCAGGGCAAAACCGGGCCAAAACTACTAAATACTGGGCTGCATCTGCTTCTATTTGATTCTGACTGACCATGAAGTGTATGGCTTCAATTTTTTATTTCCGCAACGAAGTCACGATGTGACATAATCGCCTTGTCCCGATGTTCAACCCAAGAAGGCCAGGAACGGAAGTATCCCATGCTGCCTGGGACAATCAGGAAGGTACCCCACATGTATGTTTTGGTGACTAATTCTCGCCAATATAACCACGATATTACGGAGAATCCCCGTCTGCCAAGACCTTCAGAATTGATTTTCACTATCATAAAACATCGTTCCAGAGTTCCACCATCTTAGGGTAGTATGGCTGCTCGCAAAATCAGAAAGGCGGGTAGGCATTTAAATGCGCCCATATATGATTTGTAGCTAGTAACTCCATTGTCCGCGACGCTATATTCCCAATTCGAGACAGCAGCAGCGCAGTCCCTGTCCGGACGATCATTAAACCACGAAAGTCCCAACAACAGGTGGTGATGCCCCAGCAGCGCTTAATGTTCTTATATTTTCGAGGAAGGTGCCTATCAGGCGGACTTTCGAGGCAGTGTCACTAGATTCGGATCAGCATGGTTCTCGATCGAGCACAGTATGAAACTCACGGCCAGATAAATATTGGTACATTAACAACATTGGCAGCCGCAGTCGCCATGGCTCCAATAAGGGAAGATATGGCTGACGTAGAAATCTCAGATTCCTAATTTGGATTCGTGTACAAAGAAGCGCTTGGGAATGGATTTACAACTGCAGCTGCGGTGATACCACCAGGAATGGCTGTATCCGTTAGACTACCATCCACGGGAGTGGTCGATGTGGGTTTACTACCATAATTTTGGGCCGAGACTGGCAAGAATTGGTTGTAATAATCGTTGCTACAAGTGCACGTATATCCTGAAATGCATTCAGTTGACACCTGATATTGAAGCCCGCCACCTGAATGATCGCAATTTTCGGGACAGGGAGCTTTTGAAGTCTGATGGGTATGACTTCGTCTACACGGGTCGAAACATCGCCAGTTTGCCGGACACTCCGACCAACCTAAGATGACATCTCGACCGAGATTTTTTGCAAGAGATTTTCAGTACATGCCCTTGGGCAGGAACAATGGAATGCTTACTGGGGGACTTGATGCCAAATGCGAGTAAGTTAAACCAGGTCCGCGATCAGGGAACGGGTCAGTGGAACGCGCTCAAAGCTATGCATATATGGGGAAATTTCATGATGTTATTTTATTGACTCAAAAGCCCATCTACGGAAGGAGATTCCGAAATGAGGTACGCGAGCAACGTTCTGATGGGCCGCACGGCAGGGAGCTACTTATTGGAGACTTTCTCCAGTTTTGAGAACTAGCTTCTGTCTGTATATTTCACGAGATGATGTATATTCCGCCCGAGGATTTCGCCAGATTGCTATAAAATGGTAGAAAATTTCTCGCTACACACGAGACGGTTCAACAATCATGTACAACGCAGCGAGGCGGAGAGCCGCTCTCAAGATAGAATATATTGAGATTCGTAAGCCAAGATGCCGCCTAAGTTACAGCAGCGAGGTGACTAAATAAATCACTTTTGTAGGTAGGAAATTTTTGACCCGCTCCGTATTTTGTCTGAAGATGTATAAAGAGGGTTGCTGGCTAGAACTAAAGCCGGAATCGCTCTTTGCCAGGCTTGGGGCTAATCCTTTCATAGGAATCTTGCGTAGCGGGGCTGCTCAAAATGGCTTGCAACATGATCTGGTGATGGTTAGTACAATGAGATAGAGATCTGAGCTAACGGGGCAGGCGCCGGTTGGATATATTAGCATAATAAGGAAGGATGAGATTGTGGTCGACAATCTATCCGTCGATTAGCCGACCTTGATGGCCGAGGGTCTGAGAAATTCAGGGGTAAATTTAAGCGAGGAGCCTCGGCTGGCTTTCAATGCCACAGCTGCCCAGCCTGCGGCCATTCTCTCTTGCCCCAGGCTGATCCCCCGCGATTCTCAGATGCGAAAGTTCTTTGCATCGATCAATAGATTGCGAGATGCAATCAATCATGCATTTTGCGAAGACATGCAAGTATTTGCAATCGCCTCAGACAAAGCTTGCTGACACAAACTACACCGTTCCTGGCCCAGCAGTGCTGTCATGCTAGATTCCTTCACTCTTGCAGAAAATGGAAAGAATGAGGGTGGCATGTAAGGGATAGTGAGCAACACCGCGGCACAGCGGTGTCTATAAAAGCAGTAATAGCCTGGGTTGCATGACGCTAAATACGTATATATATCTGCTGCCTTGGCGTGTCTCATCACAGTGGCCGCATAGGCACGTATATCCTGACCTTTCATAGCGTCATCTTGTGTGTAAACGTCCACGGATAGCTTCTTCATCGCTGTCGGTACAGAGTCCTTAAACCGGTCGATGAGAGCTTTAGCCCACACGTCAATGCCCTCTGGCGCAAAGCGAATTGCGAGTCGAGTAGTCTCTTCGATTTCCTCCGTATACCAGCGCTGTGTTATACCTCGCAGGCAAGAGTGCAGATTCCCACGGACAATTGCCTCTCTTCCTTCTCACGCATTAAATTTAAAAGAATCAACGAAGAGATAGACGTTCTTCCATACGGTGGCTTTTCCCTTGGTATTCGTAGTCAATGTCTTCCAGGGTCGTTGGTTCGAAAAACCTGATGTCTTCCGGCGACCAACGCATAGAGACCCCGCTGGCGTTGACTTGGTTGAAATCGTTACCAAATCCGAAGGCAAGTAGGGGTGGTTTGGGGTTCTTGTTTGTTTGAGGGAAAGGGGTGAATATTTTGGGAGAGTTTCCACGCATGTCAGGAGACGAGAAATCTTGCCTTCCTCGCAGCTCTACCATCTCTTGCTCAAAGCTGAGCTCCAAGAAGTCTAAAACCCTTCAACTTCAGGCTCCCGAGGAGACCAATGCTAAATTGAGGTTTCATTTACAGCGGTAAGAAAAGGACTTTACTCTCCATGATCAATCTTCATGTTCTCAACTCCGCGCTCAATAACCCCTGGTCCAGCCATTGCAAACTCGTAGTCCAGGTCCGGTTGCGCTTCACGATAGAGTATGTTCTTCTCGCTGCTCATCTTGAAGTTGTATGCAGCCTCTTCATCTGTAACGATGTGCTTTACCAGCGCAGGATTCCCTGCACGAGCTGCCTCGACGGTCAATTGAATGGCACACCCTCGATCCAAGAGCCCGAAGAGGAAGCCAGCTTCGTCGACGGTACTACCTGTAGACAGGAGGCCGTGGTTGAGAAGGATTGCAGTCTAAGATGTCAACATATGATGATGAGGAAAGTTCAGGAGGAAGGTACGATTACCTTATTTTTCGGACCCAACGCTTGAGCGATATTTCTCCCTTCCTCAGCAGCGAACACGATACCGCCGTAAGAATTGTAAACAGCAATGGAGTTGTGAAGAAGGCAAATATCCTGGTTCAGCATATCCAATCCCTTTGCAAACACCGACCAAGTTCGGCCTGCATCGGTGTGAGCGTGGCAGACTGCGTGAACGTCGGGACGAGCTTTGTGGATTTCAGAGTGTATCAAGAAGCCTGCAGCATTTGCAGGTTTGGACTATCATACCCTCAGTAAAAGATACCAAATCGATTTTCCGAGAAACGAACCTTGTTTCCTCCCACCACTTTGCCGGTGTTGACATCAAGACAGATCAAATCCCCAGCTGTCATGAGACCGAAATGTTTTCCAAGAGGATTCATCCAAATATAGTGCTCAAACTCAGGATCTCGCACGGAGATGTGACCGGACTGGCCTTCTGTGAAGCCTTTCCGAGAGAAGTCTCGGAATACCGCCGCGGTATGAATCAAAATGTGCTTTCGATGTTCCTCATGAGTCGAAAATTCCGGAATGCCTGTACAAGAGAATTATGAGTATGTCTTCCCTCAAATGAGAATATACAGCATTCCATGGATTTCTCATGATCTGATCTGTGGTACAACAAGAAAGAGGCAATGTGAAAAGATGTTGCTTGGCACGAAGTATTGGAGCTCTTCGAACGGGATTGCTATGAACACAGCATCTATCAAATTTGCATCGAAGATAAAGGGGAAAACTTTCTCACCAGCCTGGACTATGGGACCGTGACTGATTGCTTCCAGCGGAGTCTTCTCCTCAGCCCCATGGATGTGCTTTTCAACCTGTGCCTCTTTCGCCACCCCCACTCGCGGTACCACGATCTCTGATGTTGCCGAAGGAGCCATCTCTGCAGGAGTGACTAACGAATTTGCAGAAGAGGTAGAAGACGAGGTAGCGGTATCACTTGATGAATTGGAAAATTTGCAAACAGTCTCTGTAGAAGAATGTAATACAATACTTATTAAGCTTTAAAGGGCGTGGATGGTGCTGGGAAGGGCGCAATGCAGAATAGCGGGGTCCAAGAATGGGGTGGAGCCGCCAAATGCGGGTTTTTCCTTTTGGCTATCGTATGCTCACCAAATACGGAGAATGGAGCGGACAATTCCGTTCGAGTGATAAAGAAACCATTCGATGGGTTTCAAAACGTTCAGTCAAGCAAGGCTGGTCGATCAGGGGGGATATCATACAATCTTGGTACCTACCTAACGACTCCCCTAATACTCCGAAATAGTCACCCTTCGGAAGTGCTACAGAGACCCGAGTCGAAATGACGGTCACTATGAGCGCCCAAATGGTCGCTCCCAGAACACTCTTATCCCGGAGAATTCTCAAAGTGTCATCCTGAATCCAGATCGACTGGTCGAACACCAAGAACCGGCTTCTGGTATTTCTCAACCCAGCAAGCATGTTCAAAGCTATTCTTGGGACCAAATGTGGGTCGACTTGCATGCTGGAAACTAGCATCGTTTCCCTTGATCATCTCATGAGAATGGCGGATTCGGTCAACCATTTGTAAAGATCGATTTCCACGTAATGAAACAGGTTCCGGCCCGTTTCTCCTATCTCTGAATCTACATCTTGTTCCCAGGGACGGAGGTTGCGAGCGTGTCTCTTGTGTAGAATCACACAAAGTCCTTATACACTGCAACCATCGTTGATATTCCAAGCCACCAGACAAGAGCTTCGAATATTCTCCACCACCGACTTGCTCGGGATAGTGTGACGACGATGACAATGATGAATCCGAAGGCATTGTGAGTGACATCCATAGTAAGGACGAAGAATACTGGAGGCTTGTTTCCATTGCAAATTGACCAGCGGATGAAGTTTGGAGGTGATTGGCCTCGAAGCGTAGCTTCTGCAATCGTAGCACCTGGTTGAAGAGTAGACGGATGGGTTGTATGCTGGAGAGCATGAAGGCAAAGGGCTCGATCTTTGTGGGGAAAGGTTCAATTCTCGGTGTGTGTTGAAAGCAAGGTAATGACGCATTACTCGGTTGACCCCTTCTCTCATGGGCTGAATCGTGACTGTTACTGGTCAGTAAGGTATTGCCTCCCAAGAATTGCTTCCCACACAGGGTTGCTATTTTAAGCCAGTCTGCGGAGACACGGAGGCGTTAATTATGGTCTCTGGTATCAACGGTGCCACGGCTCTTTCATTCTTTATATCACCACACACATGGCTCTCCAGGCTCATGTCTTGCTCGTCGCCGAACAATGCACCATCTTTGATGTTACAGCCTATTTCCATCATGGTGGCAACAGCTTCCCTTCTGGCCTTCTTATTTTCCTTTTCATTTCTGTTCCCTTTGACAAGTCCGAGACTTCGGTGCTGACTGGAACCATTCCGGAGAAAGAACCTTCTCCTTTTCTGGCAATGCCTCGAAGCGGCGGACGTAGCTCTCTGTACCACAGAAAGAACTGATGATTTTCTGCATTGTGTTCCACATAAACCAGATAACTCATGAAATTATTCAGGGAGCGGGTCTAACACGATTACCAGCAGGGAACCAACTTCTCCGGGTCATTGAGGTGTACCGGAAGGGCTTTGTTGTTTAGAACCTCACCAAAAGATTACCCCTTTGGAATCACCCGCTCGGACTCCAAGAACAGTTAGAATTCCTCCCAGCTTTGGAGTGCTCGAAGTACTTACTTTTAGCTCTATCAACATATCTCGCTCATTCAGTGGCATTGGTAGGGCCAGTGGGAGGGTTGAGGTAATCTGGTCGACGATAGAAAAGAATGGACATATCGACGGTACATTTTTCAATGGTTCTCAAAAAGCAATCAACAATAAAAAAAATAAAAACCAATGTCTGGGATAAAGAGCAGAGAGGCCATATGGAAAGGAAGGAAATCTCGGTCGCGCTGTGAAGCAGCTGGAAGATGCACGTCAACCAAGGTCGGAGGTACGTTTGTATATCTCAGAAGGCCAAAGAATGCCTGGTGATGACCTGAGAAGAGGCTACTGGTTGGAGTTTAATAGTTCTGGCTCTTCTCAAATGTAGCTATTGGTTAGCTCTGGGCCGGGGCCGTTGAGAGGCAAGTGTCATTTCTCGAACAGCATTGGTCTTTCAAAATGGTGATCGTCAGTCCCAACTAACTATAGTTCAGGACTCAAGCTCCTGGCTCAGCCTTGATGTCAAAACGAGCCAGTGGGGAAGTGTTCTTTGCAATTTTGGCCCCAGCCAGAATGCCGTTTCCAGGTATTCGGTGAAGACTTCTTCAAGATGTGAAGCTCGTTAGTCTTCAAAATGGCATTTCTACAACAAACCAGCACACCTTGGTGCTGCAAATTGTAAGAAAATTGTTCATGTCTTTGCTAGTCTCACCGGACGCGTGGGTGACGCCAGTTATTTACCGGATCCAAGTTTTTCTTGGTGTTTAGGCCGGAGCTAGTTTTGCGGAAGAGATTTTCGACTCAGGTAAATTACTCTCCCCCCTAATTAAATGTAACAGTGGGTCAAAGTGCAGGGGTTTTTTTGTACGGCAACTTGGACCGTGCCAGGCTGGTTCTGCGGGGACCCACTATTACATTTATTTAGGGGGGGGGAGTAACGGAATGACCAACTACCGAGAGCTAATAGCCACGTGAAAATTAGTTGTGCTCTAAGAACGTGGACCTTAAATGGAAATTTCCGTCGACATTATCCTGGGGAATGTTTCTCAGGGTTTGCTACTAGTCTCTAGGATGCCTGGGTGAGTGCTTGTACTCCTCCACTGCCACTGCTCCGTGGAGGCATGGTACAGTTATTAAAATGTCTGCCACCAAGCATACCTAATTGTGAAAGTCAGGGGTGTAATTTCTCATCTGACCTCCGACTGATGTCGTGTTCAGAATTGCTTAAAGAGTGTAGAAGCGATGGCCAGCGTCATTTCCCCCAAGATTACCAGGATATCACGAAATTTCATCAGAGGTTAGAGCTTCGATAGTCGCAGTGGTAGGTACGGGGCAGGAAGGAAAGGGTTCTCTCCACGACTCATGCGTTCCTGGAATCCTATCAAGTGATCCTTTGAATACTTGGTGCATGTAAATGGTTCTTCGTGATTACGAGTGGGAGTAATTTCGATTTCCTCCGCTGTCTGTAAAGGTTTGATAATGGGGCAAGCTCGGTTGATTCCTAGCACGGCTCAAATCCAATCAGTTTCATCAACGGATTCCCATCAATACTGCTACAAGTACCAGGAACCACCCAGACGAGTACGGAACGAACAAAGTTGACATTACTGAGCCTTGGGAACCTTTCTCGATCTGCGCCACCTCTCCCTCTTTAGTCACGGTGTATGTTGCTGCGGGTGCTTCAACCACTGTATTGGTGATCGTGATCGGCGTTACTTGCCCATTTATCATAGAAGAAGGAGAGATAGAAACTGGACCGGATGTTGCGGTTCCAGCATCGCTAGTTGTTGAATTGAGCGAGGTCCCAATGATGGAGGCGGTTGAAATATGTATGCATCCGTTCGGCGAACACAGGTCGTTCTTTGGACAACATCCACCACCAGTTTCGGCAGAACATTGAACAAGAGATGCTAGGCATTTCGGTGGGCGGGACTCGGAGGCTTGACACTCGAATTGTGACTTGGACGCATTGCAGCAGAAAATTCCCGACAGAGTAAACGATCCCACGTAACACACTGCCCAAGGTGGGCAACATATGTTCTGGCTCACCTGTCAGCGCGCCCACGATCAACGTATCCCAGGTGCCTCCACTCACAGGTTGCTCATATGTTTCGCAACTGCTCTGCTGATCCCCACAAACATAGTATGGTACATTGTGCTGTGGTGATCTTCTCTGTGGATCCACTTTCCAAACTTCCTGCCTCCTCAAAGGGAGAAACAAAGTGTCTGCGTAAAACTTGTCCTGTTCCTGACTCTCGTCCCTGACCTTCAGCCAGCCTTGACCTCCGAATTCCCGGTAGTATTGGTGTGCAACAAAAAGAAGGCAGATTGCCATAACGAGGACGACCACCCCTGCTAGACAGTAAATTAACCACCGGTAGCGAAAAAGCCCATCGCGAAAGCTAGAAGTACGAGAACTAGAGGAGGATCGAGAGAATCCCGGCTGAGGAGGTTGGGAAGTTGATTGCGGATTCATTGATGAATCGGTACTGATGGAAGAAGTGATGGATATTTTGGGCAACGAGCATCAGAGCGAACGAAACTTGATGAGAAAGATATATGAGACGTTCGAATGCCATCTAGGTACGGTAGGTTTGTGGACCTCCAAGAGGTGTGAAGGAGAGACACAAGGTCTGACGGTCGCTTGACATAATGAGAAGGAAGGCACGTAGATTGCGAACCCGCGAAGAAAGCGCATTTGGAAAGAGCGAGCAATATTATCGCTCCCAAGACAAACAACAGCATCATGAGACTTGACAACATGGAAAAAGCGATGCAGTGCACAAATTAGGGGAGAAGACAACTGCTCAAGCAATATTCCTTAATGCCTCCCTCGCCCGCGGGAGCCATCGTGTCCAACACCTAGGGTAGAGCGTGGATGAGAGCGCATCCTGATGGCTGAGAAATGATTCAGGGACGGCTTCTAATGATGTTGTTGTTGTTGACATAAGAGACGACAAGGATATTAAAAAGGGGCTCAGGGGGGTTGAAATGATTGGTCAATGCAGCGGCTTGCGAGCTCGAAGCATCTCAGCGGCCGAGCACCAATCCGGGTGCTCTCTTGCATCAAACCTGCAGTGACTCTCATCATTCTGACTTCAGATTGACTGCTCGGAAGCATACGGTGATGACTCTCTCAAGACGAATTGGCTGTGGCCCCTTCCACAACCAATTAGTCATCGAAACGGAAAGGCCGAGGTACGATGGCTAGCTTCTACGGCGGCCCATGCCGGATGCCCAAGAAGACTTGGAGGTCCATATACAGATGCTTGACGACCGAGGGCCGACGAAAGGAGGAAAAACATAAATATTCCGTGCTACGAACCATTGCCCATTAAAAATCAATCGATCAAAATGTCTCCAACTCCTCAATGGGTGAAAGATTTGAAGCCCTCTCCTCCCCAAGGCACTGACCTTCTCGCAGCGGAGCGAGAGAAGTCCAAGGTCGCTGTGGAGAAATTGTCCGAATTTCTCTTCACCAAGGAGGTACTGGAGCGTCAAGACCGTATCTTGAAGATCCTGCAAGCCGAGAAAGTCTTCGACAAATCCCAGAATTACTTCGATGGCCGCGTCGACCGATTCAAGGCCTCCCTGGCCCGGGCCAAGAGACTGAGGCAACTTCAAGTCAAGCATAATTGGGATCCAGAAGAATATATGTGTGCCAACGAGCTTATATCAGAGCCTACTCCATACGGGCTTCATGCGTCGATGTATTTGGTAGGTTTAAGACAATCCTATACGACCAATTGCTTACTCGCTTGCCCTCCAGACAACACTCCGAGACCAAGGTACGCCAGAACAGCACAAACTCTTCCTCGAACCCGCAGAGAATTACAAGGCGATTGGATGCTATGCACAGACCGAAGTAAACTTCCATTTTCTTGGTTAATCAAATAAACTAGCTAATAGTGCTCATTAGCTCGGTCATGGCAGCAATGTTCGTGGGTTGGAAACGTAGGTGTTAGGGGACGAAACCCATTCTCATTGTTTAACCCTCCTATGTTTTATCTAAATGAATAATTGTTGACTTTATCGTTAACCTAGGACCGCAACCTGGGACTTTAAAACCAAGTCATTCATCCTACACTCGCCCCATCTTACAGCTTCGAAATGGTGGATTGGTTCTCTTGGACGGACTGCAAATCATGCTGTCGTTATGGCACAGCTGATTATTGGCAACAAGCCCTTTGGCCCACATCCTTTCGTCTGTCAGATCAGAGACATGAAGACCCACGAACCCCTCGAAGGCGTTCACGTTGGAGATATCGGTCCTAAGTTTGGTTACAATACAATGGATAACGGATTTCTCCTTTTCAACCGTAAGTCGTTAGTTCCTCCGAGACCCATCTCCTCGCTCGCACGATACTACATCAAATCCTCTACTTTCAAACAGAGCTAATCCGCGAATCTGACTTTCAGACGTTCGAATTCCCCATGTCAATATGTTGGCACGGTTCTCTTCCGTTGATCCTGAGTCTGGCAAATACATCAGACCTTCTTCACCCTCTCTCATCTATGGCACTCTAACTTGGGTACGATCAACAATCGTGCTTCAGTCAGGTGGCGTCTTAGCGCGGGGTATTACGATCGCAACAAGATATGCAGCTGTCCGACGTCAATTCCAGGACCGAGATGCGCCTTCAGATGCACATGGTGAAAATCAAGTCCTCAATTACACCATAGTTCAATTCCGTTTGCTTCCTCTACTTGCAGCAACATTCGCTCTACACTTCACTGGAAAGGCTATGATGGCATTGTACCAAGAGAACCAGAAGAAGATGCAATCAGATGTTGGAAAAACCTCGGACATCAACAGGGGAGCTGGCCCAGAGGAGACACACTCCGGGAGCGATCTGCTTGCCGATCTTCATGCTACATCCTGCGGCCTCAAAGCTCTCGGTAGCACCACGGCAGCTGAAGGACTCGAAGTATGCCGAAGAGCCTGTGGTGGCCACGGCTATTCGAGTTTCGGAGGAATTGGCGCATGGTATGCGGATTATCTACCAACCACAACTTGGGAAGGTGATAATTATATGTTGACTCAACAGGTTGCTCGATATGTAGGCCTTGTGTTTATACTCAAAGATCCACTGCTGATTATCTTGTAGTTATTGAAATCCGCACGTGCTGTTCTGAAGGGCAATGCTCCAAACAACGATACGACTCGAATCTTCACCACCTTCCTTCAGAAACAAGATATGGGTGCTGCTCACGACGTTCTTGGTTCAGACAGCGATCTTGTGGATGCCTTCGCCTGGCGTACTTCTTTCTTGACATTCGAGGCTCTGAAACATCGAGACACTGAGAAAAACTCCTGGAACTCTTTGTTGGTTGATTTCTGGCGCCTTAGCACCGCTCACTCAGAATATCTTGTGGTCAAGAACTTCTACGATGCGCTCCAAAGTCAGAGTCTGCAATACGAGCTCGACCCCGCCACGATCGATGTTCTGCACAAGCTCTTCCGTCTCTATGCACTCAACACACTTGAGAAAGGCGCTTCCGAATTCTATTCCTCGGCTGCTGTCACCGTTCGCCAGATTCAGTTAGCAAGGACTAAGACTGTCATGAGACTGCTCGAGGAGGTCAGACCTCATGCTTTGAGACTTGTAGATGCTTGGAGATTCCCTGATTGGCAACTTGACTCTTCACTAGGTCGCAAGGATGGCAAAGTTTATGAGGATATGTTTTACCGGGCCAGTGAGCTCAATCCACTCAATGGGTTGACTGTTGATCCGTACCCGGATAGTGATGTGTTGATTAAGAAAGATGAGACGGCAAAATTTAGGAGCAAGTTGTAAATTGTAAATGGGGGCTTTGTATATATATATGTTGCTCCCCTGCTTGAATATGATTGGAAGGAAAAGTCTCAACTCAGCTCAGTCTTGGCTCTGGAACAGAATTCACATCTGCATCATTCCGTGACAAAGCCATGTTCAAAAATAAGAAACGTTCTGCAAGAGATAAGTGAAAGAAACTCACTGGAAGCGTGGAAGTAATAGTACTGTGACCCAAAGAGAAGTTGCGAGGCTGATAGAACCATCCAGCCTCGTCGGCTTCGCAACCGCCGACCATGAGATCCACTTTGACCCAAATGAACTCCATCGTCTTGACAACACACGATTGTACACCATGCATTAATGTCCTCCCGACCCCATTTACCACCGCCGCTACCAACTCAATAGCCCTTCACAGCATGGCTGACTCCGCAGACGAGCCGCTGATGCGGCATGAGCCGGAGAACGATGACGATCCAGCTGTTGCCGTTGACCTTTCCGATGTCTCTCTCCTCCTCGAGAAGAATCTGCGGCATCCAGGTCTATTCGTGTGGCTACTTACTTTCTCAGCGGGGATCAGTGGGCTGTTATTCGGATGTGGGTATCCCTCAACTACAAACAGAAGGAAATGACTGATGAAAATGGTAGACGACACTGGAGTCATTTCCGCGACCCTCGTCTCGATCAATAGCTCCCTCGGCCACCCATTGACGACTCTGGACAAGAGTCTTATAACTTCTGCGACGGCGCTGTTTGCATTGCTCGTCTCTCCCATCTCTGGCGTGCTGGCAGATAAGTTTGGAAGGAAGAGAGTTGTGCTGTTGGCGGATATTGCGTTTATCCTCGGTGCTTTAGTACAGACTGCCACCTCCTCTGTGGCGGGGATGATTGCTGGCCGATCGATCGTGGGACTTGCTGTTGGGGCGGGAAGTTTCGTGGCCCCGTTATATATTGCTGAACTTGCGCCAGCTCCGTTCAGAGGGAGACTGGTGACGCTAAATGTTTTATTTGTTACACTTGGACAGGTGGTGGCCTATATTGTCGGTTGGGTTTTTGCGGAATGGGGGAATGAGAATACGGGCTGGAGGTGGATGGTTGGTCTAGGGGCTTTGCCGGCTGCGGTCCAGTGTTTGGTTATGTTGATTATGCCAGAGACGCCGAGATGGCTTGTCCAAGTGGGACAACATGATGAGGCTAGGAGTGTTTTGAACAAGGTGTTTGGAGGTGGTATTGAGATACAGCGTATGGTTGATCATGTTCTGAGAGGGATTGAGAACGAAGTTCGAGAAGAGGAGGAAGCGAAGAGAGGGAGGCTGAGAGGTCAGAGTAAGAAGGGAAAATCAACTTGGCTTACTGGCTCGAAAGATAATTGGAAAGAGCTGTTCAGAATTGGTGGGAATAGAAGAGCATTGACTATTGCTTGCTTGCTGCAAGGTCTCCAGCAACTATGCGGTTTCGTAAGGAAGAGTGGCCTAGAGCAACTTGGTTTCAAGCTGACTGAACTTATAGAACTCCTTGATGTACTTCTCCGCCACCATCTTCACCATCCTGGGCTTCGAAAGCCCAACTCTAACCTCTCTCTCGGTGGCGCTGACGAACTTCCTCATGACTTGCGCCGCTCTGTTACTCATCGACCGTATTGGACGAAGGCGTATCCTCCTCTGGTCCATCCCAATCATGTCCATTGGCCTCCTTCTCTGCAGTTTTGGATTCCATTTCATCACCCTGCCCGCTGATCTTAACTCGAAGAATCCATCATCTTCTTCATCTGCACATGAAGAGATCCCGCTCTCAGAACGAACAGCTCCATTACTCGTCCTTGCAAGCGTAATGCTGTATGTCGGCGCCTATGCTCTCGGACTTGGGAACGTCCCTTGGATGCAGAGCGAGCTCTTCCCTCTCAATGTGCGCTCCCTTGGCTCGGGACTAAGTACGAGTACGAACTGGGGCGCAAATTTCGTTGTTGGGTTGACCTTCTTGCCAATGATGGAGTTCCTGACGCCTGCTTGGACATTTGTGATCTATGCCATTGTATGCGTAGCAGGATGGCTTTGCATCTGGCGTATATACCCCGAAACAAAGGGATTATCTTTGGAGGAGACGGGAACGTTGCTTGCGGATGGTTGGGGCGTGAGGGAAAGTTTGAGGAGAGCAGAGGAAAGGAGCTAGGCTGGTCGGCATGGCGATGGCCATGGAAATTTTTTAGAGAGAAGATATAAAGTCTTCCGACTTTTGGCCGAAACGCCAACACGCAATTCTCACAATTTTTGAGACGTTTTAAGCACCTCTTCCAACTCAAAAGGCCGATCTTGCCATCAACATCACAAGCACCTCTTTTGACACCAAGTTTGCAATATCTGCTCGCAACACTGGATGAGTGGACGAGGACAAGGAAGACGATTATCTGCCGGATCCTCCTGCTTTCAACGCCTGGACGTTCGCCCCACCACATTCACCACCACCACCACCACCACTGCCAATTGCGCTAAATAGTCTTTGCAAAGAAGAAAGATTAGCGGAGAGTAAGTGCTTATGTCTCGTTCCCCTTCTCTATCGTCTCTTTGAATATCTCCTGCCATGAGTTGCTTTCATCAGAGGTTCTTACTGCTGTCATTCAAGTCCATTGAACGGACGAAAGTAAACCAACCAGGGGGAAGACTCCAGTCAAAAGCACATCATTATCATTTATTAATCCTTTGTGTAGTTTCATAATGACTACTCCGGCAGACGAGACGACCCAAAGCCCACCCGAAACAACAGACGAAGACCAATTAATAGCCAATCTCATCCAAGCAGCCAATTTCTTGCAAGACCAAATCAATACAGTCGAGCAACTCCTCTCGTCCCGCCAAAGCATCGACCATCTCCTACCTCGACTCGTCGAGTTTGATAAGCTCTTGCGGGAAAGTCTGAAGGTTGCTCTGAAGACCTTGGAAATGGACGATAAGGAAATGGAGCGCTTTAGAAAGATCTTGCAACGGTCGAGGAAGTTGAGGGAGCGGGTTGGTGGGATGAATAGGAAGGCGAGGATGGGTGAGAACCTTTTGGAGGGGCTTTTTGCTTGTGGGGACCTTAGGAGGATGGTTTTGGGTGACCTGTTTTGTCGGGACTTTGAGGAGCTCTCATTGGGCATGCAAGGACATGGGGACGAGAATGAGGAGAAGACGGGTGGAAAGGGGGAGGGAATGGAGTAATGGGCGATATATGTGGATAAGGACCATACTGAATGTGAAGGAGTGGCATGCATAACGACAATGCACTTGGATAGATTAGAGAGACGAGAACAATGTAACCATGGACGATACCTGTGCTGTCAGTTCTCTTTCGTCCCTGATCTGAATTATGTGAGTGATAATAGCCTTACATTATTCTGCGCCCTCTTGAAATTGCTATGCGCATTTTGTGTATCAATATCCAAGCTCCTAGATTGCTCTCAGCTTTAGTTTTTGCTCACACTACTTCGAATCTCGTAATATCACATGGCAATCCTACTGTAATCCCTAGAAATAGCAATGGATTCTACAGGCTTGCAGGACGGACGTCGGCCTTTGAAAATGAAAAAAAGCCCATCTATCTCCTCTCACAGCCTTGCATCGGCATTCGGGCTCGGCCTGGAGAATTTTCAAGTCCTGGCAACCCCTGCACAACCCAGCCCTCGCTGAATTTGAGACGAGAGCTCCACCGTTTCCCGTTCAAGACGCCACCTCACAATACAGTATGACATCACTGTCAAGCGCAATAGCAATATCTCAGGCAAAGAAAGGACAATCTTTGATCTTCCCCGGGACAAGCTAGTGAAGGTAAGGTTAAAGGTTCTTAAGTCCAGAGCTATTGCCGACCAGCCCTGCGTTCGGACGTGGCCGAGCAGCACCTGCAGGCTCTGATCTCCGAGGCAGAGGCACAGCGAGTGCCCAGTGACGAAATCACTCACAGACCCTGCTCGCTGCGAGATTCTGCGGGCGGCTTACTAATGCACCTCGGTGATCGGTCGAAGCTTGTTGACGCCTCACAGACAGAGCTGTGCCAATAAATAGCAAGGCACCCCTCCCTCATTTTTACAATTGGCGATTCAGTCCAGTTCCTTCACTCTTTCCATTGTCCCCAACAGTCGCCAACATGAATGAAGCTGATCGAGAGATGGAGAGGAACGAGCGGGATGCCTCTCCCGAGAGGTTCTCCGCAGTGCGCCCCAGCCATGAGATTGAGCGAATTGCTACCGCGTCCAGCACCTCGACAGAGTCCTCAGAAGGGTCTGTTGCGCGGAGGGACAGCGCCATGCGTCGAATGTCAACACAGAGAGACTTAGAAAGACACCCAACGGTCATCAGTCGGATACATACAGCAAAATCGCAGCACGCGGGCACCATTGGACGGAGTCTTACTGGCAAGAGCCGCGAGAGCAGGCGGCCCCTTCCTGAGATGGGGTTAGGCAAGCCGTATCCACCACTTCTACCAGCTCAGGAGGAATATGTGGTTGAGTTTTCTGGTCCTGACGATCCGTTGCACGCTCAGAATTGGCCAATGAAGAAAAAGTGAGTTGATGTGGGATTGCCCCTCCTGATAAGCTCTCGTCTAACCGTCTCACTTAGGGTTCTCACTGCAGTCATGCTAGGATACACTACATTGGTATCGGCATTTACGTCCAGTATTTTCTCGACCGCGACTCGAACAGTAGCTGCACAATATCACGTTTCGACTGAGGTTGGATTGCTTGGTCTTTCACTTTATGTGCTTGGATTTGCACTTGGACCTACATTCTGGGCCCCTCTCAGCGAATTGAGAGGACGAAGACTACCGATCGTCATTTCGATGTTTGGCTTCTCGATTTTCCAGATTGGGGTCGCAGCCGCGAAGGATTTACAGACCATCTTTCTGTGCCGCTTTTGGGGAGGTGGGTCATATCCACTCGCTCCGGAGTTTAGAGCTGACCTGCATAGGTATTTTTGGTGCATGTCCACTTGCCGTGGTTGCCGCTATTTTCTCCGACATGTTCGATAACAGGACTCGTGGATTGGCTATCACCGTTTTCTCAATGACAGTTTTCACTGGTCCGCTTTTGGCGCCATTCATTGGTGGCTTCATTGTGGAAAGCTACCTCGGATGGAGATGGACTGAGTGGTAATTATATTCTCTCCGTATCCTCAATTTAGATGCTAACAATACCCAACAGGTTAGTTGCTATCATGGGTTTTGTTGCCTTCTTCTTGGATCTCTTTTTCCTGGAAGAGACCTACCCACCTGTGATACTCATCTCCAAGGCCGCCGAATTACGCCGAAGAACCAAGAACTGGGGTATCCACGCCAAGCAAGAAGAAATCGAAATCGATTTCCGCGAGCTGGTCACCAAGAACTTCTCCCGTCCCATGCGTCTCCTGTTCACCGAGCCCATCGTGCTCCTCCTCTCAATCTATATGGCCTTCATCTACGGCCTCCTTTACCTCTTCCTTACCGCCTACCCCATCGTATTCCAGCAAATTCACGGGATGAGCGGAGGCGTTGGCGGCCTGCCCTACTTCGGGATGATCATAGGCATGGTCTGTGCCGGAATCTACATCGCACTAACCCAACCCAGCTACAACAAAAAGCTCGCAGCAAACAACGGCATCCCGGTTCCAGAATGGCGTATCCCACCCATCATCATCGGCGGATTTTCCTTCGCAGGCGGCTTGTTCTGGTTCGGATGGTCGGGCTACAAGAGAGAGATCCATTGGATTGTCCCCACGCTCTCCGGGCTTCTTACTGGTTTCGGCCTGCTCTCCATCTTCCTGCAGGCTTTGAACTATCTCGTGGATGCATACCTCATGTTCGCTGCGTCAGCGATTGCGGGAAACACGTTCCTGCGTTCGTTGGCTGGAGCAGGCTTCCCGCTCTTCTCACAATACATGTTCAAGGCCCTAGGTGTGCAGTGGGCAGGTACATTACTTGGCTGTGTTGCTCTTTGTCTGGTTCCGATTCCCGTGGCGTTTCTGATTTACGGAGAGAGGATCAGGAGGAAGAGTGCCTTTGCGCCGACGAAGCCTATAGAGCCCGTGAGCGAGGAGGATGAGGTGCCTGCTGGCTTGGTTCAGGAGAAGACGACGACGGACAACAATGTTTGAGTTATGAGGTGGGATGACTTCTATGGTGTGGATAATGTTTCATATGGGTTGGATGGATATTCGGCGGCGTTTGTGATACCAAGAACGGGGTTTGGTCCTTTCGGGCATTTTTGTTAGGATAATCTGGTATCTATAGTCATACCAACCTAATGTCAAAGCCACAATTTCAGAAAGAAGCTCTTGATTGAGAAAATCAGCTAGGAAGTGTGCGTCACAATCACCAGGGATCAAATAACACACAGTAAATTAAAGTATTTTTCATTCAATTCAGCTTCTAATGAACGCTCCTCTCCTCTCTGATCTGCCCTGTCTGCTATACTCTACACATCAATGAAGATCACAAGCAAGAAATCTCGTAAGGAAAAGATCGTTCTTTCCTGTCTGCCTGCTCGATATAGTCCCGTAGCTCGATAGGACAGAACCGTAGCTCTCTCAATAAGACCGAGCCACAAGTACGCCGTGCCAACGCCATGCTGGAAAAGAGAAATCCATGCTGCTTGCAATGCCCTCCATCACACAATATACTGCGGCTGATTATGTACCGCTCGTTGCTATGAAGACAAGTGGTGGTAAGCCCACCCAATCCGAAAAGAAAAGGAGAGATGCGGTAGTGAGACAAGTGACATGAATCGAACATTGTTACATCCCCTCCCTTTCTCGTCCCCTTCAACACCTGGACTCGGAGCCAGATGACACATTTCAGATATCAGCAGGCACCTCGCTCTCCCCATTCTGCGATCCCTCGTGAATAGCAGTAGAAGGAGAAAGTGGTTCGTCCACTGCCTCGGCCAGCGCATCTGCCTGTGTCATGCCATTCTGCCTCTCCCAAACTTCCCTGCGGATCCTCTCATCCTTCGCCTTTCTGGCGCGCTCGACCTCCTCGAAACCGCCTGCCTTTTTCAGCTTCCCCTCTTCCACGAAAGTCCCCAGTTCTTTCTGGAACTCTCCACCTCGACGGCTTTCGAGTTCTCGCTGGCGGAGTTTCTCGGCACGCTCGATGGCTTCGAGTCTGTTTTCGTGGTTGGGTTGCAGGGCGCGAACTTCTCCTAGTACGCCTTCTTTGGCGAGAGAGGGGTCGGCAGCTGGGATAACGACATGATTCAAGCCTCGGCCGAGTATGCGTGTTCCAGAGCCAGGGGCGTCTTTCATCTGTTCCTTGGTCGCTTGCTCCACCAGTGCGAACGTCCCAGCAGCCTTCTCAAGATCGTCTTGAAGATCAGTGGCGAGGTCCTCTGCCATAGTCACTTCCTCGCGGTCATTGCAGACGGTCTCGAGCTCCTGTTCCCAGATCTTGGTCCAGACCGGGCGCTCACGTTTCAAGTAGTCTTGCATCTTCTTGAGCTCCATTGTGGCCTGGGAAAGATCTTTGGCAACGGTCTCGAGTTGACGAGGAAGAGGACGCACGCCACGCAAAACGACGTCTTTGCGAAGATCTTCGACGATATCTTGGAGGTCATCAACTTGTTTAACGAGCTTGTCGGACTCTTCACCAAGCTGTTTCCTGCCAGTGTTGATGTAAGCACGACCTTTTCCATCCTTGATATCAGGAATGGCGGCCTTGATAGCTACGCTTTTTACAGAAGTGGCCTTAGTGCGAATGATAGACATCGAGTTTTGAATATCGGATTGAAAGCCAGAATAGGTCTGTCGAAGGACAGCAAGATCTCGCCGCAGGCTTTGAATCTCGCTCATTTGAGCCGAAGTGTTGATTTTCGAAGGGCTGATAAGTGGGCTGTTTCGTTGATTATTATAAGACACCCTCGACAAAGGCGCTGCCGCTAATCTAGCAATATCCCTTGCAGTGTCATTCTGCCGCTCAGATACACGCTGGATGGTTGCCGAGTTGTCCTCGACTGATGTTTTCACCACGTCCATCATCGACCTGAGTCCGCCTATTCCTTCATCGATATGACGCTTCACCTCATCCAACACCTCAACATTCAGCACCAGTACAGACCTATCCTTGATGTCATTGAGGTCCTCAAGCTCATGACGGACACCTGAGACGGGATCCTGAATATAGATCTCAGGGAGATCTGTACCATTACTATGTGTATTCCACGCAAATTTCTCGATGAAAGCAAGTTGCAGCCGGGCCATGGACAGGTCGTTGTACCCATCAGTAAGAACAAACTTCTTGACCTTTGACTTGTACTGTAGGAATATTGTCAATTCTTTGCCTGGAGGAGGTGATGGTTCAGGCGTGAATTGTCTGTCCTGACTCGAAGACACAATAGTGGCCTGCTGCTGGTTTCGGGGCGCCTCGGAGAATTCAATCTGGTCTTTGGCGGTACTACTAGGTGAAGCCCCTGGTAGGAGTGGTAGAGCATCGCTGGGGGGGCCTTGGAGGGTTGCACTTGGCGTATCAAAATTGACGGGCGGTTGCCTTATCTTATCTTCTGGCGTCTTTGCAGTTGGGCTATCGTCCCTGGGTGGTTCACTTGGTGCTTGGATTACTTGAGCTTTTGAGCCTTCTTCTAATACCCGACTTGGGATGCGGACTGGTGAAGCCTCAGTTGCAAGACGCGACTGTTGGCGGTTGTGTCTTTGATCTCCTCGGTTTTGAACAGCTCTCATAGACTCTCTAGCATCATTCCTTCCCCTATTGGGAATGGGAGAGTTCTGGGCAGGGGGTGGAAGCAGAGGCACACCATTCGGAGATGCACCGAGGTGCTTAGAGATCTGATAAGCTGAATATCGTCTCGACGCTCGCCTCTCGAGATCACCACCTCTCTGTAACGCCGCAAGTGCATTTTGCTGCTTGGGTGGCGGAGGAGGTGGTGGAAAGGCGTCTACACTAAGCTCTTCCGGCCCTGCTCGCCGCGAATTTTGTGACTCGTCTCCGGGATAAGGTGGAATGATTGTCATGGCTTGCATTGTTGAACTTGACAGTGTTGACTGCTCTGAAGACAGAGACCCTCTTGATGGATCTCTACCGGGAAGTCCTCTTCTATTGGGGTTCGCAGATGATGAAGATCCCCTGGGAGGAACGCCAATCTCATTCGGCATTGCGCTGTCCCTATTCTCAGAGATACTGCCATCTTGAAAGCTGTTCGATATCCCTTGATCGAGTAATGTGCTAAGTCCAGTGTTGCCACTATTGACGCTGCTAACGCTGCTGTTCCGAGGTACATCCAACACGCCATTTTGACTTGACCCCTCTCTCGACTGTTTTTGCCGAAGTTTTTGTTGTTTTCGTTTCAGGCCGTGAAGTAGATTTATGATGATATCTCGGATTCTAGGCAGATATTTTTCCAAGCTTTCGACACTAGCTTCTTGACTAAGAGTTGACTCGAGGATGTGTCGTAGAAGCTCAGGTACGTTGCCTAGGTCGGAGGTATCGACATTGATAGCGGTGAAGGCTCTACAAGCTATATTGAATTCGTATCCTAGCCTAACATATACATCTGAGACTTGTGCATCTGTAGCCTGGTGTCTGGACCACTGTGTCAGGGTTTCGAGAAGCTGTTTCGTTGCGACTAGGAGGTGGGTGACACTCTTCTCGATCTGCGATAGAGGAGGAGCAGTCTGGCTGCTTTGGTTCGGTTGGGGTGGCTGAATCGCAGAACATGTCAGCTCTGCAGTGAATGAGCGGAGGGGGTTATGAAGCGAAGCGCTCGCAATGACGGACGCGCTTTCGGTCTGGCACTTACATTCTGTCTCCTGCTGCCACCGTTTGCTAGCGATTTCGCAGAAGATGACGATGTCCGTGGCTGACTTCCAGGGCCGGGGGACATAGATCGTGCGGGGACGGTCGGTGGAGGTCCTGGATCTGCGGCTGGCGACCTTCGCTGTATCGATCTTTGAGAGGTCGGGGGCGCCTGCATCTCTGCGATTTAAAATGCGGCTCTAGCATACAATCATAGCGTCGTGAACATGAGTTCCCACAGAACAGGTGCACTCGCTGTGAGGAGGTATCGTATGTCTATCCTGGCAGATTTGCGGTTCGACGATTTCTAACCTGTCCGGTCTCACATCAAGCAAGTGAAGTTCATGGTTCGTTACGTTAGGTCGTTGGCGGAGGAAACATCTTGCTAACCGAAAGCGCTAGGCTTCATTTAGACACTCCATGAAACAAACAACACTTGCAAAAAATGCAGTCACAACTTTCTTCACGTCTTGACACTGTCAAAGCAAACGGAGTTGAGCTATTGATCAAAGCTAATATCGACACAGAGGGGCAGGCATCGCTCCAACCCCTAAGTTAACCGAGTGAGCATCGGCTCAAAGACAAGCCTGTCCTGCGGGAGTTGGGGAGATCCTTCCTCGGAAGACTTTCTGCAGCTCTCTCTCCTTACTAAGGTCGAGCGATCCTGGCATTCTTTTTCCTCCGGCCTCCCTCTCCTATGCATCGATGATCCGCGACATGAGAGCGAGAGAAAAGACGTGGCCTCTCGTTGACCTGAACCATTCTATTCCAGAGTGATTTATTTATTTTCAGTTTTCAGTCTTGCGAGAGAGTTCGAGCAAATTGCCAAAGCAGAGGGGCACAGTCACAAGACAAACCCCCCAAGCTCAGGAGTCAGGAGTCAGGAGGCAGCACTCAGGTAACTCTTACAACAGGCTAGCCGGTCCCTGTGCCCAAAGGCTTTCTGCAGAGTGGGGGGTATTCGTATTGGGCGAGTAGTTCTGCCGGGCTTTTTGCGAGACAGTGTGTTGATAATAGCATGCATCTCTCATACTGCCCACAATGCAAACGCAAACGCAAATGCAAATGGTATTGTGGTCCATCCAGACCCTGCTCTGTGCGCTGTCGAAGGTAAATATAACGATCACGGACCACGGCACTTTATGCTCCATGCTTGATTGGCGCATGCCGGCTGGCACTTCTCGTGGGATTGGCTCCTCCAGCAATCAGCCGCCTGCGCCTCCCCTGTCACGGAGAGGGTTCTCCTAATAAGCGTGCGCCAGCCTCCAGGTGCTATGATCGACAAAATCCGGGGCAGCGCTGAGCTGGAGGAGAGCACAGCGTTGGAGCCTTGGAGGACACGGCCAAAAACGGACTGCTACAAGTACTTTGTAATAAGTCTGCTAAGTCTGCTAGAGAAGAAACTGCATGTGAATCCGTGAATCCCTCCCTACCGTGGATGGGATCATGGTCTGTGATTCGGTCTCCCTTTCCTGATACTGATACGGTATTCCCTGGGTCTCACCGATGAAATCTAGACCTAGGCCCCGGGTATTCGAACACATAAGCGATCCTCGTCGGGTACTCCCACGCTGTCCAGCTCGAGCTGCTGCTGCTGAGGACGAGAAGAGGACCGACTGTGGAGGCGTGGAGGCCATTGCAAAGCGAACAGCTCCAAAGCGTGGGCTCCCAAGCGTGGGCCCCAAAACACACAGTGTCATGGCGATGATGGCCTTGAGTGGCTTAAAAAAAGTCGTGCTCGTGTGCTTGAGAAGCCAACCCTTCTTCATTCAGTCACCGCTGCTGCTCCAAACCCTAACGACGTGGTCCTTCTATCCAGACACAGGACCCTTTGCATCAACTCTATCGATCCAGTCTCGCGTTGTCTTGCTCTCTTCGTGCCCTGCCCGGCCCTGCCCTGCCCTGCCCTGCCCTGCTCTCTGGAGTTGAGCTCTTTACGTTCGTTCGCCCCAGCAGTTGCGCCCGCACCTCCACGTCCCTTCCCGGAAGCGTTTAAGCTCCCGTTGCAAGGGGCTTGAAAGCTCGCCCAGTCAACGCCGCCGAAGCAGAAACCCAACTAAAATCCAATCCGACTCCGACCACCTCTTTCTACCCACTACCAATTCTACGCAACTGCTCGAACCTCACGTTCTGTCCTTCAGAGCACTCGCCCCATCCTCCTCCCCTCCTCTCCTCTCCCTTCCCATCTCTGCCCTACGTGCGGTTCATGGCCGGAGAGCGTGCGTGCATTTATTGAGTCCTTTCATTCTTCTCGCGCTTTTTTGTCCTTAATTTTGACCACCGCACGATTGCTTGCTTGCTCAACCCCCAACCACCCCCCTCGCATTTTCCGTCACCTTCCACCTTCCACCTCCCGCCTCCACAATCGACACCACGCACCAGCATCGCGCAGACTCCGCATCCTCCGCTCGAGGGACGTTGGTGGATGTTAGAAGGAGAGGACAGGAGGGCATCGCGAGTTTTTCAATCTCCCGAGGTGAGACACCACTTCTTCACATCCAGCCTCCTCAGGCAGCCCTGGATTGGAACTTGCAGCTTCCAGCATCGACCAGCCCAATATGAACGACCATCTTAATGGCGTTTCTAGAGCCGCGCATCTACTGACAGCTTTCAATTTTGTAGACAGGCTTCCTTGCGGCGGAAAGCTTGCCTCACTGGGCACGGGTTTATCACCGGAACAAACACAATTTCAGTATTGGCGCGACTGTTCATGATCAGTGAACGATCTGCGCAAGGCTATCAATCACCAGGTGAGTCTCTCAATTCATTCATAGATCTCAGCCTTCCATGCCAGACTGGCTCCTCAGCTTCACATGCTGCAGCAGCCCAACGTGCGTGTCACGTCGCCTGAGCCTGGTTGGGAAAAGTGCATTTCCGCGCTCGCCTTTCCACAACATTGAGAATATCTCCTAATGCGTCTCGAGCCTAGATACCGCAGCCTCTGAATTGACGATTCTTGTACGGAAGGCACTGGCTCGAGTAAATCTAGCCGGTCCACACCCTTATAATGGTCCAGGGTAAGAAGGCCAACGAAATGTCGAACGGCACAAACAAGTATCAACAGCCCAACATGGCCTTTCAGCGAAACAATTTACCAGATTCTCGTGGAGGTAGCGCGGGCAAGAGTGATGGAAAGCCACAGAATGGTGAGTTGGAAATGTTCCAATTCAGTGCCAGCACACTGACTTCAATTAGGCAATGCCAGTTTCTTCCGCACAGATGCTGCGATCTCTGGTGCCAAAACCCAAGGCGAGCGGCCGCTTCAGAGATGGGTAGACGATGGCCCTGCACCTGTCGATGCTTCTTTGGAATCTGGACGAAATTCGAAGTCTACAGGAGCCTGGGACCAATTCGCCGAGAACGAACGCCGCTTCGGGCTGAAGACCGACTATGATGAAAACATCTACACAATGCCCATCAACAAGAACGACCCCCAATACAAGCAAAAAGCAGCTGCGGCTGATAAGATTGCAAGAGAAATTGAGCATAATGTACCTACCAATCCGCATGTGGCAGAAGAGCGCATTATAGATAATGTGGGAGGAGATGATGGTGTTGATGAAGAAGAGAAGTAAGGCACGCACCCCTTCCTCAATGCTCTTTGCTCACAATTATGCAGGTACAGTGGTGTCCGCCGTCAACAAGAGTTCCCACCTCTGGGCTCAGTGAACAACAACAAATACACACCCCCAGCGAGACGAGCTCCTACTGGACAAGCCACTGTCAGTGGTGCACCGGTCGATCCGGCCATCATATCTTCACAGCTTGCCCGTCCCGATAAGCCAGCAGCTGAACGCCCAAAGCCCGCTGTGGCTGCCAAGGCATCAAAGCCAGAGTTAGCTACCCCTCCTACTACAACCGAATCCAGCTTTGCTGCTACCCCAGAGACGAAAGCTACACTCACCACAACACCATCCTCCTCTAGTCGTACCGCATCTCCTCAGGTCAAACCTGAAGGTGTTCCGAATGCTACCGCGACCGTTGAGCGCGACGTTACAAACGCCTTCAAGACTTTCGCGACTCGGGAGAGGAGAGTCGTTGAGAACGCTCGCATGACGAAGGCGAAAAATGATAAGGAAATCAAGTTGAATGACTTGAAGAAGTTCGCAAACAACTTCAAGCTCCATACGCCAGTTCCATCTGACCTTGTCCCGATCATTGCGAAGGATCCTGCAAAGCAAAAAGAGATTCAAGAAAAGGCCAGGCGTAATGCTGAAGAATCGTCGAAGACACATGCCCCCGAGGCCGCCAAACCTATCGCAGCTGTCCCAGATGCTACTAAGCCCGCGCAGCGTCCAGCACCAGCTCCACACGGCACATCTCCTGCAAACACCTCCAACCGCCAGAACCCTGGACGCAATTCTGCTTTTGTGCAAGGCCCATACAACCCAAACCAGCCCTTCAACAACAGGGGATCTAACCAGACCTCGCAGCCGCAGCCGGCACAAACAAACCGCCCAGCTCCAAATCTTGGCGCCCGTTTGAGGAATCAGGAGCAGAACAAGCATAGCCAGATACCAGTGAATCCAATTCCAGTTCATGAAACGCGTCTTCCACCCACTGGTCCTGCCAATATTGTCGACCCTAACTTCTCACGGCGATCTAGTGGCGTGGCAAGTGTAGGACCAGCTGCCAGGCTGAACCCAAACAGCATCGAGTTCCGCCCAAGTCCAAATGCTCCATCATTCAGCCCGAACGGTAATCCCAGCACTGGTTCAAGCCCCAGATCGGCTCTCAACACTACTGCTCCCACCCCAGTTACTCGCTCATTGCTTAAACGCAAGCCTATTCCGGAATCAGAGCGCCCATCTATCAAGGGCAAGTTCAATGCCTTGGAGAATATCAAGACGTTCAAGCCAGGTCAAGGAAAGGACTGGAAGCCAACTGGAGGCATCAAGCCCGCTTACGATACTCCCCCCATCTTCAGACAGGTTGCGGACGAGGAGAAAGCAGATTCTACGATCCACATGACCTATGCCAAGACATTTGAGATGGCACACTTCCCGCCACAGACCATGTCTCCCCCAAATCCTACCCACGCCATTCCCCAGGTTCCACACCAACATCAATTGCCGTTTCATCTACAACAAGGTGTGCATAACAATATGGCTTCAAGACAGTCTCCTCGCCAGCCACCGATGAATCTTCACGGCAATCAGCATGCCCATGGACCCACTCCACCATTCAATGGCCACGACGAGCACCGTATGATGCCATCACATTCAGCTCAATCCTATGCATCTCCTCGACTTCAGAATGTCCCAATGGCATATCCATCGCCGATGAATCAGAACGCACAATTAGCCTTTCCTCCCCAGATGATGCAATATTCTGGGGCACCACCAATGCAACCACAGCTTCGCTCGTTCTCCCAGAGTCATCAGTTCATGCCTCAGCAGGGGCAAATGGGCCCAATCATGATGCCAAATCCCGCCGGCTCATTCTTGACTTCCCAAGGCATGGCCCCTGGGCCCCAGATGATGTACCAACAGGGAGGACAAGGCCCTTTTATGCCACCTCATAACGGCCCACCCGCCATGCCAGCCAATGGTTTCCCAAGCCCAGGACGAGGTGCACCAATGATGATGAATCAGGGTTCTCAGCAAGGCCATCAGCAGCCCATGTACGGGATGAATCCTGGTATGAGCCCAGGACCGCAGTATGTCGCACCCATGTACCCTCAGCAACCACCTGGACAAAGTAAGACCCCTCATTTTCCTCCTACCTCATTCTTACTAACATGAAATAGTGCCCATGCGCGGGTATGGCGGACCTAATCAGTTTGGAACGAGTCCTCAGCAGATGCATCAATATGGACCTCAACAACATCGAAACAATCATCCGAATGGTAATTACAACGGTAATAAGAATTTCCAGCAACATGGTCAGCATCCTAATGGACCGGCAAGCAACCAAATTCCCACCGGACCCCAAGTACGACCGTCGGAAGGCAGCGACGAAACAAAATGAGCGACTGAGCTCTGTCGTTGACATATTACCTGGCGCCGATGCCTTTGGCATCAAACCTCGTTTCGTTATAGCATATCTGAACATAGCTTCGTGCCAGAATTGGTCTATGCTACATACTTAGAGCTGCTGCGTTATCTGAGGATCCCCAGGTTGCTTGGATTCGCGGCACGAAGCCGAATATCGAAGCCTTGGATCGTGACGAGTTCTCATTCCGTCTCGAGCGCATTTGGTGCGTCTTCATGTTTTGCTTAGTTGTGGGCATCAGTTAACATTCGTGGAGAATCTGATATCAGCAAGGGTTCCCTACATCGTCTCACCAACTGCTCACAATCCAGATGGACAATTCGTACTCCAACTGCAGCTAGGGAGGCCAGGGAGGGACCACACCATTGTTCGAATCTCCAGGGACGAGAGTCGTCAATGCAGTGGCGAAGCTGAACAGACTGGCAGGGATATTTGGGACCACACTTTATGGGGACTTCTGTGGAAAGGTGGACAAGGTCTTTTGCAAAACAAACACCTCGTGGCTCTTGTGGATTTGTATCATAGCTTTAGGTCTACAAGCCCTTCCACCACTACACGTCTGCTTGTGACTTGCTCCTAACGTGAACTCCTTCTACTGGTCCAGCTAATCATCCCTCGTCGTCGGAATCTATAAGGGGAGCAATTCCAGCTGCTTCTTCACTAGGTAGCTGTCGAGGGAACCTGTTGTCACGGTGATCAGCTATCAGAATACACCGCTTCCCCAGTTCAACAGACCATCCATATTCTGCAAAATCCACCATCAACTCGCCCAAATTACCTGTCGTGACAGTCACACCCTCACCGCGTAGGGCTTGAGCTTGATTTGCTGCGCCTGATGGATAACCTCTACTCTTTTATTAGATTAACAATTGTAGGTTCAACATGAGAAGTGATTACCTCGGTGAGATGATACCCTTCGAGTTGATCACGCGTTGCCAAGGAACGTTTCCATTGTGGAAAGTTTGGCTTGTATCAGACGAGAGATGCTTGAGGCAAACGCCTACTTGGCGGGGGCGTTGAGCTGGCTTGCATGTCAGTCTTTGTAATTTCAAAGTCCGATTCCACTGGCGAAAGGGTAACTTTGTAAGAAAAGGGGTCTCACGGGTTCCTATGAGCCTTGCAATATGGCCGTAACTTGTCACCTTTCCATGAGGAACCTCTTGGATTGCGCTGTAGACTGCGTGGAAGAACGCTTTTGCTTCGTCTGTTCGAGGCATGGTTGCATCTGCTTCTCACATCCTTCCGTGTTCTCGCGATGAAAATGCAAGCGGACGCCTTGGAGTTGACACGAGATCCCGTGATTTGCTGGGATCAGCGCCAATCAGCTTCATTCAGATCTTGCATAAGATGGGGTAGGCTCCCCCAGCTTTAGCTTTTCTTCCAGTATAAAATAGGGAAGCACGAACCCCTTCTCGGGATCATGCATCCTGAGTTGTACAGTAAGTCCTCGGAAAGATAGGTCTGCAGCTGGCCGAGACCATCTGTTGTGCCAGCTAGCAGAGGGTCGGCACACCCCGCCATCCTCGTCAGCGGGTCGATTGCGCTACGGGAAATCTTGCTTCTGATCTTCCCAGCCACCAGATTTCGATATCGAGATCTAAAGTCTATTTTAGATCTTGCCCTCAAGTGCCGTCGTACTTCCTCAGTCTGATGCAGATGCATGGACTTTCTTGTCCATAACTTTTCTGGCTAATTAGATGCGTTGTTCATTCATTGCGTAGTGCTGATATCGGGCTCTTTTGTCAGCCTTGCCTTAGATCTCGAGAGCTCCAACTTTGTTCACACCGCAACGACAAACGCAATGCGACTCGACTTACGGATACTAGGCCTGCCGGCTTCCATACTGTTTCTCTTGGCCTCTCGCATGATATCTACAAATGCCGCGCAAGACGAAGAATCTCCGGTACAATTGCAGGGGGATCTCCCCATCCAAAAGCGCTTGCCTCCAGACTCCCCGCAACGCCGCAGGCAGCTCGAAGCTGTAGAAGAACATCTACGACTTGGCAGAAGTCCAGTTGGAGTATTAAAAATGAGCTCTGATGAAGGAGAGAAGTTCTACATGGATTACTGGCAGTTCGAAGGGGAATTGGAGCAGAGTCAGCTGTTGAATACTGGCATATCGTTGAGAGCTAGAGATGAAGAAGAGGAGGCTCGACTGCTGGCAAATTCGTCAGCGACTGTGTCCTTCAGACCGCCGTTCGCTTTACATACGGAAGAGTGGTCTGATACACTGGGTTTTGAGGATCTGAGAGCTCGCAACGTTGTCGATGATCGCAGCTCTGCTGCTGTTCTTGCCATGCTCACGAAGAGGGGTTTTCAATGCCCGACGGGTACCGCGAACTGCACTGATGCGGGATTTCCAAACAGCTGCTGCCCTACCACAGAATTTTGTTATCAAATTCAGGAGTTAGTCAAGGTCATTTTCTTACAAAATTGCTGTTTCTCTTTAACATATGAGAGTGGTGAGCTGGTGAGCTGTTTTGAGACCTCTCTAGGACCCCTCACCCTTACGTCAGCAAAGCACCTTCAAAGCTCTCAGCTCCCTCGAACTTCGCTCGATTTTACAGTGCTAATTTCCTGGATAGTACGGGCCTAGGGCCAGTTGGCTGTTGTCCCAACGGGTCGGTGTGTGGAGGAAGTAAGTCTCCCACCCATAGCATTTATCGTACTTTTATGTCCTGCCGAGTTGTTTATTCTCTAGCTTTGTCTTGGGATGCGACTGCCCCAAAGTCACTGTTCCAACTCCAGACTCTGCTCATCGAGGCAATACTGATCCTTGAATGTAGCGATCAGCCCTTGTAATGCTCCTAACACGGCTTGTGATGACAACAGCTTCGGAGGCGGCTGTTGCATACCGAATTTCGTCTGTGCTGGAATTGGCTGTAAGTACTTCAGTGGGGACCTGTGCAGGTTAAAGGCTCATTTGTTTAGGCGTTATAAATTCAACGTTGGTTACAACGATAGTGGTCACCCACACTTTCACAGTTTCCGCATCATCAACTGGAAGGAGTACTCAAACAACTACAGTAGTCAGCACGCTGACATCTTCAACTTCGTCTTCTTCCTTGCGAAGCACTTCAACATCCGTGACTGGCACAGCTACAGGAAGTCCTCCCGTCCGTCCAACAAGTGATACGTTAACTTCGACGTCGACCCAGGACACAGGCCCTTGCCCAACTGGATTCTACGGATGCTCAGCCACGTATGGAGGCGGGTGTTGCAGGACATTCCGTAACTGTGATATAACTTCATGGTTCGTAGAATCTCTCTGTTTAGGGTTCCATCCGACTTGTTTGCTTCTCAGATATGTCTTGAGAGTTGACTGCTCGCAAGACACTCTCTGAACTCCAAAGTATACCAGTTAAAGCAATGCTGACTCGAGGATCTGGATTGTAGCCCTGCAGGCAGTTCTACAACAATCGTTAGTAGCGGGGTCACTCTTGTGGTTCCAGTAGGGCCAGCTGCAACCGTGAATTCTCCGACAGGAAGCTGTGCTACAGGTTGGACGACTTGCGATGCTTCCTTAGGCGGTAATTGTTGTCCTAGCAATTTTCAGTGTGGTCAGACCCCTTTCTGCTTTCCCTGCTCCACATGTCATACGAGTCTGGTCCCTTGGCTGTCGCTTGAGAGTAGACTCAGAGACATTGTCTCAACGCCAAAGTCGACCCTTGTAAGGCAATACTGACCCGAAGTTTAGGGACAGCCACTTGCTCGTCTGCAGCCGCGACCTCGACGGCCTTTGTACAGAAAGAAAGTCCAAGTGCTGGATTCAGTAGCCGGGGAGTCGGGGCCTTCGGTGCCATGATAATGACCTTCATGCTGGGATTAATTCTTGTATAGACTTGCCTTGAACGAATTGTATAGAAATGAAGCAATATCACGTATGGCAACTTCTCAAAAGTCCCTCGGAAGTCCCGAAAGTGACGACCCTCATTAACACGTGACACCCCTGTCGTTCGACCTTCCAAGATGACGAACTCAACGTGGGGGCAACATCTTCCCCTTTGAAAACAACATCACACCAAACGAACACGCTCTTCTCCCGAATCTCTGAATCCAAGCCCGCGACGGAGTCTCCTGTATCTTTCACGCGGGTGCAAATAACGAACAGAAAAGCATTGCGCCCAGCGATCCGTGATTCGCAGCTCAAGGACTTCGGGGGGGGATCATTCCCCAAGGCGAAGAGGCTTTTTTTGCCAGTCAGTCGCAGTCTCTTCGATCCTCCTCAAACTCTGCCAGAAGGAGTCGGGAAAGAGAGACAAGACGATAGCTAAAGAGCGGCGGGATGACGGCAGCAGTGCGAGCACCAGGAGGCGGAGGATCGGGGCAAACCCAGATGCGAAATCCAGTGCAGGGTGGAGGCAGAGCGAGCCCGGCTATTACGGCGCCGGCGCCGAGACAGGCGGTGCTACATTTGAGGGGCGCGACGAGGGAGGAAGAGTGTGAGCGTGGGCAGGAGGGCGAGAGTGAGAGGAGGGGCATTTCGTGGGCGGAGGATGTGGTTGATAATGAGGGGATGGGGAGGAAGAGTAGTAAAGGTCTGTTTCGTCCCTTTTGCGTCCCTCTCATCTTTTGAGATGATATTGCTGGGGGAGGAGGAGGGGACGGGGAAGGGGAAGGGCTGACAGGAGATAGTCTGCTGCATATACCACGCTCCGAAAGGAATCGACGAGTCGAGTGATGAGAGCTCGAGTGATTCGAGTAGTGATAGTGATAGCGGGGATGATGGGTCCGCAAGGCCGGTGAGGAAACAGGGCGGTGGGCATGGACATGGACATAATCACGATCATGATCACGGAAAGAGGTCTGGAAAGGGGAAGGGGAGAGCGAGGAGTCCGAATGCGTATGAGAAAGTGCGTAAGCCTAAAAGTGAGGGTGCTAAGGATAAGGGATAGGGTGGGAGAATGATTGAGAGTGGAGAAAGATGGTGTCTTGATATGATTGTGTGACAAGGCTCTGAGCTCGGGTTGCGGGTTGCATTGGGAGGCGTTCTGGTGCCTAGCATAGGATTTCTGCATCTTACTGCTTCGTCGTTACGTTCGCATTCTCTGAGACACTCCAAGTGGGAAGACAGCGAGCAGCAGAACTAATGATAATCATGTATAATGGCAGAACCGATCCCGTTGCTTGTGTAATGCTTTTTAAAAGTATCTACAGTTGAAAATTGATTGACAAGTGTCAACATACCGCTCCAGTGCCGGGAGTAAAAAGTACATATATACATAAGAATAGGGGTTCGTTTCGGCCGTCCTTAGAGGTGTCAAGTGTCGCTTGTCGTCGCGCAGTCTCATCAACTCTCGTATTCTAAGAGCAGGACGCTCCTGACGGGACGTTCTTACAACTAGAGCTTGTCTTTCCGCCAGTCACAGAAACGCCTGTCCAAGTCCAAGATGAGCAAGACCCGCTTCCACAAAGGATTTGGATGTTCGTTCCGGAAGACTCGACGGTTCCAGTTATACCTATATGAGAGTCAGCATAGTCTGGTCAAGAGAATGGGGTTCCTTACCATCTAGAGTAAGATCGGTGATGGGAACACCACTAGAATAAATTAGCATCATGTTACTTTGGGGAGTAGGGGGCCGAGAGGCGGGGCGTCCTCTCGACTCCTGAGAATGGGGGGAGGTACGTAGTCGGATTTCCAGTCGGGCCGCCATTCTAAACGTCCCTTAAGTTAGCAAGCTCCTCTTTACTGTGTGGTGTTGAGTTTTGTTGCTTACCTCGTAATCCTGCTCGATGATGATTCCGTATTTCGTGATGCCGGAGAGGGTGATGCTAGACAATCTCAAAGTCAGTACTGCCCTCATGAAGTGGATGTTGGTGGGCTGAAACAGTCTTTCACGACTTCTTCGCGCTGGAGACATGCCAGAGAGAGGAACAGAGGGAGGAAAGCTGAGCTCAGAGATTGCCACGTACTCTCTATAGGATACACCAGAAACGGAACCTGTGGCGTCGTAGACGGTCTTAATCCGAACACCATTCTGGGAGTTCTTGATAGTGGAAGATTCAATATTGACACCTGAGACAGTGTTGTCATCTCGACCTCCTACAGAGCCGATCGAAAGGCCATGGCCGCCCGAGCAAGTCCTATATTACAGGATCTCGGATCAGCACGGCCTTCAAAGATATAATTGGGAGTTGGATAATGCTCCGAGAATTGAATGACTTACCCTCCAGTGAAGGTTATGCTCTGCAATTTTGTTAGCAAGTTTGAGGAGACGAAAAAGTTTTGATAACGGACCTTTCCTGAATTTATAGCCAGACAATCGTCCTGATTTTGTACATTTGCGCCCGAGATTGTGATGCTTGTACTTGAGCCCACATCAAAAGCGTCCGTGTTGGCGGCAAGGGAGTTAGTGTCTCCCGCGCTGTTGTCAATGGTGATATCAGCCAGAGTGAGGCCTGTTGAGCCATCGATTGAGAAGGCTTGTACTGGGGTGTTCAGGATATTGAGGCCGGTGATGGATGAAGTGCCAGTCAAAGATAGAGCGTAGAAGAACTTGGGCTTAGTTTTCCCACCATTGCCGCCTAAATTCCAGAATCTCAGATCAGTGTTGTCTCCAAGCGTACGATTTGGGAGTTGATACAGTAACCCAAGAGTAGTCTGCTCTAAGACTAGCTCGGAGCAGAATACTTACAAGGCATGCGAGAGTTAAAATAATGCTCCGAAGGGTTGAGACTTACCTTTGCCATCCCACCATTTCGCACCATTGCCATTGAGAGAATGCCCGGAGGCTCCAGTTACAGTAATATCTTCCCCTGAGATAGAAAAAAGTGGGCCAGACCATTCTTCATATCCCCATGTCGTCTCGCCCTCAAAGGTTACCTGATAAAAGTCAGCAGGAGCTCAGCAAAAAGGAGCAGTAAAAACTTGCATGTGTCCCTGACCCGAGATCCGTCAAGTCGAGTGTTACACCAGAGGGGACAGTAATGCCATCAAGGACTATGGTTGCACAGCTCTTCTTCGAAGCGCTAGCATCAGCTGCTGCAGTAAAGGTACAGCTAGCACGCTTCTGGAGGGCAGCATTCTTAAGGTCTGGGGCAGGTGTTGGCAGAGGGTTTGCAGAGACGAGAAGTGAAGCCACACCAAGGACCAGCCCAAGTGTTTGGGCGAAATGAGCCATTTGAAAGAATGTCTTGGAAAAGCTTAATGAAGAAGATGGAGTAAGGTAGTAAGCGAGATGCTTGGAGGAACAAAAATAGTGAATGCCAAGAGCGGCTTCTTATAACTTCGGGGACACCCACAAAAGGAGAAGCTGCTCCATCTTCCAGCGATTCCACTGTTCATCCTTCCACGTCAGTTATTCTTACTTCAGACTTCAGTGCAACAGCTCACTGCCACATTGGGAACCTGGAAACCTTCACGGCGGCGGTGTTGCTGTCTTCGATATATCATATATCAAATCCCATTAGTTACCGTCTAAACAGGGATTGAGAAGGCAGGGGCCGCAGGGCGCGTCTGTTTCTTTGCGGACTGCTTCTCAGCTCCTGGACCGGGCCCCATGTTGCGAAGGAAGCTGAGTCCTGATTGGCCACGTAGGTTTGAAGGTTCTTGCACAAGAACAAAAGGAAGTGTGATCAATCGACTGGTGGATCCGATAACAGGCATAAAGGACGGAATGAGGAGGAAAGCACGAGCGGCCATTGGGGAGGCTTCGTTTCGTGTTAATTGAGTTGCGGCTGTAGAAAGGGGAAGTGTGGGGTACATCTCGCTGGCGGCCGATTGGTGCTTCTCGAGTAGAGTGTGGCCCCAGTTTCTCCTCGAATCGCAACAGTCTTCATCCGGTCAAGACGGGCAGTTGCTGATGAGCTTGCCCTACAGATTTGAAACTCATAAGTTGATAAACCTCTTTCGCGGATACTTCCGCAATAGGACCTACCTTCAGTACTTCACCCTTTTACTCTCATCTCGCATCAACGTTGGTCCAAGCCCTGCCGAGTCTGCCGGACCGGCCTCTCTTTCTCTTGCCTTTTCATGCATCGCATCAAGTCTTATGAAGTCAACGCCCATGTTTTTCCGTCCGAGCAAGCCTCAAACTGTTGAAATGACGTGCTATTCGGTGTTCAGGAAGCTGTCAGGTATGTAAACCCCCCCTGGAATCCCTGAATAGGTACACCATCCGCTGACGCACATGCAGCAACTCGGGTCACCTGCTCTATTTCCAACCTTACCCCTCTCAGAGACCCATCGTCTCGGTGTGCTATTGGTGGCATTCAAACCAAGAATCCGTGAAGGGGTTTCACTTTGTTCTCTTTTCTCATGATCTCCGTTGACCCCTTTGTGTGTGCGGCTGTGCCGCCCCTGCGGAACGAATGCTTGATCTGATAGAGTGGTCTTGTTTCAAGTTTCAGTGACGGCCCGCCCGGCACTCTACCTATTACCACGAGCTTTAATGGAAGGGAATTTAATTTATTAGAGGTGGATGATCTAGATCCTTGGGAATTCGGAAATCGGCTGGTCAGCGTCCAAGGTAGGAAACATTTCGTGGGCCTTTTCTTCACATTCTGGAAACATTCTCCACATTTCACTCACCCTTTCCCGCGAAATGTTGGCGGAGTTTTCATTAAAATCCGTGTCTTTCATTTTACTTCGATACATTGCTGGAATAATTAATTCCCTTGGCATCCGTGTGTCTGCTTTTATAACCGGCTTTCCCACTGCACATTCGAAATATGTTCTGACAACTCCCGATCAGCTTCATCGAGTAAGAGTTCGCACACTTTACTTCGCTCTGGTTCAACATGCGCCTCTTACTTGCCGTCAGCTCCCTTGTTACGGCAGCCATTGCCGCAAGCAGGACTTCAGCTCCGTCTGGTGCTATCACAGTTGGCTCCACAGGACAGTACTCAACCGTAGGCTCGCAAAATCAGATGTCACAGAACACAAATTGACGGCCACAGATTCAAGATGCGATAAATTCTTTGAGCACAACATCAACAGCGGCTCAAATCTTATTCATCCAGGCTGGGACATATTCGGAACAGGTCACTATTCCCGCCAGAGCAGCCGCCCTTACGATTTATGGGTCCACCACCGACACAAGCTCATATACAAGCAATGCCGTCACCATCCAACATAGTTCGAGTCTTCTGAGCGGTGCAGCTAACGATGAAGCCACGGGTACGGTCATTAATCTCGCTGCAAACACCAAGTTCTACAATATCAATATCAAGAACACGTACGGTAAAGGATCTCAAGCTATTGCTCTAGCTGCCTATAACACACAACAAGGATACTACGGCGTTGGCCTTTACGGATACCAAGACACCCTTCTGGCTCAAATTGGTAACCAGGTTTACGGGAAATGCTACATTGAAGGAGCGGTCGACTTTATCTTTGGCCAGCACGCACGAGCATGGATCGATAGCTCTGACATTAGAGTTTCAGCAGGAGGAGGTGCTATTACCGCGAACGGTCGTGCTTCATCATCTGATGTTTCCTACTATGTCATCAACAAATCCTCTGTCTCGACCTCCACGAGCTCCACCGCCGGTTCAGGGACCGTGTATCTTGGCCGCCCATGGAGCCAGTATGCCAGTGTTTGTTTCCAGAACACTGTTTTGGGGGCTATAATCAACAGCGCGGGGTGGGAACAATGGAGCAGTAGCACGCCAAATACAGCAGCTGTAACTTTCCAGGAGTATGGCAATACCGGAACTGGTGCCTCGGGAACCCGAGCAAGCTTCTCGACAAAGCTAAGCTCAGCCGTATCTATCTCGACCATTTTGGGAAGCACATACACCAGCTGGGTCGATACGAGTTATTTGGCATAGGTTTGATGGGGATATTGGAGTGGTTGGACGAAACTCGATTCTCAAGTGTACATTGAACCATTTTGTTGCACTCAGAGAACCAGGGATCTCTGTCTTGTACATAGTTCACCAGGAATTGTTAATGTAGAATGGCAGATACTAAAAGCACTTGGGACTGGGCGCGAATTGATTTCATCAAAAAGATATGAACCCCTGAATGACCCTCAAAGTTTAACCGCCGCTTTTAAGCCTCGGATGAAAGCTAAAAAGCAGCGTCACTATCGTTCATAAGGCCGTTGCATCACTGTGCAGAAACTAAGCTATTCCCTGCAAGCCTAAAATCCACCGCAGAATTAATTTAAGCTCCGTCAGACCACGTCTAACACAAGACCGTGAACAGACCAACAACTGTGATACCAACAATGGACTTTTAACAATACTATTGCGAAGATTGGTCAACAACCTCAGAACCAGCGAGAAGGAAGGAAATTCCCCGGAACAGAAGCTACCGAGTAGAGTGGAAAGGACGGAGAAGGACTCAATAGCTCCTTGAACTCCGACTGCGAGGACGCTCTTAAGACAAGGAGGTATCTCTGCTAGTTGAGGGAGTTGCATTTGTACGACGCAGAAGTTTCTCTTTCAGTCCTTTGATCGTCTCCCTTTCCACGAACCAGGACCACCTGCATTCGCCAAGATGCTCCGCACTTCATTACTAGGAGCTCGAGGAGCAACCGGACTCCCACCAACCCTACGATCAAGTTTCCAACGCTCAAACCCCATAAACGCACCCCTCCGCTCCCTAACCCGAAGAACCATCACATCCGGCCCTCCACGAAGCGCCAAACGCTCAACATCCTTCACATTCACATCTCACGCCAGACCACAGAACCCAACCCTCCTCCAGCGCATACGCTCCCTCCGCTTCTTCCACAACACGCGACCCCGCCGCAATGGCAGACCCTCTCCAGACCCAACGCCGAACTTGAATTCGGGCGGGGCCGCTGCAGAAGCAGAACCACAATCGCTGGGCGCGAGGATGAGGAAGTTGTCGAGGGAATACGGATGGTCTGCTCTAGGAGTCTATTTTGCGCTGACCGCCCTGGATTTTCCGTTTTGTTATTTGTTTGTCAGGCAGATGGGCACGGACAAAATTGGTGAGTTTTATTTCTGCTTGTTGTGTTGAGGTTGCGCTGTGTCCAGTCTCCGAGGTCAGGAAAAGGTTTGCAAGCGGCTGGGTAGGTTGTGAAATCGACTACTGGTTCTGGAAATATTGGACAGGACGAGGAATGAACGGTGATAAAGGGATGTGTGGCATCCGAGAGCAAATCGAGAAAACAGCTATGGAAGTGTAGGGGTGAAGAGCTCAGGCGAGGATCCCCCACAAGGCCTTTCAATAGGCGCACGAGCAAAAGAATTTGGGAACAGGCATGCCATCTTTCAGGTGAAAATGAGAAGCGGGAGCTTTCAATATTGGATCGCATTCAAAGTTGCCAAAAGAGCTCGATCCCGATAGTTCGGAGAGAAGCAAATCCAGAAAAGAGGGCAAAGGACCGGCATTCAGGACACTTGGCCCTCGGGTTACCTCTAACTGTTGAGACTGGATATCACATAACCACTTTCTTACCTCATCTTTAATATACAAAGAAAATAGGGAAGAAGACTAACAACCTCACAGGAGAATGGGAACACATAGTCGTCTCATACATCAAACAGGTTATCCCAGAATCCGTCCAAGAAGCCTGGCACAGCTGGCGCTCCTCAATGAAGAAAGCAGCGAGCAACCAAGAAAGAAGCGAGCAAACCGAGCCAGCAGGCTGGGGCGTCGAGGAAGCAGATGCGAGGTATAAGAAGGAAGCAAGTACGTCCCCCTCTACCTTTCTTAAGATTTTAGCTTCCTGACAGAAAACAGGCCTAGCAACACAACTTGCCCTCGCCTACGCAATCCACAAATCCTTCATCTTCATCCGCGTCCCGCTCACCATCTCCATAACGCCGAAGGTGGTGCGCGTGTTGAGAGGCTGGGGCTGGGATATCGGGAAGCGGACGACGAAGGAGGCGAGAGCTATTAAGCGGGCGACGATCCAGGCGCAGAAGCCGGCCAAGAAGAGGTGATGTGTGTAAATATGAATATTTAGTGGGGGTGGGTTGTATGATATTGAGCAAATGGCTGGTTGGCTGGTTGGCTAGAGCTTACGAGGTGATGATGACGGTTGTATAATGATAGAGAGGTGGTAGAAATGCCGATTGGGCAATTAGATTCATTCTACTCTACACTCTTTTGTCGTCTTTCGTAAAAAAAAATTTTTTGTCAATGTTACAGTTGCAGACAAGAAACGATGAACTGCACAACGAACGATACGTTCATAGTTGATAATGATTGACCGAACCCCAGCAATCTTTGACAAACACAGCACTGCAAGTCTGCTCCCATCCAATGTGCTGTGTCCTCGCATTTGGTCAAACCCTTAGTTCATGGATCAAATGCGTTTTATTGACCAAAGAACACTAATATTGCTGAAGTCATCCTCTGCGTAAAAAGTTGAGTGATAATAAAGATCCCATTTTGAGTCTTCGGCGGTGGGTGGTGGTGTGGTGGGTACCATGAATGAGAACGGGAACGAGCAGAACATGGACTTCATCAGTCCATTTCTTAATTGATCCTCGAAACCGAGGGATTTGACATGGCTCATGATACCAGCCGACCCTTCAATCCACCTCTATAAAGAGGACAAGAAAAGCAGCCGAAGTTCCTTCACCAGCATACCCCACCCATTCCACCACACGTCCGCCAGCCCAACATAAGTCCTTGATTCACTATCCTCACGCCTTATTGTCCATTCAGGCGCCAACATGGGGAACTCCAACTCCTTACCCGTCGACTCCTTCCTCGATCGGCATGCCTGCTCCGGGCGCAACATAACCTGGCACTACATCCACGGCAACGGCAATCTGCCCAGCCTCTACCGCGAGTGTCAATACACCCCCGAGATCCTGCGCTCCAACTGCTGCTTCGACGGGTCCTGCAAACCCTTCTCCTTCGTCGGGGAGTTTCACCGCTATCAATGGTACGATTGGGACGGCCTCGGAGATCCGTATGACAACATCACGAATTCCCAGGTCGGGGATTGGGACAGGCATTCGTGGTGGAGGAAGTGGTTGTGTATGGGCGTCGAGGCGAGCTCGGGGCTTAGGGTGTATCACAAAACTCCGCTTGGGTGCGATGGGCTGCCGGTAAGCAACCCGGATGTAAAGCTCGGTCAACCAGACCCGGCATGTGTGCTGGTGGAGGAAGAATGGAAAAAGGCGCCGCCAGCAGAATTATGGAAGACGATTGAAGCGCTCGAGGGGCTTGACCATATGAATGTTAAGCCCCGGAAAGGCACCAAATTCCTTGCTTGAGTAGTGGATTGGAACAGGGCGGAAAGAGTCCCTAACGGCCCACACGTAAGTCCCAGATCAAAGGGGTCAGAAAGATAAGCGAACATCGATAATAATCTATCATACATCAACCCCCACCCCGCTCTAGGGCAAGTCATCCTCTCTGTAAAAAGGTGATTGATTATATACGGAAGAGGATGCAGAAATCACCTGCAATCCTTTCCATGCTCTATACAGTTGAAACAAACCACACACCTCCATCCTTCGCCTCCTTTCAAATGCCGAATGCCAAGTTCCTTTCCCAGCCATGCCCATACACAAAGAAAATGGTGTTTGGTTCCTCTCGATGATCGTAGGATATGTATTGGGCCCTCAGTCCTGACGTATTGAGACCTGGTGTGGTAGGCGGGTGCTTCAAGCTCCCTCAGAATTCGTCTCTTCCTTTGCACAGGATCCAACCCGGATTTACGCCCATTAATGCAATATTGAACTCATTCCACGCACAGCCAGCTGTCGAATTCGCTGGGGCTATGAGAACATGCAAATAAATCAGATAACACCAGTCTCCTGTATCGAGCAAAGTCCCAACTGATTACAACGCCCATTAAGCCCTTTCATTAATGTTCATATCCGGCTCCACGTTGCCAAGGGCTATGTTATGTCAGCTTGCACTCAGAGAGTTGCACATCAAAGTTCTTACCTGGCATTGTTTTGGTTCCTGAATCCCGCAGGACTTGCGTTATTTTGCGATCGGTATCCCGCCGACAGACTTGCTTGCGATGGGTTCTCTCGGTATGGAGAAGGTGATGGGGTGTGTCTGTTACCCAAAGCGCTATTTGATCGCGAGTTGTCTTGATAGTTCGGAGGAGGTCCACGGCTACCATTGCTACCTGCGGGGAAAAGTGGTACTGATGGGTGCAGCGGCGAGTGAGGAGGTTCATGGAATGTACCAGAATTGGCTGTCGACGGAGGAAGTGGCATGCTTGCTGGGTTTCTTAATGAGTCAGATGACCAGGACTCATTATCATCATCTAAATCGAGGTTGTGCTTGTAGCCACCCTTCATATCACCCCTCGCAGTAGCTCCCAAGGCATCCAGCTCCGTAGTCAATTGGGTCTGGGACTTGATGAACGAGGCTCGGTCATCGCTCATCGGTTGGTATCGGGTATCCGGATTCTTTCTAATAAAAGCATATATTGTTGCAAGCAAGACCAGAGCGAGGAGAACCAGCGAGAAGGCGGCGTTGAGAATGAAGAAAATAACACCCACGACACCTGTCACCAAGCCTGGCTGGTTGAAGACATCGGTGAAGATAAGGAGGAAGATGGCATTCACGAAGTTGACGGCACAAATCGCGATGTTGAAAGTGTTCGTGCTCTTGTCCATCCATGGTCGAATGACGCTGGCTCCAATCAAGAAAATAGCTTCAATCAGTAAAAGTGCCACGGCCTGGACTGTTCCAGCATTCTGTCCAAAAGCAATGAACATGCCTTTGACGAGAATGTAGACCAAACATGGGAGGATGAAGTAGTAGGCAGTGGCTCTAAACTGGACGTACAGGAAACCCCACTTATTGAGTGCCGATGGGTCCGAGTAGAGGATGTAGGCAGGGTTCTTGTGCATATCCACTGAACGCTTTGCAATACGGATAACCTTCATTGCAGCCCAGGCAAGTGTTCCAGTCATTCCAAAGAAGAAGAAGATTGCAAGGACCACTTCGGCGGGAGAGTCGACCTCGGTAAACTCCCACAAGCAAAGAATAGTCATCTGGGGATAGCCAATGAGAACCATTCGGAACATGATCCCTTTAAGAACAGTAAACCATCCATTTCGGAAGTCCTGGAACTTGTCGCTCTCCATCCAGCGCCATTTGACAGCGAGTTCGCAAAAACCCTTAAACATGGCAACGAAGAGCATCGTGAAGAAGATGAAGATGCAGAAGAAGATCAAGCCTGTGAGGAAGAGGTTGGTTGACTCAATTGCGGCTCGGAATGCAACTCTCTTGATTCCCTTGACGACATACGTGCCCGAGACCTCGGTGGTAGTACTAGCTCGTTTGCTCATTTGGTGAGCTGCGGTAAGAAGACTAATAGTCTGATCCATTGAGCGTTTCCCAATAGATCTTTTGAGGACCTGAACTGAGGTAGTTGTGAGACTGTTGAGAAGCGTAGCTGGGGTTCCGCCGGTCGACTTCTGGTACCACGTGGCAATTTTCTGCATGAAGTCGACCTCAATAATACCCATACTCCAGTCGAAGTTCTGAGTCCATGATTGAACGATGGGCGGGAGTGGGACAGAGGTGAGCCCAATAATGGCTTGAGCCTGGAAGTATCCGAAAAGAGATAATGCGTTAGCAGCAACGTGGGCTGCGGTGTTCGAGTGTCCGAGTCCGGAAGTGACAGCTGAGGCAACAAGAGCCAAACCAGCGATGACTGCAGTCGCCCATCCCACGCCCTTCTGATCAACCGTTTGGCCGTTCGACAAATTGGCCTCTACACAAGCCAGACTAACACCTGTGTTCGTTGTAGAGTTGATGATGACCTTGACGTTTGCGTCGAGATCAGGGACACCGTATGCAATTCCTGGGATTGAATCGACGGTGCTCTGTTCGAGCACAATGTTAGATTGAATATCAATCTGGCCAGTGCTCATCGGGCACATTCCATTCAAGCTCTTCTGTGTACATGGATTCAGGGTCTCTTTGAAGATGGACAGGCCGTACGCCGTAACTTCGATTCCGAAGGTAACATTGCCCTGGATGGAGGAAACACCGACGACATCGAAGGTAAGTGTCAAGTTGTCTGGCGTGAAGACGACATTGAACAGACTTGCTGTAAAACTGGAATTGTCTTGGCACGCATTGAGGGATTTCGACTCAATCAATCGAATGGCAGAGGTCCCCGAGAGGAGGGAGAGGAAGGACGTCAGCAGGACGAAGGGGGAGAGTGACATTGAGGACCGCATGATGGTGTTTGTGTGTTGGCGGAAGCCGTCGCGGCAAAGGGGGTGAAGTTTGCTGTCCCGGGACTCCGGATCAAGATCGCGAGGCCTGCGAGTCCGGGTGGTACAATGTTGTCCTACAGCACTTCGTTATCGCACTCAGTCCTCCGTGAAATCGCGATAGTCCCTGAGTGGTGTGAGAATGTTGCGGTTGAAGTTTCGCGTTGTTTGGTGAGGTCATCCACGGTTCCTGGAATCTAGCCAAAAGTTGGCAGTTAATGTCCCGGTTGAAGCGAGAGGCGAGGGGCGAGGTGAATGGGTGAAATCGCAGCGAGTGAGATTTCCTGCTCACGAAAACGAGTGTGGCTGCGAGAGAGTATGGAGGCCGGTCGAGATTCGAGAGTCGAGAGTAACGAGGGAAGTCGACGTCGATTGATCTCGGAGGTGTGGAAGATGTTGAAATTGGGTGGGTATGTCGATGGAGAGGAGAGTGAAAGTACTGTAGGAGGCAAGGACGGCAACGGCGCAGCGTATCGACCAGATTGGTTGGTGCGGGTGGCAGACGCAGGTGCAGGTGCTGCTGTGGCCAGGCAGGAGAAATGCAGCGCTGGCTGGCTGGGCTACTGCTGGGCGCTGGGCGCGCTCGTATTGGGTGCGTTGGCGGAATTGGCAGGCGAAAACAGCCGGGGGGGTGGGGGGTGGGAGGTGGCCAGGGAGACGCACCAACCTGCTGTTCAAGTGACACGGAGAGCAAGGGGGCTTAGGGGGCCCAATTAATATCCAGACTAAGCACGCTTTGGGGCAAGTTCGCACCGCTTCCGGTAAGGCGCGCCATGCTTCATTACGAATTTACGCGTTGCCTGCGTGCGTTCTCCTGTCAGCCAACCACATGCCGATCTCCAAGCGATGGAGTTGGAGATCTCGCCCCCCCTGAGCAGAGTCTAGAGGCTAATGATTTGTAGATGCTCGTACTCGACACAAAGTCCGCAAAGCCCAAGACCAAGTCTGACAGATTCGTCCTGAGAATTCTTGAACCATCACGAGCTGCAGCTCCACCGCCCCTCGAACATGGTGTACACCCTCCAGCTGCGACGTCCTTGGCTGCCACAACTCGACCTACAGACTTGAAAACCAGCTTCCGTCCCCTCTTCACAACAGATGTTTCTCCCACGGGCCGCCAGTCCTGATCTCCGCACGCGACATCACTCGGCGTATGGGATGGTAGGCCGGTTTCTATTCACGGCAACGTCTGATGTTCCGAACCCGTGGGCCACAGCGTAAAAGTCACTCTTGTAACAATTCGCGTCTGGCCCTCCGCCAAATAATCCCCTCCGCTGGTGTTTTCGGCGGGCCACCACGATCCTCTTTGCACAGCCTCCCTCCGGAACCGGGAATTGAATTGGTGAAATTGGTGCCCCAGAGCCTCGTATCAAGTCACAATCTGGGCATCCAGACTCCAGAGAAACGTTGCAAAGCGCTGACGATCGTGACGATGACGAGGAAGGTAAGACAATCACCACTGTGAAGCATGGATCAATTCGTACCCCAGCCACGCAGCAGTTTCCATACCAAATATCGAGCTTCACAGCCCCAGGTGAGGAGGCATACAGCTTCTTCAGATGACATCTCGTGCTGCACTTAAAGTTCTTATGCGCGGGAATCACCCGTCTCTGGTAGCCAACCTATCTGATCGCAGTTCTTAATGGTTTTGCTGGTTCTAGAATGATTTGAAATATTACGCGTTCGCATGAATCTACTTCAAGGCCATTATCTCCGACCTCACCTTCAAACCGGAAGCCGTTTCGTGAAGCGTCGGCGCGTCGCAGAGTCTCACATCACGGAAGATCGCGGTCACTGATTCCCATGCAAAACGACCCAGTCTGGAACACTGCGCCGATGGTTTCTTGTTTCCAAATATCAGATCGATGGTTCTCCCGGTGCATCCGTTCTTTGGGATCGTTTTAACCTTTACCCAAATTATTTTTAGGTTTTCCTCCCTAACCTTGCATGGTCACGGGAAATTGGATCATGTGACCTGTATGGTACCATCCCTCCGGCCGTCCGATGCTAAAGGCTCATAGCACGTGACAATCTCGAAAGCTTGTTAAATGATTTTGCTTCTATCAAGAGTTGTTCAATGAATCACAAGCAGATCTAGTTGTGTTCCTCCTTGCATTCAACCCTTGGCCTTTCTGCTTTTTAACAGACTTCAAGTGAACGACCAGTTGAATATAGACTACTCCTCCTCATTTAAATCCCGGGTTTATGTATATTTCTCTCACAAAGTGAGCAAGAGCAAATCGTGAAAATTTCGGGAGCAAAGCTACCAGTGTGCCTTGGGCATCTGCAAACTTCCCTTTGCTGCGATTGAACAGCCACATGCAGTCCAGCCTTGCGCCAACGCACCTCAAGGAGGCCAAGGAGGCAGTGAGAACACCGAGCAGCCTTGCTCACCGATGAGAAACATTGCAACTCCCCACACAAATATGAATCCTTTAGATCCTTTCTCAGCGCTATCCGTCGCTTCATCCGTCGTGAAATTCCTTGACTTTAGCTGTCAAGTCGTCTCAAAAGCGAGAGACCTAAACCACTCTGCCGATGGAGTCTCTATCGACCATGCACAGTCTGAGGCCGCGGCAAAGCGTCTGGCTAACTTGGCGGAGGGAATGAGAGCGTCGCTGCAACTGGGCAGCGCAACAAGTGCCGTTTCTGGCAATGAGTTCGTTCTGGTTTTCCGTCATGCGCTGCCGGAAGACAAGGCTATCAAAGTCTTGTGCACTAGCTGCATTGAGATATCAAATCAACTGATTGACAAATTTGGCAAGCTTCGAGTTACGGCGGGGACTAAGCACAGGAGGTGGAAGAGTTTGCGACAGGCTTTGAAGAGTGTGTGGTCGAAGAAGGCGATCGACGACATTACGCGAAAGCTCAATAGCTATCGGAAGGAACTTGAAGGACATGTGCTTCTCTCCCTGAGGTGTGTCAATTTTCTGAAGAGATTGAAAGGGGATTGGGGGCTCACATGCGATTAGTACAAAGCTTCGAGACTTTCAGCTTGCTCAAGATGAGCGCTTCTCTAGCCTCGACGAGAGGACGCAGCAGAGCACTCAAATCTTGGCATTAACTTCGCAAGAAGCCCATTTCAAGCTGGACCAAGTCCTCCAGCGAACTTCTGCAGAGAACTTGCAGTTGATGCAAAATGAAAGCCAGAAGTTTGCCATTGCAAGGGAGCTGGACCGGAGAGTTGATTCCATGATACTTGAAAGTTTGAGATTCTCAGCCATGAATTATCGCCAAGAAGACATCTGCAAGCCTTACCAGAACACGTACAAGTGGGTCTTGAAAGATACCGACCACATCTCCCATAGCCCGTGGAGCAGTCTTGTTCAGTGGCTTCGGTCCGGCAATGGAGTATATTGGATGAATGGCAAAGCTGGATCTGGGAAATCAACATTGATGAGATATGTGTATGAAAACTTGGTGACACGTGCTCTGCTACGTTCCTGGGCACAAGGAGGTGAGCTTCAACTTGCTGCATTCTTTTGTTGGTACAGCGGGTCGACAGAGCAGCGGTCAAAATCAGGACTCCTCCGGTCTCTGCTTTACGATGTGCTTCTGCAGCACCGCGAGTTGATTCGGACGGTCTTTGCTGATGAGTGGATGGAGCAGAGGTCTCTCTGCTACTCTGGAAGCTTGAACGTGACCTTTACGTGGCATGTGAAAAGGCTCCAAAGAGCATTCGTTCAACTTGCGCAGTCAGCCGATGGTCGTATGAAGATGTGCTTCTTCGTCGATGGGCTTGATGAATGCGATGCAGCGGACCAAGACAACTTAAACGAAGAACACTATAGTATCGCACAGCTCTTCAAGGACATCAGCGTCTCGCCAAATGTTAAGGTCTGCTTGTCGAGTCGACCATGGTTGGTGTTTGAACAAATCTTTAGCGGCTTTCCGGGGTTACACCTTCAGGACCTCACACGAGATGACATTCGGGTCTTCGTCTTCGACAAGTTCAATTCGAGCCAGAAGATGCAACAACTAGCAAGAATTCATCCTAAGTTGTACGAAGAGTTTGTCACAGAAATAATAACCAAGTCTGATGGGGTGTTCCTATGGGTCGATTTGGTCGTTATGTCGCTGCTCAGGGGACTTCAAAACCAAGATGAACTGCCTCAACTCCAGGAAAGACTTAGAGGGCTCCCAACAACCTTGGAAAAGCTATTTCAGCATATGTTGGACAGAGTAGACCCGATATACCTACCGGAAGCGTGTCGAATACTTCTAATATATGAATCTGCATCGAGGCACGCCCCACGTGTAACGCCTTTGGATCTGGACCTTGCCACTACAGTAACTCATCAAGAAGTTTTATCAAGATATGAAAAGCCAATGGAAGTACCAGAAATAGCTTTCAGAGTCCATCGGCTCTCAACGAAGCTCAAAACACATTGTCTCGGGTTGCTCGAAGTTCATGATAATTCGGGTACTCTGTGGGAAGCAAATGGGCATGATAGTATAAATCCCGACTCTTCTGATCATCCTGTAGACCAGAACGACACGCAATCAGCTGAATCAAATTGGCAATCTGATGGAGTTCGGTTGGGAACGGAATGGAGGGTAACGTATATACATCGAAGTGTCGCAAATTTTCTTCGCCTACCCCGGGTAATGAAAAGCCTCCGCAAAGAAGCAAGGAAGCAGGCGGGCTTTCAATCGGATCTTTCGGTTCTAATGGGGTATGTAACTGCAATACGGAGATCTGTGTGTATTCGATACGAAGGTGCCACTAGCCACGAGAGGGTGTGGAGAACCGTCGAAGACGCCTTGTGCTGCGTGGCAGACATTGATCTAGCTTTGATTTCCGCCGCACAACAATACTAGGGGAGTTAAGTAACTCGTCCCTTTGATCCAAGCCGATCTTACCTATGGCGACGTTCAACGCGACGGCGCCACCTCATAGCTCCCCCGCCCCAGCTTCCTCGCAACCATAATGCTCCCCGTCAACTCGCGTCTAAATCTATTGCATGCACCGTTACGCGATAGAAGATTTTGATTCTCTTTCGTTGGTCTATGCTCGGCTCACAAACTAGGCAAGAATTCTAAAACCAGTGTTATTGACCATGCCAAATTGAACGAGATGGGGTGAGCTAGTTAACTTACGCCTGTCTGATGGCAGATGCTGTCTGGCGGTTGTACTAGCATGCGTAGATAGATGGCGGATTTTTCGCCTCTCCTCTAACTTGCCTTTGTTCAGTAGCGCTTCCTCGATATGGCGAGCCAGCTGTACATTCAGCTTGTCCATCATAAATAGCGGCTCATTATCTTTTGACTCGATCCAAGGCACTTTGACCATGTGGATGATCTTCGAGTGCTTTCCGGGCAACACAAATTTTTGATCTGGGAATATTTCCCCATACCACTTCAAAAAGTGGTAGCAAACGTAGCAAGCACGTTTACTACACCCAATAAAGCGCTCGTCCGCGTATTCAAAACCGTTTTTCTCGAAATATTTCACAATCTGGAGCTCTGCGTGGTAATAGCGCCGGAATTTACGGCGGTCCCTCATCCACTCATCCAGGGTAGGTGGTGGAGAAGCAGAATGATTGTGGGATGGGTCGTCTCTCATTTTTTCACGGCTCAAGATTTCCTCTTTGAGAGCCTCTCTGCAGTAACTGCTTGTTTGAGGAACGGTAGGGAAGCTTTCCAGCAGTCTTTCCAAGATATTCATTGGCCCGTCTGTACTGATCTCGAATTCTTTCCCTTTATTATCGTACTTAAAGTCATTGTCCCATAGTTGAAAAGTTTTGACCTCGGAGATATTGCGCACCGAGCGAACTTCCCGGGCTGCGATCGCGATGATATCCACGGCAAATGCGTGCGCGCTCAGTCTGTATAAATAATGCTTCAACCGTTCAAACCAGTAAATATTTTTGTCTTGAGCGAGCTCCTTTTGTTTGATGAAATCTGACCACGATCTCCGGTTCAGATAGCACCACTCGGCGAGCTCTGGACGCTGTTTGTCATCCTCCATGAGGACTTTCAGCTTCTGAAGCTCCGGCTTCCATCCCTTGCTAGCTGCGCTGCTCGCTTGTATTTTTGGGGATTTTAGGACCTTCTTTAAGGAAACCAATGCAGATGTGCGGTACGTGTCCATTCTTAGTGTGGCTAGGTCAATGGCCTTCCGGAAGAATTTGGCCCGAACATCCATTCTGTCTTCTGTACTAACATCACGAAATGCATGAATGATAGTTTCGATGAATTTGGGAATGTTTCTGGTGTCGGTGCGTGGAAAGCCTTCATTCGCTGAGATCCATAGGACAGTCTTGTTGTCGCCCACTTTCTGCAGAGCCGCAGCTGCAGTGGTACGTGGGTCTTTTTCAACGTCGCAAAGATATGCGATGCAATCGAGAAAAATCTGGCGGAGTTCAGTCTTGCCTAATGTATTTAGGTTCGACTTGTCGAAACGATAAGGTGGGGGTGATCCTTCATCGTGGAAAGTTTGAAGGCCGGCGTAGAGCACAAGGTTGTCGTAGAACTGAATGTAGAATTTGTGTCTATCGGTGTATAGGACCTGTTGCCAATTTTGTTCGGCATTTTTGTTGGGGCTTTCAAACCCGAAATCATTATGGATAGCGTTATCCAAGGCGTTACTCATATGCTCACGGCCATGATTCGAGGGAGCACCGTTCTGGTTGGGACCAAACTCACTGTCCGAATCCTCAGCCAGGTCATCGTTTGCTTCATAGTTTTCGTCTAGTCCCGGAGTAGGTGGTCGACTCCTTATGTGACTAAGGTCTGCCAGATCCGTCGGAGGGGTTTCAACTCGCGATCGTGGTGATGTATCAAGACTGAGCTGCCTCTGCCTCAATAGGCTGGCCCGCTTCAACTCCTGCTCCTGCTTCCAATCAAGAAGCTTCATATTCCCTGACGGAGAAAAAGTCGTCAGGAGCGCAGAATATGGTCTATGAGGGTTTTGATCGCTCGCGCGTTCGCCTGTTGAATTGAGAGAGGCGGGAGGAATGCTTGATAGGCCATCGAAACCCGGTGCTTGATTCGGCACTCCTGTATTCGTGCCAGAGGTGGAAGGAGGGATGTATGGCTCGGCATTGGGGTTCAGCCCTGATGACGATTTGGTGTGGGTGGATACCCGACCGGTCCGTGCCGACTGGTCATTGGATCTACCGCCAGGCTCCGAACCAATTCTACCCCCGCCTGCCTTGCGTGCATGAGAAGACTCGGACTGTTGCTGCTTGGTTGGCAAGGTAGGCCAGTGAGTAAGGCTGAGAAGAGGCGGAGGTAGATTTTGAATGTTGGACTGGTTTTTTGACGAGCGGTCCTTTGGCATTGGATTATGAAATGCGTGGTTGGAGCTTCGGGCCAGTTTGCCAAGGTCCTGAGAGCGGGAGATTTGGTCCATATTAAGAGATGATAGGGCCAGCTTAAAAGCAATTAGAGATCAACTCAGGTTAAAGTCATGAGAACGTGTTTGGAGAAGTGAAATTTTGAAGATGGTGACTCAACACCTTTATGTACTACTACCCCCCCTCACCCCCCGGTTCAAAGCGCCCTTTTGCCACCGTCTGCCCACCCTCTCTTGCCTCACTCATGCCACACCTAACCCTATTTTCAGCCAATCAGAGCACGTAGAAGCTTCTAGCTCGCCTGCGCAGCCACACCGCAGAAAACACAGCGTCCACTGGCCATACTTTACTTACTTATATCCTCAATTTTTAATGGACTCACAAGATCCACGCTTCACTACCCCGCCGCCTTATTATGGTAACCTTTATGACGCAGAGACCCCACCATCTGCGCAGCCTCGCTCTCCTCTCTCTCCCTGACTCTCAAAAGACTACACAGTCATGGGACTCCCGCAATGGCCCTAGGCCTCAAATTGAGGAATCACAGCCTACGCAGTCTTGGGATTCGCGTGACCTTCCCCCAGACTCTCTTGAGATACCGTCTCCTCCTCTCTTCGTCCCAGACTCTCAAGCAGACTCCTCTCAAGAGCTCTCTTAAGAGACTAATCGCCACTATCTGTGCCCCTGAGACTTCACGTGATAAGGGGCTCCAGATGCAAACAGCTCTCCTTTTCCGGGGAATGTGTAGAAACGACACCCCCCGGGTGTCGATTGGGAGCAAACCAGCTACTAACCCAAAGTAGAGGCGCTCGGACAGGAACACCAAAACTCTGGGGTTTTCTTTAATTTAATTCAATTTTATAAGGAATTAATATAATTTAATGCTTGTTTTATTTACTTATAGCACCAATTAAGGGCTATTCAAATATAATTTTTTTATAAATTTTGGATTAGTAATAGCTCTTTAAATTAAAGAAGTTAAAAGTTAAGTATTTTATAGCTTAAAAGTAAGCTTAAGAAAGCCTAAAAATTTAGCGAAAAAGTCCCTAAAACCAAATATAAGAGCCTTATAAGCCCCTAATTTATAGGGCCTTATAGGGTTCAAAAACTAGAACCTAATTAATTAGTATATAAACTCCCTTAAATTAAAATTCTATTTTAAGGAATCTTTTTACTATAAGTTGGGAAGCACGTGATTATAATACAAGGGCTATGATATACTAGCTTACACTTATATCAAAAAATCTAACTTAAGATTTTTAAAGAGCTTAGGAAGCCAATTACAAGTCGTTGACACCCTTGCCCCAATCGACACCCCTAATCGACACCCGGGGGGGCTCGTTTTAGTTTTTCCCCTCACAACGATCCATTCTTAAAACCCTCCAACATTCACCATCCAATTTGAAGAAGCCATGGCCAGCAAAGCCAGATGTTTACCTCGCCTCACGACGAGCATCCGTGATGCACTTCGCCCCCATTTTCACCAACAAACTAGAGTTTTCTCGGCTTGTTCACGATGCCGAACGGACGGGGTGTTTCGGGAACTGACGGAGATGAGAACGAGGGTTCCATTCATTGAAGCCTTCAAGAAACAACAAGATGAGACAAGCAAGTCTCCACCAGTGCCTGCTGAGAAGGTGGAGAGAGACTTAGCTCCTAAAACAATGTCCGATAGTTACACAAAAATTGTAGGTCATGTGACCATGTCTCAATTGTGGGAGAATGGAGCTGATGAGAGTAGATATTACCTCTGGCTCGGGACCCATGGCTTCTGGACTCTTATATCAATTCTTCTGGTCACATACGTCTTGGAACCATTTTCATGGATCTGGATGCGCTTGCCGGAGTTGTGTCTTACAAGCACACTGGAGATGCTGGAGTCATGACTGTCACCGCAGCAGTGGATCGAATCACTTTAGCGCATCCATTGAATGAGATTTGTGATTTAGAACTCAGCGGGAAAGTCACCTTTGCTACGGGGAGAAGTAGTATGGAAGTCTCATTACAAGTTGCTAAAGCTCCCGAGGAGGGGAAGGAGGTGCAGGACAGCGATATTCTGATGACTTGTGCTTTTACCATGGTATGGATCTTCCTTCTCTCTCAAAATCACCTTTCTAACTGCTATGGAGGTATCTCTGGACCCTGCAACAAAAAAGCCTGTAGCAATTGCTCCCCTCAAGGCCACCTCTCCAGCAGAAGAACGGCTCTTCGCCCAAGGCCAAGCAAACTACGACCTCAAGAAATCCCTTGCCTCCCAAGCACTACGCAAGCAAACGCCCAACGATGAAGAAAGCGACCTGATCCACGCTCTTTGGCTCGCTCAACTCGACTACCGTGATCCCTCGACCTCAGCACGGAAGCCATCTGACGCAGTTTACATGTCCTCCACGACCATCCACTCAGTGCAAATAATGCAACCACAATTCCGAAACCGTCACAACTTCATGATATTCGGCGGCTTCCTCCTGAAATCAACTTTCGAATTGGCATTTACCTGCGCCTCAGCAACTTCCCACACACGCCCGACATTCATTGCCCTGGATCCCTCAACCTTCCTCCATCCCGTCCCCGTTGGCTCAGTACTCTACCTAACAGCAACAGTCGCCTACTCGGACTCCCCACTCGTCCCAGCTGGCGAGGCAAAGGCCAGTCCCAAAGGCAGCTCCCGGATCCAGATCAGAGTTGACTCGAAGGTGAGGGATATCGAGCATGGAGTGACGAAACCGACAGGCACGTTCAGCTATACCTTTGAGGTCAAGAAAGAGATTAAGGTTATTCCGGAGACGTATGCGCAGTATATGCTGTTTTTAGATGCGAGGAGGAAGTATCAACTGTCGGGTGGGATGGTGGAGAGGAAGAAGGGGGGTGTGATGGAGTAGACGTGAGTGAAGAGAAGATAGTTGGACTTGTGGTTTGGATTTGTGACCATCCTGTGCAACTTGGAGTATATGTAGCGTTTAGGCTTTTCTGAGGAGCTCGTTCAGCCGAATTAAATCAGCAAGAATCTATAATGGAGTCAGTACGCCATATCATCGTAAATATACCCTAGTTATACCCCAACCGCTACAATATAGAGGGCTAAAATCTCGCCCACAAGAATGTAAAAAACTAGACCTTCTACCATGAATGCCCATCTATCCCAACCCCTTTATGCAAGAAATCCCCTCAATAATTTTCCCAATTCGATCTCCAAGGCTGACTTGCCTGCCGAGCATCATCACCATGCTTGTAGGCACTAACCAACTCCTCTTCATCAACACCACAATGCACCTCCCCATCTCGTCCCGTGAACCACCCGAGTCCATAAGTCTTTCCAATACTCCCCAACCTCTGCACCATCTCATCATTATTCATCTTCTCAGTCCCTACAAAATCATACAACATCTTACTCTGATGAATGAACGCCAGGATTGAAGCAATGGTATTTGGTTGCCGCGGGAGGAAAGGGTGACGGCGGCGCCAGTAGACCAAGGCAGCGACTAGGCAGAGGTAAGTGAGGATTGCTATTGCCAGACCGAACGACAGCCAAAAGGAGTGGAAGGTCTCTTCGCCCGTATTTGCGCCATTGGGAGGAGCCGGCTCTCCTGGGTTTGGGGGCGGTGGCTGGCCTCCTGTGAAATCGCCTCCGCTTACGCTTGCGAAGCTCGTAGAGCAGATAGTCAACACCTCAGCTAGCACAGACCCGAGACCCACGAGGGCGACGAGGGCGTGTCCATTTAGAAATGCTTTGATGGGTAACCAGCCGAATGCCATGGCCGTGTAGTCCAGTGTGAGGACTCGTGGTGACGCGTGCCGAAGGGAGAGGATATAGAAGGGCTCTATCATTCGGACGTCTGTTTCAAGAGTTCCCCAGGCGAGCTTAATACACACGGCGAAGACAGTAAGCAACCAAGGCGCTTTGTCGGTCACCACATTTGCATTCGGTTCGAAGAGGATGATCGGAATTACGATCATGAAAAGGATCATCCCGATCATGAACGGAATTCCAGCAATCAGACGAAGCATGAGCGGATGGGGATTATCAGCCCAGTTTTGCTGGTTGTATTTGTCTTTCTCGGCTTGCGTTAGAGGAACGCTTTCCTCGGGGGCTAGCGATGAATTCCGGAGACTGTAGCGATGAGTTTTGAGCTTTTCGTGGATCATGTCTGGGGGAGACGTGTCAAGATCTTTAAAATCCATCAAGATGTGACTTCTGTTCGCCATGGCTGCGATACCAGCAATCCCTTTGACATCAGCCACCAAACCAGAGGGGCGCCGCTCGAGCTGCCAGATCAGCACACCTCCCATAATGGCGAGCAGGACTAGGACCGCGCTTAACATCCGAGACCAGACAGCAAGAATTTCGATGTGCTTGAAGCCGTCTGCACCATTTGCTTCACGTGTCGCTCTATCGGGAGTGAGTGATATGGTTGCAGCCCTGTGTATTGTCAGCGTCAACGTTGCTCTCAAACTGTAGTTCGATCTGCGAAATGAAGGCAAACGGCCTTGGGGGGCGTTTACTGTAAGGTTGGAAGAAGTGATACTGCGATCAATGTCGCCATTGAGGACACTGCAACTGCATAGTGTTTGAATCGAAGCGCTCTGACAGGCTAAGTCATATATATGGTCAGCATTATTATGGACCTGGTAGGTTTAAATACTGCTTACGCGTAGGAAATTAAAGAAGGTAACTGTGAATAAAGTTAGAGCGGATTGTGAATTGTGTCGAGAATTGATTCGGATCAAGTCTGGCCTCGTGTGCGCCTGTTCCAGGTCTATACTTGCCATTGCGCCGAGGCCTGATTGACTTCTGAAGAGTCTATGGAAAGAGTGGTGTGAACTTACTATAATCGACATTGATTGACTCCGCAGCTAATGCACCTCCCTTTTTAGATAACTGGTAATATGCTTCTAATCGTTTCACTTCAAAATCTGTAACTTGCCACAGAACACCAAACGAGACGGCGATCAGAGTCGGGAGATACTTGAACGAAAAGTAATCCCAAGTTTTGAGCTCCGCTGCAGACTTGAACGAGTACAGTGGTTTTTTGTCTGACTTCTGTAAGAGATACTCTTGGGCTGCAGCAAGAACGGCTGAGAGTACGCTGAGAACCAATAGATATGGCCATCTCATTGAGAAGGGTTTCCAATTCGCCTGCGGGTAGAATATCTCGACTGTTGCAGCGGCCATGGTGTTTTTGCGGCTTTGCTTTCCAGAGTCGAGATGATCGAAGTCCACGGTTGAGGTGCTCCCGCCAACAAAAGAGCTAATATCCACTGCAGGTTCTCCAGTTCCCCCAATTGTAGGTTCCTCCACAATAACTTCAATAATCTCACCACGCTTGTTGGCTTCAATTTGACCCAGTTCTCGAACCGTCGGCGTTCTCCCTAGGCCTTGACTTCGAACGGAAGGAGTACGAAATGAGGACGGTCGAAATGATAGCCTCCGAGATAACCCGGTAGGCGTGGGAGGGGGCACATTTGCCATGAGATCCGTGCTGGTGATGGTGGTTCCTGGTTTAAGACCGGCTCCCAGACCACCAGTGAGGATACCGGCGGATTCTTGTGAAATAGCTTCCCGCAACTGCTCCTCATTTTGTGGTGGACCTGTAAAGGAAGACACGTCAAAAGGCATCGATGAGAGAATGGGCACTTCCTCCTCTTCCACTGTGCTATAGTGAGCCTTGGGTTGCCCATATCCCATCGACATGGCAGATCCCAACAGGCTCATATCGATTTCCTCGGTTTCTGGGATTGAACCAGTCCGCATGTGGCGCAGCGAGCTTTTCCTCCTCTCGGGGTATCTCCGGGAAGTTGACTTGCCCACAGAAGATCGATAACCGCTAGGAGGAGCAATGGGTTCATAAGTTTGACCAGAAGCTCTGAAAGGGTTGAAGCTACGCGTTGAGGGAGACGTTGGCGATGCCACTCGAAGGGCATCTGGCAAAATCCCCGCCGGTCCTGAACGATTGATCCGTACTCGGCTGATATCGACATCATCCATCGTCTGGGAACGCGGAAGCTCAGTTGAGGGTGAGGGGAGGGAAGCCACCGACACCCTGTGGCCAATACCACTTCCATCAAGGGAGCTAACATCTGAGATATTCGAAGACTGGTGCCTCAAGTCATGATCTGGATCAATAGAGCTAACAGCAGAGACCGAGGAGGATTGATGCCTCAAGTCAGGCCGATTTGGACTCGTGTGCCCTCCATAAGGGTATGGATAGCCACCACCTGAACCATATTGGGCCATGCCCTACTAATTCTCCTTGTTCTCAACCACTGTATATATATATTTCTGAAAAGTTCGGTAAATGGACTGTTACGGAAAGATATTAGTACATGAAGAGTACAGAAAACAACCGCAGATCTAAAAGGTTTCGGGACTTCTCACTCAACAAAGCGATTCCACCACTCGGCACGGCTGACAAGTGAAGAGCCAGCGCTGGAAGAACTCCTGGAAGAACGCCGAACAAATAGCAGATCCGAGTTCCTGTCCTCCACGATCGATGCCTCCTTCGGCGACTCTGAGGTCAACAGCCTTGAGAGACAGTCGATGTCTTCTTCGTCGATCCAGGCGGCGCGTTCGAGGTCGTTATCGGGGGTAGGCTCTGCACAAGGCTGAATTACAGGAGCGCGGGTCGTCGCAGATGTGAAACTGATTGAACGAATGAATAGACACAACAAACAATTGTTGTCCCGTAGTCAAGGCTGGGGACAGCACGAGAGAGAGAGGTTATACACGAGCGATTGCGTCTCCATTTCCACGCGGTTGAGTTCAGATGAACGTGTGCTGGCTGCTGCCAGGGCTGAAAGGCCAAGAAAACCGGCCCCCACAACAGAGAGCCAATGGCAATGCGCAGCTGCTGCCACAGCATCTCGAAATAGAACAATTGTCTCACGGCTCGCGCTTGTCATCAAATGGCTTCATCCTCCCAAAGTGTCCCGCAAAGCTGCACCTTCCAAGTTCCCGGCAGAGAGAGTTGTTCGCATCCATCAACTCGTTCCCAATGCGAGTGTAGGGCTGAAAATAACGTTTTGCAGTTGACATTCTGGACCCGGCAGCGGGAAAAGTGCGCAGGGGTGACCAGGACAGTGGTCGCATTGAAATTTGAGTGATGATTGACAAGGGACCGTGAAACAGAGCAGCACACCAATGGACTTTCGAAGCACGACTTGTGCGACGAAGCTACTTGCTTCGTCATGTCTCGGCCCATGAGACTGTTGTCAGACCCAGCAGAAGATGTTGAACGATGTCCCAACAGTTGGCAAGCGCAAAGAAATTGGGGAAGTACTTTGCAGGCTGAAGGGGTTGGTTCAATCCTTATCACAAGTGTCACCCTAGATTGGGTGCATAGTCACATGAAATCCACCCAGGAAAAATGAATCAGAAAAATGAGGTTTTAGTGAACTTTTCAGTTAGATATTACTAAGTAGCTCGATATGTACTCGCCTCCAATATCCACGGCGGTTATTACGATGTCTTTTGTGCACAATCCACGGAAAGATAATCAAACAAAGAGTCCTTGTTTGACAAGGCTCTCGATATCTCCTCCGGCTTCTCTCACGGCTCTCATCGCAGCCTGTGATAGCTTCCTTCTCTTCTCCAAAGCTTCCTTTTCCCTTCTCGCTTTTGTCTTAGATGAGCCACTTGGCGCAACTCCAGTCAGAATTTTCCTGCTATCTCTAGGAGTGAAGTTGACAAAGTCAACAGTCCCTAGGGTAGACGGTGCACGCGGTGTTGAGTTCTTGTTGTGCTTCGGTGACTTTCGCTTCCTGACCTGGAAGGTAGGAGAAGGCGACTCGTAATCGCTTGATCCAGAGCGGCTCTTTCGCATCGGAGTAGATGATTGTGGTTGCCTAGATGGGGCGTGTGCTCTTTTGCGGTTTGCGGCATTACAATGCGGTTGGGATCGGGAAGCCGTAAAGTAGCCTTGCCGCATCATGGGCGAAGTACCCATGACGAAGGAATGCTGGGCGGCAAGGCCGGGCATCTGGATCATGAGCCCGGATGCCATCTTGGAAGGATCGAAGGCAAGCTCGTGTCCGTTGTATGAGAGGCCGTTCTGAAGTTGCGTTACGAGTGACTTTGTAGCTCGCTGGGGGTTGGCGTGGAAGCTTGAGGGTGATGGTTGTGCCATTGGTACCGTTGCAGCATTGGTCCACCATACTGGCGCGGCAATATCCGCCGGGCATAGAGTTGAGGCTTCATACGCGGTGAATTTTGATGAGCCAGGGATCTGTGACCAGGGTGCTGAGACGTTTTGAGGTTGCGGGGTGGTTGGGAAGAAGTCCGAAGGTGGTTGCTGGAAGCTTACCGATATCGTGTGCTCAGCACCCAAAGTCGGAGTCGCCAGCGGCGTATCATAGGCAGCCTGGCGATCAATTGGTTTGTTCAAGTAACTGTTGTCCGAAAAGCCATTTAGGGGCTTTTGTTTTGTGCTAGCTGAATTCAAATAGTCGGGGAGATCAGAGATTCGGGCAGAAGGTGGTGGTGTGAGAGGAGCGATACTTTTCTCGAAATCGAAGCTGAATTTCGTAGCATCAAGTGCGAGCTTCTGGCTCCAGTTATCGGTTTCGTTGCTGTGTGATCGCTTCATTGCTAGCGATGATGTGGATTTTCGGATAGGGCTTCGCAGTCTTCTGTCAATTGCTCCAGTTGTTTTTCTGACTGTCTTCGTTAAAGACTCAACGAGGCGACTCTTTCTTCGTTCAAGAAGTGTAGCGCTAGGTGATGGAGAGGAGGGGACGGAGTTGTGGGAATACCTGGCTATTTGAGGCGAGTCTAGACTGATAGCCCCAAGGCTGAGTAGCTCGCTATCAGATACTGCGGCTCTGCCGGAGAGTTCTGCGTAGAAAGCATTGCCTTGAGCTGAGTGTAATGAGGCTTCATCCTGGGTGAACGCCCATGAATTGCCTTGCCAAACGTTATCGATGACTGAACGTTTCGCTTCATCGTCTGTCGAGTCTAGAGACGTGCCTCCAGAATGGCTGTTGCTGGTATCCAAGTACGTCGAGTCTGGTAAGCTGGGGTATTCTAGAGTTTCATTTCCGAGAGGGCTGAATGTGAGGAACTGGTCAAAAAAATCGCTGCCAAGCTCCTCATAGGTTTGGTCGAAGAGGTCGGAGCTGGTGTGGTACGAGGCAATGGCGGAGAATGACATCTTGAGAGAGAAAATGATTCTGTTGCACGGCGGGAGGGTGTGTTTCGAGTGTCGTGCGGTGGCTTGCAATGAGGCTGGAATAGCTTACGCGGGTAGGGAATCTGAGGATGGTGATCTGGAAAGCAAACATGCAAAACAGGTCCAAGATGATTTATTTATGGCGCAGTCAGGGGCTCTGAAGACTGACCAGCCGTCTGCATTCAAACGTATTATCCAGAACAATGAAAACTCCGGAATGTGGAGGTCTTAGAAGCCCGTGACCTGGCAATACACGTGATGATGGAAACCTTACCCCCTGTCAAAGAGTAGAATGAATTCCTGATGTGGCCATGTTATTATCGTAACCGAGGGTGGTGGGGGTGGCATGCTAGCATTGCTTAGGAAGGGTATATGCATGCCTTAGCTAAAGTAGAGCCTCATCGACAGAAAAGCCTCAGGATGAAATAGAAAACAATGAATTGATTAAGGCGCGCTTGCTAGGCCATTATTTGTTCACTTTCTAGCCCAGAACTCTTCAACTGACAGACTGCCTCAGCGGTACAACAGTTTTTGTGATGTGGCTAGAAACCACTTCTCAAGAATGCTTCCCGGGATCTGGAATGTGACAGCCACCTCGACATTCGTGGTTATACATTCCATCATGCCGTGATCCAGCCCCCAGTTTCTTCACTCCACGAACGCAAGCAGCACTTCCAACTTCGGGTCCTCCCGCGGGGCTAACCCGGCTTCTGGTGCTATCATTGTTTTGGACTCCGGAGAACATTCATGAGATAACGGGTTCCTGCATCTTATGCGGAGCTTTCATGCATATGCATGCCTGGGAGACTTCCCGCCCGTCCATCACTCTTGGCATATGCTTAGACATTTACGAAGGTTGAAAATGTAGAATTTATACATGAAAATTTTTTTCGCTGTCGCCATATTATTCATACATAACTTACAAGGCGATCTTTATGGCCGGTCAGTTGTGAAGATAGGTGGCATGAAGGCCATACCTTCGCACATGTTAGCAACCACCACCAAAGAGCTGGGCATACGTACCGCCACCACCAGTTCTCTTTACACTTTGACCCAAGCCATCTCCACTGACGTCCGCCTTTCCCTCATGGATACCTCCCGCTGATCTCGAGAGAACATGCCGTCGTAACATCGCCAGCACCTCGCTGTTCCTCCATCTTGCAGGTACAGGTCTGTACGCCGGCTTAAAAGTGCCAACAGTTTGTGCCCACTCTCCACTCCTTGGCTGGCCTTGTCTCCACTCATCGGTCTTAAGCTCCGGTCCAGTCTGCCTTGCCGGGTCTGTTCCTTGTGCGACGGGCGACATCTTGTCGGTCCCTTGAGCGCTGGCAGTAGCACCTGTAGCTCCAGAACCAGCACTTTCAGCAGTCTCTTGTGATATTGGCGTAGGCTCTTGGGTTGCCCAATAATATATATCCCAGTCGTTCTCGTCCAAAAATAAATCGAATTGTGCCATTTGCGCAGGTGTCATTTCTCGCAGATGGGCTTCCGCGAATGTGGACATCAAAAGATCACTCTCGAGTGTGCCTCTTTTTCTACTTTGATCTACACACATATAGGTTAGCCTTCGTGTTCCACATTCAAGGTTCAAAGTTGATGCGAACATAATAACCTGGCTCTCATGGTATTCGCATCCTCGCCCGTTCTGCGTAACGGCTCAACTTTGAACTTCGCACCCTCCATTTCACCAACCCCCATCTCGGCATTCGGTCCTTTGTCCGGTTCTCCCTTCTGTGTGCCACCTGTCATACGCTCAGTATTTTCCGACACAGAATCTTTAGGCACAAAATCTGGATCGATGGAGGAAATGAGCTCCGGGGGTGCATTCTGAGCCCCCACGGAGGGCATCTCGTTCGCAAGTGTAGAATTTGTATTCGTCATATGTGGATTGAGTGGTTTTTCCGACTGTATCTTTCGGTGGTCTGCAGTTCCCTCATGCTCTTTGGCATTTCCTTGACCGGCCATTCGACGAGAGGTGGTGGACAATGGTCGTGTGAGGACCATTGAAGGCCGCACACTGCGGAAAACTAGTCTCGTAGCAGACATATTGCTCGAGCTCAAGGTTGAAGCTGTTGTGAGGATGTTGTTGGGCCAGGAGGACTTGTTGAACCTGTTGATACTCAACCTCGGGAAAGTCGAGGGGAGTCGCTTGCGTCATGATGTTTTCTTTCCATTGCGGCCGAATACGCACGTGATCAGCTCGACTGATCCCTCAATTATCGGAGCCTCTGAAATGCCTCGAAAGAAGATGCTAGGAGGTTATTTGGAAGATCTTTGATTGAGGGAATATAAGCCCAAAAACTGTCACTTTGCATGCTCTCCGTGACTTGCAGAATCTACCGCTGGGTTAAATCAACTTGTAAGTCTCTTCAACAATTCAGGATTTTGAAGATGAATTAGCTGACATGTTAGCTTCTTTCTCAAAGTCTTTCGACACATGCAAACAGCACGATTCATCTACATGCCAAGCTCATAGCAGATATTTAATCATCTTCAATAGATTCGACACCTTCTTGCTCGTCTTGCTCATCCGACCCAGCAAAATATCCCACGTTTCGCTTTCTCTTCCTTCCTCTTTCAAAGTCTGCATCTTCTTCCCTCAAGCCCCGTCCAATGTGCAAAGACTCACTCTGGTCAATAGAATCTAGCTTCGCCTTGCGTCCTATGAATGGTTTTGGTCGTGTGAACGTGACTTTCCTTTGTGGTCTGTACAGATTCGTGGTCTCCACAACTTTGGGAGCTGAGTATTGGGGTACGGCCTGAGCAGTCTCAGAGGTCGAAACAGAATCCGAACTCGAGACAAAGATGGAACCCTTCTCAGCTTGAACACTAACGCCACCTTGCGACGGCGGAGAGTTCACTGTCGATGCCATTTCGAACTGCGACTCTCGATGTCTCGAAACGGATGGAGATGATCTGGTTTCTGTGATCCTAGAGGCTCCGCGAGATATTGATGAAGGTGCAGCAGGTGTGGTTGTGTGTTGCAGGAGTGGACTGAGATCTGAAATGGCAGATCTATCCCCAGAAGACTGCCCAAGTATTGATGTGCCCAAAAGTTCTGTCTTTTGATTTGGCATAACAATCCGTTCTGGAGAGGGGAAAGAACCATCCACTTCATCGCCCATACCACCAAACAAGAGTTTCATCCAAGACTCGTTTGGATCATCCTCCATAAAGGAATTTCTGGGGAGAGCTAGAGGAATAGCTTTTGGGGGCTCCTTGTTAGCAGGAGAAAATATTAGCCTGGGGTTTTCCGCCCCGACTTCAACTCCCTCGAATTCAAGTTGTATCAAGTCTGGGCTCAGCGGTATGACTTCATCTAATATTCCCGAGACTGGAATATTTGATTCTCCGGGGCTAGTCGTTGGTTCTTCTGAATCCGACATTTGCAGCTCTAATGAATCCTCATCCTCGACGTCATCCCCTTCTGAACCTACATGCCAGGGAGCATGACTCGTGCTCACTCCGGGACTGATAGGTACACGCTGAACACTTCCCTGCTCGTTGTAATCCGATGAGTAGTCATGTTTCTTTTCGGGGGCAATCCATGTTTCCCATATCTCATTCTCCAGCACCTGGGAGCTTGGTATGACTGGCTTGTTCTTTCCAACCTGCGCCATGGTGCTCTCAGCTACGTCTGAGGAGGCTGAACGGAGCAGAACAGACACTCTTGAACTTTGGGGAGCTGGGTGATGTATCGAAGCCGTAGACGATGAAAATATTAGTCTCCTGGGATAGGGATTGTTGTTCTCAGGGGCCGGAGTTATTCCAACATGGCGGGTGTTTGGATGTGGTTCGAGATTGTTCTGATGACCGACTGGATGTTGGTCTTTTCCCTCTGGCTCCGATGCAGTTTCTGAATTCCTGATTGCCCATCCATTTGCGGAGTCTTCTGCTACATATGGTATATGATGGCCCTGCTCTAGCCCAAGTGCCAGAGACGTATTGTTGAGGCTGAAATCTTGGTTGTGGATGCGCTGATGACTGCCCATTGAGTATCTGATGGCAGCAAGGTTGCTGGAAGGAACCCGTGGTGACTCGTGTCCAGCGGATGCGTTAGGATCGAGAAGCATCATGTCTGACGATGTCGTCTGAGATCTCCTGTGTGCGGTTGTCGAATGGCTGCCCATTCTGCGAGACGCTGAGCTCGAGCTAACACCAGGCGGAACGACTCTACCGCCAATAGAAATTCGGACATCTGCTCTTGGAGGCTCTCTGTTTTGTGGACCCCCTTGACTGGATCTCTGGTTCACCAAAAGACCTCTTTTGTTCGGGAAAGGCGATGTAATATGCAATTGCTTTGAGCTGTATCGTGCTCGGTGTCCATCGGTTATCTTCCTCCTCCTGCCAATATTCTCTTCTTTCCGGGGAGATGTAAAAGAAAGCCGTAGAGGTCGTTGAATATTGACGCCGACCCAGTCTCCCTTTCGGAGAATCTTTCTCCTCTTCTCTGATAATGACTCTTCCTCTTGATCTACAATACTCTTCATCTCTGATACCGCTGCCGACTCCTCTTGTTTCCGTTCTGCTTCTCGAGGAGGAGTCGCATTGTACAGGTCGTCAGTTGGAACTCGTTTTGGCTGCTGCATGACAGGAACTAATATTTGTCGGCCTTGGGTAATCTCCAGGGATTGGGACGAATGTCTGGAACTACTTTGCTGGGCAGCATGCCCGGTGGATGTGAGATGGCCATGGTGTTTTCGGTTTGATTGACTGTCTCGATGATCGTAAGCTTGAAGGGTCGTGTGCCTTGCGGCAGAAGTTTCGCGTTGGCTTCGTTCACGATCCCCTACGACGTGATCGAAGAATGCCCATTTGATTGGCGAATGATTCTTCGGACCACTGCGTAAGGCCTGCTGGACCTTCGCGAAATGCTGCTTCTGCCGGGCCTTCACCGAATTCGAACAGCCCGAATGCCTCGAAAGGCGGCCCCCGGTCCAGTTCATCGAAAACGCGATGGAAATAAGATCATATGCTGCTAGAATCCCATGAAGAGAAAGGATATTAGATGATACGAAAAGGGATGGAGGAGAGACAATGCAGAGATTGTGCAGTGACCCTAAAAAGTGCATATGCTCGGAAGCGAAGTCGTGAAATCATCAACGTATTTGAGTGGGAATGCACAACTAATCCATCATAGAAGGGAAGCCAACTATTGAGTATTTCTAAGGAAAGCTTCCATCCGCATATCTGAAATTACTTCGCTTGCTAGCATAGCACAGAATTTCTGCACCTGCCCTGAGCAGCTTCCATCTCTCTTCTTGAGACCAAAGAAGTACTAAGTCTTTTGCCTCTGTTTGATAGAATATACGGGAGCATCTATTTTACACCTTTTCACAACTTCAGGAATATTCCAGCCCATGATTAATGTGATTGGAGACTTCCCTGTGCATCGGCATTTTGAGGCCAACCAAGGGGCAAGACAAGATAAATGCCAATAACCCAAGTGCGACTACAGGTCTTATGAGAAGTTTATCCGTTGCTGCGCTACCAAGACTGTATCAGCATTGAAAAGGGGTCCTATGTGAAATTAACAAAGCATTTCGGACCCGGGAATTGTCGACTGTCACAGCCAGTGGTCGAAAGATCGGTCAAATTCGTACGAACCTATTTAAGACCATGGTAAGAGCACCGCCGCAGAAAGAAAGTCTTTGTTCAAGTGGTGCTTTAAGGAAGCGAGAGACGATAAAGAGGCAGTGAAGTGAGACTCATACAAGGACAAGTCTTGCGAAGTTTCTAGCCCTAGTGCCCTAGTTTTCAACCAGCCAAGCCCGAACGCCGAAGCTAGCCGGCCAAAACCGGGCCCACCAGCAATGGCTTTGATTTATTGAAATAAGCGATTTTTGCACTCAACAGTGATCTCACTCAGGTGGTGTGGTGGTTAGTCACTCTCGAAAACCAAAATTCGATCATAACTAACAGTCGTTTGCAGTAATGGTAGCACGTGACGTTGTGGTCATTCTTCATTGAATCTCATACAATATTCCGTTTCAATCTGGGTTCGATTCCCAGCACCGCCAAGGATTCTCTTGGATTGAAGTTTCAGATGGTTTGATTCCATCGAGTTCGTCATGAAATTTTTTTGGCCCTCTTTTTGGAGGGGAACTCGAGTTGCGGTTGAATTGATTGACCGGGTTGCTCCTTCTCATTTTGTCAGTCTTGTGTGTCATTACCTGCTCGCTAATTTCAGGGCTGTGGAAGTTCTTGAAGAGCTCGCTTGACAGCGGACTTGTTTCAAGAGTGACTACAAGGACTCTTGAAACTTTTGGTTGGCTTTTGATCAAGGAACAATTATTACATTAGGACATCCACAATAATGTTCTAGTGCAAGGAAATCGGTTCATATTGCACCTGCTACGGCACTGCTGGGTATCTTATGAGCCTCCCAAACGCCGAATCACAAACTCCAACCAGATCCCAATATCCTCAGTAATCTCAAGCATTTTCCCCAGATCAGCTTCAGTCAACGCCTTCTGCTTACCCTCGTCTTCATCCCCAGCCTTCCCATGCAGTATATTTTGCCCAACCACCTCAACTACACCATTGAGCTTAATCTCAAACGCGACAAGAGCATCCCTGCCTCTAAAAGGGAAAGCTACCTGCAATTTCAGAGCTGGTTGCGTATACAACGCCACATCATAGCGGAGAGGCCCTCCTTCTGGAAGGGAAGTCTGCGCCATGAAGTCTGCAAACTCAGCCCTTTTGCTCTTTCTATTTGTCTTCGGGCTTTCCAGTGCCACAAGCTTGGAGTCCGCACCGAAGCTGTTCCCTAGGAGTGTTGAGAGAAACGCATACTGTCGAAGAGCAGGAAGCATTTGTACCAGCTGTCTTGGATGTGAAAAAGGTAACTCCGTCAAACTTCGGCCATAATCAATTTTTACAATCCATAATTTGGGTAGGTGAGTGTGAGTAGTCTTCCCTCCCTCCTTGGTGAAGATAGGTACTTCGACTTCTCTGCTAATGACCCTCGATTCGCTGTCGACTTTATCGTCTGGACCGCGTGGAAACATCAACCCATCGAATGTAGTGGTCTGGAATACATCCATCGTTGCGTTCGTGGAGTGATGTATTTGTGCCGCGAGTGAGTAAGGAATGATGACAGGAGGGTCGAATTTCGCTACGAACATAACTTCTGGATATTTTTGACCTGTAGCCGCTTGCTCCACGCCCTCCATAGCATCCGGCTTGGGCGGGTCTGTCGAGGGAAGCAGTATATTTTCGGGCTCTAACCAATCAAGAATAGGACCGTGTTCGGGGGCCAGAAGGAGATCCTCCGCTGGAGGATCTGCCTTCAGGATATTTGTTGAAATCCAATTTTCAGAGACTCGGATGGGCAGGTAACCCAAAGCCGGTGTTGGAGCGCAGTCAACCAATATAGACCAGGTCTTCTCGCTGGCCTTACCTCCGATTCGACGTTTCTCTTGCCAGTAATCCAAGCTCAACCCTAATCGGTCCCTCGTATGCATTACCGGCTTACCGCTCTTCGTACACATTGCCGTCCTCTCAATCTCATCTCCATCACTCTTTACCATCTCCCCTCCCTCTCTCAGCCTCGCCACTTCCCATAAATGCAGCCTCTCCAAACTCTCATAGATCCCTGCAATCGCCTCGTGGCAATTTAGTCCCGGAATAACACTCAGTTTATCCAACTGTGCCAACCTCTCTAGATTCGCCGCAAACCTATCTAGCATCTTCGTCAGCGGGCTCTCATTTGGCCGAAATTCCAGATCCCTTAAGAGTATAGCCCCCGCGTTATGCGTATGCCTCGTTACAATCTCCGGGCTCTCAGGGAATGAAAGAGACACCTTCTTCACCACGTTATTTGCAAAGTCAATCTCGAGTGCCAGAGCAGAACCTGCAATGATCAATGTCCGCGTGCTGGCTCCACTACCCATATGGTCTTCCCACAATGCATCCAATCCCACCCTGCGTGCTAGTCGTTCGATACCTGCTTCGCTGAGCCGGCCTTTGTTCGTCTGCAATCATGTCAGAATTTCCCTCAACACCTTTCATACCCTTCGTCCAGAATACCTTCAAAACATCCATCACAACCCCCAACTTCCTCCTTCTCTCATCCTCATCCGCCCTCGCACTACCCAAAGCTCCTCCCACTACACCAGCCATCGGTGTCCCCATACTCCCCATCCCCTCGAGTCCTAACCCCTCCAAGCCCGGATTACCACCCAATGCCAGCTGTGCACTTGGGCTATCATACCCCTGGCCAAAGCTACTGTTGGTAGGATGGTTGCCGGCAGGGTAGCCGTACAACGTATTCGAGTTTGCAGGTGACTTCTTCACCTGCTGCGGTGAAGGGACGACAGAGCGGGGCCCATGGGGCGAGAAGGCAGGGTGGGAGGGGTGGTTTGAAGCTGAGAAGGGTGTCGAGACTGGTGGGGTTGCTACAACTTGGGCGGCCGGGTGTTTGCCGCCTGGCGTTGGTGTTGCCATCGCGAAGATAAGAGCGTTATGAAATGGCGAGATTTAGAGACAAGTTTGACATTCTTGGGCGTTGCGTGCGGACGGTGAATATGGAAACTTATACAACGCGTTGTGGATGTGAATTGACGCGATTTGATGATCGGCAGCTTCCAGATATCTTCACTTTTATTTTAGCCGAGACCCCCACCTGTTCTACACATGCAGTTAAAATATTTATTTGGAATACCCTCGGGGTACAATCCGTGCAGTATCAGTTTCGGATCCTGAAGTGCTTAAAGCAGTCAGTCTTCCAGGCTTTGCCCGCTGAAATCCAGGTCTAAGGATTCGACTTACACTCCCAAGGCGTATGAACCGTCTTAGGTGCCTCAACCCTACTCTCAAATCGTATGGGTGGACCGACCGGCAAGGTTTGTCTTATTCCTGGAGTAGTCTCCCAACATTTGCCAAAGGAGAAAGGATGGCCTTCAATCTTATCGGACGACGAGTTTGTGTTCTGTCACTGCACTCTAGCCTAAGAAAGTATCTCTGTCGATAAGGATGCTCTCAAGATCTGGGGGATAACCAGCTGGGAACACGCGTGCTATTACCCAAGCTACTTCGAAAGTCCTTGCTATCGAAGCTCTAAAGGGTGGCAAGTAAGCTATCTCCGAATACCTTAGAGACGGTATCCTTTTTAAGGGAATCATCGACCGGGAATACGCCAGGTACTACCTACGCTACTTCGAACCCGCTCCTATCGAAGCTCAGCATCGCCCGACTACCTTGAAGATGATATCCGCCCTCGCGGTGGACATAAAAAGCGACACCAATTTCCATTGTACCAGGTCAAATTTGGACAAAAATCTGGATTTGAGAAGAGAAGTGTTGAATTTTCGACAGCTTTCGAGACATTCGACATGCCCTGGAATATACGAGAGCTTCGAAGAACATTGAAAGGGGTAACAGCCGAATTGCCCATCGAACCTAGTAATCTTACATTTAGTGCCGCTTCTTAAAGTGTGAGCAGAGGCTAGTGGGCCGTTTTTAGAGTATATCACATTTTCATCATATCTTTTCAAATGAACAACTTCGATTCAGTACAATTATGATACAGAAAGACTATCGCTGACTATAGGTCAGCCGTGAATAGTGTAATGATACTCGATAACCAAAGAATACCCATTGGACGTCTCAACCTCGGACGACTAGCGATTCACTCATCCCTTTAAACACCTCCTCTCATTCTCATCTCAGTTTCTCTACATTTCCAATATTCACGGCGCCCTGCGAACTTTAGGAAATGTTTCGAGAAGTTTTCAACTCAATGTCCGAGCTCTTGTCAGAGCAACGCCCATTAGCCCTCTGCAGAACACGTTTGGAAAAGCTCTCCAACGCTTTTTGCTCCTTGAGCTTGTACAGCATGATCTCCAACTTTTGCTGGATCTCAGTCGCCTTGATTTTGTGAGCAGGAACAAGTGGAGCCTCCTTCTCCCTTTGTTGAAAAAGAAGCATTTCAAGTTTTTGCTGAACTTCCGCCGCACGCTTGAATGGGTTGCCCTCACCAGACTTTCCTTCAAATTTCGGGCATTTCGTTTGCTCTACTTGTGCGTCAGACTTTTGATTCTCCTTCTGCTCAAATATCGCATCCTTAGGTTTACGCTGTCCAGTCATCGGATATTTCTTCACGAAATTCTCCAGAATTTGGGCACCCCAAGCTGGAGCGAGAGCTTTCGCTTCACGATGTCCATCTTCGATGGGCTCCGAAGTCTCTTCGAATAGACAGATAAGATCCTGAGTGGCCATTGCACGGTACGACTGTTTTGAGACGTTACCAGACCTTGAAAGTCGTACACGAGAAGCATCTTCAAGAGCCTGAATCTTAGGCGTTTGAACAATTGGCAATGTTAGCTCCATGTCATAAAACGGAAGTGTGTAAGTCATGGGGATTGGATCCGGTTTGAAGGCGATGTACGGCGCATTCAGAGAACTCTTCGTCTCCGTTGGAGTCAGTGGAATGATTGGGTTTTGGCTGACAGGTACCAGAGGAATGAAGTTATTCGCCCTGCAAAATTCATGGAAATCATCGACCTCTTGATCGATAATCGTTGGAGGCAGTCGACAGGTATCAATCCAGATAGGATCTTGCTCGCGGAAAGCGGGCGTCCGAGGTGGTGGTGGTGGTGGTGGGGGGGCGCCCGGCGGCGGAGGAGTGCGAGAGGCTTCACATCTCGGGCAGTCCAACGCCATTTCATAACCACAGAACCAACATTGGATGATTTTAGCTGCTGGACCAAGTTCGCTCTTGTCGTTCTTCTGTGTCTCACCAATACGGGCTCGCCTTCGTGTGACACCTAAGAAAAATGGCTCTTGCTGACTATCTTCCATAGACTCACCAGAAGAGCGCTCTCGGAAGGCCGGTGCCCGAGGGTTTAGTCCTTTCCCTGGAATAGCATTTGAACCCGTGTGGGGCTCCTTTGCCTCTTCCTCGGAGGCCTGTGTAGGCTTGGTAGCTTGGTCCTCATCACTGTCCAAGTTTTTCAAGGTTTCTAAAAACTCTCGGATTGCCTTTCGATCAACTTTCTTCAAGCCACAAGCTATGACAGCTGGATCCCATTTGACGGACTTGATGGAACTCTGACTTGTGGACTGCTGAAGTTGTCGGCTATGATTCATCTTTGATCTAGACTTTGGTACATCTTCTTCCCCGTTTGATTCTCCGTCAGCATGGCCTGGGGATTCGGGCTCAATTTCTCTTGCAATCCTGTCAGCCACAGCCGCTTTTTGCTCGTATTGGGGGTGGTTCCTATTGAGGAGCATTGTGTAGATATTCTCATCATAGTCAGTCTTCAATCCGAAGAGGCGTTCGTTCTCAGCAAATTGGTCCCAGGCCCCTCCTTGTGAATCTGGCTGTACTCTAACTCCAAGAGAAGGTTTGTTGATCGTGTTCGGACTAGGGGGTACTGCTACTTGAGGCACGGTTTGTTCGTCATCGGATGTATCTGGATCAATGCGGACAGCAAGGGATGCCTTCCGTATGTCATATCCCCAGGTAAGGTCCGACTCAGCTTTGGGAGGAATGGGAGGCTTTCTCGGTTCTGTTTTTGGATAAGGAGATGGCGGTATAGCTTTCAATGTTGGAGCCTGCTGGGTGTTTTGTGGACAGGAAAATTCTTCTTGAGTTAGAAGCTTTCCGCGAATTGGAAGCTTCCTGGGTAATATGCGAGCGCTACGTTTAGCTGCTGATGCCTTGGTGCTTGTCGGAGACGGCGAAGTTCCGCCGTTCCAAGGAGGCCTAGTTGTAGCGGCAGATTTGATACTTCGGAAAGTGACTCGAGTAGATTTGTAGGAATTGGACTTGACTAGCAGACGATTCCGTTGTGCCTGGTCTTTCGTATCATTGTCCTGCCCGGTGTCGTTGGTGTTGCCTTTCTTCTCACCTCTGCCGGACATCTTGCTAGATATTCAACGGCTCCGGGCCGTACTCATGCAACCAGTTGAAAACCCACACCCAGGGGTAGCCTGGTCAGACCTTGTAGATACTGTCCTCTAGCATCCAAAGCGGTAGTTTGACTAGCTCCGGCCCTGGTTGTTATCGCCAGCAGAAATTCCCCCAATTTGCTGATGTGCGGATTTTGAAGAACATAAATGTAGTGGGTGAGAATGAAGGAGGCTTCTCCAAAATGAAAAATGGCTAACTCTGATCTTCAGATAAGCAGTGGATAGCAATGCACGAAGGTGTGTGGTGCTCTGTGCCGAGCGGTGATGATGTTGCAGAGAGGACAATTTTTGGGAGCAAATTCTAGAGTTGTACCGAAAGTTCAGGAAGGAAGTAATGGGATTACAAGATGAAGGAAAGGGCGATCTCATCCTTGACTTCCTAAGCGAGAGGAAAGGGGAAAGAACGAAAGGACCAGGAATCACGTAGTTTGCATCGGTTGATAAGCACGATTTGGATATGGGCTTCCACTGCAAAGTTACTCCAAAGAATGCACCCCGAAAGAAAGATCGGAACTCGAAAATCCATCAAATCAAACTGCAGCTGCATGTCCACTCATCCATTGTCCAAAGGCAGTCTACAGGTAAGTCAGTTCATATTCAGCATCTATTTTGGGAAAGCAGGCTTACCGGATTTCTCGTTTGCATGAACACAGCCCCTGGACCAGTGAATTTACACACCAGTCCTTCACCTGAAGACAGACCTGAGATAATACCTCCTGAAGCAACTCTCTCGAGGATATATTTCGTGTTCCAAGCGACAAGATGGCCATTGTCAACGATGTATCTCTCTCCTTCTGCTAGCTATTCTCTCATCAGTACAATTCACACAAAATCTAGAGGAAGAAGCGATCAAGTGGCTCACATCTTTCCGAATGATTGCACCCAAACTGCTAATCCACAGTAACCCATTCCCACTCATCTTATAAACGAATAACCCCTCCCCGGAAAACATAGCTTTTCCAATTCCTTGCCTCTTGTACTCCTTCACAATCCCCTGCGTACAAGCCAAGAAGGCATCTCTTCCCACACTCCACTGATCATCTCCGGACAACTTGATATTTGTGATATCTCCAAGGGAAGCCGGAGCTAGGAGTAATTCCCCAGGTCCCGTGAAGGTAGAATGTGCCATTTCCCCACCGGCGATCAGTTTCTTCATGGAGAATTTGATGGTTCCTTTCAACGTTACGGTGGGCGACATGGCAATCATTGCACCTGTGCACGTCGTCAGTTTGTCATACTCAATCCATCCCAAAGCACTCATTGGAGGGGGAGAACCGGGAAAATTACGTACCCGGCTTCACAGTTAATGGACAGCCCATAGCAAGTTGGAAAGTCACAATAGTATTCGTGTCCCGATGACTGATTCTATAACTGCCTCCATTGAACGTTCCTACATCATCCTGCGTCGTACTTGCGCCGACAAAATGTCCGGCCGGTGGAGCACCATGATCGAGATTAAAGGTCTTGCTAGTGTTGAGGCCAGGTTTCTCGACAGGATAGTCTTCCTCGTGTTGTCCTACATATCCACCGGATGGAGGCGGCTGTTCATAAATCGGAGTTGGGGCAGGTTGTTGCTGGACTGGTTGCTGGTAGGATGTGCGGTGCGAGAAATTTGGGGTTTGGTAGTGTTGCTGGACTTGTGGAGGAGTTGGCTGCGGCACTGAAGGTTGGGGATACTGTTGCTGCACAGGAGGTGTAGCTTGTGGTGGTGGTGGAGGGTAGGATCCGCCCTGCGGGGGAGTAGCCTGTTGAGGGGGTGGAGGATAGTAAGAAGGGTGTGAGGTCTGAGTTGGGGGAGGGGAAGATGGAGGAGGAGCATATTGCTGCTGCGCTGTAGAGGGATTGAGCCAAGGTAACCATGCAGTCTTTGAGGAATCCTCACCTCCGTTCCCTCCTGGAGGAGCTTTTTGGAGTCAGCAAGCTGCTCATCTAGCGAGACTGAATAACTTACGTGGATAATATGACATAGCGACGATATTGAAACTTCAGACAAGCTGTAGATTGCAATATATGAGGCTGCGAAAGCTACTCAATGCTCTGTATCGAGAAAACAGCTGTTGCAAACGAGGTTTCTACAGGCAAATTGTCAGCTGCAGCCTCGCAACCCTGCACTGCCGAGATATAAGTCATCTCACCTCAGCTCCAAATATCTCTGCAATTGTTGTCCAGTTCGTAAGCTCAATCAATCAGACAAGCATCACCGTCAGTCTGCAAAGTGCGAGAAAAATATGGAAGAGAGAGGGCAAGAAAGCAGAGCTCAGCTCACCAGCCGAAGGAGGGGACGCGCTGCCAGATTCTTAGCGCGCCCCCTCACTCGTTGGTGGGGGCTGTGTCTATTTCGAGTGCACGAATCGCTGGCCATTGGCCAAGATTTGGCACTGAGCAGCTGTCCAATGACCTTGCTTTTGGGGTTGTGCAATGTCCTGATGGGAGGTTCCTAGCCGGGCGCTTAGAGGTCCCTTGGCGCGGTGCGACACCTAGAGGCCGGGACGGGATGGGGAACTTGAAGAGCGGGAGACGTTCAGTGAAGGGTGTTCATTCATCAACCTTGACGATTTCGTGGTATTGTACTTTACGGATAAGCCATTTCGTTGTCAGTACTCATATCACTCACTGAATTCCCAGCTCGAAACTGGATCATTTAATTTTCTGCATAGCTCTTCTATGTATGTACTGGTAATCCTTTTTGCAACACCTGCAACACATGATTTCGCAGGTCTTAAGGATCAACTGCCTCCGGCAATGCTCAATATGCATCCACCATCTTGCCTGGAAAGATCTGTAGCGCCCCAATGCAACCGTCCATCCAATTTCTCTAACCTTGCTGTCTACGTCTCTTTCCAACTTGTGCAGAGAAACCGGTCTTGATAGCAGTAACACTTCGTCGAGAACCGCAGGAGTTACAGGTAATGAAGTACAATCTGTTCTCTCCCTTGTTGAGTTCCGTATCTGGAGATCTGCAGGTTTTGCAGGTGACATATTCCACTGATATTACGTTAGTACCTGTTGCCGTATGATAGAGGCCTCGAAACACTCACTGATATATCTCCTCAACACGTTCTCAATCTGCTTCTGCTGGAATCGACCCTTGATAACCAGACGTCTGCTACCATCAACGGAACCACTCGTACCCAACTCAGCAAACAGATATGAAGTGACATGCTCATCAGTTCTCTTCATGCGCTTGCAAATCTCGGCAATGTTGGCGAAAATCGTCTTCTTGTTGCCTTCACGCAGACACTGAGGAGGTGGGATCTTGTAGCTTCTTGAACCGCTCGATGCATGGTCTGGGTTCTTTTGGGCGAGGAGGGTGAAGAATCGGGAGAGCAGGCTTTCGTAGGGAATCCGTGTCGTGCAGTCATGTTGCCAGATGCCAGTCCCCTTCTCCATATCACCGTCATCAACGGGTTTCTTTTCAGCTGCAACTGCAGCCTCTCTCTCCTCTTCCTTGCCTTCGATATCGAGTGCAGCAAGCTTGGCGGCGAATTCATCCTCCGTGCCTTCCTTTGGCTTCTTGCTCTTCTTCTTTTTTTTCATCGAGGAGAGATCCAGTCCGCCATCCTCAGCAGCCGCCTCGCCTCCCTCAGCTTCTCCATCCTCTGCCTTCGGTGTCTTGCTCTTCTTCTTCTTCTTCATACCCTTCAACATATTGGCGACATCGTCATCGTCATCTTTGGTAGGCTCATCATCGAGAGCTTGAATGGGAGGGTCAGTAAAGTCCCCCAAAGCCTGTGATAGTGGCGGCGTACTTGGTGAGTGTGACATTGCCGTCGTCGAGTTATCGTCGTGGCCGTCCGCTTTCATCGTGACTGCCCCGTTCTCGTCTACGATCGTCGTGCCTTCGCTGAATGCTACTGATTTGCGAGCTTTTCGTTCCTGAGGAACGTCCTGTAATATGTGTTACAAATTTGGGCTGTGGAAAGCTGAGGTGGGGTGTGGAAAGGCGAACTTACGACATCTGCCATGATTGCGGTTGGTTTCGACTGGAGATACTCCTCTGATGGTATCAAGAGATTTGAAATGTTCACGTAGTAAGAAGACAAAACTTCGAATGTGAAGTTCGTGGTTGTCTTTAGTTGAAGGAGCCTTGTAGTCCCCCGCACATTTTTGTAAAATCAAAGAGTCACACACACGTCACGTGATCCTTACGGCTTTGCCTGATATTTAGCTCATTCGAGATGCATCCCGAATGAACGTGAATCTACCAGCACATCCTCATTCGATCCCGGAGCGCCTCTGGAACACTCAATGCATCGGCGTAGCCGGCGGTAGCGCTTCCTGTGCTCTCCCATTGACTGATTCCGGTTGATACCGCTTCAAAATGTCTACCTCAGACTCCTACATCATCCACGATGCCTCCCCGGAATCATCCAACGACCAAGACGAGGTCGATTCCCTGCCGTCCTCGATAGACAGCAGTGACCTGGACTCAGAGGAGGAATCAGATGCGCAAAGAGAGTGGGAAGCTAGTCTGCAGCAGCTGGAATTGGTCTTGACGATGGTCATTGTGCCGTATGCTGGGAAATACTTGGGCCGGAAGTTTGCATATTGGAGTCAGTTCCTCTCGCATATTTGCATGCAGTTCGTTCGCTAACCCGCTTGGTTTATAGGCTGGGCAAAGTATATGAAATGGATGTATCCGGTCGAAGTCCGATTTACAAATGAGACTGCCTTCAAGGCTGCCGGAGCTGTGGAAGCCGCGGCTACGTTGTGATGAAGATGAACACGATAGCGTTGCATAATACTAGATGCCGGTTTATAAGGGATTTCAGAGATGGCATGGGACATGGCGTTATTGGTGTAAAGTATGAACAGATTGCGCATAGATTCATGCCTCTGAGCACGTACATAGGAATGAACACAGCTCGTCCGAAGCTTCACCGGGAAAGGGCAATGTGTTTTGGCATGACCTGAAGAACTCTTACCATCGAGATTTTATTCAAACATTCTGATAATTGAGTAGCCTCATTGCAGAGACCCGTGTCTACAAAGATTGAATGTCACAGGTCTAGGAGCCTTTGAACATCTGGGATGTTGTGGATATTCAGAGTTCTTCCGTTATTTTTGCTCTGTTATTCAAATCTGCCTCCCCATTTTCATATATACATTAGGTATTCATGTCTCCATAAGCCCTGCCCATCCCTTGTTGCATGCCCAGAGTAAATAAAAGTACAGCGTAACGCCATGCCCACCGCAGGTTGCCCCAATCCATCATGAGTCTCGCTCAATGGGTATATACTTTTCCAGTGCCAGTTCAATGCAGGGCGTGGACCTTCACCTTCCACAGATATTGAGATGCCCGCATCAGACTCCAAGTCCTACTTGAATTGTCAGCTAAAGGCCAGTCACAACGCCCGAGCAACAGAATAAGCAGCCAAGTCGCATAACGCAAAGGACTGCTTACCGTATCCATTTAGACCTGGGACATGGGCTGACCTTTGCGTCCTCTCATGGACATCGAGCTTCTGCCACCCATGGCGCTAAGGACGAGAGATCCAACGAAAGAAGCGAACAGGAACCAGAAGAATGCGGTGCTGGCTTGGAGTTCGCGGCATCGCTTTGATGTGTCGTGTGAGCCGTTGGTTAAGCTGTTGGTAGTCGTGTATGACTGCAATTCTGTTAGACATTAAGAGAAAGTCGAGGCATAGAATGACACTTACGGTGTTGCCACAGCTATGGACCCCAAGCTTGGCAGCCAAAACCACACCAGCAACGAATGTGAAGACAACGGCGAGCGCATCCAAGGCTATCAGGACCTGCAGGATTATGTTCTCCAAATCCGTAAATGCCACCACGAGGCCGATCAGCAGGACTATCCACGAGAAGACTGCGACGAATATTGCGTAATTGACGCTTGAAGGGTTTCCAGAAAAGGCCTCCGCGATGACATTGCCGATCAAAGCTGTAATAAGAAGGGTCCAGACAAATTCAGATGCTCGGAAGCCAATTTGAACGAATTTTGCCATTTTTGCAGTGGTGTGTGGAGTTATTAAAGAAGAGGAGGGTGTCGAAATGCGAGGTCGAGGGGTGAAGATGATCTGTCAATAGCTTTGAAGGTGAGATGTTAGAGTTTTGCAACGCGGGGGAGGAGGTGTTTGCCTTTAAAGCCCAAGCGGAGTGATCGGGAGGTTATGCAATTCGATGATATCACGCGCTAGTGAAAACGTAGAGTCAACACTGCACAGATGATGCGGATGATCTGGACCAGGACGCTTGGGCGAAAAGGACGACCTAATGTCTGCGACTCGGTTTGAATGCTCGGAGGCGATTTGAGACTTGGTTTTTGGATGGGGTGATTTTTTGGAGTTTGTGGTTTCCCCTCGTGTGAAGTTATCTTGGATAACACAAAGATCACTGGTGACCGTTCGCCTGGCAACGCTCTTCTTTGGCTTTTACTGCGCTGGTTGCCACCCCAATCGTCAATTGAATTCAATATACAGTACTAAATTGCACATTGAAAATCTAGTACGTTCATTATCGTCATCAGTCTTTCGCTTCTTCCAGATATTTCGGCACTCTAGTAGCATCTTGTTCCGCGCGCGCAAGTCGACGTTCCCGAGTCAATCGCAATGCCCCCACCAGAAAACTTCGCACAAAACGTCCAAGCTCCCTGCAAGTCTGGAGAAAAGATCCTGACGTGGGCGGCTGAGCCATGTCTCACTGCGACACGCCTCCCTCCATTATTTGACCCTCGGCCAAGCGGCAATAGTTGTGGAGATCTCCAGTGTTTTAAAATGAGTGAGATCTAGGCCGAAGACGCTGTTCTGGAATCCTCTGGGTGTCGTTTGGTGGAAAGGAAGAATCGCAGTTCAGCGACTTGCAAGCGTACAGTAGTTCTATGACGTCGTGTGGACCGGTCCATAGGCTGCTGTTGTACAAGTGGGGTTCACTTATCCCCACTGCCGGCATCACATGCGTACCAAATGCCAGCGGCGCTGGACCTGGCATCCTCGTGAGCAATCACTCGCTGACTGCCTCGTACCTGCGCGGACCTAACTGAAGGATCACGGAACGGAATTCTGGGTTTGGCTGGGGTCAATTGTAAGGCTTTAGACCTGTTTCACAATCCTGCTCTACTATCCTCTCGAAACACGACACGAACCACAAGAAGCTGTCCTTCAACAGAGCTCAATGAATCTGTTTTGTTGAGCATTACTCCCGTTGTATGCAGCTCGCGTGAATTGCTGTCAGACCATGGATACATACAGGGTTTGGATTCAAAGGGTTGAAGAATACATTTCTGGAGTTTGAAGGATGTTCCTAAGAAGTGTTGTGCACACCATGATCTTCATGCCGACGTGCTCCAAAGTACATTAACACTTCTCGTTCCTACGTCATTCCTTCTGCCTCCGCCTCCACTTACTCTGACCCCTCATCTGGATCTCCTGGATCGCTATCGCGGTCGGGATCGTTGCACGGATAAGTGAACACTGTACTCGGTGTCTTTGCCAGCGCAATCTCTTTGGCGCGCCGAGCAGTTAGACCAGCCAGAACGCCGTGGTCGCCACTATTCGATTTTGGGAGCTCCATGTTGTGGAGACCTGAGAACGTGTCAGCAACAAGCTCTTCTTGGATTGGAAGGAAATATGTGTAGACTAACACTTAAATCACATGTAAAGAGAGATTGACCATCAACCTGTGTGTTGCTGAGAGGTAGGGGGAAGTATGATTTTTAATGTTCTTATTACCTCATTATTGAGGGAATGAAAAGAACTTATATACCTAAAAGTTCAGCGAGCTTTAGTTTCCCAGCGAAGCCTTGCCGTCAAATATGTGAATATCAAGGCAGGCACGAGGGTATGTTCATAGCTCAATACTTTCGGGATGAGGTCACTTGCCGTGAATTGCTTTTACTGCCCAAAAATACGAAATGTTATTTGCTGAAGTGGCCGGGCTTATAGGAATCACAGAGCATTCCCAGGATCTACCCGAGATTGGCAGGGCAGCGCGTAACTCAACCCAATAATTCCAAGACGTGCATTGCGGCTGAGTTTGCATACTTAGGCAATTCATGTGAATACGTTTGCTCACTTGCGTTTAACTTCCTTGCATCAAACAATCCCAATTGGATTTGGGACAAACTCAAACTGTATGCAGTGAGTGGCAAGGTGTGGATGACAGGCAGCAGTGTTCATTGATTGATGCTAATTGCATCGAAGGACGACATAAATAGAGTATTGATGGAATCGAAGTTTTTTAAGTCGGCTTCAGAGCTTCGATTGAAGAGTAAGTGCTATGATGAAGATACATGGCAAGGCGCTCTCAATCATTGGTCGGCCGAGCAAAAGAGAAAGAAAAGAGTTAATTCAGGCACCAAGTGCCACACCGCTCGATACAGACATAAAGGCTGCGCGTGCCACACAAGCTCGGCACAAATTCTTGCCTGGTTCGATGCTGGAATGTCACTGCGGCTTCGGGATGTGCCGGAACGTGAGCCGCTTCTAGCTCTATTCAGTTTTGCAATTCAGCTTCAACGGCAGAGACTCGAAGTTCGTGGAGCAAAGTGTCTACATTAGGAACACTTGGAACACTTGCCTGCAGGGACGCTATTGAGGAGCTCTATGATTTTGTGTAATGATCAAGATAATCCATCAAAGGAGGCCATGCCTCTCAATCTCTGCTTCTTGGTGATACACTTATGGAAGGTGAAATGGGTTCTCAATACCTCAGAACATTGTCGTACACGCCGATCAATTGTACACTCTCAAACACGTTCCTTCGTCTCATCGTCTTGGCCTGGTCTTTTGGAAAATTGCACAAGATACTCTGCCCCAAGTCCAGCAGAGATCACACCTCCAGTCAACCAACATCCGTTGACAAACCACCACCAACAATCCTTGACACTCTTCAAGTTGACCTTTTTGATCATTATCGCCAGTGTTACTGCAGCACCACCACAACTTCCAACGAAGAATACAGGACCAGCTCCAGCGGCCATGCCGGCACCTGCCAAGAGACCGATCTGAGCAACAGCCAGGCCACTCAAGATCTGTTTCGTCTGCTTGTCATGCTTCAATGCAATGCTCTTGATTCCAGCCTTTGAGTCATCCTTTATGTCCATATGGGCATAAATCATATCGTACAACACAGTCCAGGCAATGTTCGAGGTGTAGAGAAACACTGCTGCTGTGAGAGCTGCACTGTTCTGTAGTAAATCGACCCCAAGGGCAGGGAATCCCATAATAGCGCCCCATGAGAAAGTAAGCCCAAGAACGAACTGAGGATAGTAGGTAACTCTCTTGGCCAAAGGGTATGCTGCCACAAGCAGCAAGCTTGGGGTCCCGTAGAAAAGGCATTGGGATGGGAACTGCAGTAAGATGCCGAGGCCAGTGAGCAACTGAGCACCCGTGAATATGAGAGCATTGAAAGGAGTGACTGCATCTCTGGCAATAGGTCGAAGTCTTGTTCGTCTCACGTGAGGGTCGAGGTTGCGGTCCCAGAGGTCATTGATAGTACAGCCTGCTCCACGCATGATAAGAGCACCACTGAAGAAGAGTAGGGATGTGCCGAGAACTGAAAGAGGAGAGGCTATGGGGATTGCTAGAGGAGCGGCAAGGAGTGTCGAGAACAGGCATGGAAAGAAGAGGTAGTAGGTTCCAGTTGGCTTGTCGAGTCGAATAAGCTCGGCATACGGAACCCATGATGCCGGAAGGACTGAAAGAAGGCCAGTCTTTGGCTGTTGGTAAGTTTCGAGAGGCAGAGAATCGGACTCAGAGGTTGGAATGGAGCCTTCTCTGCCATTGGCTGTTACTGAATTTGATTTGGCAAGAGAAGGATGGAAATGCCTTCGAGAAGCAGTGACGAGGGATAATTGGCGCTGGGTTCCTGTATGGACCAATGTCGCACTGATTCTACCATGGCTTTGATAGAGCTTAGATGGCACTGGGGAGCGATTGTATGTTGTCCGTAGTAACACACCTCTGCAGCTAGCAGGCAGGCGGAATAGCCCTGTGCTAGCCATTGTACTGCAGAAGCTTGCAATGAGGACCTTTCAAAACAGTTAGTTACATATACTTTGAGTGTACTTAGAACGATCAAGGGAATTGGAAGCTGCATGAATTTTCACTTTCTGACGGTGACGCTTCCGATCGCCAGCATAGCTCCAACGATTCAGGGGTGTGACTCTGAAATTGAAGGACAGCTTGAAAATGGGAAAACCTAACAAATAAGAGATTCCAACAAGGGCTTACTCGCTGTTGCTAGCTCCACTCCCTTCCCTTCCTTCGTTTCGGTTATTATCCACAGAAATCTGGTGGAAGATGTTTTATGGTGTTTTCCCGGAGTGAAATTTCCAAGCCAGATGGTCCGAGCTTTTGACAAGGCTACTGTAGCCAACTCGGCAACGCGAGGCGTTCATCTTCTTTGTGCAAGGGACTCCACCGTTGATCACACCTCACACGCAGCGCGCATTCGATCTCGCAGTTGGCATTGAACTCTGCAGCTGTTCGAAGAGAAGTCAAGGCGTCTTTTCAGGCTCGGAGGGTGAGCCTACCGCTGGGATACAAGGCTTGGCGCAGTAACGCGATAGAGATCAGCTTTACGCGATTCCCGAGTACTTTTCCGAATACCTTCACCTTTGGGCTTTGGCAAACACCTCTCACAGTCTCCGTACTTTCACAATACACCGCCCGCACACCTTACGCATACACTTGTGCCTCATCAACAACTGATTTGCTGATCGTCGGCAGTTGCTCTACCATGCGCTCAGAAATGAGAAGGTGGAACGACACTTAGCTGACTAGACATCGCTCTTTTGTTTGCATCATCATGCCTTCACAGGCGCACCCACAGGCGCAGTTTGTGCCCATACCCCCAGATTTCGACCCGAAAACACTCGTTGACAACACAAACAACTTCGACTGGGTGACCAGAGTCTCCACTGATACGCTGAAGGAGCACTCCATCCAAAGCTTCGAAGCGCTTGTTTTAGCTGTGGTGATCCAGAGCGGAAAACCACTCGTCATTGAAGATTGGGGAGAGAGCCTTCCCCCTTGGCTCTTTAGTAGGAAATGGCTTGAAGACAACTTGGGGTCCAACGGTAAGCATCTTTGAATCACCTCACCCACCATGTGCTGATACCGAGCTTCTGCAGCTGAAAGAGTTCGAGATATTCCCAATGTCGTCGATATACCCATGACGATAGGTCATTACTTGAGATCTATGGAACAGCTCACGAAGCAATTCACAGCATCCAACTATCGAGATCCCAAACGACAACGGTTATATCTGAAAGATATTGACTGCCCTGGTTCGTGGGCAGATCATTTGAAAGAGACCATTCCGGAGTGCGTTTATTACCTGAACGATTGTATTGAGTCCCGTACAGGTGGCGATGGCGCAATACGTGAGCCAAACGAATACGGTCAAATGCGATACGGCAAAGGAGTTGCGCCGGCAGGCGATCTGATGTCTAGTCTTCCGCCAGAGATGCGTGCTCAGAATATGATGTGTTATATTGGTCATGAAGGGACATACACTGCCGCCCACCGAGAAATGTGCGCTTCCCTTGGCCACAACATCATGATCGAAGCCTCCGAAGATGGACGAGGAGAGAAAGCTGGTAGTTCCATATGGTTCATGACTGAAACCAAAGAGCGTGAGGTTGTGTCCGAATACTTTCTCTCCATGCTTGGCCACGACATTGAAGTTGAGAAGCACTTTGCTCAGGTCAACGCTTGGAAGAAGGCGCCATTCAACGTCTGGGTTGTTGATCAAAGAGTGGGAGACCTGATTCTCATTCCTCCATTGGCCCCGCACCAAGTCTGGAACCGTGGAACCCGTACTATCAAAGCCGCCTGGAATCGTACGACTGTTGACACTCTCGAGCTTGCAATACACGAGGCTCTCCCTCGTGCCCGGATGGTCTGCCGAGACGAACAATACAAATGCAAGGCAATCATTTACTACACGCTAGTAAACTACTACGATCTCCTCCAGCGAGATACGATTGAGCCGAAGATGTGGAAGTACGGCCGGATCAAACAACTGTTGGAAGACTTCAAGCGGCTGTTCTCATTGTATCAAGAGGTTTTGGTCAGCGAAATGTTCTCACCAAAGCTGCCAGAAGAGGAAAATGTTGAGATGTTACCATACGACTCAAACGTCACTTGCTCGTACTGCCGTTGCAACATTTTCAATCGGTTCCTTACTTGCAAGGCTTGCATCCAGTACGGTCCGAATGGAGAAGAAGATACATATGATGTGTGCATGGATTGTTATGCAATGGGTCGTTCTTGTGCTTGCATTTCTAATTTGAGCTGGGTTGAGCAATGGAATTGGAGCACCCTTGTTACAAATTATGAACAGTGGCGGAACATCGTCGTGCAATTTGACGGATACTTCGACACGATGAGGTCTCCTCAACCGCTTGATATTGCGAGGAAGAGATCTGGAAAGAAACCCATTGCTGAAGTCTGTCAGGAGCAGCTGAAGCTTCGACCGTTTACCGATATAACCAAGCCGAAGGAGCCAACTCCAGAAATGTCAGACGTTGAGCCTGAAGTCGACGATGAAGGACGTCTTAAAAAACGAAAGGGGGGGAAGAAGTCGAAACAATGGAAACCTGGCAGAGGAAGAGTCGAACCAACAAAGGGCAAGACGCAGGCCTGCCATATCTGTTGCCATCATGACTACAAATGGAAACTCGCCTTCTGTACGACATGTAGTCTAGCGTACTGTTATGGCACCTTGTGGCGTGCTTTCGATTTGATGCCTCAGACGGTCATGGAAGACAAGGAATGGCAGTGTCCGAGATGTTTGAAGATGTGCCCTTGCGGGAAGTGTCGAAAGGACCCGAGACAGACCCCCTATCAGCCGAAGGGAACACTCCTTGGCCACGACACAAGAAAAGTAGCTGATTATCGAAGTATGGAAAGTCTCGTTGATTTCTCGAAGACAAATTTGGGTTGGCTGCGTGACGAAAATGCGGACAATCCTCACGAGTCTGGGAGGATGAAGAAATTGAAGGAGAAAGCCGAGGCAGAAAAAGCTCGTGTCGACACAGTGGATGAAAGTTTCCTTAACGATGGTGCCCCCCAAGATCCATTTGCCGGTGCTGCTGTTGATGACAACGCTACCGGCATGGCCGATATTGACCCGGAGCTCCGCGACTCTGATCCATTCTCCTCATTTACAAATGGTAATGGTCACTTCCAGAGCCCTTACGACCTTGTAGACTCTGTTGCGAATGGAGATGACATGAATATAACCAACGGATTCAGTGAGGATCCGAACCTTTGGATGGATGGCCATTATGATCTGGACGATTATGATTCCTTCAATCAACAACCAGCAAGTTATCCTTCACGACTCCTTGCCCCAGTAGCCCCAATACCGGCTCCAGAGCAATCGTACCCGGATCCATCCAACATCGGCCAGAACCGGATGATGGGCATTGGTTATTATCAGCAAGGTAATGGTATCGACAAGATCCTCTACGATCCTCCCAATTCGAATAATTCAGTGGACGACTTATCCCAGCCAATGGCTCAACGACAGATCCCAAATATGGCACTGTCAGACCTCCTGGACCCGGCATTGCAGCCACTGTCAGAGACAGGCAAAAAGCGAAAGAAGATTGGTGAAACTGGAAGCGGAGATGAACATGACCTAGAGTTCTTCGCTTCCAAACGCCAAAAGACGCTTGCGAAGAAGAGAGAAGCTAAACAAGAAGACATTGATGAAGTCACTTACGGCTCGAAGCCCGACAACCGTCCACCTCGTCGCAGTACAGGAAAACCGCAAACGTACATTGATTTGGGCGAGGATGCGGTTTCTATCGAGGAAGATGAAGAACTTTCGCAATTCTCTCATATGCGTAAGAAAGAGCATGGCGATTCTGATTTGGATCTTCCTGCTCAAGCGATGAGTCGTCGTGGAAAGCCCAAGCCCAAAGAAAAGAAGCCTACCCCAGCAAAGAGAAGAAGCATGCGAGCGCAGCCATCTAGTAGATCCGGATCACCATCGGGAGCCCCAAATACAATCAAGACACCCCGAAAGTCAGCTTGGCTTGCGAGAAAAGAAGCAGAGGAGGCTGGAGTTCCCTTCCCTGAGGAATTGCCGAAGAGAACGAAGAGACCGCGTGCTTCCACTGCGACTGATGCAACTAAATCTTCACCAGCTGTGGAAATATTTTCCGGATCCGAGGGCGGCGTGGCTCTCGATGACAGTGATGTTGACAGCCTTTTCGGTGAGCCACGGGAGCGACCAAAGAATGACGAGGGTGTCACCTGGCGTCCTTCTGGGGTGGATCCGAAGGTACAGATTGCCGAACCGAGGAGTATTTCAGTCAATCAAGACGATGAGCGGCCAGTCTCTAAGCCTGTTGTGAAGGTTGTGCAGACATCACCCCAGCCAAGTCATGACCAGCCAGAAAAGCCAGTTGCCAAACGCAGAGGCAGACCCCCAAAGAAGCCACAAGCGGCTCCACCGCTCGACCTTGAATCGCCGTCACCCCCGCCAACCCGATCTGCCCCAGTGCCGAAGTTACTTTCCCTTAAGGAAAAACTTGCATTGAAAGGTAAATCGTTCAAGATTGTTGCCAAGAAGGGGCCTGAACTAGCAGCCTCGACTTCCGGTCCTCCAAGTGCAAGAAGCACCCCATCAATACTTAGGCCGATCTTGAAGAGCCCATCAATCGCCAGCCCTGTCGGATGGAGGAGCGTGAATGGAAAATCACAGCCGGCGGGTGACAGATATGCGAGTTCCCCTGCCGAGTCGTCAAATAGCAAAAATGTGTCATTCGCACCTGCACCAGCTCCACCAGCGAAGAAGGGTCCTACGGTTGTTCGACTTGTGAGCCCCGAATCGACCTTCGAAGACTCGGGAGCGGAGCGTTCAGAAGATGATGCCTCTAGAGGATCTGTTCCAGATGACTCGTCAGACGATAGTGATGCAAGCATACCTGCTGTTCGAGTATCGCCAAAGCTCTTGCGTGGCGGCGGCGTTTCACTCCGGGGACGAGGGGGTGTCAGAGGTGGTATGACTGCGAAGCGAGGACGGCCAGCAGCTATCAAGGATAAATAGTGATCTAGAGAGCGCTGCTTGATGTGTAGGAACCGAAGCTTTACTGTGTAAATATTCAGAAATTCGGAGGCTTGCGCTGGTTTCCTTTGATGCTGTACGTCAGAATCTAGACAAGCAAAATGTTTTGCTGTCTTCGGGAACATCCATCACGGCTGGTCGGAAGGAAAGCGACGCAAGCCAACATACATAGGTTATTAGAAGGAGACATAATAGAGGAAAAGCATGCAATTTTCTTAAAGGGCTTGGTTCACAACTGCAAAGTGCTTCCTTTTGGCCACAAACGCCACCCTGAAAATGACTTCCACGTACAAAAAAGCCCTCTATGTCAGGCGGTGCCATATCAACACCTTCTCTCAACACCTTCTCTCAACCTCTATTGCATCCCCCTTTTCTTGAAGCTTCCTCCTTACTTCGGCTGGCTACCATAAGCTTTCCTCCCTGGGCCTTCTTATCATAACGGCTTTCCGTCCATCTGCTTCTCACGTACTCTATCTCAGGGTCTCTAAAGCGCGGAATTTTGAAGCTTGTATGAAGTCATAGATAAACCCATTACTGTCCGTTGATTGTGGACTGGGAAAGACCACCCCTGCCTTTGCAGTGGGTGCATACAACCTTCCTTCATCGTTTCGCTCGGTTGGAAGGCGATTTACATTAATTTTCATAGTCTAAGAACGCCCAGAATGTTCTCGGCCTCCTGATCGCAAAGTATGCCCGAGGTCTGGTTTCTGGTGCCTTAGATGAACTTTAGCAAGTATGAACCGTCATTTGGAAGACAAGTCTACCCCGCAAATGTCAACTTTCATATGTTCATAGCCCCTGACTCTGAAGTAATGCATTACACGCCTAAGGGCTGGTTCGTACGGAGCAGCTCGCTGAATTCCGGGGACCAAGGATTCCTCGTCTTTTCAGATGTCAAATCATAGCCGTTCAAACGCACAGACTTCTGATCATAGTTCATATTCTATGCTCCACTCCGTGGAGTCTAATTGAGGTTCTCCATAATTGGTAAGACTGGGGGTCCAGAGCCCCTCAATTCTTGTTGTAGCTGACGTAGCTCGATTGACCCCTCTACCTGACAACATTGGAAGAGGATACATAAAGCATTGGGCATCTTCATTTGAAACAATTCCTTTCTCACATTCCAATTATCAAGCTTGATCTCTTTACATAATACCCAAGCATTCCAATAATTATGTCTGCTGATCATGGAAAGTGCCATTGCGGCCAAATCGAGTGGCAGGTGAAGCTTGAGGACAGAGCACATATTCTCTGGTATGGTCTTTGGATGCTTGGTTATCATATGAGGAAATCCCCACTGACAATCTTCACAGCCACTGTGATACCTGCAAGAAACTTGGAGGCGGTGCCTATTCATTGAATCAAATTGTGCCAAAAGAGGTCCGTAGATTTCTTTTCGACCCGAAATGACATCAAAATTCCACACTAACACCTAGTAGAATCTCCAAATCACCAAGGGCAAACTGAACACATATACGTACCACGGCGACTCAGGTAAGTTGATTGGGATCATCGTCAAATTCACATCAAAAATGGTTGCTAACACATCTTTCAGGCAAACCCGTCAATTGCTATTACTGCCCCAACTGCACGACTCACATCTACCATCATCAGGTAAGCTTATCTTCAGACTACATTGTTGCTTGTTGTTTGAGAACTCAGGGCCCGGAGCTTCATGGGAGCTTGCATGCCCATTTGCCTTAGAAGTCGGCTCCTTGGCTCCTAAGCTCTCTCGTCCAGTTCAGAAATTTATTATACTAATTCGATGGTCAAAGACTGTGATGGGTGACAAGATCGTGATCCGAACCATCCTCCTGGATCAGGGCAAGTCTCTCAAGGCGGGAGCTGAGATTTTCGGAAAGGATCGTCTTTCATGGGTCAAGGAGGTTGCTCAAACCTTTGAGGTTTTGCCACCATCGTAAACTTGGCCAACTTTTAAGTCGCCTAATTAATATAATCCAGTAAAGCAAGTCGACTTTATTACTTTCTATCTTACTTTCATCTCGCAGCCAAGGTTCAGTCAGAATCAGGAGCAACTGAAAGGGTAACACCGAGCTTTACATATTGTCTCTCGTCCCTATTCATGAACTCTTTCCTTCCTCGTCACAACGTAACATGGGAGGTATCTGAATTCTAAGGCAGTTCTTGCCCTCCATCGAATTGTCATTATATACCCAATTCTACAGCCCACTAGTAAAACAAGGAGGTCCATTGCCATAGAAATTTCTCGCCACACCACGCTATCCGCACCAGTTTTCGAGCCCTTAGATGAGATGCTTTGACCTATTAATGTGTTAGTAAGCTGTGCCCATCTTCCAAGTTGTCCTGCAACATACCTGAAGTACGCCCTCAAATAAACAACCTGCCACGCTCCCAATGCTACCAGCATGCCCATTGTCCCAAAAGCAAACCATTTAACCCGGGTATTCGTGCTCTCATTCGTATCTCGAAGCTTCTGCTCTCTGGTTCGTAGATAGTCCATCTCGGCCACGATTTCAGCCACCATCTCCTCAATACGCCGTAACTCGGTCTCAACAGGTTTCAGCTTTTCTGTTGCTTGGACTGCGGACCAATCCTTTGCGTCTGCGCCGATATCGATGTCGAGTTCTACATGTCGGAATGGGTGGCCAACGTGTTTAGCTGAAAAAAGAAGTCAGTATTGACTGCAGAATTCAAATGAAAGGGCAACCTACACCCGGAGAATTGGTTCTCGAAGCACACATCAAATGATGCATCGGCGTGAGATGTGAAAGCCATCCTTTGCTCTCCAGCAACATCCTTCGGTCGTCCATACTCGTTTCCAACAGCATCCTTGATCTGTGAATTGCATTGTCAGCACATACCCTTTCATCAAGAGTCTAAGATTCCGAACTTACATGCATATTGACTACCATCCCGTCACCTTTATACCCATCCACAGTAGCCGTAACCACCACCAGGGTATCCTTCGCAACAAAATTCCGGATGCATCTTGTTCCCTTTGCATCCCCCCGACTTGCGGCTTCGAGATCGAATTTCAGGGCCTCTCCGCATGCAAGAAACAGCAATAGGCTGCACAATGTGCGCAGGAGGGGCTGTAAATATGCCATCTTGCCGGGTGTTTGTGTGAGGTTGTCTGTTTCCAGAATGGCATCTGTCGCGTAAAGTAAAAGGGGACGTTTTTGGAACGTGGCAATTGGCAGGGCAGGGATCATCGGTCCAGAGTTTGAATGTCACGTGAGTGGAAGTCGCGAACTTCAACTTGACATCTGAATTCCAAGGAAAGCTCGACTTTCATTGTACAACCTCATCAGTAACATTTGAGCGTCAACACCGCCAATATGCCGAAATGCAAGTTCTATGCCCTGCGACTTGTCTAATGAATTCTGCTAACATCATCACAGTCTTCTGTAAGTTCTCCAGGCGCGAAGTTCTCGGGCTCTCCACCTTCTCAAGAGCCTCAGAACAGCTCATGCTGACCCGTAACAGGCGACTACTGCGATGTGTACCTCACACACGACTCGATGAGCGTCCGCAAAGCTCACAACAGCGGAAGGAATCACCTGCGAAATGTCGTAGACTACTACCAACGTACCGCCTGCATCCTTCCCCATCCTCGTCAACACTAACAAACCTCCCAGAAATCGGCCACGAGAAAGCCCAGTCCGTCATCGACTCGATCACATCCTCCTATGCGGCAGAAGGTCAATCCTCATCCAACCCTATGCTCGGTCAAAACCCTGGCCTCAACCCACCTCCCCCATTCGCATTCCCAGGCGGTACGTCTTCTCCTTCTCCTCCTTTTCAGGCCCTTCTAACGCAGCTTTTAGGCGTCCCACCACCCCCCTTTGGTATGCCCGGTATGCCGCCAATCCCCGGAATGCCTCTGCCAGGCGGTCTCCCGATTCCACCACCAGGCGGCCGTGGAATGCCAATGCCACCGTTCCCTGGCGGTCCAATGCCTCCTCTCCCCCAGGGCATGCAATTCCCACCCCCGGGCGGCCTTCCTCCGAATTTCCAGTTTCCGCCACTGCCGGGTGGGTTCCAGCCCCCGCCTGGATTCCCGCCGCTTCCTGGTGCTCCTGGGTTTGATGCGCAGAATCAGGGGCAGCAAGGCGGTCAAGGTCAGGGGCAGGGTCAGAATGATAGACGATGAATAACAAGACGAAGTTGGAGGCGTGGTTAGGAGACCATATCAGGTTGAGCTGAGAATGGGACTCTGGCGTTCAGGAGCAACATATGGCGTTGGGTTACAAAATGTAAGATTATAACAGGCTTCACTTCAGACGAAGTCTCTCGGACTTCACATACTCGAGAATATCAAAAGAATGCTCTTCACATACAAAAATGTGTGCTTAGATATGATACCTACTTTTGATCTTATAAAGTTCTCAGGCCAGTGGCCTAATAGGCACGGAAGCAACTTCACATCTCGCCCTCCACATTTAATTCTCCTAACGGTACGCATATTGGATTCCTATCCCTGATCTGATCTATGATGAAGAACCTCACTATTGCGCACAAAGAGTGGAGATAACCACGCATCCATCTTCCTTGCCATTACCATGCGTGAGAAGAGAAAAACTTGGAAATAAATTTCTTCGGGTATTCAACCATTCCTGAACAACGCCATGCTCGAAGATTTTCTCGGCCTCTAGGCGTCTGTTCGTTTCGTTCGCTCATATTTTTCCTCCTCGGCGTCAAAGATTCTTTCCATAGCATTCCATTCCATCCTGCCATTACCCAACCTAACCCTCATCTCGTCGTTTAACATTACCTTCTTATCCAGAAGAAGGCCTCTCAGTCCGCCTCGGCAAGTTGAATGATTAACTTGGAAGCTAGATCTAGGAATGGGAATGGTGAAGTGACGTCCTTCTCTTCAAGTAGCATTCCATCCGGAGTTTCGTAGCCGGCACACTTGAAGTCGACCAAGTATACACCTACCTCCATTTCATAGAGTTGGATGTCGAGATGCATGCCGACGCTCTCAATGGGCCTCATACTTGACGCTTTTGGGGAAGACGAGGCCTCCTGGGATGTAAGGGAACCACCGGCGCTACTAAGAGAGGCTGCGGAATGACGACGAAGATCTATCGAGGATGAGTGAGTGGATCCGGGAGGAACGATTCCAGGAGGGTACATGCCGTCTTTCTTCCAGCGAACTCGGAGCACCCAGGGGTCTGCCGGTAGCTTGTAACGCGCGTTGGGGTCAACACTGCCGAAACTCAACTTTGAGCCATCATGTCGGTTGGTTTGCCTGCTCATGGAATCCGCATGGTGTAATGAGCCTCCGCTAGCGTTCGATATGAAGCTGTTATTGTTTGTTCTGATGTAGATTGTTAGCACTGCGTTAAAGTATTGAATCACACCTACCCTTCGTCGCCCTCCCCATCCTCTCGACGAAACGGAGTCCAATCTTCATCCACAGCCCACTCAGCTCCAAGCTTCTGAAGAGCTCTATAGATACAGCCAATCGCCTCCAGAGGCTGATTGCGTGACCGGATGCCGAATTGCCACTTCGTTGGTTTTACCTTCTTCAGTGGAACAGGCGTCATTCCGGCGGGTCTCTTACTTGCTTCGTCCAACTTGAGCTGACTGCGAGAGTGAGGGTTGAGGCGACGCATGGTCTCAGCTTTCTCAGCCTCGGTTTGAGGGTGTGGTTCATCAACTTCTGAGTGAGCGGTCGAAAGAGGGTTTCCAATATTCCTACCCGTTCGTCGAGCCTCCATAAAATCCTTGTGGTAGGTTGGCAGACTGCTTGGAAGAATACCAATCTTGCTGACGTAGGGTCGAAGTGATCTATCAGTACCAATCGAGCTTGAGGAACGGGGAGACATAGCATCCACAAGGGGACTTGGCCGCACCATGGGAACTTCAGAACCTGCAGAAGGCTCCTTGGCGACAGGAGATGCTGGCGGGGAGATGGCAGCGTCCAGCTTAATGCCATCATTCCAAGGCGGTGGCGAGGAAGCTTGGAATAGAAGTTGGCCTTTGTCGTCTGCAAGATTAGCTGTAATTTGCGTTAGTAAAATATTCAATGTTTTCTTCGCCGTGTAACGATTCCGTCCAAAGCTTGTGAAGAGAATTTGTAGTCCATAGAAAAGGGTGGACTTACGATTGGCCTGCATCAGCTTGTTCTCTCTCACAATCAAGTATGCATCCTTGATAGCAGATGGCTCTTCAGCAGCTAAAGCTTCCTGAACATCCTTGATACCATAACCCATTGTCTTACTGATCTTTTCTGTGACTTGATCGTGCAGCTTCTCTTGGACAGCAGGACTGGCATGTGGTGCAATAAGCTTTGGGTTGATAGCTTTGCTAGAATCAACTCCGGTATCCAGGAACTCCTCGACGGGTGGTTGTAGATATGCCGGTAAATTCTTGAGGAACCACGGATCCATTCGAATCTCTTCGATAGTTGCTCGGTGCACAGGATTGACCGCCAACATCTTCTTGATCAACGAAGCAGCTCCAGAGCTCATATAATTCGGCACGACGTATTGGCCCTTGGCAATCTTTGCGAAAAGAGATGGAATATGTTCATCGTCGAATGGCAGTCTGCCAACGAGGAGAACATAGAGGATCACTCCACAACTCCAGACATCGACTTCCGGACCAGCGTATAATTTACCGTTGATGACCTCTGGTGCTGCATAATTAGGAGAACCGCAGCTTGTCTTCAAGAAGTTTCCGTCTGTCATGATGTTGCTAAGTCCAAAGTCCGCAATCTTGACGTTCAGGTTCTCGTCGAGGAGGAGGTTCTCCGGCTTCAGATCTCGGTGAACGATCTTATGTCGATGGCAGTATTCAACGGCACATATAATCTGCTGGAAAAATCTTCGAGCTTCGTCTTCCTTCATCTTGCCATTCTGTACGATATAGTCGAAAAGCTCACCGCCGGCGTATTCGAGTACCATTATGATTTCCAGCGGAGTCTTAATCACAGTATATCTGCGGGTCCCAAATTAGGCTCTGTGTCATGTAAACAAAGGAGAAGCTCAACTTACAGCTTGATGATGTGGGGATGTCTGAGAAGCTGTAGATATTCGATTTCACGCTCCACCCGGCCAGCCATATCACGACTGATGAGCTTCTTCCTAGCAATGATCTTAAGAGCCACCTGCTGGTTCGTCACACGGTGCGTGGCCAGCTTCACCTTTCCGAAGGACCCTTCTCCCAGCGTACGGATGATATGGTAGGCGCCGATTCGCTGCTCAGCCTTCTTCTGAGGTGCAGGCTCAACAGATCTGTTATGGTTGCTATTCTGCGTTCGACGACTGCTCGCATCTGGAGGCTTGTTCTGCGCGCGGCGGTTCGCCGAGGGCGCGAGAGAGATCTCGAGCTCTCCATCATCGTACGCGCCGTGAGGCATCATGGCGGGGTTGGAGGTTGCTTTTGGGTGGTGGATGGGAGGGGAGGGATTGCGAGCGACGTCGTCTGCCCCACCAAAGCCGGGTGACAAGCGAAGAGATGATCAACAGCTTGATTGATGGGTGTTGAAGGAGATTCCTCGAGAGTCAAGTGGCTGTCGCATTCATTCTTGGGTTGGTCGAGAGCACAGGTTCTTGGTGTCACTTGGTGATGTCGAGCTTTCAGATGGGCTGGCTCACAAAATGGCCTGCGAGCTCGCTGGCGCTTGTCAGGTTGGTGAGGAGGTCGCTAAAAGCTGCTCCTGCATTAGGGGTAAAAGCGTCGTACAATACGAATCGAGCCGGGATTTTGCGGAGTATGAATCCTGAAAAGACTCTTAAACCGCCCTTATATCTTAGCTCCGGTCGGATATTTGTTAATTAGGCTTCGCGCGTGGGTGAATTACAATAGATGTTGGAAGTTGCTGTGGAAGAAGTTCATTCAGGCAGCCGCGACGGAAAAATTACTGGGCATCAGTGACTTATCTACAGCCAGCCTATCACATGCAAACTCTCGTACATTTGCAATCTCTCCTTCTGTAAATAAAATGCCACGGGGCTTATTTGCCATCCCGGTTTGATAGTAAAAGGCCAAGATCGGTCGTTGTGCCATGGTTTCCAAGGCGAAATTCCTCATGGTTCTCTTCCCATTCACTTTTCCTTTAAGAGTTCCAAGTCATTAAATACATTGAGCTCCGAAGTCGGTCTTTCCCCCGCTGTACATGCCTGTTTCCCAAATATCTAGACCCATCATCACAGCCCCTTCTTCTCTTCCTCCTTCAGTCTCTCGACCAATTTCCCTCTCAAAAAGTCACTCAATCCCAATCTGCGAAAGTCAGCAAACTACACTTCACCCTTTGGTTCACAAGCACTCACATTCCCTCCCTCGTAATAATCCTATAACTCCCACTAGCCTGCCAATTCCCCTTCACTTCCCCCCCACCAGCCACAAACTCCCCCTTCCCATCAACCTCCAAGCTTCCAAAAATGTCTTCCGGCCATGCAATGCGTCCATAATCAGGAGGCGCTCTCATATCACTGACATGTAACCATCCTCCTCTCCCACCTCCTCCTGCTCCTCCTTGACTACTCGCTCCCCCAGCCCCATCACCTGCTGTACCACCTCCTCCCCCAGAACGAGGAAGCTTCCTCTTCGGCTGCTGAGGGAAGAACATACCCCCTGAACCTAGTGCAGAGCCAGAAGTCGATGCAAAGGCTGCGGCTTGGCCTTGCACCAGGGGGTCTTCAGTTGCGTGTAGCCGCAGGACATCGTTGAGGATGGAGAGGAAATGCGGGTTTTCGGTTAAGGAGTCGGGCGTTGGTGGTATTTTGGTTGTTGTGCCTATTGAGAGATTTTGGGAAGGTGGTTCGGTGGGTAAGAGAGTGAGGATATGAGAGTTTGTTGGTTGTGATGGGTTGGGGAAGATGTACTGGACGTATTAGATGGTGACGCTTAGGGCAGGAATTGACGCACAATGTGAGGATTTGATGGGAGAGTTGAGATTGAACGGAACAATGGCCGTAGCGGCAATCTCGCTGGAGTTCTAAAGAGTGTTGTGCAAAGCATTATGAACTGTTGATTCAGTCGTGGTGAAGCTCCGCGAACGAAACTCAAATTATTCTGAGCTCGGACATTGATGGAATGACGTGCAGTATTTACAGGGGCGGGGCTGCACGAGCGCTCAAGGCTGACAACATTTGGCAAGGCTAGCCTCCCCGGAAATTGTTCGGAGACTGTGTTGTTCTTGTATATTTGTGTTCCTGGTTAGTGTCAAACCCGTCATGATCTCGGGCAAGTATTTGGTTGCCAATCGAGGTGAACAACATAGAGCACGTGACGGGGTATTTCAATTGGTATCGATTGTCCTAGCCCATGCAATTTACAAGGCAACTCTCGAAAGTTGGGTGACTGAGAAAGGAAATCATCGCTATCATAAAGCATCAATCTCCGAACCATTGAATCACGCCATTAAGTCTTGTGTTGTACACCGCAACCGTCCCCGTTTATCAACGCCGATCTATTTCTTCAGAGAGGTCTCCTCCAGGCCACCATAGATCTGCAACATATTAGTACAATGCGAATCAAAGGGTAGCAGAACGCTTACAGTCTCCATCATAATACCAGTGATTTGGTATGGGTCAGCATTTGAAGCTGGTCGTCTGTCCTCGAAGTAACCATAACCCTTGTGTCCGCACTCTCTCGGGATACGGATGGATGCACCACGGTTGGCTACACCATAAGTGAAGGCATCGATGTTACCAGTCTCGTGTCTGCCAGTAAGACGCAGGGTGTTGTCCTCTCCGTAGACTGCAATGTGCTCCTTGTGGCGGCCCTCGAGCTTCTTGATAGCAGCCTCGATGTGCTTCATGCCTCCCTCGACTCGCATCTCCTTGGAAGAGAAGTTGCTGTGAAGGCCAGCTCCATTCCAGTCACCTGGAATTGGCTTGGGGTGGAAAGAGATCTTGGCACCGAACTCCTCGGCAATGCGGTGGAGAAGGAAACGGGCAAGCCAAAGGTGGTCACCCACTAAGCAGGTGACTTTAGCTAGATATTCGAAATTTTCAAAAAGGGGATAGACTTACACTCAATACCCTCACAAGGACCGACTTGGAACTCCCATTGAGCAGGCATAACCTCGGCATTGGTACCGGAGATCTTTACACCAGCGAATAAGCAAGCCTTGTAGTGAGCCTCGACAATGTCCCTGCAGTAGACCTTGCCAGTGCCAACACCACAGTAGTATGGGCCTTGTGGACCCGGGTACCCACCAACTGGCCAGCCATAGGGCTTGTCGAGGGTGTCAAGGAGGGTGTACTCTTGCTCAAGACCGAACCATGGCTCGTGGCTCTTGTGGGCCTCCATGAGCTTAGCACACTCATGGCGGTAGTTGAACTTGTTCGGGGTTCCATCAGGATCCCAGCACTCGGTAATGACCAAGATGTTGGGAGCGCCACGGAACGGGTCGGGGAAGATGGCCACAGGCCGGAGGTAGACGTCCGAGTTGTCGCCTGGAGCCTGGCCAGTAGAGCTGCCATCGAAATTCCACTCAGGAAGGTCCTCAATCTTGAAGTTACCATCCTTTGGGACCTTGGTGAGAGTCTGGAAATTTCCTGGATCAGTATGTTGTTCTCAAGTCCCGGCCCGCGTCGGCTCGCGGGAGTGGGAGCGAGAGTGGGAGTGGGCTCACCTTTGACTTGGAACGAACGCCACCGGTGGAGTCGATCCAGATGTACCTTTTGAACGATGAGTTGCGATTCACAGAGAAAACGATGCTGCGATACTTACTCGGCCATAGCACTGCCCTTCTGGTCGAGGGCCATGTACTTCAACAGCTGCAGCAGGGTTAGCACGGTGCGGCGCAACGGGGACATCTCCGAGCTCGGCAGTAACTCACGTTGGCAGTGTACGAGATGGTGGTTGTCGTCGCCATGATTGCGGTGTTGGGGGGGTTGCAATTGAGAGGATTGTTTGTGGGTACGTGTATGATCAGCTTCAACAGACAGAGTCGTGTTGTTGTGCGGAAGAGAAGTTTGGAGGGGAGGGAAGGCGAGGAGGAAGTTCTATTTAACGATAAGGGAGCGCCCAAGTTTTTACCCGGCACCGGACAGGGGTCGGTCGTTGGTTCCTGCCCCTGCCCCAGCTGGCAGCGTGGGACACGATACAAGCACTACAAACCGAAACCATGAATTATTGAGCGAGTAAGGTCAGTCCCCCCCAAACACAGCGAGGCACATATTTTGCAAAGCTTTTCATGGCATCACTTGCTTCTTCCTTCTTTGTCTGCGGAGTGCCGACAAGTAGTAACCCCAGCGTGGTCAAATTTTCGCGTGCACACGACACCTCGCTGTCCAGCTTTGCGGGAATTTCACTCTTTGAGCCTTTTTGTTGAAGGGCTTTTCTCGCTCGCGGACTTTTCAGCCACACACCTTCGGATGCGCCCCCGACCTCCACTCCACTCCACTCCCATACCATACCAGACAGCTACTCCATACACAGCCAGAGAGCCAGACAGCCAGACATGTGGAGAAAGAGGAATGCAGCCCAGGTTGGATCTGAATCTGCAGTGACTTCGAATTTTCACCATCTGCCTTCGTCATGCAGGCCATTCCCGCAGCGAGCAGCAAGCAGCAAGCCGTTGCTGCCGCCGCGAAACTGGAGATCGTCACGAAGCTGCTGCTGGTATGTCATGGCATTTGCCTGCGCTTCTTCATCTCCCGTTGCAGTGCTCCGTGACAGTCGCAGCACCCTCGCTCACCTCTCGACCAGCGCGTTCAAGATGGTCCAGTGCGGAGGCTTGGGGATATCTTACTTTGGATACCACTGACCAGCCCCTCCAGGTTACACAGCGTCAGCGTCAGCGACAGCAGGGTCCTGCAAAACCCGGAATCCATACACCGCAGCTTCACTGCTTCAGTTCCGGGAATAGCTCTCTCTGCTGCTCGCTTCCCCCCCACAGGCACAGAGATGTCAGAGAACGCCTCCCGCCAGCAGCACAGATTTCGTTTCGTAACTTTCCAGCGGTCCCACCCACCGCCAGGGGGTTTTCTGTGCCTCCCACGCATGATCGCATCACATTCTCGGCGCCCCCATACTCGTTCATTGTTCTCGTCCTTTGTTGAGGATGTCATTTGCATTCATCATCCCCAGGTCAAAACGCTTTATTCTTACAAATGGAAATTTTCTTACGGGACAAAGGAGTCCAGAACTCGGTCCGCCTGGGGACGACAGGGAGAGCTCGACGGATCCGTACCCCGCCGATGGTCTCGGCGTTCAGCCACTGCGATAAGGAATTCTGGGATTGTGATTCGTGCATTGGGAGCCGGACCAGTGGGGTGAGTAAAAGCGGTCGAGTAAATGCGCCGGGCGGTGCCGCCGTGCTGGGACTGCCCTGCCCCAATGAGGTGGGCGGAACGAGATTCGATATCACGTGCTCTCCAATCAGGATGTTTTCGTCCCGAAAGCTCGTGGCCGTATTTCTATACTGTACGACTTGGTGTTGTTCGGATTGGCTTTGTTTCCGACAGAGCCTGGAAACTGGCTTGCCAAGTTCCCCAGCCCCAATCTCACCAGATCTCACCAGAGTCTGACACAGTCACCTGAGATCTTAGTCAGATCCAAAAATCTGTCGTCGTTTTCTCGTACGTAAAATACAGCAAACCATTCTTACATTTCTGGTTCGTGTTTTACATGCATTTGGATGCCAGCTCCTCCGCTCCCTTGCGATACTCTAGTCGAGGATCAAGTGGTGTATGGATGAAAACGGATGGTCGGGAAATCCTCACGCTGCCGCGGAAACAATCTTCACTCTCTCTCAGAAACAAGGAGATAAATGATCGTATTCGGTCCGAAAGCCGGTACATTTCTGTCTCTGGACTCCTTCCTGTGAATGAAAAGCCATATTTGCACTACACAACTTCTTTTGATTCCTGAACAATGCATCGGCGTTTGCAGGGCATATGGGAGTTTATCCAACGTCTCACAACTTCTCGGATAATTAGAGACTGTGGCACAGGAGTGGGTATTTCGTGTGACGCAATTTTGTTCCATTTCGTATTCAATGTCCCAGAAGTTTCTTGGACAGAGATTACCGAAGCGGCTCGCCTCGTTATCATTAACCATAAACTTAATACAGAATCTCATACAAGGATAAACAAACAATTTACGTCCACAGCCGGTAGGACAGAGCCGCCAACGACTCCCCTCTTGACAGTACAACCGCTTGTTCAGCATGTCTCGCATTTAGAAAGGACACCCATTTGACAGAAGAGGAGTCGATGTTCGGGTGCATTTTTGGAGGTTGGCCTCCAGCTGATGCAATTGAAGGAAACGCATTCATAGCTGGGTTTCTGGCCACACTGCAAACTCATGAGCGACGATTCGTACATTGGCCCGAAAAACTGTTTATTAGATGGACTAGACAAGAAGGTGCTTGTAGTATGTTGAACTTGTGCCCACCAAATTGCTCCTTGGTCAGAGGAACGGCAAGCCGTAATGCGGTATTCCTCACCAGGCAGCTGATTAGGTGGCTCCACTGGAATCAAATCCCAAGTAGGAAAGCCAGGGGCAGTCAGTCCTATCTCGAAGTGAACAGATGGACAATGGAAATGTTTTTGTAACTTACAAGCATGAGTTCAATCCCTGTAAGGCACCATCTCATACGATCCGGTTGAGAGCTGTGTTGGCGGTAGACCGTTGAGAATCTGATCTGGGAGATTGAATTCGGCTTGGGCAGCAAGACAGTATGGGTAGTGCAGCAATTCTCGAGGGGACCGCCGTTCTTCATTTGCAAGGGAGCCTGTGGGAGTCAGTTTCGATTATTATTAGGATATGATTGGAGGGAGTGATTCGGGCCGTCGCTTTAAGAACTCTTATCTTATCAAATACGAAGTCCGCATGTTGGCGATACTTGTAAGTTTTACTCCTCTCAGAATCCACACCTGAAAAAGTTCCATCTGGTTCCATGAATGGCCAGGTAGGAGCAATGAGGCCAATTGACAGCGTTGAGGTTGACCATTGGAAAGAGCTCAACATACTATCTGGAATCCCAGGAATAAGGCCGTCTGGGTTGGACGAAAATTCTCTTCCTCCTGTTCGACCGGAAGACTCTGTAATCCGGACCCGCGGTAGAAGGTCGGGTAGCTTGGATATTATCCGGGACCCAGGAACTCGAGTCCATGTCAATTAGGAACGCCGCCACTGCTTGTCACTGATTCGGAGGATATTCAGACTTGCCTGTTAGGAGAGCTGTAGACTCAAACTCTCCGCGCCTCGCTTTCTTTGCTTCCTTAGTTTTCTTGATTCGCTGAGAAAGTGGTTATACTCCTCGGCGAGAGATTGGCACTGCTCCAGGTACAACTTCCCATCTACCACTTCTATGGCCCATTTGGGATCCATCTCTTCTCCATCCATATCCCTGCACCCTTGTATTTCCGCCTTGTTTTCTAGGTGGACGAGCGGTCCTTGATAAAGTAAATAGATGCTGTTTGCTTATTGGTGTCCGGCCCTGGGGACTCTTCAATGCCTGTAGATTCTTCAGAACTTGTCGAGTCATCAGAGTCATCAGAGCTAATGGCCGGAAATATAGACAGTGGTGAGGGATAGGTTGGCAGCGAAGGAACTGGTCCACGAGCTGTTTGCTGGAGGAGAGACAGATGGGGTTCAAGATAACGTCAATGGAATAGTTGATTTTGATGATGCTGTGGGAGGACACGTGAGGGCGTCAAGAGAAGGTTGTGGAGGTGAACTGCCCAAGATGGAAGATAAATTCGATGAAATGGAATTGCCATCCAGGCAGATTGAGCGTGAACGGGCCCATATGCTCGAGGTAATAAAAGAGTGTGGGAATACAAAGACGGTGGGTGAAGTAAGGTAGTTGGAAGCTTTGTGGGAACTGGTAGCCACTCCCATAAACAAAAGCAGAAGCTACCTTGGGCAATGAATCAAGATGAATTGCAAGATACCCTACGCATTGAAATGGAGATATGGTTCGATGGAGTTCATGGCACAAATCATACAGCAGGAGACCGGACAGGGTTTGGGTCTTAGCCTTGGGGAATACAAACGGACAGATTTTGACTCCTAGGCGTTGCGAGATATCAACCACTCCAAAATACAATGGATATTGAAAGCCTCCTGGATCCCATTCTTTTGAATTGGAGTGAAATTGCTCTTATTCCGGGTGCTGCCGGAAAGCACGAAAGCGCGAGAAACTCTTCTTCCTTACCCATCAACTACCCTTGTCATGTTCTCTGATCTCACCTTTCCCGAGAGTTCCGATCTTTCGTTGCCTAATTATGACTATTATATAGGAAAGGTTTACTTCTCGCCAATTTCCTCATCGTGGTGACGATGGAGCGTTACGATCACCTTGTCCGTCATGCGATCATCGACATTAGGAGTAAGGAGAGCACACAAGACGCAAATACCGCTGAAAGCGATCGTTGAATAGAAAACAGTCTGGTAGGCATGGGAGCTTGCAAGCTTGTAGGCCGCGATTCCAGTTGCCTCGATGGAAGCAGTCAGTCCGTCAACTTTGGCGAACGCAGCGGGGGTTCCGACAGCGACTGCTGCCAGGAATGACGGGACAGATGAGGCGGGTAGGCCTGCCGCGATGAGTTTCGGTGGGACTTCGTGGGGGATCGTCTGTTGTAAGCGATTGGTGAGAATCACGGTGTAGATGACTTGTGCGACCGTCGACACAGCAGTACGCATTGAGCCCGCGACCCCAACGGCAGTCCCAATCTCGGACTGGTCTTTGATCGCGATGCCGGTAATAGTAAGGCCAATGGAATCCATAAAGCCCACAGATACGGTTCCGAGGAAGAGACACGCAATAACGGTCTTTTGGTTGAATGGAGTTGCGCATGCACAGGCTGGAAAAGGTCCGTTAGATGGACATCTCTGCTTGCAAGGGAAATACGGAAGGCTTGCCTCCAAGGAATATTCCCATACTTATTGCTCCCAGCACTATTTGCCTTCGTTGTTTGCCAAGGTATCGACAAAGACTACCACCAAGTAGCTGGCCAGCGTTTATGCCACATCCAGTGACGCAACAAAGCAAGCTTCCATACGTCAAATCGCTCGTATAGAGCGAGAATACCATTGTTGGCCAGACGATAGCAAAGGCGTAATAGACACTGGCCCCAAGAGAAACCACCATCATAGTTGCCACCCATGGGACGTTTTTAAAGAGGTGCATAGGGACGAGCGGTTCATTAAGAGGCATAAAAGCCTCGTAAAGAACGAAGGCGACTAGAGCAAGAAATCCAACTACAATAGTTGCAATAACGTGCGCAGACTTCCATGGGTAATAAGATCCTCCCCAAGATATACCCATAAGGAAGACCAAAAGACCACCCACTAAGAGTATCAGGCCAATAAAGTCGAAGTCTATGAAAACTTGTCGCTTGGTCTTCTTGTGTTTGTACTTATCATCAAACGTAGGAGGGAAGTAGCTATTATCCCTTAGAAGTTAAATTGAACAGAGCGGTTTTGGGGCTTACCAGAAAAACCAGCATAGCGTAGATGCGGCATTGATGCCAATCATTAGGTAATAACAGGAGCGCCATGTATGTTTTGTATGTTGCACAAAGGCGTACGCAATTGCGGGCCCGAATCCTACTACAGCTGTCACCCAAAGATACAAATATACCTGGCTAATGAATCGATGCTTGAAAGGTATAATTTCTCCGACCACAAACGTGTACGAGAGTTGAGGAGCCGCTGCGAATCCGACCAAAACGGACCCGCCGATCAAGATAGGAACTGTTGTCGCAAGTGCACTAACAATACAGCCAATAAGAGCGAGAGCAGATCCCAATATAAAGAACCATCGGCGTCCAAAGAGATCGGACAGACGCCCGACGAGAACTTGTCCAATTGAGAGCGTGAGCGTGTAGACTAGCGCAATCCAGAGGTAATTGGGATCGGGACCAATATCGTCGTTGATGACACCAAGGAGAGGTGCAACGAGAGAAAATGTGCCACCGCCCTGTATGCAAATTTAGCCCCGTTTGTTGTATTCTAGAGAGGGGGCGTACTTACTCCAGTGAAAGCAAGGCCAACCGCCAGCATTGTTCCTAGGAAGGAAGGGCTGCGGAAGTAGCCTTTGGGTAAATCGTGGGCATCGATGTCGAAAGCAGCTTCAGCTCCGACCTGCTGGACCATGGGGGAGTGACCTTCTTTCTCATGCTCTGTGGGGGTCACGGCATGTTCGCCGTCGCTGGTTGAATGTGCCATGTCGATGAGGACCAGGACCAATGCGGTACGTTGGGGATGGAGATGGAGATGGAAATCTCGCGGCTCGAAACTTTGGTGGAGTTAGAGCAGAAGAGTAGAGTTTCCCGCGAGGAGCCTCGTCCAACATCAACATAGAGCTGGAGGGAGCTCATGTCCCGAGTGCCGATCGACAGCATATTTATGTAAGTTACCCGCAGCGTCGTATCAGCCGTGCAGCCCGCGGCGAGCGAGACAAGGCTGGTCGTTGCCCGGCCGAGAGCGCTGCAAATAATATGATCGATCGATCCATCTGAAAGCTGGATGGAAGGCATGCATCCGACCCAAAACGGGCAACCGGTTCTTGGGTTCTGGGTTCCGGGGTACTGGAGGTCTGGCGGCAGCACTAGCCCACCTCGAGTGGATTTCGTGGGAAGCAGGGGGAGCTTGAGGGAGCTGGGGGAGCTGGGGAAGCTGCAGCCTGCAGACGGGATAGAGATAAAATTAAGCATTTTTGTGCGGCCTGACTCGTGGTGGATTGTGCTTGCCCTTCTCCATTCCTTCCATCTGGGTCTTGCAAGCTAGACAACGTCTCGCTCGTACGTCTCCTCCGTCCCTTCTTCACGGACAGGGTACTCTCTATATCCACATGTCTTACGGCTATCCTTATCTCTCGAGGCACAGCTCCTCCTCAATCCACCACCACTCCTCCATCAATCTGTTGCACAAGGTCACAAGGTCGGCGTTCTGGCGTTCTGGAAGGGCGGAAAGAAGGCCAGTAGCAAAACCATGGAGCTGGGACGCGGCACACCACGACAAGGGAGAACGGGGAGCGAGAAGTGGGCTCCGCATGCCCAAAAACAAAAACAAGAAGTGCAGTGCCGTGTTTCGTCTGCAGCGGGTTAGCGAGTAAGCAGCCTCGCTTCATTGAAGGTGTCAAGCCAAGGTCAGCAAGGTGCAAGGCTGCTGCGGGCGTGCAGGGGCGCGGGAGCGCGGAGCGGGAAAGTGCACGCCAGGGGGCGGGGCCGAGCCGTGCCTACCCCCGCCCCCACACAATGGGAGCATTCCAATTGGTGACTGGCGCACGCCGCGCACAGCACTCCCAGCTCTGGCAAACTCCGTACAGTACTTATCATTGGCAGTGCGCGCACGGGACATCCTATTGGCTCTCTCCACCCCTTGTTTCTTTCTGCTTTCTCCTCCTTTCCCCTCCTTTCCGTCGTCCCCGCCCCATGTCCTCCGAGCACTGAACAGTGAACAGTGAACAATACAGTAAACAGTGAACAGTGAACACTGAGCACTGAGCACTGAGCACTCAGCGCCCCGCCCCCGTCTCGGTATTCATCGCCGATCCGCACGGCCGCAGACTTCGGGAGACGGTGAGGCGAGGCTCCGTGGAGCGCAGCTGCAGGCCAGCCGACATAAAATAGAGAACCAGCTTGTGAGCCCGCCGTACAAACCCGTCCCCGTCACCGTCACCGTCCCTCCTACAGACTGCAGTCCAATCCGTCTTCTATCTGACGCGAGTGGGCTATGAGACATCCCATCGTTCCCCTGACCCCACGTGAAATCCCGAAATCCCGAAGTTCTGAAACTCAACATGTCAAGTCCCGCAGGCAGTCGCTCTTCAGAGAATTCTCCAGACTCTTCGGGGAGTGGGAATGGCAACTCGTCCTCCAAACCGAAGCAAGCGCCTCGATCAGTGTCGCTTCTGACGCCCGAGCAGTTACAGCGCAAGCGCGCCCAAGATCGTGAGAGTCAGAGGCATACCAGGGCGCGCGTCAAGCAAACAATTGCAGAGCTGGAAAGAAGGGTGGAAATGCTGACCGAAGAATTGCATCTGGTCAGGCTGGAGAGTGCTTCCCTTCAGGAGAAAAACCAATTGGCACCCCCAGGAACAATCCGGTCGGCTTCCGCAGTGGGCCCTCCACACCCCATCGTGGAAGACCCTAAATGCTTTCCCGAAGGCACAGCCGCCGTTATGGACGTTGTAGTGCGACAGCAGAGCCGCATGTCACAGTACCTGGAAATGGGCTCGCAATTTGCAGACTCGATAGTTATTGCAGGACAGATCAGCACAGGTAATCCCAACCTACCGAGAAGTGGAACTATTTATTGGCTGACAATTATCATTACAGAACCTGCCAGCCAGACCATAATTGATCCCAGTCTCTTCTATTTATATCAAGATCTTGAGCAGCAACCATTGTCAATGCCGGTCTGGAAAGCTAGGCCAATTCATTACCCGGCAACTTGCAAATATGACCACATCGTTCTTGATCTTATGGCGAATCTGAAACCACTTCATCAAAACGGGGGAACCACTCTGGAATTTGCCAATCCCAGCTTTCCTCACATCTCAGCTCTTTTGAACCCGCAGCAGTATTCTATGATGTATCCTTTAGCGGCGGAAATTGTGTCGGTGAGTTCAGTATCCTTTGGCAGTAGGAGGTGATTGAGTCGCTAACCTTAACAGAAGGTGATCTACGTTTTTACAATGGACAGCCTTCCTGAACAGGTGAATCTCCTCTCAGTTATCTTGGTCATTCTAATTCGACATAGATTGCTATCATGTGGAATATGTGTACTTTGCTACGAGTAAGTCGAGTTCTTTGTGTTCAAGTTCCGCGTTGCGGCCTTGCTGATTGTGATAGTGGATGATTACAGGCAGTGAAGAAGACTACTACGACATGCCTGACTGGATGAGACCTACAGCAACTCAAGTTGTCACTGCTCATCCCACCTGGGTAGACATGTACCCATGGTACGTACTCGGTAATATACTTTTAGCCTTCGTACAATTACTTAAAGTCTCCAGGCCAAAGTCGCGCGATAGGTTGTGTCGAAACGCAACATATCATGACAAATACCAAGCATTGACAAACGCAGCCAACGAAACATTGTCAATTAATTGGCCTTATCAACCTGAAGATACTCTAATCAAAATATCTCCCTCTGAATACACAATCAATCCTGTGTTTCTAACGCATCTTCGAAACCTTGATAACTGGACCGTTGGCGCAGCATTTATTGAGGAGTAAGTTTTAATTAGGCAGAAAGGAGAACCACACTAATTACAAATGCTACAGATATCCCGAATTTGAGCACGAAGTCAAAATAGGGAAGCCTCGACTGTGGGGTCCGGCCTATACTTAGGGTGTTGTAGCGAACAAAGAAGTTGAGATCGAGATCGAAAGGAGAGCGGGTTGCCCAATCCAGCAACAACATATCATGAGAGCAGCTGCTTTGCCGAGTCCGCAGTCTCGGGAAGGTCCCTTGACTCGTAAGCGCCGACTGACCACTGCCTGACCGAAACCGTCGACATGCAGCAGCACAGCGATAACCGGACTGCCAACACCTCCATCAACTCGGCCCCATCGGGCAACGGGCTCACAAGGCTAACTTAGCTGATTTATACCCAGATCGTCGTCTACTGTACTTCGGATTCTGATGCGTTCTATGCACGTTTTAGCAGGCAATCATGGGTCTCCTTACCTTCCTCGCCCAGCTTCCAGTGTCTTTTGGATGGCGATCGCTTGGACTTTTCTTCTTCATAGCTGTGAGTAACCAACAATGGAAGATTTTCAGATGAAACTAACAAAAAAACGAAGGTAATCATTTCCCTCGTTAGCCATACAGTCTACAATTTGTACTTTCACCCCTTATCCAAATTCCCGGGTCCGTGGTATGCTGGTATATCAGAAGTAAGCTCTCAAGAACGGGTAATAAATCACGGGGGGGGGATAAAATATCTGACAGAAATGGCACCCCGTAGTTTTTCTTCGCCTATACCATCGTCAGTGGATCAGGTTATTTGACAATGAGAGATCTTCATGAGAAGTACGGTACGTACCAGCACCAACCATACTTCTCTTTTTAACCACATAGCCTTTCTGGCTAACGAATGATCTAGGTGAGGTGGTCCGCGTCGCTCCAGGCGAACTATCATATTCCTCTGCGAATTCCTGGAAAGATATCTACATGCAGCGCAAGTCAGGTAATGTCTTCACCAAGGACCCCAGATTTCTCGTCACAGACGATACGTAAGTAGAGTAGTGGCTCTAGAACAATTCGACCCTGCCAAGAAGGGAGGGCTAATCCGAAATCCCAGGCTTCGAGCTCCCCATCTCGTCAGCACTACCAATGTTGAGGAGCATAACCAAGCAAAGAAACTGCTGGTACGTCCTTGTTTCTCACGGGTGCACGCAAATGAAACCAATCAGCTGACTTTTCAGTCTCATGCATTTTCTCCCAAAAATCTCCTTGAGCAGGAAGATATTATTCTGAGGTATGTCAACATATTGATGGCATCCATGGCCGAGGAGTCCCGCAAAGGGCCCTTAGACCTCAAACAATGGTACAATTGGGTTACATTCGATGGTACGTAAAGGATAGTGGCCAGATTGCAAGAATGTTTCTAACTTTGATTCAAGTCCTCGGAGAACTTTGTTTCGGGGAATCATTCGGCTCGGTCGAAGCAAGGAAAACCAACGAATGGGTCGCGACAATCCTGAACATGGTGATCTTTGTTTCCTGGTCTTGTGCCCTTGGCCACGTGTCTCCTTTGCTGGAAAAGATGGTTTGGGTTCTCAGCCCACCATCGGTCAGAAAAGCGGCGCTTAATCATATCGAGAAGTCCCAAGCAAAGATCCAGGCTCGAATAGATAGAGGAGAAGGGGAGAGGAAGGACTTCTGCTCTTATATATTCGAACTGAGGGACCAGATGGGTCTCAATGATTGGCACATGACTTCGTATAGCAATACCCTAATTATTGCAGGGAGCGAAACGACTGCGACAACTCTGAGCGTGTTAACATACTGGCTGTGCAGGACACCGCGCGTGTATGAGAAGTTGAAGCAAGAGATTAGGTCGCGATACAATTCGTCGAGCGAGATCACTAGTCAGAGTGCGACGTTTCCATATTTGACGGCTGTCATCAACGAGATATTGAGGCTCGTGCCACCAATGCCCTTTGGGACGCCACGGGTTGTGCCCAAAGGCGGCGAGACTGTGGATGAAGTCTTGATTCCTGAAGGAGTAAGTTTACGTGGCTTCCTTCCCCATAAGGTAAGTGTGTATAGGGAGTGGTAGAGCTGACTTTGCCTACCTCAGACAGTGGTCAGCGTCCACGGCTACTGCGCAGCGCGTAATGCCAAATACTTCAAATACCCTGATTCCTTCGTCCCTGAGCGTTGGCTAGATCCGGAGAGCACCGACAATCTCTCCGCGAGCTGCCCATTCCTTCTAGGACCTGGAGCTTGCCTTGGACAGAAGTACGAGCGGCCCTCCCCAATTTGCCCCAAGCCTGGAATCTTGAAATTAAAGTGGTTGGCTGACTGACGAAATTGATAGTATGGCGCTGATGGAGATGAGGATTCTGATTGCAAAGAGCGTGTTCTTGTTCGACTATGACTTGGCGGATGATAATGAGCGCGCGTGGGAGCATATGCGTAATTTCATCCTGTGGGAGAAACCCGAGCTGTTGGTCAAGGTTACACCAAGAGATGTTACTTGATATAGATATATTCCCCCCCAACAATCACTTTCAGTTTTCAAGGTGTTTCAGACTCTCTCTCTCTTGGAGGAATTTGGCGGCGTGAACGAAACGCTGGTCGTTTCATTTGTTGCCAATTCCGCTTTAAATTCTGCTTGTCAAATAGTTCAACGCTTTCAAAAATGTCTTTCGTTAAGGAATGCATATTTTAATATAGTCCCTTTTTTTTCTACTTCTTCTACACAACTCTTTCACGACCATGGATTCTAAAAGCTGGTAGGTGAAATGCACAAAATCTCATAGACCATTCTTCGCCATTCCGAGAGTAATTTGAAAAGTGAGGGGTTAGTTGGCCAGCCAGCCAGACCGCGATTGCGTGACAATATGATGTGGTAGATTGTATTCGGCTTCAGCAGGAAAGCCGTATCGGTAGAATAGCAATTGTTGAAGAGGAAGCTCCTGATCCTCGTCTGACAAGTGAAGCTTGAGCCGAACCGGGGCCAATCTCTCGCATCAAAACCGGCTTCACAATAAAAGGGGGGGTGTTTTACCTTCTCGCGGTACTGCCCCGTTCAGCGGTACCGGGCGCTTAACTCAATACCTGAACCAAAACAGGGAACTGCGCTGCAACAATTAGAGGCCTCGGTACTCTAGCCCGCGTGGTTAGGTTAGAAACACTGGGAAGCCCGACAGGCTGGGATAGCGTCCTTAACGAGCGACGCGGGTACAAACGAGGTATGCTCTGCCACAGCAAAAAAACTGGGCGCAAGCCAAGGTTTCCGGGTTCCCGAGGGATTTCTTTTGCTTCTCCTTTCTGCTCTACCCTCTTTTTATACTAAATGAGTTTGGAGGTGCCAGTTCGCTTCCGTGTCGCTTTTCTTGGGACCTTCTCCCCCCCCTTTTTCTTTCCTTTTCTTCTTTGCGAGCGAGCAAAAATCTTCATCTCACCTTGTCAGCGTAAGCGAGGGGGTGAAATAGGGGCATTTCGTCCCGAACTTGACATTGCCGAGCAATCTTTGCCGTGGAATCGCCGCAACGCCGAGCCCACTAGGCTTTGCGGAAGCAGCATTCGAGGGCACTAAAAATGCAGTGCGGTTTGCCTCGTGACTAGGCAACCCAACTCAGTGGTTCAAAATCTCAATTGAAGTGCTCCGGAAGGAGCCATGCAGTCTGTAAGTGAGTCTTGAGGGGTACAAAACTACGAACCAACTGCTTGATTTGAGCATTCAATTGCACTGTATTTGCAGTGCAACTACTCTTTTATCAGAAATGCCATATTAATTCACTGCATTGATTCAGAGTTCTATGCGCAAATCGCGATGATAGTTTAAAGGCTGCAAAAGTGATCGATAAAGATACTGTCTTTCATAAAATCGACTCAGCGAGTGGTATCATAACAAAAGTCTATGAAAATAACGGCCAAATACACAAATCAAAAATCAACACTAGCTCTAATGGGAATCATAACTTCATAATCGCACCCAATCCAAAAACACCACCTGTCTAGTGCTCAAGATCCATCTTCCCGGTCTCGGTAACCTCTCCGCCCTTAAAAACACCACCAGCATTTCTCTCCTCATCATACTCGCTGCTCGTCTCGCCATAAGCCATGCTCGGATCCTCAATCTGATCACCGACTTCCATCCACACGTCACTGGTGGCCGGAACTGGGAAGAATTTGCACAGAGCCCAGTAAGTCGTCCCTGCAACAATGAACCCACAGAAGAAGTTCAGGCGGTAAATGTAATTGGCGCCAGCTGGGACAGGCTTGCCAATCGCCCCAACGAAACCAACAATGTTGATGAGGATTCCGGCGATATACGCAGTGTAGCCTCGCCAGTGGAATCCGAACCAAAAGTAGTATGGTGAGTTCTTCTTGGCGGAGTAGAGGTCTTTGATTTGCAGGTATCCGCGACGGACGACGTAGTAGTCGGAGATGATGACTCCGGCAATGGAAGACAGAAAGACACTGTAGGCAGAGAGGTAGGTGGTGAAATTGTTAGCGCTTGAGAGCAAATTCCATGGGCACATGACAAGCCCAACAAGAGCGCAGATATAGCCTCCACGGCGGATGTTAAGATATCGTGGGAGGAGTGCAGTCATATCAGTTCCTGCAGAGACACTATTGGCAGCGATATTGGTCCCGAGTTGAGCGAGGGCAAATGCGAAAGCAATGAAGAAGACACCGGCACGGTTGCTGTGCGTTCCTTCATCGAGGAATGATTGAAGAAGCTCAAGGGGGTTCCAGATTGGGTCCTTGTGAAAGATAACAGTAGAGGAGGAGGACACGATAATACCAATGAATGAGGTAAATGCGAATCCAGCAGGGATAGTGATAAGTTGCGACCAGAGGGCATCCTTGGGCTTGCGAGCGAACCGAGCAAAATCGGGGTCATTAACGATGAGGGTGGCGAAGTTGGCGATAGCGCTCATAATACCGGACACCATGCCCCACGCCAATTTGGAGCCATGAGCACTGGCTGGTTGGTGCACAATAGGTCCGATGCCGTGAGCTCTGACGATGGCCCAGATAAAGAATGAGATCCCCGCCGTGGGGACAACAAAAGCCTTAACTGTGAACAAGTGTCGAATCTTGTGGACTGGGAACCAGATCGCGGGGAGTGAGCAGAGCCAGAAGATGAAGAAAGAGACGAAGTCTCTCGTGTTTGTTCCGGAGTTGGGAATGCCATTATGGAGGTTGGTGAACGATGGCCAGATGGCCTCGATCATGAGCTTGACGCACTCTCCTCCGATCCAGGCTTGGACTCCATACCAGATACAAGCCATGGCCGCTCTGTTGAAGACAGGCCAAAGAGCACCCCAAATTCCGAAGCTGGAACGGGACACAACGGGGAATGAGATGTGGTATGTTGCTCCAATTCGTCCAGTCATACACACGAAGCAAGCCGCAATAGCATATCCCAGCCAGACGCAGATCCATGATTGCCACCACGACAGTCCTTGGGAAACAATTGCGGTCGAGGAAATCATCCAAGTGTTGATATTAAAACTATCAGATACCCTGCAAAGAGTTAGCTTTGTCGAAGTAAGTTTGAAGGTCAGGGCAAGATCTCATCCGTCATTTAGTCTCAACATGAGGTCAGAAGTAGAAAGTCACACATACCAGAATCCCACAAAATTCCACGGACCCCATTGACGGCGTTCAGGTTCCACAGGCTTCAAGTCATGGTTGTTCAGCATCAACTGAGCATTCGTCAAACCGGGTTCCGAATCAACTGCGAGTCTGTCCACGAAGTGGGCGAGTTTCGTCGACTTGACTTTCTCCATGATGAACTCGAAGAAATAGGATTCGTCGGATGAATGATATGAGGGGGAACGGTATGCAAGTGGGTGCGCGTCTCTTCTTATGCGGAAATCGGCAGCCTCGAACACTCCCTCCAACGAATCAGAGCTATGACGTTCAACAGGAGTTGATGGGCTGGGAAGTAATGGCGAGTTCTCTGCGTCTGCGAAGCTCTTCGAAGCACCGTGGCCGTGGTGTCGTCTTCTCGGTGTCGGTGAGGAAGAGGAGCTCTCTGAGTCTGGTCTTCCATGTTGAAGGGAGGGCATCGGATCCAATATATAGACCTCTTTGCGCTGCAGCCCAAGATCTTCAACCAGAGGGCTTAGAAACGTTAAGGTTCTAACATGCAGAGTCCAAAAGCCGTTCCTTGGCTTCGGAGGTATACGTCTAACTGGCCACCAAGACTCTGGGTCCTGGCACCGCTTATCGCTCAAAGCTGGATTTTCATTCCCGCGTTGAAGCTCTGATACAGCAGCTATCCAGCTGACGGGTGCAGGTCAAGAGTTCTCGAAGGTATTCTAGCGGCGAAAATGGCAGCAGGCTTGCCAGTGTGAGGCCAGTCGCGTGCGTCCTTGCTGCCAATCCATGCAGGGAGGTGGCAAAGCGTGGGGGACTGCCGGCTGGTGCGATGACGAGACGGGCGCGCGAAAATGAAGCAGAGGCCGACCGAGAAGAAGCACGGCAGCCCGCGGCGGGTTCGCAAGGCCACAGGGGAAACAGGGAGCCACAGCCAGGCCTTGCAAATCCCTATCAAAATCTCCTCGGCCGCCTATCAGCGCGTGATCAGCGCTTGCTCGACCGGCTGCCGTTGGTGCCCCCGGCGTCTTCCACGGCCGGAGTGGCTGCGGTCTGTGGCACGCCTCACCTGTAATTGGCTCGGCATGCAGCCGCTTCCACACCTCGCAAAGGTTGTGATACACGATAAGGTTTCCTTACTCGATGAGATCGCATACACAATCAGCGCTGGCCTAGCATTTGCGGGGAAGCGAGCCTTCGCATTTTGTCACCTGCAATCAGCCCTGGTCTTTACATGTCGGTGTCTCCGGGCAGAATCCTTCAAGGACGAGGGTGAGGCTTCTGAGTGATCAGGAGCACATTGGTTTTTTAGTTTTTTTTTCGTATTCAGGAAGTATGCTGGTTGCTCTGAGGTTCAAGGGTGCCAACGTAACGTCTCATTTGTGTATCCCTTGATGGAAATAGAGTGACGTGCTGCTCACAAGTCGCAGAAGCTCGAGCACTTCATACCGTTTTACAGAATTACTATTACATTTCGACACACTTCCCTAGATCTACAATACTTTTGCTTCGAAGTCTTGGCCTCCAAACCTACGAATCTCTATCGAAAGGCCTCGAGTGGTCAGGGAGATGAATCTTGAAAACCAAGGCTTGGTTATCAAGAGTAAACCCGCTATCATCGGAGTACTTGAAAGCACCGCCCTCGAGATACCCATCCTGGGTGATAAAGTCGTTATCAGACATACTGAAGACGCACCACTCCACTCATCATCATCATCATCATCGACTTCGATGTCAACTCGCAGTTGACATCGGGGTCGGTGAATGAGTAAAATGTTGCTAGGGTGATGGCAGAATTTAATACACCCGCATCAGTGGCAATGGAGCAGTTGGCACAGTCAAACAGATCCCTTGATGTCAGTTGCAGAAGCAATATCGAAGACATCAATGTGGCGGTACACTGAGAGCGGAGATGACTGGCCGTGTCCAGCACCAGAGTCTCTGGCCAGAACGAAGAACTGGCCATCTTGGATATGGAATATCTCCGGCTGCGCTGCTACTTTGGGATTCTTGGATGCCTTCGCTGTAGGATCGTTGTACAGAGGGAGAGGCACGACAAATTCTCTCGCATACTGGGGTGCGCTTGGGACGGTGATATCGTACTCGACGAGACGGGTCTGCCACTCAGTCTGCTTGTTGGTGCCCCCTTCTTGGTTGAGTGCGGCTTGCATGAGAACATACAGGGCGTTGCCACCTCCGGTGACTGTCAAGCCCTCAAAGCCATGGTTGTTGTCACGTCCGGTGGGGTTATTCGCTGGAAATACATCATCGCCGGCACCCTTATTATCGTAGAAAGGGGGAGAATCGGCAGAGAAAGACTCCGTTCCATTGCGCATAGGAATCATGGCATCAACAGGTCGAATCGCTGCAATCAGTAAGCCGGCAGCACTGAACCTGTGAGCAAGGTCAGCTCCCAACCTTCAAATCAGAAACAGGAGAACGTAACTGTAGATATACGGGCCATGCTCATCGCTTACCCAGAAAGAACCATCAGGATTGAGGGCCAATCCTTTAGCATCAACAGGAACCCTGCGGCCTCCAGGACCTACGTTGCCAAAGCTATCTCCAGTGTAAGTTGCTACAGATAGGTCTGGGAAACTAGCGAAGCTGAGATGACCCATTGGATCCGCGCCCAAACCGGTACAAGGTGTTCCATCAAGACCAAAGAAGCGGACAGTCTCTTTGTAAGTGAAGAAAAGGTTGTTTCCAGACTGATTAGCGACTGTGGCACTCGGTTCTGGAGTGAAGAGGATATCGAGCTTGTAGATTCTTGGCTGGAAGTTCAACGTCCCTTCCATGTTCCTTTCGTCAGACCAATTCACTCCAGAAGTAGCCAAACTTACCAGCCTCGATCCGGCAGTGCCCAAAGAACTCCAGTATTGCTTCCATTTAACAGCTTCACCCACTGGGATCGATCGATCAATGGCAAGCGAAGACCCAATCCCACCAATCGTATCCCCAAACTCATCACTCGCATCCCCAGAAATGGCGCCATAATCAACCAGTTCCTGATAAGTATACTGTTTCCCATTACACGTCGTCTGATTGACAAACGCGCTTTGCGCCACTACAGTCGCTACACCAGCCACCGCTCCCACCACTGTCGCCAGTCTGGCAAAAATCATCTCGAACTTGAAGAATGCGTAGGAAAAACGGATGCCCGAGACAGTTTGTCTTAAATCAATGCAAGAGGCAAGCCATGGCCGTTATTTATAATTCCATGTCTCTCCCACTTTGCGGAGAACCCTACGGTACCTACCTGGTCGAAACCATGACGATCCTGTACCCATTTCTCCCGCCCTGCACTTGCATTTGCATTTGAGAAGTGCAGAAACCCACTGCGTAACCTTACTTAGGGACGGGACGGTGTAACTTCCAATCTAAACAATCCTTCTCTAAATGTCCGGGAAGGGCAACCAACCATTGACGCATCGTTCATGAAAGAGCGCCAAAAACAGGTAAAGTCTTCCTGCAGCATCGCACTTGGAAGAGCTTCGAGAGCAAATCGAGAGTTAATTGAAGATGACGTGCGTGTGCATTTCAGCAGCAAAAATGTTAGAAGTCGATAGTTTACACACTTTCGTCGGACGTCATCTTGCTAGAGTGGGTGCTTTTCATGTATGATGAATTCTGCTGCATGTCTGGCATCTACATACGGCGGTCCTGTCTTCGTTTCTCATATTGCCTCATCATCTTCGTGCATCATCCACCGTCAAACCATGTTCCTCCGAGATCGAGACGAAACTTCTTCGCAAGCAATGCAAATCTGTAAGGTATCGGCTCGCGATATGATCGGAGAAGAGAATCTAAAACAGAAAAACAACTTTTTAGACATAATCAAGTTCAGCCCCGCAGCCCAACTCCAACCGAGCGCGTGGTATATCGTCAGAGGAAAAAGGTGGAGCAAGAGTGAAAGATTGTATCCAGGGAGTCAGGCAGAAGCCACTGCAGGGCATAGGCGAGGCGTTCAAAGATCGTACATATCCCACCCATCCATATTGTTGACTGGATTAAGGCGACGATTGCATATTGTGGTATGAGTGGCGTCTTGTGCTTCGACCTTCGCGTATTCCGTTCTCAACTCCTCCTCGAGTCACAAATCATCATCATCCTCTGCGAGCTCAGCAGGTTTGAGTAAGCCGCCAACCTTTGACAGCCGCTCTCGCTCAGCAGCCTTGGCATCACGTTCCATCTGTTCCTTCTCCTCCGCAAACAACTCGGCATTGTCACCCGCAAATTCCTTCAACTGGATGAGGAAATCACGAAGGTTGAGCTTGAATCGGTCGTAAGCACTGTTGAGAGTGAACAAGCCCTCGACAAAGTTCTTGATTTGTCCCCTATGTCAAGTTAGTATCAGATAAGGGTAAAAATAGAGTTCGTTTGACTTACGGTTGCAAGTTTGGGAAGGCATTCTGCAATAGATTGGCAACGAAGCCGCCCAAGAACTCCTTGTTGCTTGTTCCTGCAGGGGCCTGATCTGGCTGGTAGATGGGTCCTTGGATCTTGGGTTGCGTACCGTCCGCGGGCTCAACGAAGTAAAACATTCGGGAAAGCAGCATGGACTGTGACTTGAACCCAGCTTTGTGGTCTGTGTCGGTAAGTACGAAGAAAACGTCCTGTAGGATGGGGATGAAGAATTGCTGGAAGAAAGCATTCGATGTTGAGGGGTCGGTTTCTGCGATGTTTGTAATCAACTCCAGACACATGTTAAGACCAGCATATTCTACTTCACGGTTGTCGTGCTTACTGGCCCACATGCAAGAGTCGATGACAAACTTGAATTGTCTGTTATCGAGCTTGAGAAGAGCTTCAAACGGTGTTAGCTGCTGTTGCACATTGAAACGGTTGTGTTGGCTTACCTGGGAAACAGTGTAGGTTGATGGCGCGAAGGAGTGTGAAGAATTCGACACGATGCTCAGGGAACTCCGAGAAATCCTTGTTAATCATCTCCAAGGTACACTCAAAGACATTTTCCATGATTGTAGGGACTTGGTCTTCCATAAGAGACTATAAATTGATGTCAGTAATTCAGGGTTCAATAATTTTGAAAGAATTCGTCACATATATAGAAGTAGAAAGGGGATGCACCACTGAATATTTCGAGCGATGAGGGGTCCAACGTACAGAAAGCTTCGTAATGATTGTCGACATGACCTTCAGAACTTCAGCGTCACGAGCGTTGGGGACGTTTCGGTTGTAGTCGACGAGCACAGCATCAAGGAGAGCAGGGACGATGTTTGTTCGGACCATCTCAAGATCATCGGCCTTCTCAACATAAGTCTCGATCAGCTTCAAGATCTCTTTCTTGATTGTTCTTAAGCCTCGAACTCGTGGCATCTTTGTTGCGATTTCACCTTCATTATGTCAGTGTACTTTGTTTCAGTTGGCATGGAACCTGGGCTTACCATCTCGAGCAACTGCTTCAGAAATCATCTGGCTGGTAGCACGGTACATAGACAGCATGTCCAGATAGATTCTGCCGATTTGAGGGTAGAAGTAGCTTCCAATCGACGTGCAAGCCGATACATTCGTCTTCATAACGTTTCCAATAATCTTGATGGTGTCTGCATCTTGCAGAGTGGTGGGGTTGGCGGTAGCTTGAGAGATGATTTGATCCCACGCAGCATTCGGATATGACATCAGTTCAGCGATAAGGCGCTCCTGGGCATTCTTTTGAGGTTGTGCGGCGATCATGTAACCACAAGCTTCATAGAAGGTGTGGACCTGCTGTGGTGAGAGATCATAGGTGATCTTGCGCATGGTGCGAACTATTTCCTCAATGAATGGCTCTGTCTCTCCTGGTTGCAAGGCAACGAAGTGTCGCTTGCACTGCCTAGCGATCTTGATGAAGGTGTCGCAAGCCATATCTTGAACACCTTCATGTGATTCGTGCATGAACTCGAAAAGCTTATTGACCACGGTTTTCAGGAATTTCCAGTGTGCCTTCAGGAATCGTGGATATTGGCCGACAATGTACATGATGTTACTGGCCACGACAGCTTTGTTGTCCTTGCCTCGCTTCATCTCTGTAAGGCCAAGAAGGTCCTTGATAACCGTCACCAAGAAACGCTTCTCGGTTTCTTCGTTCATTGCCAAGGAAATGGATCCAATAGCCCAGCACAATGTGTTGCAGTTGGCCCACGACCATTCGGAGCCATCAACTTGGCGTGCTAACTTATCGGTCATAATTTGCTCGGTATCGACGACATCCAGATGGGTGAGGTAGACCAGACACTCGCGCGTCGTCTTGTATAGCTGGATAGTATCACTCTCCTTCACGAATTCTCTAACAATCTCCCCCTCATCGTTCTCAACGATAAGCACTTCCTCAGGTCGGACCATCTTCTCAATCATAACGACTCTCAAATTCGACAAGACTTCGTTGTATTTATGCTTGCGGAGCGGGTAGTTTGCCAGAACACTAGGGTTTGGTGCACCGGGATTTGTAAGTCCACCAACTCCCATGTTAATGAGTGGGTTGACATCTGTGATAGGGAGTGATTGCATCTCATCGTACAACTCCTGCACAAGCTTGGTCCAGTATTCCAAACAGATCTTAAAGATTTCTCGGTCTTCGATTTGGGAAATTCGGATTAGGTAGAAGTGAGCATGGGTCAGGAAATCGCGATTCGGAAGATTCTCGATGAGCTAGTCAACAAGTCAGTAAGTAAGTCTTTCAAAAATGGTAGGCATTGGATTCCTACATTGAGATGAACACCGAAGAAATTGGTAAGGAAAAGCGCAAGGTTTTGAATGAATTCCTGGTCCTTTGAATTGCTGGAGGAGTAGGTTGATTTCAGGTCAAGAGAGAGCGGAATGATCTTGGATATGGCTGTGAGAACTTCTGTGAACATCTGGACCAGCTTCTCATCGTAGGCGTTGTTTTGACCAGTTTGTAGACCACCAATCTCCGTCAAGCATTTCAAAGTCACATTTCTGAACTCTGGCATTTCCAGGAATCGCGTACGTAACGTATCGATGATGGGGGTTTCGAAGATATAGCCAAGTGGGATCCAGTTGAAGAATTTGAGGAGGGTCTCGAGTGTGGCCTTGATCAAACTTGCCTGGGTGGCAGAGTTCAAAACCTCGTTGCAGAGCTGGAAGATGGATGAAAACTCCGCACACATAGTTTGCTTCAAGTTCTTCGTCTTCGTCGAGGTCATTGCGTCCGCCGAGAAGTCAAAAACCTCTTCGGATAGCAACCGCAGAATCGCCATGTTATTCTCACATATCGACAGACTTGTATGGCACGAGGAGATGATTTCGTTGATGAAGGTGGGCCAGTTGTGGGGCCACTCTTGCTTGAGGATAGAGACAAGGACGAGGTTGAGCTTATTGAGGAGGGTTCGTTGGGTTTTGAGGGATTCTTCGGAGCCGGAGGACTGGATGATGAAGCCGACCACGAAGTTGCGAATTCCTAGATTCAGCAGTCAGCAAACCCGCTCTGTCAAACAGACAGAGATACTCACCTTGGCATTGCTCCTTCGGAAGAACCTTCCACCTGGTCATAATGACACTGTCGAGTACTTGCAAGCCCAAGTCTGTAATTTGTCAGCGCAGGGAGATATCTTAAGATGGATGGGACGAACATTTCGTCTGCGGATATGTAGCATCTTGCAAGATCTTATCGACCAGTAACCAAGCATCTGGATCTTCCTTGAACTGTTTGAGGCGTGAGCATATGTTCGCAGTAAGAGAGGCTCCCTGGCGCAAAGGCGGACATACCTGGTTGAGAGCTGCTTGAGCAACCTTTTGCTATACACCCAACGCGTCAGCAAAAGTATGAAACAAGCCAGAGTCAAGCTGGTAAGTTTGCAGGTACTAACCGATTCACCTCGGCCTTCATAGAAGGCGCGGACAGTCGCGTCAAGCTCTTCAATGGTTGGAGCCATCTTCGCAGCTTGATCTCAAGGTATGGGACCTGTTCCGGCGGCGATAGATCGATCCTCGCTTCGAGTGTGCTTTAGTACAGCTCGCGCTGGCAGGAAGAGTCTTCTCGAGAGCACGGGTTGGTTGTTGAAGGAGTTGTATGAAGTTGATGGCAAGTAGGAGTTGGTCCCAGCCTTCGAGATTGACCCCTCCACGCACCAGCATCTGTCGGCGACGTTTTGCTGCCGCGTCGGCTACCGTATTTATACACTAAATCGAATTAGGTGACCGACAACCGACCACCAACCTCGTCTCAAATATTTAAATCGCCGAGAAATGATCTTCTCTTTATATTTACTTTCCAAACGTATGGTGCAGCTACTGTGATGTTCGTCTGTAAAGCGTCTCATTCAGAGGAATGCTCCTGACTAGTCGTCTTTCATTGTGTGTTGTCACATATTTCAGTCCATCGCTTCATTGGCTCTGGAGATGGAAAGACGTGGTCCACTGAAAAAAATGAAATTGCTTTCCAGCACATCTATGCTTTAAAATATTTATGTACAAGAACTATTCCTCTCATAGAGTTTCATTGACAACAACACCTGGGATTAAGTAATCCCATTCGCTGGGTCTACCTCCGTACATTAAACTCCCTGTGCCAAATGCCAGCAGCAACGAAAGAGCATCGTCCCTGAATACCATTTTTGGGCCCGATCCGGCCCGATCCGGCCCGCATATCCCTCCTCCCCAAACTCAAAGGCTTCTTATAGGTAGGCAACTAGAAGCCCTGAGAGAGCAGCAAGTCCGGCAACGTACTTGCTCATCTCAAGGGCGCTCATCGCTCCTGAAGTCGTTTTTGGGGTAGGTGTAGGTGTAGCGACCGTAGCGGCTTTGGATGTGGTAGCTACAGCGGTTGTCGTTGGCCTGACAGAGGAAGATGTGGTGAATGTGAGGTTAGATGTTTTGTATGAAGATGAAACCACAACCGAGCTGCTGCTTGCTCGCTTCGAGGATGTCTATTCATACGATTAGTATCTATTGACTATTGGTTCAACTCAGCTGAGGCTCGTTCCCTGCTGAGGTGGTGAGGTAGCATCTGGAGGTTCTTACAGCGTTTTGTGCCATGGTTCCGGCAGCAGCGAGGACAACGAGGAGAGATGAGACACGCATATTGAAGGATGAGATGTGGTAGATTTTGCGTGAATGATATGATGTAGTTTGGAGAAAATTTGGTAAGCAAAGAGAGGATATTGAATGGCTGCGTTGATTGAGGAGAGTGTCCTTATACCTGCACAGGAAAGCCGCCAATAAATACACTTCGCTACCATGTTGCGAACAAAACGCTAACAGCATGCCTTTTGCCACAAGCGGATCAAACTAATCATTTGGGCTTCGAATTGTGAATCATCAATTAAAGCTATCGATGAGCTATCGATGAGCAGAATTTTACAGTTGGGCCAGATTCCCCATTCTGGCCACGGGCTGAAAGCCAGAATCAGCCTGAGTCTGTGAACAGCTGAAAGGGGTAGGGTGAAGGAAGTCGCCATCTGCAGGCTCTACCTTATAGAGCACGAGTAGCCGCTCCAGTGACATGCTTAGGCAATAAGTGCTTCTTGCATTTTGAAAAGCGGCAGGGCTTCTTTCTGCACTTCGAGGACTCGGTAATTGCGGCTGTGGCTGGGAGAAACCATAATCCAATCGGAGAAGCCTGGAGAATCTTGTTCGCAATTGCGCCAATCTAGGTTGTCATTCGGAGAACGTGGGTCTATTTACAAAGTCGCCGAGCGAGAATGTCTCTCAAAAGATTGCTTTTTAGTGCAGGCAAACCCTCTAATTTTTAGGCCTTTTGGTAACCCGCCTCTGACAACCCATTCTGCAAAGCCTGGATCGCACGACCGATATCATCACGCTTGGGGTCAGTCTAGAGTAACGTAAGTCGAGAGTGACAATTTGAGAAGGTGTACGATTCTTACCACGCTTACTCCCATATGGCCAACTCTGATATATTTCGCAGCAATTTCCTTGTGTAAACCACCAGCGAATACAACACCTTTCTTTAGCAAATTTGGTAACAATTCTGGCGCCTTCACGTTTTCTGGAAGGTAAATAGCGGTCATTCCATTGGCTTGATTTGCCGGATCCGAGGCCAGCTGCTTCAGGCCGAGGTCAGTCACAGCCTCTTTAATTTTCTGCGAGGCTGCTCTGTGTGCCGCAAAGCGTTCGGCCAATGGCTTTGAAAGGATCTGAGTCAAAGACGTGTGGAGAGCGTGGATCAGTTGTGGTGAGGGAGTGGCAAAGTACGAGGCTTTCTTCGCTTCGTAGTTTTGCATAACTATTGAAATCAGCCCCTCCCTACGGAGAATTTAGATTGGACTTACTAGGCAACCAATTCTTGAAAGAAGCGAAGTAAGACCCAGGAGGGGTCTTCCTGGCCTGGAACGTCTTAATTGCTCGGCCGCTGTACATCGAAATGGACAGCCCAGCGGGGCAACCGATTGCTTTTTGGCTTGCGGTGATCACGCCATCGAGTTGCCATTTGTCGAATTCAATCTCCTCGGATCCAATACTACAGACACCATCCACTATCACGAGCGTATCGGGAGAGACCCGGTGGACCATTTCTGAGAGTGCCTTCAGCTCGCTCAGGACTCCAGTCGAGGTATCAACGTGTGTAACTGTTAGCAGCTTGTATTTCTTCTCCTTCAACGCCTTCTCAATTTCCGGAAGCTGGGGCCTTGACCCAATGGATGCTTTCAGCTGTGTTGCTTGGACCCCATAAGTCTCAAAACAATCCGCAAAAGAGTCTCCAAAGTATCCGGTATGGAGCACCAACACTTCGTCCCCAGGTTCTGCCAAATTTGCCGCAACCAAGTCCCAGCCAAGAGTTCCGGAGCCTGAAATCACGAACGGTTGTGAAGAAGAGTCTTCGGTTTGGAAAAGCTTTCTCAGCATCGACAGCGTCTCGCCGAATGTTGCAACAAAGGGTGCTCCAACATGACTCTCACTGTCAACAAGTACAAGTCAGCCCCAGTTCAACCGTAGACATAAGACAAGTGCAGCGGGTGGTAGTGAAGCCTTTCATACCTGTGATGGCTCATGGATTGAAGAACGGCATCATCGAACTCAATTGGGCCCGGAATGAGCAGAGTTGGGTGATTTGGTTGACCTGACATTTTAGGCTTATCGGAACTGAATGATCTTGATTGCGTAGACGCGTTGCTGGAAATCTTCTCAATTGAAAATGCAGTGTTGATAGGAACCGATGGTCGAGGATCCATATGCCTCGAGATCACCGAGAGTCTTGCGAGAGGAGGAGCCAGTTTGATGGCGGGGTAGAAGGCTCGGAGAGCCAGGGTTACAAGTCTGAATGTAGTGTCCGTTCCTGCCCGATTGGACAACACAGAAAGAGATCTAGAGTAGATTAGGAATAGAAATCCCTCCTGGCTCTCGCTGACAAGGGCAGAAGTACGGGCAATGGAGAGGATACTTACAAAGGGATGTGGATCTGGGCCTCTATATGGGCCAAAAAAAAATCCACCCAAACTCCGAAGCCCGGGGGAGACCGACGCTGATCACGTGCTCGGTGGGTACTTGAAAAAGGGGCGGGGGCTGCCGTGTCCTCCCTTCGAATCTCCTCGATATACTGTAACACTTTTCGATTTGTCTCGTAGAGAAAAAATTCACAGCTAATGCTCTCTGACGGGCATCGTGATGTTTCTTTCCATTAAGTTTTGCGGAAGGAGATCCTGCCTGTAACTTTAGGTCCTGTCCAGGCGATGCCGGCTATCCTTTGCTCCTTCCGAGTCAACAACAAGAACCTTTAGGTTCTGCTGTGACTTCACTAGATTAATAACAATCTTCCCCTTTTATTGTACCACTTTATCTCTACCTTTTCTTCCTCTTCGATGCATCCTCCTTTCTTTTTCTGGTCATGGTGTCACTCTCATGATCCTGCCAGCATCTTATGCCGGTTCGCACGTCTGTCTAGCACTCATGTCTTTGATCACAACGCCCTCAAACAGTTATAGCCCCTCCCTTCGTCGCGGACATGCAATGAGAAGAGGCCGCGCCGCCTACATCCAAGTTGTCTGGTTAGAATACTTGTGCCTCTTTGTCGTCGCTGCCTTCACATTAGGCCTTTACTGCACCCCTACGTATTACAAGGACTACCGTGTGGTCCCGATGCTACCTTCGATTACGCCGTCTGGCATATCTCAACCTTTCGGGCAGTTTCAACTCCCGCTAGAGATAAGCTATCCATTGGTAGGGGAGCCGCTCCCGACGCGTGGCTGCGCGGTGGTGGTTGTCCTCGTTCCACTTCTCGTCATAGGGATGTTTCAAATCAAGACTTGGAGTCTTTGGGACTTCCACGCTGGGGTCGTGGGTCTATTGAAAGCTGTGGTCTCTACGTATGTCGTTATGTTTTCTCTGTCTCCACTACTTCGAGGAGGCAACATTGACAAAGTCTCAGCTCGTTTGTCTGTACCACCCTAAAGCATTTCATTGGCGGTTTCCGGCCTTTCTACATCGAAGCGTGCAAACCAGACTGGGATGCCATCGTGGAAGGTATCCATCAAAAGATATACCGTTTCAATGCAACACTATGCCTCGGGAATCCGAGTGATATAGACCGAGCGTATGTTCTAAATTTTCTTCTTAAACTTTGTCAAAGAATATGTTCTCACATTGAGAACAGTCTCCAGGCTTTTCCGAGCGGCCATGCTTCCAGTTCATTCGCAGCTGCAGTCTTCCTCTCCCTTTACCTCAACGCAAAGTTGAAAGTCTTTTCTGATCATGCATCACATTTCTGGGCATTCATGGTCGTGCTAACGCCCCTGATATTGGCATCCCTCGTCTCGGGCTCAATGCTTACATCCCATGTAAGCACTCGATCCGTGAATTGCTTGGGAAAATCCATGTTCTGATAATACCCAGCAACACCAAGCCCAAGATCTGATCTTCGGCATGATAATAGGTCTCATTCTTGGGATGCTAGCCTACCGCTCAGCCTACGCAGCGGTGTTCGATTTCCGCCTCAACCATATTCCCCTCTTACCTTTTGCAATCAAGACTCAATACTCTCAAGATGCCGATTGCCTTCAAGATGCACAAGCCAGATTAAAAGGAGAGCAAGGTGCAGAAGATGATGAGCTGGTATTTTGGAGTTGGTGGAAACAGGCTAGCCCGAAAATTGAGGAGAAGGAAGAGGAGATGCCATGGCTGCAGAGTATCAAGTCTGTGCGAATGGCCGGGCAAGAACCAGTGTCGAAACCAAGGATGCGAAAATGCAGCCCGGAGCCAATTGTGTTGAAAGCGTAGGAAGATGAAGAGGGGAGAAGCAGCGTTGATTCCATGACCTTTGCGCAACTCCAGACTGGGCGTTGAGCGTAATGGAATAGAGGTTTCAAGGTGATGAAGTAAAAACGTCGTACCACAGTGTGCGGTTGGTATAGGTAGCAAATTGGAGAAATGATCCTACTGTATTGGGATAATTCTACACAAAAATAAAAAGTACACATATTCAAATTGGACTATTAAAAAGAGAATTGAGTGGCTGTAGAGCGTCATCGTGCTTCAGAAGGCCGGGCATGTTGGAGAACGGCTTGGGTAGATTCATAACCAGAGCAGAGGCTGGATATTGGCGTTCTCCCGAAAGAGAGATGAATCCCTAGCTTGTCAGACGAAGGACGACGCATTCAAGAAGGATACTTACTGGTCGAAGGTTATAATGTCCCGCATGGTTGCTGTAGAATAGGGAGTCAGTAATCGCAGGATCGACAGCAGAATACATGAACATCCAAGATACTCCAATGTAGAACATGCTTTGCACGTTTACTTACTACTTATGGTCACGAGGAAAAAGATCCAGGTACAAGTATCCAAGGAAATCTCCGCCGTTGATAGCATCTTTCCAAACACTAAAGACTATCACGTCAGGATGCCATATCATCACATGTTCCGGTCTGAATTTAGAGAACTGGTCTGCAGTTATCTTGCAAAACTGAAGGCCGAAAGCCGCGAGAAAGTCGACATCATGCCTTCTAAGAATCTTTCTAGGGAGAAGTATTCCGAGAACTTCTCCTCGTCAAAAGAATGCGTCCGTACTTTGGTGAGGTTACCGTAGTAGCTGAAATCCCAGAAATGAAATGTTCCAGCCTCCTCAGGTACAACACCACTGGCATCTTTGCTTTTCGTGCTCTCAATATGCGCTCGTTTGAGATCCAATAACGCATCCAGTTCCACTTTCGCAATGGGCATCAGCTTCTCTTTAATATCCTTAAGGAATGCATTGACAAAGTCTGTCGATTCCGCCATCTTCCTCTCGAGCTAGCACTCAGCGTGATTTGGGTATCCTAGGAGCCTAGCAGCTTCATCTCTTAAAATTGTTCTCTTTAACCTTGGGATGTTGTCCAGACATCTGTTGTCGTGACTAACGTATATTCTCTGTCTTACTGCTCCACTCCTAACGAAGCGCAACGCATGATCAAAATGGGGTTTCTTAAAGGAAGCCAAACTTTGCCGGGATGCTCCCCATCTCCGACCTTTAATGAAGTTAGAGATTCCATAGGCAATCCGTCAAGTTCTTGAACCCTAAGCCATACCCCAGTACTTGTATTGAGAGATTTAAGATATGCAACACTCAACTCCCGAAGCTCTGTCTGAATTTGAGTAAAACGACATCGGTTTAAACCCTCCTCAATTCCCAAACCATTGTCCAAAAATGCTTGATGCATTCGGCCCAGATAGAACAGGGACTCTGGATCCAACAACTCCTTTCTTCGAACCACAGCGTCGACAAGCTGGAAGAGATCTTCTCGCATCAAGAACTGAGAATCAAAACCACCAATAAGTGCTTCAAATAAATTGCTAGCGTTACGCAGTTCTTCAGAAGTGGATGTTGAGCTGAAGAATTTGAACAATTTCTTGAGGGCGATGGTGTGGTTGTCGTCTTTCGCAAGGGGGAGTATGACATTGTTGAAGGTGGCATCTTCTGGACGAAAATTGGCTGCAATTTCGTCCTGGAGTTTGCGTGTGTGCCCCAAAATTGAATAGATGCCAGCCAAGACGCTCGCAGGAGTGTGGTTGAAGTTCGGAGGGGTTTGCGGAGGCATTTTGAAGGTATTGGCCATGTTGCCACTAGAGCTGAGGAAATTTTTATTTGAATCGGGTCACGAATGCAGTATAGCTGTTTGGTGTAAGCCAATTTGCACCTTGTTCCTAGACTCGGTGGGACATTGATTTATATTGACTCTTAGAGAGCGTGCCGGCAAGTCATTTCAGGAAGCTGCTCGCAGCAGACGGAACGTGAGCTGCAACATATTTCATGGCACTTGCTATGAGAGACTATCAAGCAGTTCGGCGAGACAGATCGGGATGATCCCCAGCTTTCCAGACTTGTCTGACGAGTTGATGAGGGAAGTTGGAAAGGCGATGGGTTTTGACCCCGGAACATGCAGGCCGCGGATCCTTCTGACAAGTTGTTAGCCAACAAGATACTCTCATCGCCGGCGAACTTGATTAGGATCGGGGCAAAACCCCTAATCGCATGCACCCGAATAGAGCGCCAGTTTCAAGATGCTTGGAAGGCAGTGTACTGCGGCCGTGGTGATGAACAAGGGCGTCGAGAGGCGATGAAAAGAAAATTGCTTTAGCCCATGGTCAGTCAAGAAGAGCAGCTGTTCTGAGATATACGCGAGGAGTACCAGTAGGTCAAGCGCTGCTTGCAGGCACACCTAAACCGGTGGCAACACAAGGGCAGCGTCTGCGATAACGATAGCAATGTCCTCCCACTCCCACTCCCACTCTTGAACATCCACCTTCGTACTCATGAATCCTCCATCCATCACTTTGTACCTCAATGGCAAGCCTCGCCACTGCCTCTCCTCCTGCAAATGCCCCTGCAGAGCCTCCAGCGAAGGAGTACCGCTGCTCATGGTCGGGCTGCTCGAAATCCTTTTCCAGAGCTGAGCACCTCCACCGGCATGCCTTAAATCACGATGAGACTAAGGGCACTTTCACGTGTCAAAGATGCCAGGCCGTTTTTCGACGAAGGGATTTGCTAGGTAAGTGAGAATTTGGTCAAGACTATGACCTTTTCACGAGGGGGCCACCTTGCTCATGTGATACCCACAGATAGACACAAGGCCCGGCATAAAGAGAAGGACGACGAAGCAGGTGGAGAGGGACTGGGGAGACTGCAGACTCGGAAGAGGCTGTGGCGGGATTCTACCGGTGCTGTAGTGACTAAACGAAGACCAGAGCATGAGAAGAGAAGTGTCTCTACTACCGCAAGCAAACGTCTGAAACTCCGGGATCATTCCTTCGAGTCAACGAATGGCTTCACAGATCAGAAAGATGTACCGATATCGCCTCCACCATCCACAGGTGAGCAGATCTCAAACAGATCAGACGCGGCTGGATCGTCAGAACTTCCTCGTGAGCCGCCGCAAGCAGACGATCTCTGGCCAACCTTGAGCGAAGATGCTATTTTGCCAGATGACAGCGCTGCTGTAGAATCCTTAGAATTTTTGTGCAATGCTTCATGGGGCTCACAGTCTCAGGAAAGCACCAGCACTGATATCCTGTACAATGACTTCTTTGCCCCAGATACTGGTGAGTAAATTACACGGTTTCGAGTCTGTCCACTAAGACCTCTGCAGCTAGTTCTTTCAATAACCCGTTTACGACACTCAGCTATTACAATTGGTTGTTTGAGAAAGAGGCCTGCCCTACACTGGGATTTGAAAGTTCACAACCAACTAGCAACACTTCGATTTCCACGTCGGATGTTTACCCCCACTCCTCGCATGAGCAGTGTGGCAATAAAACAAATCATGTGGAACTGCCGCGCTCTTCTGGTATAATCAGTCAAACATTCAAGCAACCGGATCTCGGATTCGAAATGCCCGGAACTTCCTCTCACTTCACAAGGCGTTCCTTTTCACAAGAGTCAATGAGCCCAGAGACATCTGCAGCAAATCAAATTTTAGCTCTTTCGCAAATGGCTGGAACTAATATGGCCGCCAGCCTTGGGTATCCCAGTACTGGGTTCTCTTCCCTAAGACCGAATCAAATCCAAAGGAATGGTCTGGATTATCTCCTTACACCCATAACTTCGGGGTCAAGTTATGAGACGGACAACAATTTTGATCGATTCAAGCAGATCAGAAAGCGCCCAGCCATGGACGAAGCTGCTCGGCAAGGTGTTCTAAGTTTGATCGATCGAGGTCGTCCTAAAGTACCAGATGGGCTGGAGATAACCAGAGACCACCCTCTGCTATCTCTCTCAGTCTTGCAGGAGTATTGTGATCTATATTTCACCCGATTCAACATCTCGTACCCGCTCCTCCACCAAGCAACATTTAGTCCATCTGGCGTTGACCCGTTACTTTTGACTTCAGTACTTCTACTTGGTGCCACCTACAGCGATAGAGAATCACATCTATTCGCCATCTGCGTGCACGATATCATGCGTGCTCAAATTCTTGGTAGTCCAGATTTCACAACTCGGCCGCCATTATGGATTCTGGAGACTATCCTGTTGGTCGAGTGTTTTGGGAAGTCTAGGGCCGGCCAGCTGCAGCATGACATGTCACACCTATTCCATGGCCTCCTCATCAAGTAAGTTGACTCCACATCCGAATTCGGATACTAATCCCCCGGATCCCCCTGTTTCCTGAACCGCTTCCACTAGATATTTCTAGTGAGACTCCATTGAAATTGGCATGGACTCTCCAGGCTGTGGAATTAAAACTAACGTAACAATTTAGTCTGATTCGGAGGAGCGATTGCCAATCAGCTCGCTGCCATGATCTTGAGAACAGCGAAAGGGATATTAACACAAGATGGAAAGCTGAAGTTGATGCAGAGCAGCGAAGAAGGTTTGGCTTATCGTTATCCATTAAGCCATACTTCCATGCTAATTTACTGAGCAGACTCGCATTACTTTGCTTTATGTGGGATACCCAACATGCTGTACTATTCTCGCAATCACTTTGCATGAATGCTGCAGAATTGAAGCTTACCCTCCCCTGGAATACGAATTTGTGGGAAGCAGAGACTGCCGAGGAATGGCATAGGCTTCACTCCCAAGAAAAGTCACAACCACCCTATCTCTCAGTCCTCAAGTCCTACTTCAATCCAGGCGCAGCAACAAGATCGTGGTCTCTCAATGCTCTCTCTCAAATATTGATCCTGCACGGCCTGATGTCAATTGCCTGGGATCTAAATAGAAGGGATCAAACCTCGCTAGGTATGTCTTGAATCATGGCGTTTCCCATCCCCTTGAATTGACCAAAGTTTAGGACTTGCGGTTGCCCAAGATGAGTCATGGCAGGCAAAAATTGGCCGCTCTTACGATACCTGGAAAACAGACTTCGATTCTTATAGCAGAGAAAAACTTCTCTCCTTGGGTGACAACGATGGATCAAAGGAAGAGTTCCAAAAATTCTGCACCGCCATTCTCGCCATATACCATGCTGCACACATCATCTTACATGCGGAAATCAATGATATGCAGATAAATGCAGGAGCAAGTCACATCATTGGCCGACTGTAGGTGTTGGGGGAGAAGCCCTTTCCTATTTTCGACTGTTTCATGAGATTCTCCTAAGACAATGCCCTCTCTTGAAACAATCCTAATGGAGCAATTGCTGACTAACCCGTTACCCAGAATCACAAAAACCGACCGAGAGCGGTCTCAACTTCGAGTTGAACGCTGGGCCAAAAACGGCTCTCCGGCTGCCGCTACAGCTGCCTCACATGCTGCACTAATTCTGAGAGACGGCATTCGAAAGCTCAAAAACTGGGACGTGGGACACTTCTTCTACTATCCTTGGATTTTATACTTGGCTACTTTGACATGTTGGACATTTCAAATTTGCACCAAGAACAACGAGGCTGGTGATGAAGTCCCAGTGAGTACAGGTGACGACGAGGAGAGTGATTGGGATTCAAGAGCTGAGATGAATGCACTTGTCAGCGCTATGGCAAGGTCCAACCTCGAAGATCTAGGCAAGGTTGCCAGCAAATACCGGATGGGAGATTTGCCCCGAATAATGGCTAAGCATCTCAGCAGCACCAGGTGGGCTGTTGTGCAAGAAGGTGTGATTGTCCTAAAGGGCCTGACAGGGAAGAGTAAAAGTAGATGAAGTAATAAGAGATCCGATATGTCTACAGATGACCACACACACATGCACGTCAACTCATAATCGTGCTCGAACCCTTTTCCCAACCCTCGGCCAATGTTCATCAACCTAACATGCGGATTAGTCCTTTGCGACCTCCAAAAATTTTACATCAACAACGATTATTGTACTTACATCTTTAAGGTGATCGTAACCAAGTAGCTTAGGAGCCAGTTCAGGATCTCTCCAAGCCAAAGCTTCCCGAGGAGGTGTCGGGACCATTCTCATTCTTCGATCTCTATCTTCTTGCTCCGGGCCATCATGAAGATGATAAAGATACTGCTGCAAATTCCCACGCTGCACAACCATCTCTGTGCGCCCCTTCCGGCAATGTTCGTAGACACGCAAGGCCATCTGCTTTTCTGCTGAAACTTTGGAGGTTATCCGTGAGAGACATTCACCTAGCACGGCGCCGTCTTCGAGGGACATTCCTGCCCTAAGGGTCATCAGTACGAATTTTTCAAACGAAAAGGGAACGATTTCTTACCCTGAAGCTAAATATGGTAACGTTGCATGCACCGCGTCTCCCAGTAACGTGAAGGCTCCAGAAGCGTGGCTCCAGCTGTCCATTCCAGGACGAATGCAAAGACGCCATTTGTAAACCGACTCACACATACTCAAAAGCTTTGGTATTCTTGGATCCCAATCTTTAAACAGTGCTCGCATCTCTTCCACATTACCTTCAAGCGTTGATGCTCCGGCTGGCACTGACGGAAGATTTCCCAGTCAACATTATTTCTTTGAAATGAATTTGAGAGGATTAAGTTTGATCCAAGAGCAGGTGACATGGTTTGGGGTGAGGAACATGTCTCACAGCTATCGAAACGATCTGGAAAGGAACGAAATAACTCAGAAAATACCTACTATCATCCGGCACCAACAAAACCATATTAAACAATTTCCCTCCCTTCAACACATAGTTCACTGCATGCATATCCGGCCCAAGCCAATAATTGACTTGCGGGTCAGTAACAAGAGAAGCCAGCTCGGGATCCTTCATCATTTCTGATGTGGATAAGAGCAGTCGGTATGCTAGATCGCCGGTCGGAATCGCAGGATCCTCCCTTCGCAGCATGACTTCCCTCAACTTACTGTTAATCCCATCCGCACCTACCACCAAATCGGCCTCGATCTCTCTCCCAGGCTCCAATACCACCCACGCCCTTTCCCCATCCCTACAGATCCGCACATCCACAACCCGCGAGTTACACTGAACGGCAGCACCAAGCTCGATCGCTCGATCGAGCAAACACTGGTGAAGACTCGCACGGTGGAAATCCCAGTAAAAAGTGCCAGGATAATTAGAGGCAGAATCTTGGAAGTTCATGGAGCTGATGAGGTTCCCTCTCCAGCCACGCATATTTACTTGCTTGGGTCTTGTAGCGTGAAGTGAGAGGGCGGCACGCATTCCCCATGATTGTAGGACACGGCTGCTATTTGGGAGTATCTGGATTCCTGCTCCCACCTAGGCCATGCTATGAAATACGCAAGGGAGCTGGGGGAGGGGAGACTAACTTCAGCAATTTCCGATGCAGACTCGAGTACGAGAACATCGTGACCAGCGAGGAGGATGGAAATTGCGGCTCCAAGGCCGCCGAGGCCTGCTCCAACGACGATGACCTGGTGGGTGTGACATGAGTGTGGTGATACTTAAGAAGCTGTACAGCCGTTCGGGATCGGGTACTCACATTCAACTTGCTGTCCTCTTCCCTCATGATCTTTAGCTTCGCAGGTATATATCCGGACATATTGTACACCAAACAAAAAATCAATCAGGGCATCGATTTTGATCAAATCCTTCCTCCCAGTCGTCGAGAAGAGGACAGAACCGAGGAGGATGATCGAGAAGATATCTTTAATCCCCCGAGTCCTCCAGCATCGCACATCCTTATCCTATCGCCTAATCCACTCTTAACAGTGACACAGCGATAAGAAACTCTCGCGATGTTCCTCGACATCATGATTCGAGGATCACCAGTGGTTGCTAGGAGCAAGAGTGGAGGAGTGGGGGAGGGGCGGCGGTAACGAAAGTGCGGGAACTTGCGGACCGCTTACCTAAAAAAGGCATCACAGGATCTACCGAAAATGGCAATGATTTGAGCCCTTACACCCCATTCCTTAGAAAGATTGGGAATATCGTGATTGGAGTGAAAGAGATCTTTTGGATATCATTTTAGAATGTAAGATTAGCCCTAAACGTAAAGTTCCAAACTGAAGCACGGGCTGCACTCCTCGAATTTTTGGGAGATATCCAAGCCAAATTTGAGTACCACCGAGTTACGGATAGACCCAAAACGCAGCTAACGGCCGAGTGAAGACGATAAGATTTGGTAGTTATATAAGAAACGAGTAGTGCTTGTCGCGGGAGACTTTTGCTGAAGGCTTGCTGAAGCTGGTACAAATGAAGCAATTTTCGGTGTTACTCCCCTTCAAGGGCTTTCTTCTCAATTGAGAAGAGATTGGGGCAGGAGTGAAGCATTACAAGTGAGAAGACAAACTCACCTCCTATGCTTGACTGGGCCGTCAGCTGATGCGAGGATTCACGAGAGTCAATATGAGTAGACAGGAAAGCATTGGGAAAGGCTTTGCAGAATTCATGAAAGGCTCTGACGGAAATTATGATATTTGCGTTTTGTACGCTGGCATCAATCGCAATTTGTCTTTCCTTGGCATAAAAGGTGTTATGAGAGCGATGGTTCCCGCCATGGTCGCAGAATTGGTCAAATATGCAACTGTTCCCCATTAGCCCAACCATTAGCTTCTACTCACAAGCCATCTATCAATTCGGCATCTGTCGGCTATGTCCGAAGTGAGATGACACCTCCAGTAAGCAGAAGAGGGAACCAAATGGAAGAAATTCTGATAAAATATAGTTTCCGCATCTCCTTGAGCACTGGAAAGACGAGAACATGAGCGGGAAAATAGCTATTCCAAGCGACCTCCGAGGTGGTTGTATATTCTTGGCGAGCGATGCAAGCTCGTATGACAAACAGGATCCTGTATTGATGCCGGGATGACGAAGTGCAAAGAAGTGGCGGTGTTCTAGAGATCATGAGGATTTAAAATCAAGTCGGAAACCGCTTCTCCGTCCATACACTCAGTAATAAGATAAGAATTCGTTTGCCATGCATTGCGAAAGGGGTCGGAGAAGCGAAGCATGAAAATAGGGGGCGGGAAAGGGGGTCGGCTAAAACCATGAAACAAGAATGAGCCGGCCACCGTAAAATATCGCGCGGTGGCCCGACAACCTGACGATAACGTCGTCATTACCACGCCATTCTTGAACCCCCATGTATGAGCATCAGACGATTTTCGAGCTGATTTCAGAATCATGCCCCCTCCACTCTTCCGCCCGTTATCGTACGACCCAACAACGGCTGCTCAGTTGCACGACTTCTAGTCATCACGATGCTTTTCACAACGTTTCCACCTCAGTATTTGAGCGATTTGAGCCACCATGAAGCGTCCTCGTACAGACGACTTGACGGACCTTTCCGCCGGGGAGCGAAATGGCAGTGACGGCTCTGTCGATGTGCAGATGGTCAATGGAAACCACGATGCCAAACCTGTCAAGGAAAGCACGAATCACGTGGTGGTGGTTGGCGCTGGTCCTGGCGGTCTCATGTTGGCGTGCGCTGTTTGCAGTCTGTTGTTGAGGCCTTGAGCTAATGAGCAGATAGGTCTAATCTGGTTCGATATGGAATCAAAGCAACAATCGTTGACGACCGTGTTGACAAGACGTCCACTGGTCGAGCCGATGGTCTTCAACCGAAGACGATCGAGACGTTCAAGCAACTTGGCTTGGCTGGCCCACTCTTACGGAGGGGCGTCAGAATCTATGATATCTGCTTCTGGGTAAGGCAACAACGTTCTATTTGATATTTGACTGTAGAATTTGAACGGTCTCGTGACTAACCAGTGAGACAGAATTCTTCAGCTGATACTCCTCTCCGCAGGACGGGTAGAGAAGTGCATTACCCGCCGGAGGTAGTCGACGTAGAAGAGCCATACATCCTTCTTGTTCACCAAGGAATGATAGAGGATATTTTTCTCAAAGACTTAAGAATGCGAGGCGTTGAAGTGATTCGAAGCAGCCCATTCTTATGTTACTCGCAAAAGAAAGATGGGAACTCTCCCGTAGAGGTCGAATGCACTGACCTGAAAACGGGAAAGACTCGACCTTTCAAGACTCAGTACCTAGTCGGCTGCGATGGCGCTCATTCTAAAGTCAGCAAGGTAATGCTTGGCCCTGTTGAGCACAATGAGAGCTCGAAATCAGCGTGGGGAGTTCTGGACGGTAAATTTCCTTTACGAAGCTGAGCTGAGAATGTGACACTGAGCTATCCACTAGGCGTTATTGAGACCGATTTTCCCGACCGTTGGAGTAAAGCTGTGGTCAGCTCAGAAACCGCAGGATCAATTTTGTGCATCCCCAGAGAACGAAACATGACCAGGCTGTACATTGAGCTCCATCCAGCAGAGGCTCCAATATCCTCAGATGCTGCGACTGAGGAATTTGTGATGTGGCGAGCCAGGGAGATCATGAAGCCCTTCTCCCTCTCGTGGAAGACAGTTGGTAGGCTGCATTTTCGAAGATGCAATGGCCTTCGCTGATTAATTTTAGAATGGTTTGGAATTTACAAAGTGGGACAACGAGTCGCCAAGCGATTTTCTGACGATCTGGAGCAAGTTTTTATAGCTGGAGATGTAGGCCCCCCAGCCCAGTCATTCGAACTTATGCTGACATTATTATAAGGCAGCTCATTCACACTCTCCCAAAGCAGCTCAGGGCATGAATGTCAGTATGCATGACAGTTTCAATCTTGCATGGAAACTCAATCTAGCCGTCCGAGGCCTTGCAGCTCCGGGTCTGCTTTCGACCTACGAGCAAGAGAGGAAGAAGATCGCCGAAGACCTCATCGACTTCGACTTTGGTCATGCAAATGCAATCTCGGCAGGTGACCCCGTAGCTTTGGCCGAAAACTTCACCAAGAACATCCGATTCATCTCCGGAGTTGGTGCAGAGTATTCAGAAAACATCCTCAACGTACTTGAAAAGAATTCCAAAGGAGGATTACGATCCGGCTCGTTGCTGTTGCCTGCCAAGGTCACGAGATACATCGACGCCAACCCCGTCGATATCCAGCTCGATATTCCAATGCTCGGACAGTTCCGCATCTTTTTCTTTACTCCAGACGTCAAAACCGCTTGCGCCTTCCTTGACAAAGTTTGCGAAGAGATTGCGTCTCCAAGAACGATTCTTGGCCGTGTGTCCAATGCTGCTGCGGTTTCTTATGCTACGCTCAGCCCAGTTCACACTGAGATGGATGAATTCGTCCAGCCAAACCGGTACACTGGTGCCTCGAAAGTCTTCACTTACTCCATAGTAACAACCATGAACAAGGAAGACGTTGAGATTGCCGATCTTCCGCGACTCCTACAGGACAGCTGCTGGACTTTCTACTTGGATTCTGTGATGAAGAAGCCGACTTGCACTGAGAAGTGGCTTGGAAAGCTTTCCGAGCACGAGGTTGCGATTGTGAACGTGAGGCCGGATGGATATGTGGGAAGCGTTGGTCGCTGGAATGCGATTGATGTTGGCGCTGACTGTGAAGCAGTGACTTGGCTGGATGCATATTACAAGGGTTTCTTGAAAGCTTGATCTAAGATTCATTAAAATAAGTGTTGGTGTATATTATGATGACCGTTCATATCTTCTTTACCAAAGGTCAATAAATTCGGGTTTTTTATGATTGTCACAGCAACTTGTCCAAAATCGTATGAGCTGAGGAAATGGTCTCTCTATTCTGGTTCCACAGGGTACCGTATCTTGCCCCCAAGAAGGATAGCTCAAGTTCCCAACACACTAACTCCCAATGCGGGCATTGAGAGATTCGCAGTGGCGTGGGAAAGTTCGAATGTTGCTCTGGGACTTTTTGCGAGAGTGACAAGTGAGGAAGTGAATTTCATGCATGCCATTTACATATTGTATCTTAAGAATATTCCAGGTTGAACTTTGCAATATGTGAGAGTCACGGATTAATCAGTGTACCAAAAATTGTAGAAAAACCAAAGCCCCCCTGAAAAAGGTTTGAACGTTAGGACGATCTTCGGCACTAATGGCAGGATCAAGGGCATTTCACTTGTACAGTAATTTTGCAAGTCTCCAAATAAAATTTACAGTGCATTGAATTAATTGTGATTACTCCTACAAACAAAAAGAGTATCTGGAAGCAGCCCGAACGCCAAGAGAGCCTTACCTCTATTTGAACTTGCTGTAGATGACAGCAAAAATAAGCAGAACCAGAACCGTAATAATGGCAATGGTTATAATCCGATTCGTAGCCATCCTGAGCAAATTTATCAGTAAAACATCTCCCGAAGTAGGCTACAACCGGGAAAAGGGACGATTTACCTACGCGCCATCCCTCTCAATGTCTTCACACTCCTATCCACATATCCCTCACTCTCCAGCAGAGTATCTCCTGTATGCTGGATCGTCTCCCTCTGTCTATGTAAATCCGCCAGCGTGCTTGCACCAATAGCCTCTGTCTCATTCGCCAACGCCTGACTGGCCTTCAACCTCTGTGAGCTGCGATCCAACCTATCTGTTCCAGACAGCAATTGCTGTCGTTGCTCGAGCTGTACATCGTTTGGGTTATCCGAGTATCGGCTGCCGAAGAGAGCAGAGCGGTCATCGGCCATAGAGCGAAGTTTCCGCTTTGCGGAGTCGACGTCGGATTCGTGGTTGCGGAAGCGTTGGTTGACTTTGGTACGTGTTGCAGATGGAATGTTCTGCTTTTCAAGGCGCATTTGATCGAGCTGAAAGTACGGTCAGTATCATCATCTAGGGCCAGAGACATGACGCCTACCAGCTCGCTGGCCTCTTCTAACGCTCGCTCTGCCTGGCTGATGGCTGCTTTGCGTGGCTCGCCGCTCAGGTCTGGGATTTGATCCAACTTCTGGTTCAAGTCGGCTTGGACTAGTTTGAGCTCGGCTTCGTAGCTGCTGAAGAGCTCAGAGCCAGCGTCAGTATCGAGTGGATTCGACATCTTGAGTGTGTGATGATTGCGAAGAGATGCTGACGGGCTTGGCTTTCGTCGTTGCCTTTAACGAGCGTCGCAATGGTCTCGGCTCGGTGTTTGCTAATCTGGCCTCGTGATGAGAGGGTGACAGGCAAATACTGCACGGCAGTATTCGAACGGTTAAACAGATGTTGTTCTCTTGTAGGTTGTGGGTGCGAATGGATGAAGATGGAGATGTGGTTGTTGCGAGATCACGATGTCTTCTGATGCTATCGGACCTGCTTCATCAACGCTTGTGGATACGCCTCAATTCCTCAGCCACAACAAAATGTACTGGGATCATGGTTCCCTGACGATATTAACCTCAATACGGAAAACGTTTGAGCTTTGACTGGCCAATTCAAACATCCTCTGACGGGGACAAACACTCGATTTCCAGTCATGAGTTGGCCTTCTTGATTATACTTTTCATGCATCCCTCGTCCCCATCTTTCATCGCCGGGCACAAATTCTCGAGTCTCACATGAAAGACGCTAAGAGCTTGCCTTCTTGTCTCACATGCGCTGCAGAGCAAGGGAAATGCCGTCACCGCAACAGCTCCCCACTTCCAGCTCGAGCTCGAAAGGATACGGCAATGATTTGTGAATATACTTCCTCTTATATCTCTTCTTCCTTATACAATTTCCTACCTTTTAATTATGGCTCCCCTAACAAATCCTGTCCCTAGAAAGAAGATCGCGGTCATTGGCAGTGGCAGCGCGGGCATCGCTGCGCTATGGGCGCTGAACAGAACTCACCACGATGTGTATATGTACGAAGCTGCGGACCGATTAGGAGGTCATACGAACACTGTCGAGTTCAAGCATGGAAAATCGAAGACTTTGGTGGATACGGGCTTCATTGTCCTGAACAGTGCCACTTATCGTATGTACTCTTTGCGCCTCCTGCGCCAATTGCGGAAGCTAATCTTGTGTAGCCAATTTCATTGCTTTCCTGAAAAATATCGGCGTGCCTACGGTTCCAACTGAGATGACCTTTGGAGTTTCTCGAGATCAGGGGCTGTTCGAATGGGCTGGGACATCACTCGCCGCGGTCTTCGCTCAACGACGGAACTTGTTCTCACCCCGCGTGTGGAGAATGATATTCGATATTATACGTTTCAATCAGTTCGCCTTAGATCTTCTGAAAGATGAAGAAAGGAGTGAAGTATACCGGAATGGAAATGGGGCTGCGAACGGGAATGGGAAAGGGGTTCATCAGGCAGAGAAGCAAGAGACGATTGGCGAATATCTTGATCGGGAGGGTTACTCGGATGCATTTCGGGATGACTACCTCATACCAATGACTGCAGCGGTTTGGAGTACAAGTCCGGATAAATGTTCTTTGGAATTCCCTGCTGTTACTTTGGTCCGATTTATGTGAGTCTTGCCGGCCGGGAAATACCAATATTACTGACAGAACCCAGGTGGAACCATCACTTACTGAGCACCGTTGCTACAAGGCCGCAGTGGCTGACTCTAAAACATGGTGCCCAGAGTTATATCGATGCTGTCATGAAAGGATTTCCACCAAACCACGTCTTCCTCAATACCCCCGTTAAATCAGTAACCAACACCGATAACGGTCGAGTCAGGCTACACTTAGAGATCGGACAGGAAGATGTCTACGACCATGTCATAATTGCCACTCACGGCGACCAGGCTCACAATCTAATCCTCCCTGAAGCCGATTTGGAAGAAAAGGAGATCCTCTCTGGTTTCCAGACAAGCAAAAATAACGTAGTCCTCCACTCAGATCTCTCCTTGATGCCCAGGTCAAGAAGAGCCTGGTCCTCGTGGAACTACATTACCGAATCATCCGCAACTTCTTCAAATATTGATCAAGTGTGTCTCACGTACAACATGAACATATTGCAACAAATTCCTGAGCTCACCTTCGGACATGTCCTCGTGACCTTGAACCCACTTCATGATCCAGACCCCGCGTCAGTTCAGGGACGATATACCTATTCACACCCTCAATATAATACCACGGCCATTAGATCACAGAGTCTGTTGCCACGAATACAGAACACCCGAGGCATCAGCTATTGTGGGGCTTGGACGAAGTATGGATTCCATGAAGATGGCTTCTCAAGCGGACTCAAAGTTGCCCAGGATCATCTCGGTGCACAGCTTCCTTTCAAGTTCAAAGACAGTACGTTTAGTAGAGGCAAAAGACCTGTTCTTGGAATCAGTGATCTGGCATTAAGAGTCTGGATCATGTTCGTGCAGATGATTATTATAATCATTGACAGGATATGCGGTGTGCAACGAGCTACGCCTCAATCGGTGGAAGTGAAGAAACTCAAGAATATCTAATGAAGAATTCATGACTGGTGTTTGGCGCATGAAAGGTTGTGGCTATAGCATTGTCAAACATTTAGAAAGACAATTCTACGAGGTTATGATTCCCCAACACGACTCATCTTGCTCCTCTTCCTGATTTAGATTCTACTTCTTCCATCTACTTTCCTTTTTTGCGCAGGTTCAATTACTTAGTTACTTACTAAACTGCCTATCTCGCCATCGCCCCCGGATTCTTCGAGTCATGATCTTCCATTGATATACAACCCGTAAACACCACAGCACACGCCAGCAACAACCACGAGCAAAACAATTGCAATTGTGACTGCGATCTTGGTTAAGGATGCCAACGGCCTTGTCCACACAAGTGACAAAGTTATCACAAGCATCAAAGCAACTCCAATTTAGAGAACAATCGTAAGTGGTTTCTTCAACCACCGCGGTACGTATCCGACCACTTCTTCGTGAAATTAACCACTATGTAATCTCATCTTGATAAAAGGCCAAGAAAATGAAGGGGACTGATGCTGCAAATACAATACTCACTACAACGCTATCAGTGATTCTGGAGCACAAAGAAGTTGAATTCCGCACTAGGAAGTTGACTTACACATGTACTTCAAAACATAACCGTATCATTGAACGAGAACGAATTGATATTAATAGCGAAGAAGGCAGCCATAAACGAGAGTGGAAGCTTGATCTACTAGATTTAAATGTCTCAAAGGAGAGTCGAGCACGTACGAAGACAATGGTAATTATCGTGAAGACCAGAAGAGTCTTCCCTTGCCTCGCAGTCTCCTCGGCCTGTTTTCCAGCAAGTGCAGCTTGTTCCACGAGCAAGGCAGATTGTTCCACCCCCAACTCAGCCTGCCTGGCCCCATCTTTCGCGTGGCCTGCAGCAATTCTAGATTGCTCCGCTATGTTTTCAGCTTGTTTGCGGGCTGAAAGAGCTTCGGATATATTTGCCTGCTTCTGCTTCAGGTCGAGAAGATGTTTGATCTCATAGCATTAGCATGAAGTTTGGATGTGTTGGAAGAATATACCTCATCGTACGCCTTGTTGGCCAGTTCTTCCATCTTTTTGATTCGGAACAAATGAATTTCGAGGATTCTGTTGCGCTTGTACGATGCATGTGGATCTTGCTCTTTGCCCGGCTTAATCTTGGCGTCTTCAATGATCCCCCACATTTGTGTCATGGTTGTTTCTTGGTCCTTTAAGACCATTTTCAGGATGCTCAATTCATCCCGTATATCCTTTATTTCTACTAGGAGCTTTGTCTCTCTAGATATGCTCAAGAGTTCGACCGAATCCGCATCTGGTGAGCGGTTTAGTCGGTCGAGACCCTCAGTAAATTCTTGGAGGAACTGTGCCTCTCCATCAACCTAAAACTGTTAGCAAAAATATGGACAGCGAAGACTGGGCTTACTACCGCTCCAATGAAGCGTTCAAAGAAATCTAAGAATTGAAATTCGTCAGGGATATGGTATTGATCAAACACATTGGCACAGCAGTCAGTGATTAGTGTTGCTAGATCGTAGACGGAAGCTATAGGGGTTCTTGATGAGAGTGTCAAGTGGTTGAGATGATTTGTTGGACATTCAATGGGTCTTCTTGGATCAGCGGCGACCATGATCTCGTCCTTGGATCTCTATCGAATCGAGAATTCCTGGGTTGTTGACCTGATGGACCAGCTGTTTGTCCTCTGTTTTTGTCGCCTTTTTGATTGTGCCCCAGGGAGTTGCCGGCAAACCCTGGTGGAACTTTTCTACTTGTTAAGCACTTTGGTGTCGGGGAACCACCTCCTAGAGGTGGAGAGGCAGACCCTCTGAATACTGGATCATCACTCCTATACTCCGGGTCTCCTGCCATCCATTCTGTCAGTTCTCGTGCATGCTTTTCACCTTGTCGAGGTGGAAGAGGCCCAGGAGGGAGCATTAGCCAATTCGGGGCTGAAGGAGGTGGAGGTCCATGAGGAGGCCTTGGCTGGTGCCTGGGTGATGGCCCTGGTTGAAGGGGAATGGCGAGGCCTTGGGGATGGCTTCTAAGAGGCCCAGGAGGAAATGGCCCACGTTCGGAGGGGGGGACTCCAGCATAGGCCACATGTGCATAGAGACGGACCAACCAGGTTCGATCAATTCTTCCCAAAGAGTGGGCAGAACAATCCCCCCATCTGATCCAAGCAGATTATAATGGCTTTCTACAACATGATTGCCAATGATTTCGATATGTAGGAAAGCTTCCCGTATTAGCGCTTTCATACTCTATTTGATGTCAACGACACAGACCCTAAGAGAGGAGTACACTTACTGGCCAAGTTTTACACGGGTCAAATGGGAAATTGAACTTCCGCCCAATTGCATCCTTGAACTTGATAACGCGCCTACCCCAGCTTGTAGGATTTAGTGGCCCAGAGGCTGTGGAGATCCGCTGCGTTTACCCAGGATTGCCGACGTTGAGGACAGCAACTTATAACGGAATCTAGGACACTTTAGCAGAGTAGATGATCTTCGGAACAGATAATTTGGTGCCGTTGTCGGGGACAAAGCTTTTCGTTAGCTCTGAACGGCAAGATTGCCGGCCCTTCCAGTAACGGAACTGTATTGAGCACGTCAATTATTGCATTGTCCCCTGCTGCCAAATCCTCCACTGTCTGGAAGCCGGATTTTCTTGTTCGTTCCATACTGCAGGAGCAGCTCCGCTATTTTCAGGTCCTCCCTGCCCCCCTGCGCACGACAATGCTTAATGGAGTATCGCCAGCTAGATCCCTCCAGTCGACGTTTGCGCCATGCTTTAGAAGAACCTAGCAACTTGGATATGTCTTTTGCCAATTGCAGCGTGTAATGCCGTAATCCGGGTTTTTAAATTTAGAGCTTCGATATTGGCATTGAATTCCACAAGAAGTTCAACAATATGTTGATACCTAGCTAACGGGAGAGTTAATAATTGCTCGATATTGGTTGTTTCAGGAGAGGGCAGTGTCTCAAGGGAAAATCATGGATAATCGCGAACAGGACAGTGTTTCTCCCCTAACACCTACATACCCTGATACTGCGGCAAAGTCAAGAGGATTCTCGCCACTATTTTGGTCCGCTTCAGTATCCGCCCTCTTGTCTAGCAAAAGGCTCACTTTTGATTTATGATCGTTGCACACCGCTAGGTGGAGAGCAGTCTGTCCGTCGAGGTCTTTTCGCTCTCGGGCTGGCCCGTCCTGGGCACAAGAGTTCTCGCACAAGATTCTCATCGCCACTCTTAATTGCATCTAGGAGGACATTGTCAGAAGAGGGGTCTTTAGTCCTTTCGGGACTTTTCCCTCCCAAAAGAAGTGCCATGAATAACAGTTTTGGAATTGCAAAACGCCGAAAAGCTTAACAAGGACAGGCAAAGAAAGATTTTCAGTACTGCAAACCGAACTTCAGCTTGAAAGGAAACGGCATGGTGAGGCTGAGGAGATTTGACCACGTGCATTAACCCCTGAACTTACATGCATACGACTTTGAAACTTGTCCTACAGGATGCCAGCTTGTCCGCCAAATCGACCTGATTTGAGAAAGTATAATTCCATAATTACATCCAGCGAATTCTCGACTACTGACTCCGCAGAAATGTTCGAGTGTTGGGTATCATTGTCGGCAGCCCTTAGTTGCTGTTGAATACTGCTCATTCTCCAAACACCGGCCGTAGTAGTTCGGAGTATCATGATACAACCCTCAACATACCAAATGTGAGGCTGAGCACAAACCCTGTGAAGACTGCAATTTGTCTCCTTCTCGACCACACCCCTCCTTCTCTGATCAACCATCCTATACAACCCAGCGGCCATAAGAAACCCATAACGTTCCCCCAGAGCAGATCATCTAGTGCTCCACCTCCGAGACCATCTTCCCCAAAGTCGAAGCCACCATTGCCTGCCCCTGTGCCAGCATTTCCGGCATTATCATCAATCCAGGCATCTTCCATCCGCAATAAGGTGTTCGGAGAGGGCATAGTATCTGGAGTGTGTATATTGGATTGTATGGATCGAAACTGTAATCGAAGTTGATTTACCTCTGCTGCAGTAAAGCCAGCAGTGAGAAGTCGCGTGAAACCTCGGGGAGCTGGGGTTGTTATCGTTTTGGCAGCAGATTGTGCCGAACCTTCATTGCCTACCTCACTTCTGCCGGTCTTCTTAGACTTGTTCGTCGAGGCAGTAGCTGCAAGGGCTTCCGCAGAAAGCTCCGAGGATGTCAATGCATCGCCGATAGAGCAATTGATGTAGACGCGTGGAGGAGGTGGCTCGACTGCTTTCCCCTTGCCTTTCGGATCCGGCGCTCGAGGAGGTGGGAAAGGAATCTTTAGCACGGCAGACAAGAGATCATCGTCTTTCAGGAGCTTGCCAGCGTGTATAAAGCGAAATCGATGCTGCGAAGTAGGAGGGTCAAGCTTTGACCGAATGAGGTGCTTCAAAGCAATTACTGCCGTTTCACCAGGCTCTGGAACATCCAGCAGAAGATCTGGAATCGAGGTCGTAAATCGGACTGTAATATGCAGAGTCGTATCCGCCGACGATACTAGAGAAGCCATTTCGGGCAGCTCTTCTGATGAATCTGGGTTCGAGGAATATGCACCGAGAGAGCAGCCAACGACTCTCGAGGGAGTGTCAGTGGTCACATTATTGACAATAATTAACAATGACCTCTAGTCGATTATCGAGGTGGGAATGCGCCTGCTTGTGACGTTGGACAGGTGCTGTTGATGCGCGAGCCATGTTCGGGAGTAAGAAAAACACTCAAATGTGCGGCCGCTAGCGTGACAGGGGTAAATCCTAACTTCTCTCGAAGATCATGATTCCAACCGTTTTCATCTATCGTCATTAAATGGGGGCCAATGAGGAGAATGTTCTCCTTTCCCTTCCAAAACTACATCTGAGAAGTGTCTCCACCAGAATTCCCTTTCCTGGACGTCTTCCCTCTTGCCGAAATCAGCTTTACACACTCGTTTGTGTTCATTTTGCAAGCTGTGCTCTAAGTGGAGTGCAGCGCTTGATATGATCTCCGGTACGAACGAAAATTCTAAGTGATTAGCCGTGCAGTATGTGTATTCTGTCGCTATGGGTTGCTTCGCTTATCTCCAAGAATGGTAGCAATCGGCCAGGACGACCAGGAAGTGGAGTGAGAGCGGGTAATGACAAGTGGTAGCTCCCCAAGCCAAGTTTAAATTTTTCCTCTTTCGTAATCGTAATTCACCTCAATTTCGGCCCCCTAGCCCAAACAGTGTGGAAACCTGTGCAATCTTGGCCTCGACATTCCCAATCCCGTTGAATGTTGGCTTGTGGTCTTCTGCTCCATCGGACATCAATTTCTCACTCCTGGATGGCTATGACCCCCACCAAGGACACCTTGCTCCTGACTGCTCTATTGATTTCGCGGTCTGCAGCATCCTATTTGTGGAGCCCTGTTGAGTGAGGAAATTCTTCTTGCCGCTCAAAGCACATGACGGGAGCGAGATTACCTCTACTCATACAAGACTCTCCAGTCTTGGGACTTACTACTCTTGGCTCACACCACATTCGATCCAGACCTTATGCACTAACCATATTTGGAATCACGGCATCTTTGAACCAAAGGCAATTAGCAAAACAGCAGGTGAAGGGTGATCTGCAAAACTTTGGCAGGAGCAGCCAGGTCTGACTGGGTCAAAAGGGGCGGATCTAGCAGTTTACTGAAACTGAAACGACAGTTGTGTATGATTCTCTTGCCTGGCCGTGAGAGATCCAATACTCAAGTAAAGGGTCGGTATGATTTGAAACAGCGGAATTGAAGGCGAAGCTTTTGTACGGTCGAAATGCACGTTTGAATGAGCAGATCCAAGGTCCACGCAGGCCACCCCGAGGTGGAGGGCACATGCAGTTCATTCCGAGGCGGAGGGTAGTATTTCTCGGCATAGTAGCCAAAGTTGGGGTAAGAAGCTTCACGGAAATGTACGTGCCACATGAGAGCATATTTTGCTTCTGCATAGCCAGGGGCCCGCAACGTCCCGACTCGTATTCAAGAGAATTCGAATCCAGGTTTGAGCTGCATAATAATCCATCGTGTTAAAACACCGTGGACGGGTTTATGTTTTGCAGAGTCCATTGGCGGGGAAGTTTTGACCGAAACGAGGCAAAGGATGGGAACTGGACCTGAAAAAGAAACACCTGGGGAAATAAAGTTTCCAAAAGAGTAAAGATTCCAGTTCTATAATTTTCCCAATTTCGGGGTGGAGAAATACTTCAAATTTGGTGAACATACGTAGTAAATGCTAGTGAAGGGTGAGGAGGGGTAGCGGCTAGGGGGCGCATTCGCTTAAATCTACGGAGTCCACCGCGGCCGTGGTAATCCCGCAGTTGACGCCATTTCGAAGCTGCCTCTATCAATTTTTGCGCAAAGGGGTCAGCATTTCGATTCGTGAGCAATTGCCCCCTCTAGTACGCGGCCGCTAGACCGCTATATAGTCTCCATGTTAAATCCTCCATGAGGCCTCGAACTGCAGTTTGTCTGCTGGTACGACCCTGGCAACACCTCATTCACAAGTACTCGACCCCTCCATCCGATTTCGGTGCTCGAAGAAACCTCCATCGTATAATGGAAAAAGGAGCAAAGATACAACCCGCCAAGAGGGTTGCAGGCAAGAGACAAGATGTATGGTATGTGGCAGGTCTTTTGTTGTTTATCTATGGACAACTTTCCACTGCTGTGACAAGTGTCTGTGACTGGAGTTCCTGCCCATGAGTAACACAAGGGAGCCTCTGTTTCTTCTTCATCAAAACCTGCCTTGAACGGGTGCTAACATTACTCTGCAGGACGATTGTCAACGAAGCTGCCGCGGCATCTCCAAAGCAACCCATTGTCAACATGGGCCAAGGGTTTTTTGGCTATAACCCTCCACCTTTCATCATAAATGCTGCAAAGCAGGCTCTTGACAAGGTTGATTGCAATCAATACTCGCCGACAAAGGGAAGACCGCGTCTAAAGAAAGCCATTGCGGATGCTTATTCGCCATTATGGGGACGCAAACTGAATCCAGACACCGAGGTAACGATTACAACAGGAGCGAATGAGGGTCAGCAATTTATGCTTTGGCGGTAAGCTTTTTGCTGACGAATGGCAGGCATGTTGAGTGCATTCATGGGTTTCATCGAAGAAGGTGACGAGGTGATCATATTTGAGCCTTTCTTTGATCAGTAAGCTGTCTTTTCTGGGCCATGTCTATCCACAAACTTATCCTCCGCAGGTACATCAGCAATATCGAGATGCCGGGTGGCAAGATTGTTTATGTTCCGCTTCACCCGCCACCTCAAGGAGCCACAGAAAACACATCAGCTGCCGAATGGACCATCGACTTTGAGGAACTGGAAAGAGCAATTACAAATCGGACAAAGATGATTGTCATCAACACTCCTCACAATCCTATTGGCAAGGTATTTTCAAGAGACGAGCTACTCAATATTGCCAACCTCTGCATCAAGAACAATATCATCATTCTTTCCGATGAAGTTTACGATCGACTCTACTATGTCCCTTTTACCAGGGTAGCCACATTGTCTCCTGAGATCGAGAGACTTACCTTGACCGTGGGGTCAGCCGGGAAGAACTTCTATGCTACAGGATGGCGCGTTGGATGGCTCATTGGCCCCCCGGATCTCATCACTTACGTTGCGGGTGCACACACTCGAATCTGTTATACTACTGTCTCACCTCTCCAAGAGGCTGCAGCCGTGGGATTCGAGCAAGCCGATGCTGAGAACTTCTGGGAGACAACAAAAACAGAAATGAAGGGGAAGATGGACTCGTTTAACGAAATATGGAAAGAGCTTGATTTGCCATTCTCTGATCCCGAGGGTGGCTACTTTGTGCTTGTCAATATGAAGAAAGTCAAGATACCGGCAGATTATCCATTCCCAGATCATGTCAAGGACAGACCTCGAGATTTCAAACTCAGCTGGTTCTTGATACAGGAAGTTGGCGTGGCAGCTATTCCACCGACAGAGTTCTACACCGATGCAAACGCTCATATTGGAGAAGACTGGTTGCGATTCGCAGTCTGTAAAGAGGACGATGTTCTAGAGCAGGCAAAAGAGCGTCTTCGGGATTTGAAGGAATACATAGAATAGGCCTCAAGGTACATTCATAGGTGGTGGCTGAGCATGGCAATGTCGCCGTTGATTCATAGAACTATCTTAGAGTTTCCTAACTGGGAGATGGTAGAATAGAGCATTTTACAAGATTCAACCATTTTTGCCCCTCACGGTAGCTGAGTCATCTGCACATAACCCTTAATGCTGTCGTTTCCGTAGCTGACAATCTACGTTACGCCACATCCTGGCAAAAGGTTACATAACCAAGAACGCAGTTCTTGGCGTTGCCATCACTTGTATGCCGCGGCTAACCATATCTAGTCACGTGAAGCCCCACGCGTGATCATGCCCCGAAATGATGACCTCGGGAGGCTCACCTCTGATCGATCACGTGAAGCTTACCTTTCGCGCTTCCTGGTTTAGAGCAAGTGCTTCCGACAATGTTGATTCCACGAACAGGGAGCAGCTAGACCTTCATCCTTTCTTTTATGTCAATACCGAGACCACCACGGGCCGATCCAGAAGTTACACATCAATATCGCACACATGCCATGTACCTGTTCCTTTCATGATAATGCACAAGCTGTCGTCAGGCTTAAATCCGAATAAGTCCTTGATGGATTTTCAAATCTGCGTCCTCACCAATCTACCGATATGCCACCAAAGGAAAGCGGAATTGGATACCGTCGAAACGGCAAGAAACAAGCATGCGAGCCTTGCCGGAAAGGGAAGCTGGCTTGCGACCATGGGGCACCTTTTTGCGGAAGATGTGTGAGAAGGAAGACAACCGCAAAATGTATTTATCATCCAGCGCCGATGACCAGAAAGACCGCGATAATTTCCCCACAGCAAAGTTCAAGCGTCTCTACTGATCAGGCTGGTCAATTACAATCTCCACAATCATTGGGAACCTCTCACCCTCCGCCCTTCCAAGGTTCCACAGAGCTGCTGCCTGAAACCCCGTCACGTGAAGGACAAAATGGTGCAATTGCTCCTGAATTACCTGCTACTCAGAAGTCTGTCATTAAACGAGACATATTCAGTACATGGAAACCTAAAGCGGGCTGGAGTGACATGATATTCAGACGGTCGGCTCGATATTACGGTCCGACTAGTTTTGCAGCTATATTTTCTGAACACCAGGAAGACTTGTTGGATATTGGAGAGGACATTCGAAAGCATCCGGGGGCATGGCCATTCGGAGTACCCCTTCTCGGCCGAGAAAGACCAAACGGACCTACGGCACGTACGAAACAAACTGTCAAGGCCCTCTTGAACATTCCATCAAGAGAAGTTTGTGAGATGCTCCTCGCCAATTTTGATTCCATTCGTGAATCAAGCCTGAATCCTGTAATGGTCAGGCATTGCATCACGAAACTATGGTCTACGTTCGAAGCCGAATTGTCTGGGCCGCGAGAGGAGGAACCCATGGCTCGTATTGCTGATGTCCTTTTTGAGAATGAAGAGACACCGTTAGCACCAAGTCCTGATGATCCAACCGAATGGATGAATACTTTCACTGGCTCCAATATTCGATTTGAGATGATGGGCATGCTATTTTGTTTTTTCGGACTGGGCTTTATGTCGTTGCAGGACTGGGATCCGGCCTTCAAAGCGACGGAGAACGATGGGAGAGACAGAAAACAGACCGCCTGGAGGATGAAAGAATGTGCTGGCGTATGTTTGAAAATGTGTGATGATTCGGAGACTGTCAATTACCTTGTCACAGCCCTGATTCAGAGCCTGAAAAGGCTGGAAACTGGTTGCACAGGGGATGACAGTAAGCAAATCATACAATATAGTCCTTGTCAACTTGATGCTAATAATCAAATAGCCTACAGCATCCGACGTCTTCATGGGGACCTGATTACGACAAGTATTACTTCTGGGCTTCACAGACTTCCCGACTACGCTACTAGCAAGGTAACAGCGAGCTCCGAGTACAAGAGACGACTATTCTGTGCAATATATTGCAATGACAAGACCCACGCGTCTTTGAATGGAACGCCGCCCCTGCTTACTCGAATGTTCTGCGACGTTCAGCCATGTCTTGATTTGCCCAGTGAGGCGACCTTCTTGCCAGAGGATGAGTTGACCCTTGAACTCAACAAACTTGACGTAAATGGATGGAAGAAATCAGACAAATCAGACGATACCTACTATCCGGCCACTATCTTGCGCGTAAAAGTTCAGGTATGTACCATCAGGGAAGAAATCTTGGAACTTGCCCTTGGTGTCAACGTGGACGGCTCAGAAGCGCGAATCAAGTGAGCGAATCAAATTTCCACTTAATATTCACGCTAATGAAAGGCCAGTGATTTGCATCGTCGATCATTCGAGATGTATCAGGCTATTCCTCCTCAACTTCAATACTACACCGAGGGAAAGATACCGAAGGGTAGCACAGGAGGCCTTCTGTTTGAGCAATCCCACATTCTGCTTCAATACCTCCAAAATAAGTTTCTCATAGATCGAGTGGCCATCGCGCGGGGCTTTGCGAATGGGCAGGGCCTTCTTGATACCGCTATGGAGATGATAGATATCTCAATGATGTTTTGGATCAAGAGAGATCAGCTGATGCGCTTTTCTCACAGCTTCGACTGGATTGTGGGTGGATTCATCACGTATCTAACGCTGGCTGGCTGCTGATTTCGAATAGATAACATATTACGGCATTCCTTCTGCTGGTGTGATCTGCATTGAGCTTCTCAAGGACGCAGTGGGCCGAAGCTCGATTCAATTCTCACGCTCCGATGGCATCCAGAAATTAACTCTCTTTATCGCGTTTTTGGAGTGGGTAAGGCCAACAGATGGAAACTATACCCTTGCTCAAAGATTGAGAAAAGTGGTAAGACGGGTCCTGGATCATGTCCTTGAGCCATCTCAGAAGGAGGTAAGGGACGAAGAAGGAAACGAGTTTCCGTTTGATCCCATGTTGGCAACATTTAATGAGATGGATGATTTGGATTGGCTGAATACTATCGATTGGACGCAGGGATCCTGGATGGGTTTTAATTGATGTATGTACACATAGAGACATTTGCTGCATAGCTAGCTGAAACTTTGGCAAAAATTGATTCTGCAATGCAAAACGATACCTTCATCGTTCCAGCTTTTCACTGAACCACATTATAGGAATTTGAAATTCAATCCCATAACTATCTCCACGTCATCGCTCGAGCAGATTTCACTAAATCGCTCTTCCCATCGGTAAGTCTCATCTTCCCCAGGCCCAGCCATTTGAGTCCTTCTGCCCACCAACAACGAGATGGCAAATCTCAACCACAGGAGCTTTCCACAAGGGCTTTCCCTTTTCCTTCATCGAAGTATTTCTATTATCAACCGACATATCGAATTTCAAACCATCATTATGCATCTCGAATAGCGCAAGGAAGTCCCGCCGCGCAATTTCCAACTGCCTCACTGCGGCGTCTTCAAGGTACTCGTCTTTGTTATGAGCCCCGGTCCCATGAGGCGCCACAAAGTCTATGGGGATGCCGGCGTTGTGCAAGTACTCGAAGTTCTGCACGGATCCGAACAAAATGAGCTCCTCTAACGCATTCCATGACGTGGCTACGTCGACAAAAGGCCAGTGTTGATCTTGGGCAACATTTATGGCGAGTGAGCGCGCACCACGCTCCCTGCAAATGTGAACGAACCACAGAAATCGATCCTCGAGATCTGAGCCAAAGGAGTCGGGCTTCAAGAGACAAAGCCTATCGCAGGCGAAATTGACGTAGATCCGGGGAGGTGTCGAGATATTGACGATTGAGAAGTGATGAGAGGTTCCAAATTCAAGTTGATAATGCTTCAACCCCTCTTCCCTGGCTTCCCTACAAATGTGGAGAACAGCAGGGTGAGAGCAGAAATGCGAGTAGAATTTGTAGGCATCAAAATGTACGTCTTCAGTTACACGGATCACTCCTAGATTGTCCGTGAAGATGTCAACATTGCGAGGTTGGTAGCACACATAACTCCAGATCTTGATACGGAGCTCAGAAGGCAGCTGCCCAAAACAGGTGAAGTTATCTTGAACAATTTCTTCGGAAGCTCCCTCTTGATTTGATTCTGAGGTGGTAAACGGGTCCCACGGGGCTAGGTTGGGAATCTCCAGGCTTGAGCCCAGCCTGTTGATTGCTGCCATGAGGTCTCGGGAGGATAGGCCGATGTTCCTCAGTGCCGCCGCCGGTGACTCTGTGGTTGTTTGAGTTGCATAGTCTGAGTCTGACATTTTCAATCGATGGGATGATGCACCAGATGGAGATGAGAGTGCTGAGTAAGTGTAGTCAAGAATGCCAAGGCTCGGTGATCAAACGAGGTTAGCTTGAATGTGAAACAAAGCCGAGGTCATGTAAATTGCACTTTTTGTTCCATGTCAGTCAAATTTGGGATTGTTAAATTTCCATCTTGAGCTGTCTTTTTTCTCGATCATAGAGGTGAGACGGTCTATTGAGACGTGGCCATATGAACAGCTGCCCTGCTCCTCTTTCTCTCTGGTCCACCTTCTCATATTTCTGTCAACCTGCACCGGTTGGCTCAGCGATAACCAGTGTGAAGAGGAGTTGTTGACATGTCAACGACGCCCATTCTGCCCATTTCGCAGTGTACGGCTCCAATACATGAATCAGAGGCATTGCAAAATCATTGAGCAGTACCACACAGGATCGAGACATTCGGATTGCCTCCAAAAGCAAGTTTTGATACATCTCTCGAGCTTAAGCATGCCCCGGCTTCCGACAGGTTCATCGGACCCAGTCTCCTTCACCTGTACCTGTCCGGCCTCCAACGATGGCCTCGTTCTCCTCTTCTACCGCTATTTCGCAGCCTCCCCACCACTACCCTCTCAACATGATTCCTCAGCAGCTGAGCCCTCAATTCTGGCCGCCTTCCACACAAATCTGACGCAGAAATTTAACCTCGGAGGCAAGATCCGCGTCGCGAAGGAAGGATTCAACATCACAGTTGCAGGCACCAAAGCTGAAATCGAAGCCTATATCCAGGAATGTATTTCCCATTGGTCGTTTTCTGGTCTTGATTTGGACACGGAAGCTAAGAAGAATGGTTTTTTCAAACCTACTCCGGGAGGATGTGCATGTGTGTTTGGAGGTCCTCGGGCCAGTGTCCGTGTAACTTCTGAGATTACACCGATGGGAGTAATGAACTATAGCCCTAAAAGTTGGGATCAAATTGAAGTTCTGTCCCCAGAGGAGTTCCATGACAAATGCTTGAAGGATGATGGGACAGTATTGATGGATGTGAGGAATCACTATGAGTCAAGAATTGGATATTTTGTGCATCCAAAGACAGGAGAACCTGCTGTGAGACCTGGGATTAGGAGATTTTCGCAATGGCCGCAATATGTGAAGAGGCATATGGCTGGAAAGGACGACAGCGAGCGGACTGAGGGCAGACAATTTATGACGTATTGCACTGGAGGGATTAGGTGTGAGAAAGGTGCGAGATTCTTGCAGGAGAACATGGAGAAGCGGGAGGGAGATACAGTGTGCACTCTGAAAGGTGGTATTGCTGCTTATCTAGCTTGGATTGACGAGGAGATCAAGCTGGGCAGCAAGAAGCCCGAACACTCTTTATTTCGAGGAAAGAATTATGTCTTCGACGCCAGGGGTTCAATGGGACTTAGTGAAGAAGCTGGAGACCCCGTATCAAAATGCCACCTGTGTGACAAACCTTCAGACAGGTTGAGCAAATGCCGATCTAAGGGCTGTCACCTTGTTCTTGTGGTCTGCGAGCATTGCGAAGAAGCAGATCCGAGGTGCTGCCAGAGCTGTCGGGATTTTGATGATATCTGTGCTTCTGAAGAGAAAGGGGAAGCGCGGCCAAGGCCGATCTGTTCTTGCGAGAAGGAAAGGGAAGAGCGGCTCTGGGGACCACGGCCCGTCAAAGAATCGAGGCATCCTGCTGCGAATTCGAGAATCACTCGAGCGAAGGCCAACGATATCAACATTCAAGTCAAAATTATCGAATGAATCTCATCCGCACACCTACCGGCGTCACGGGAACTCGGGCCTTTCCCCATCATTTCCAGGAAACATATCCCTGCCAAGCCTATCCGATATGCAACAAACCATTCATGTTCCCGTTGTGAACCATGGGTTTTGAAAAGGTGTGTTTATTCTCCCAAGGTATCAGATCAAGCTACCAACTTAGTCGGTGGCGCTTGTACACGCCAGTGATGCGCGACAGAAAGGTGTGAGCGGGAGGAAGTTTGGGCCCGATAAAGGCGGATGAATATGCTCAACTGCATCGACACTTAACAACTAGCGAATGCTGCATGGATATCACAGCTTCCCTCGATCATTCGCGAATGAAAAATAATGCTAGTTGTAGTCAATCCTTTGCGTCTCCATTCATACCGTAGTTCTGCAGTGCTTCGACTACAGTGACTCGTGGAGACGAGGAAGTAAACAAACGTTTAGCGAAAGGTACCAAAAGGAGCAAAACAAAGTCCCACAAACCAAAATTGCAAAAGAAATCCCAGCGGGACCCAGAAACTCAGCTTTCGCTTGGTTATCTGTAGCAGAGCATATCTCTTCTAAACCGTACCCTTATCTTGATTTCATTGAAGCACTCGATCAAGATAGGATGCTACATACACTGATGTTTCAAGTGTGTTCAGACTTAACGTCTACGACTGGAGATCTCTGGTGCAAAATAAGCTTATTTGGATACATACGACCAGCAACAAAATTCGCTAATTGCATAACGTGACCTTGATTTAGGTTGTCTGTTTTGAACTCTTGCACCCATGACGAGGACTTGCAAAACTTAAAGCACAGAGCCTTGGCCATGGGAGGGACGGAGCATGTCTCTTTGGCCGGTACCAATGCTACCGATTTGGCTATCTAATTTTATGGTTGCAAGTGCTCACAAGAGAATCTACCACATCACACAGGGTTTCAAGAGGAAACTTTTAGACGACACTGTACGACATCCTTCTATATATCCATTTCTTACAACATCTTTGGTATCTCCTAAATGCGACTCAAACGCCAGGAAACCTTGCTCGCTATTCCAAAACTCCACAAATGCCTACCCATTCCCACGTTCTTTAATCCCATCAAATGCTACATGCAACATCTCTCAATGCTCCCACTGATTCCTCAACGTCTTATTCCCCCTAACCATGTCCCCAATCTCTTTCCCAATCATTCCCTTCACCGCAGGCCCAAGGTTAAACGAATCCCAGAAAAGGTAGTCTTCCGGCCCTTTACAGACTAGCATCCCGTTAAGATCGATCAGGCCGTCTGTGTCGTCACCCTCTGCCTCATGCACGCAGGGTTGGTATACGCTTTCAAATAGGCTCTCTCCCTTTCCGAGACCAGATGCATCGGAGAGTCCTTCATCTTCGAGCTGGTGTTCGATAATAATATCGAGAAGGAGTTTGGGGAGGTCGTAGTAAAAGACATCTTTTTGAATTATTCGGTCTTCTTCTGTGGGCTGGAAAGGCTCGCTGTTGTTGCGGATGTCTTCGTCTGATGGGCTTTGTTCAAATTTTTGAGGAGCTGGTGGAGGCGGGGTGACGACCCATTGCGCGACTTGGTTCACCATGATGTTGTTCCAGCGTTCGGTGAGGTAGACGGCGTTTTTTTGTTGCTCTGCTACGCTGCTCGGAGATGGAGGAGAAGGGCGAAGCGTGAGCCATCCTGGGAGCAGCGTAGGGTCGAAGAGTCTCGGTATTATGACTCGGAACGAGGGTGCTGTGGTCTCCCTGTGATCTGTAGTGTTTGCGGAGTAGAGGTTGGTAGTGAAGTGGTTATATAGGATATCTAGTTGCTTGAAGATTTCCTTGATTGAGTTGTCTGTACCATTTTGCCCAATGGGGTAATCAAGCCTAGAGAAGTCGTAAACATCCCAAAACCCGAATGAAAGCACGAATATAGTTTCGGTCGGCCGCTGTGTTGGTAGTGGGAGAGCTATGTATGACTGGATTTGAGTAGCTAGGTCGGGTAGAAGTGATAATTCGGCGATTTCTAAAGCGATGGTGTATTTAGACTTCGAGATCGTGGCTTCGTGAATTGAATTCGATGTCATGACCCCTGTTGGCGGAAATGAAGGCCAGGATTCAAAAGGTTGGGACGCAGCGAAGTTAAGACGAGAGGTACAGTTTATCTGCGATAATTAGTAACTCAATATATATAAACAAAACAATAAAGAATAGATAGTAGCGTACCTCTTCGCACAAATAATCAGCCCAGCTTTTCCCTTTCCCGCCCTGCCCATTTTCAATTGTATCATCAACCCACGAATCACCGAATATCACCAATCTAGTTCCCTCTCCGCCAAGATCCTCCTCTACCTCTTCATAACTTGAGCTCCAACTCCATAATGACCCATCGATCGTGGTACCAAGGGCAATCTTCTGTAATCGCGTGCTCACCCTCGAAGTAGGAAGCAGAAGGACAATTGTAACAAGCGACAGCAGCGTCAACACAATCGACGCCCCGAGGCGCTTTCTCAAAGCGGGCATCGAACCAGCACCTGCAAACATCCAAACGGCTTAGGTGATGTTTAGCCAAGCCAAGCCAAGCCAAGGTTGTTGAATCGCTGCAGCCTTGTGATTCCGTCGGGTGAGAGGAGGAATGCCAAGACTTGGCTGGGGGTCGAGCCGACCAGTGAAAAGGCGGGCCAAGTCGCCACGGCTTTTGCCAAGGTCCTAGAGTGCAACACAGGTCCCGAGTTGGCTAATGAGGCTGCGAGGGTGACATTCAGCCTTGCGCAGTCCCTGTGTTGTTGCTGGGTTGCATGTATAGAAGAACGAAGGGAAGGGTGATGTTTATGAGGGGAAATCGCTGTTGGAGAGAAGGTACGAAGAGAACTTGGGCAGTGCGCGTGGGCGTCGTAAGCAGCATTTTAGTAAAAGTGGAGCGGCGCATGGGGACGTTACAGGGCTCCCCTTTTGAACGACTAGGACCTGCATTTGACAGGTTTCCGATGAAGCAACTTCTCACATGGTCTCTTTGTCTGGAAACCACCACATTAATTGGAAATATCGGGCTGGGCATGTTGAATGAAATTGGAATCTGTGTTATGGAATATTGCGAGGAAGGAAGCATGACCTTCAGACCAGACGAAAAGGGGAACTCGACCGATACCTCAGCTCAGCCTACTTGAGCGCGAGGACAGTCCATACTTATGTGGAGAAACCCGCACATATGAAGTTATGAGTAAAAACAAGGAGAGCCGCATTGATGCAATTGTGTACAGCTATTCCTGTGTCAGTGAGACAGATGCTGCTTTAATACTCTGCTAGGCTGGCACAGATCAATTAATCACGTTCTATCCATAGCAAATTCTAGAGAGCTTCCCAAGATTGGAAAGTCAAACGGCGTGAAACGCATAAAGAACGCTAGGCCGAGAATACATCCTTACTAGGGTAACAGCTGCTGTACTTTAATTTTTAGCAGTCGTCATCACTGGGCTCAGGCGAAGCACTAACTTCTAAACGGTGCAACGTCGGTGCCGCGCTTGAGGTTATCGAGTAGACAGGAGATCGTCGTCATGAATGCTTGATGACTAGTTTCGTCCGAACAAAATTTTCACCCTGAAAGGCCGGAGCAAAACCATGAGTGATATCATATTTGGATTTTACATCCAAGGTTCTACCCAAGGCCGAGGTCTCAGATGTCACGGTATCACATACATCTATGCTGTAACATAGGAGTTCTGCTGTCACACAACAGAGAAATACAACAGAACGCCGGGCCATGCAACGCCCAAATGCCAATCAGTCCACTTTATCTTTTCTTCGAGAATAGGCTGCCGGTTCGAGGTAACTTCGCTGGAGGAACTCCATCATCACTCTCGTCCTCTCCCTGAGAATCCTGATCATCATGATCTACCTCATCTTCGTCGCCAGAATCGGCATCGGTCTCTTCAGCCTCGTCGTCTATTAGATCGTCGTCGTCGCTGCTGTCCTCCTCCTCGTCCGAATCTGCTATGATGCCGTTCACCATAGGCATGTCTTCGGACACCTCACTCGCATCATCCGATATGTCCTCCAAATCTCCATTCGGGGCGAGTCGTTGCGGCTTAGCAGCCGCCTCATCCTCTTCACTCTCCTGGCCCTCAACGTAGATTACCCCATCATCTTCTTCCCCCTCATCTAACCGTCTGCGCTGGATCTGCATGCTCCTCCGTAACTCGATTTGTGCTTCCAACATATCCAGCTTTCCTTTCAGAGATAACAGACTTTGCAAACCCTTGGCCCTCTCATCGATAACTTTGTTCAACTCCGCCAGCTTCTTGATCAAGTCGGGTTGTGTTGCTAAATATCCTCCATGACTGACTAGAGTCCATTGCACCCACACCATCAAACTTCCCGCTCTGCCAGGCCGTCTATGTAATCGATCGGCAAGCTTTTGTAATAGGGTTCCTGCGAGGGGAGACTCGAGGCGCTGTATTGTGGCTCGGATCGTGTTGACATCGGGGGTGTGGAGGCAGGATTCGAGAAGGGAGACGTCGTTGGTCTTGAGAGCTTGTGTAAGGACAGTTCCGAGGGATGCGCCGGAAGGAGGCTGTATTTGCGTGCCTCTGGGGTAAGACACTGTGCGTAATGAGGGGTCTTCGAACGCGCCAGCCACATCTATGGGCTCTGATGCATTTGCCCGCACAAGGTCACCAAAGGATGGTTCGCCTGACTCTTCGGCATCGTCTGATAATGGCGCATCTGCTGGTGATCCTGCATTTTCCATAGCCACATCCGCCTCGGCTGCAGACTCTGCCTCCGTGCTCTCCTGATCTGAATCTTCCTCTGCCCCCTCGGCTTCACTACTCGAATCGCTGGAAATATCGATCACTCCATTCATGGCCGACTTGGTCGCATTCCCACCGCCTGATACCACGGTTCTAGACTCATCAAGATTCCCTTTGCCCAAGACCTTTGCGCTCTGCTTGACCGCGGGCAGGCCAAGCTTTTGAGGGAGTTTCCGTTTCGTCGACATAGCGGAATATGGGAGAGCGAAGTTGGAGGTTGGAGGAGCCGTCCAGCCCCAGGCGAAGGTGGGAAGTGCCGGCGAGTCGAGTGGCTGCTGGGAGCAGAAAGGCTGATGTCTGGGCTGTTCACTCGCTGGACTCGAGCTCTCTCGTTCCTCCGCAAACTTTTGGGTTGAACTTTTTTTCTCGATGGCGATCACGTGCGGAACTTAGAATTGGGCATATTGCAGCTCTCATTGGCTGAACGCCACTAGCCTTTTGAGTCATCCTGGAAGGCACCGCCAACGCTCATTGGGTGCAGCACTGGCAGGGATTCTCTCTAGCGCCTTCGGTCGGAGGCCGCTCTTCTTCAAATAAATCTCGGTCTCCTCCCCAAATATTTCTCGCATGCTGATTCTTGAGTATCCGACCTGATTCGACCGGACCCGCGATACGACACGACACGACACACGACCACATGACACGCACTACCTGAGAAACACCGCTCCCCAGCACCCAGCACCCAGCACCACCCTCGACATCGCTCCTCTGCGCAATCCACTCTGCTTGATTTTGCCGCCCGTTTTCTTGCGCTTCGGCCCACACAGCCTTCTTCTGTGCGCCGTGGCCCTGGCTGTTGCTCCCACCTTGATATTTGATCCGCATCTCCCGCCTCGTGTATTTGGTCCCTTTCGCTAGCTGGCACCTTCAACATCAACGACGCGCATCTTCACCACCACGAATCTATCTCACCCGTCGCGTGCTTTCGGCGCTGTTCTCATCGCGCGCATCTTCTTTCCATCGGTGGCGCATCCCCCTCGTCGACGTGGAGTCATCGACGCGCTTCTTGAAGTTGCGCAGGCCAACCGCCGGCCGTTGACCCGCTACCCGCGAGGCTCGCCTTTGCGACGAGGCTGCCGCTTCAAAAGTCAACAACACCTGCCCCGGCCCCAGCACGGCCCCAACATTGAGCCAGGCTTCCTACAGCATAAGTATCTGGTGTCGCATAACCTTTCGCAACCCGGTAGACCATTCATTGCATTGCCCTACTGGAGTCTGATCTCTTAATTCCTGTCTTTGGCTCCTGCCGCCGTGTGCCGCGCTCTGTTTGTTGATGGCCGTCATGACGTCTCAACAATCAGACGGTGTCGCATTCGATCAGAAGATCACGCCCGTTCCATCATCAGACAAGATGGCTTTGGATTTAGAAATCAACGGGTGAGTCTATCTCGATTAATTTTGTTGCTGTCGTCGTCTCCTTCCCTTCTCAAAACTGTATACTTATTATGAATCAAAACTTTGCAGAAACTCAAATCGAAATGAGACCACCCTTGATTCCACCCCGCTTGACCTCACCTTTGACAAAACCGTCGAGATCTCACCTCCAACCAACTATGAAGTGAATGGCGCATCCCAAAATGTCTTCGCCTTTGAGTCGAACCACGCAGTAACCAACTCTGTTGACGCCGCTATGGATTTTCAAGCGACAGCTATATCTCCCGCCTCGGCACAAAATTCTTCTCAGCTTCCTGACACAAACACAACAGCGTCGGAAGCGCCCTTCTCGACGTCACCCGACGCGCAACAACCTGATACTTCAAGTCTTCTCATTTCTGCCGAATCAGCGATCGACTCTGCAATTGACGACGTGGCGGCAACATCTACTGTGCCACCATTTGTCGAGGCGCAAGAGTCCGATCTCAGAGATACGACCTCGTCCCTTGCTCTTACACAGCCTGCGCAACAGCACCCAGCAGAGCAACTGGAGGAGGAGCGACTACCCGACTTTGGTCTCGAGATTCAGACAGGCGAACATTCTACATCGGCTGTTGAGCCCGAGATCGGTGCAGCTACTGGAGTGAATGAACTCGCCTCTGAGCCCTCTGGTGCCGAGCCATCGTTAGACGAGCCAGCTTGCCCACAGTCAGAAACTGTCCCCATTCAAAATCCCTCCATTCCACCCGAACCTGCAACAGAGCCTCAAGTCGAACAAGAACAGGTCATGGCGCCCGAGCCCAAAATCGAGCAAACCGACATGGAAATGGCTGACGCGCCAAGTCTCTCCGCACCACTAAAGGTCACGCATGAACGCGAAGACGACGACGAGATCGAGCGATCTGCCAAGCGAACCAAAACCGAGGATGAAGAGATGCCCGATCTCCCACGACCAACTCAGAATGGCGATGCCTCTGGTGCCAAGGCCGAGGGCTCACAGATCACACCATTCGAAAGCAAGGAGATTATGAAGATCTTGAAGAATGGAGCCAGAACACAATCGGGCAAGAATTTCCGAGCTCCAGTGGCAATATTGTGGCCAGGCTTTGCTGAGTCGTATGATGCAAAGATCCCGAACCAGATCGATCTCGCATCAATGGAGAAGAAGCTGAAAGATGGACTCTACCTTACCGTTCAAGCTATCAAAGACGATGTTCAACTGCTTTACGACAATGCTTTGGCGTTCAATGGCCAGGGACACTCGATTGAAGTAGCTGCCGCGGAGGTTCGATCGGCTCTCTTAAGCAAGTTGGACAACCTTCCGTCCGAGCCAGTGGCGCTCCCCAAGAGGGAGAAAAAGTCAAAGAGATCGACTCCTGTCCCCGAGGCTAGCCCTTCCGCTTCCGTAGGAGCTGGCCCACGTGTTGCACCTGCACGAAGACAATCGAGAGGCGCTCATACCGCTCCAGCACCTGCAGCTGCTCCAGTGGCTCCTACTTTTGCTCTTGATCCTACCACAAGCACGCCTCTAATTCGTCGAGACTCCACAAAAGTTGAGGGGGGTAGACCAAAGCGTGAGATCCATCCTCCGAAAAACAAGGACTTGCCATATACGGTTCGACCAAAGAGCAAGAAGCACGCCACCGAGCTCAGGTTCTGCAAGGAGTTGCTTGTCGAAGTTCAGAAGCCAAAGCACTACAGTATCACCAACCCGTTCATGATCCCTGTCGACCCTGTTGCCCTCAACATCCCAAACTACTTTACAGTCATCAAGAGGCCAATGGATATCTCGACTGTGGCTAAGAAGCTTGATGAAGGCAACTACACCACCGCGCTTGAATTCGAGAAGGATTTTAGACTGATTGTCTGGAATTGCCTGAGATTCAACCCCCCTGGAAATCCAGTCCATCTGATGGGCAAGCAGTTGGAGGAGCTCTTTGAATCTCAATGGGTCAAAAAGGATGAATGGATTGCGGAACACTCCCCTGCCCTTGCCAGTCCTGAACGCACACCAGAATCTGAAGATGAGGAGAGCGAGGAAGAGGTACCGGAAGGACTCTCGACAGCAGCATCAGCGGCTCGGGTGCGACTCATCGAAGAGCAAGGAAAATTGATCACGCTCATGGGTGCCAAGAACAAGGAGCCACTTCTTATTGAAATGCAACAGAAGATGGTAGAGGTTGTCCAAAAGCTTGTGAACGATGAGGAGGCAGCACTCAAAACCAAGAAAGTCAAGAAACCCAAAGCCGCGCCGAAGGCTGTCAAGAAAGCCCCACCTCCAAAGAAGGCTGCCGCCCCAAAGAAAGGAGGTTCGCAGAAGCAGAGATATATGGGAACTTTGGAGAAAGAAACCATTTCAAACGGTCTTATGTCACTTCCGGATGACGTCTCAGGAACTGTTCTGGATATGATCAAGGCAGATCAGCCTGATGTCGATGTAAGTTCACCGTTTGGAGCCGTTTGTCCTAATCTAATATAAATTAGGTCGGTGAAGATGGCACGCTCGAGCTTGACATTGATCTCATTAGCACTCCTACCCTCTGGAAGATCCATGGCTTGATCATGCAATATGCTCCCGAGGTTGAAGCCACAATCAAGAAGCAGATGCGGGAGCGTGAAAGCCCTCGAGCTGTCGCCAAGCCAGCCCCAAAGAAGAAAAACAAGCCGATGAGTAAGTCCGAGCAAGAAAGCAAAATCCAGCAACTCCAAAAGACGGCTCTTGAGTTTGAGAGACAAAGTTCCGGCTCGCAAGAACCCGTTATACCCAGTATTTTCATCCCCGCTGATTGTTTAATTTACAAAGACTAATCGTTGTGCAGCTGTCGAAGATTCTAGTGGTGATGAATCCGATTCCGAGGAGGAATAGATTGATGTTGGCATTTGGCCTTGACGATCACCCATCAGATCGACTCCTCGCACAATCCCCCGTTCCGACCTGTATCATACTCTTCCCCAAAAACGCATTCAATGTATATTACACATTCGCATTTTCGATATGCTTTCTTCAACGCCCCTTTTCACCCCGTATCCGCCTGCGATGAGTTTATGGCGGATATAGAGGCTCTTCTGCATTGATCGATGACTATTCCGCGCGAAGACTACCAAGGGATGTGACACCACATCAGGAAAAAAATTGCGTTTATTGACGAGGAGAAAAAGTGCAATGCAGATGGCATGGGATGAGAGCCGCATGGCATTCTGCTATTGCTTTTGCTTTTGCCCTACAGTTTGCATTTCTGTGGGAGTAAGAAGCGAAAAGAAAGATGTGTATGATAGAATCTCCAGAGTGGTATTTGCGAACGTGCAGCATGGAGAAGTACCGCAGCTGCCGAGATTCGCCGATGCTGATAGTCTGCCAACGAGCAGTAGCATGAAATAAGAAAAATAATCAAACCCCAAAACTGCGAGATCGTTAATGAAGACTGACCAGATGAGACCCCATTTCTTCTCATCTCCAAGCGGAGGGACGTTGAATGATCATGCTGCCCAAGACTTCCAAACTGTTGGTGCCACGTGCAGTTGATTAGCCGGTTTTGTGTTGAAGCTACTGAAAGTACACTGCAATTCTTTCCGACTTGAAGTACTCGCGCAAAGTGCGCTGCCTAGCTTCAATTGCAAATTACGAAGGTCCGGTGTCAGATGCGCTACGTCCTCGGGAATAGCATCTTGAAATCGTAAGCCGAACGTGGGAAGAATGCAACCAGGCGAAAGGAGATTCGATAAGGCTCACGAGCAAATGAGGGGGGAAATCACGTTTGAACTCGTAAAGATGCCCTAAAGTCGTTCACCGAGGCGAAGCCCGTGTACAATGATATTGAAGAAGCAAAGATTGCTTGGGAGCAAAGAAAGCAAGGAGAGGGGAGAGGCGAATGAAGGGCGAGCGAGCTTGTATAGCGAAGATGAAACCTAATGGTGCAAAGAGCATTCTTTCTAATGCATTGGGGCGGGCGAGGTAGAGCTCCAAGTTATAAATTTCACCCGCATTTTCTTCTCCCTCATATCCATCTTCTTCTCGGTGATTCCTCCACGCGGTATGTGTCGTGTTGATGGACAGAAACTGACTTAAATAGCAGGCTTTCCAAGAGGGCGAAAACTCCAAGGAAAGCAGATGGTCTAAAAGGTTGGGCTTCAAAGCCCAGGGTTGAGGTAGAGGCCGTCAAGACAGATACCAAACCTCAAGCGAAGGCAAATGCTGCTGCTGTTGTAGCAGCCACGGCTGTTCCGGAGAAGGGATTACTATCAGACACGGCAAAACTTGAAGGCCATAGGCAGTTCTCCGTGATGGCTTCCCAGCATAAGAGCCACCAGCGCCTCCGCCCATACCACCCGCGCCAGAGCAACTTGTAGTAGATGCCTCCAAAACTCCCCTCTTCGCTAGGTGCCTGGCAACCCCCAAGAAGCAATCATCCGTGTTTGTTTGACATCAACATAAGGAATCATACGAAGGCATCGGCTTCATGTGCGTCTGAGAGAGCGTGAGAAAGTAAAGCTCTTCCTACAATGGAGAGCCTGAAGGGTTTGGCAGGGTGAGAGTGTTACTCCTTATACGATGATCACCGACTCGATAGCACCATAGTAGCGAAGTCACCAACCAGCACGCCTCCCTTCCTCGGACTTGCCTTGTGCCTCCTTACAATGTCCTTCAACATCAAGATTCCACATCCACAACCTCTCCTCCCTATCTAAGCGCTCAGCAATCTTCTTCAGATCGCTTCCTGCCTCTGGACTCTCGAAACATAATAGATTCCCTTGCTCGCGGCTCGTAACAGTGACTTTGCACGTTCTTGGCACTCGCACGCAATCATAAGCTTTGAATGCCGCTGGGGGGTTGGATGAAGAAGAGCAGTGGCCAAGTAAACTACTCAGGACATACGCATCTCCTATCAATATGCCTTCTCCCTCGCCGTAATGTGGGGTGAGAGCGGGAGCTGCATCCCTGAGGAGGCAGAGACATCCTTTGTGGAAGGTGTTGACTTAAGGATGATCGAAGATAGCGCGACTTCTCCATGCAGCTTTCCCGTACTCCACGCCCTGTCCGCAGAAAGAGACCGGGAAATTACTGGCAGCTCCATGCCGCCATCAGCAACTCCAGTGATGTTAGTATTTTGAGGAGAAGGTTGAGATGACTTGAGTGAGAAGGAGCGATGGTTGTCGAACGTTTTGTGGGTTCCGGTTCTGGGGGCCCGGATTCAGGGTGATCCATACTTTGTTAGATATCAAATAGATTATTCACACTCATTAAAGGTATTGGGCCACAGTATCATAAATGTCCATTCTCTATCCTGCTTCAACTATGATATCTGCTTGTGTGTCCTCATGCGATCTATAAGCAAGGTATCGGTGCTCTGAAATGAATATCTTCACTGCAAAAAATGCCTCCTCAGAGCTCGAAGTGCTTCAGACTAGACTTCGCCTCGAAGAAGCCACCACAACGATCAAAGCAATGGATGAAGGTAAGTAAGCAAGCAAATAAACGGCTCTGAACTCCTTGTTCCCATGTCTATCCAGTCTCCCAAACGCCGAAAGTACAGGAATTAATCGGAGGGCTCAAAGGACCAGCCAGTAGCCTCGACTCATCGCTTTCCGTCGCTATATCCGTCCACATAACCGTAGCTGCTGGCTCTCTCGTGACCGGGCTTGACGCTTGCATCCACGCTTCGGTGGCCAACGTGTCCATACTTCTCATCCACTAACCCTCCGGTAGCCCATACATCTTCCGAGCTTTGCATTGGGTGTACTGAGCTAATTGGTCCTCCGAACTCTGGGAATTTCGAGACATCGGTTTGGTTCGGGGATCTAGGCGAGAGAGGCGCGCGATTGTCTCCGGTGTAGCCCACAGGCCCCCCCTCTCCTCGTGTCTTGTCTCGGCTCATCATCGCGAATAGCACATACACGAGACCCATGAGCATAATCAAAACCCAGACTAGAACCACGCATGTAGAGATGATGGCTTCTTGTCTGATGGCTTCCTGCAACTTGTCGGTGACTTTGACGATAGCGTTGGTGATATCATCGCTTGCCACACTGCCCGGTGAGCTGAGAAACGATGCGGTTGGGTCAGTGCTGGCATTAGTCAAACTTGCTGCTGCCCCCAGGGAAAAGACGTCGGCTCGGAATTCTGGGAAAGTGACATGGGCGTGGTCATGAACCCACGTAAGTCCTTTCTCAATACCCGCGATCTTGAGGCCGATGAGACAATTCAGAACCTCCATAATCGGGTCGTACAGGATTGTTCCACCGAAAGTTGTGTTCAAAACGGATGTCGCCTCATCGACGAAGGTGACCAGCGTATCATTGAGAGCCTGCGTTGTGGTGTTTACCCAGCCAAATACATCTTCATTTACTTTGTCGTTTGTGGTCTTGATAACGCCATTGGCCGAAGCAGCCCATGATTCAGAAGCATTATTGAGGGCAGCAACCACGGTTCCTGCAAAATCTCCAACCTCGTTGGCGAGAATTGGGACTTCCTTCTCGATAGTCTTGAGGACGATGTATTGACAGAGACAGCTGAATAGACCCGCTAGCCCAAGAGCCAGAACGAATAATGCCGGAAGAGAGGTAGCATATGCAATGAGCCATCGAGTAAGAATTTGGCGCTTGGAGCTCTTGAACTTGGAAGCCAATTTAATACCTGCAGTTGCTGTGTACGGTCGAGAGGCAATGTAGATAACATCCATAGGATCAAAAGCGTGCTTCTGGAGTAAGATCGATCTTTGACGCATGGTGTGCCATCTGCGGATTTCAAGGAAGGCCATTGGGATAATAGCTAGAATGGCCAGGATAGTCAGAACCACGATGAAGATCTTCTGGGCTTCGTAGACCACTTTCACAAGACCACCGAAGAAATCCTGGATCTTGGGATTGTCAGAGCAGAAAGTCAGAGCCTGCTTTTCAGCGACTGGGAAAACGCTCTTGTCGAAGGTATATGCTGCCATGGATTCATTAAGCAGCTTTTTCACCTCCTCAAAGGGAAGGCGGAGGACATAATTTGTGGCATTTTGTACATCGGCGAAGGTCGGAATGGAGGCATTCAGTTTGGTCAGGTCCGCGTCCATTGTCGTGGGGTCGATGGTAATGCCGTTCAATTTGGAGATAAACCCGTCCACATTGAGAGTGGGAGGCGTCTTCGAACCGCCTAGGATACCACCAAGGTTGATGGCACTTAGGAACGTGGTGAGGCTGCTCTCGAAGCCCTGGATATCCTTTGACAAATCGCCTGTGATTGTAGATATGGACTCGTTCATGAACGTTCCGACCTTCTCGATCATATCGATCGCGGCGTGCAAACTTCCAGTCACGGCGAACGTGATCAAGCAAACGTACATGGACGTATACATGTTGATGAAGAATAGAACGATCTCCTCCACTCCAGTAATAGTAAGCATCAGCATGTCCATCATCCCGGAGATAGCATTTGTCACGCCATCAGCAACGAGAGCGTTGACACCTTCTGATAGATAATGAGGCATGGAAGCCATTGCACTACCAACATTTTCGACACTCGTGCAAGCAGACAATGCTTCGGTCTTGGCATTGGCAATGTCGTTATTGATGTCCTTGAGCGAGAGGAGAAGTCGAACAATGATCAGAAGTAATAAGACCGTCCATCTATTGATCCATGTTTGCGATAGTCGTGCTCGAAGACCGAGATACGGTGTGTAGTAAGGAGCTGTGCTAGGAGGGGCGCTGGCGTCCGAGTGCGCATTCCAGTTCCGCATCTCGTGATCGCCAGCGTTGAGGGTTGATGGTACGTCAGGGAAGCCCTGACTTGGTTGATTTCTTGCGGAAGACATCTCTGTATGTGAAGCTAGAAAACGTCTAACCCCAGCCAGTGGAGACATTTAGTATGTGTTCTTTCTCTGTATGAATGTCTTGTTTCGTGGTGAAGAATCGTTGCGTTTGACGAAGGAAAGTTGTAGTGGCGTGGAAAGTATTATTTTGTATGACTGATTCAGAGGAAACGATGACAATGCTCAATAGAAATTATTCGCAAAGGAGATTCGTGAATAGAAATATCAACTATTGTGGTTGCTTGGTGTAGAAAGAACAATGATTAATTTTAGTGATACGACGACAATAGTAAAATGGGGAGGTGAATCACGCAGGCTCGAGAAGGACAATGAAAGCAGGTGCAACGTACACTTTAAAACAATACAAAGACCCAAACAGCGACCTTTGACTCAAATGAATCGCAAAAATCTGAAACGAGGAATAGCCTTGGTTTCTAATTCCAAAATCTCGGTCATGCGCAAAATCCGGTGTTCTGGCTGCGACTCGATGTCCTTTGTTACTGTAGCCGCAGTTCCAAAAATAGGCGCTTTGGCGATTGAGCCCTCACAACCAGTAGATTCTGCGACGAACTAGACCAGTGAAATCGAAGACCTGGCGGCTCTTAAGCGCGGCCGAGGGTAAGGCAATGCTGGGGTGAGTGGTCCTGTAGTCTTACTGACCGGTAATACTGGGTAAGACTGGTGATTGATGCTCCATAAACTTGACTTGCGATGATTCTGATATGGACGATTTGGCTGCGAACAATTCCTCGGGAAGGGAGGGAGATCATATACCAATACCAGAAGAGATCTTTTGCAAGGGGACACCGAGATGGAGCGGTGCAATACTTTGGTGGTGCCCATTCTTTCAAAGAAGTCGCCTCCGGGAGGAGGGTGGTGTCCTTCTTTATTCGCCTGGAGCAAGTCACACCTTCGGGTCCCACCCAACAGGAGCGCTCATGACGCACCCAGTCCAGCGACACCCTGCCGAACGCCATTGAAGCGATAAAGGGACTCGTGGAGCATCATGGCTGTGCCTGGCGCCCCTGAATTTTGGCTGGAATTTCCTGCTTTCCACGCATCGTGACGGGCAGGTACGGCGAATTCTAGTGAGGTGTTCACCAGAGGTTGAGTTGTTGCAGCAAGGTTTTTGGCCCTGGCCAATGACGAGCGCTCGCTTCCGTTCAGGGGTGAGAACAGGGGTCCTGCAAAGACCCTGTTAATCCTGGTCTTCCAAGATCTTCAACACCCACTGTCTGAACTGAGAAATCTTCAAGATGATCTTGGAGGCGGTGCTGATTCTGCCAGTACCTCGGCCAGAGCGTGTGACTCACTTCTCAGATACAACCGGGTCACTTGAAAGTTGAACAGTGAGCGAATGGGAGGGATGTTTCATATTGCTTTCTTCGCTTCTTCGTGATTCGTGAATGGGATATCTTGACAACGTCTGTAAGCGCCGTGCTAACTCTTTAAACGCCCAAATCCAACACTTTTAGACCTGAAGCATCGCGATTGAACTAACGCTCCCTTTAAACATCAGGGAGGGTGTTCCAGAATACAGGAACGGGCGGCCAAGCACATAGATCACGTGTTGGGATCCTCTATCCAAATCGAATTCGCATGGTCCGATGCCATTCAAGGTTCACTGATAAGTCTCTTCACATCAGCCACCGCTGCTCTGGCCATTTTCTTCAGGAAAACCCTCTTGTCGGCCTCTCGGTATTTATCCCAGCTGTCTAGCCCTTCCCTGGCCTGGATGCTCAAAGTCTCGTATCCTTGCTTGATCACTCCCGCAACCTGAGCACTGGTCAAGTGCTTTCCTCTCCTCCCTGAAGCACCCTCTTCCAGAAGTTGGTTGTAATGTGAACTGACGCTGATCAATATATCTATCGAATTGGTTGGGCGTTTCCCCAGGTCATAATTATCGCGGAACTTCACCAGGACTTCTCCCATCTCAACAAGCTTGTAAAACAGGTCGTCATATGTCGTAGGATTTGGTAGGAATGCTTCGCCAGCGGAAAGAGATAAGGCGATGAGATTTACGAGGTCGTCAAGCAGAATATCGACGTGGTGGAGATTCTTGAGGTCGGCGGCATAAGTATTGAGAAAGCGAACGAGGGAGAGGAGTGACCTGAACAGTTCTGGCCAGTGATAATTGAGGCGTGTTCGAGACCGAGATAAGTGGGAGATGACTCTCAATATGGTTCCAATGCACAAGATGTATAGCTCTACATCCAGCCGCCGGCGCAAATTATGGTTGATGCCATCTATCATCGTGTCCAACAGACTTGACGCATATACTCGATCACCCCTCACAATTGGTAGGTAAGGTGACCTCTGCCGACATAATCGAACTGCTACTTTACTTTCCTCGCTGCATATCCTCTTGCATAGGATTTGGTCTTCTATCAGGAGTCGTAAGATGAGGAGGTTGAGATGAGAGTAAAGGGTCGCCCGTGCAGATAGGTGGGCATGTTGGAGAAGATAGGAGGTAAGCGAGAGGAAGCTGCTAATAGGGGCCTCGAGGGCTTTGTCGGCTGGCATGGAGACGAAGTTGAAGCAGAACAATTTGTTTGCATGGGCGAAATCGTACGTTGCCAGAAGAACAGCTGCTTCACTTCCAGGCCTGCATCCAAGTCAGAATTTACTTGGAGAAGAGAGTGTCGAGGCCATACAGTTGAGCAAACTTCTCCTTCGCAACTTCGGGATCAAGCGCGAGAGTTACAGTCTTCGCACCAGGAGCAATCCCTCCCAGCCCTATCATATTCAAAGTCGTACTTATTGACCACCCTTCCGGAAGGTCCTCCTGAACTGCTACATATTTCCCCCGTGAAATCGAACACGTCTGGCCCACAGATCTTATGATTTTTTGAATAGTTCCCTCATTGACAAAATCGTCCAGTCGCAATCGATATGGATTCTGAAATTCGAATTTGTTGTAATTTGCTAGCAGGCCGAGAAGAGTAAATGGCTCAAATGCGCGGGAAGTGGTATCGGAATCTTGAATAAACTAGTAGTGGTCAGCTCTGGACGCCAGGATTTGCAGATTCCTTACTTTCATAAGAGAAGGAAATAAATCGCGATGTGTGAAGTATGAAAGGAGACTCGTTTGATATGCGCCGGAGACAACAGACAATGCAACCTCGATGGCCTTTTGGCGGATGTCCACTATAAAATTTGAGACAGAGGTTCGAAAGTGGTGGCTAGATCACATACAGGTTCTTCCCGTCCTTATTGTAACATCCAATGCAGCAACAAAGTCTGTGAAGACGGCATCCACTTGATCTAATCCTGCAATGACATTGATTATATCGGAACTCGGGTTGGTATATTTCTTTGGAAGAACGGAAGCCAGGAACGCTGTTGCAGTCTACTTTCATCAGCCTCGCAGCAAATCAAGGGAGGCCAAATTCTTACATCGAGAGCGTGTGCATCTGCAGGAGCATTCCCTGCTTTGATGCATCCCACTGCTCTAAAAAACAGCTGCCGTGTCTGCGCCTATATGCGAATCAGAATTCCGGATTTTTATGCTTCTCTCAGCCTCATACCTGGAGGTGCAAAAGGTCGTCGGGACTCAGTTCGAGGATTATTTTCTGCAAGGTGGCCTTGTCCGGTTTCAGGAGAAAGAACTCCCTCCAGTATCCCTCGGATTTCTCACGGTCTTCTTCATCCTGCAAAGTTGTCAGCGAAATGCGGTTCCGTCGAGAATAAGTTCCCCATTCCCCACCTTGAACAATTCCTCGTACAGTGCAACAACTTTCTGCTGGAAGACTTCGGGCCGAACTTGCTGAGTGAGAGGAGATGGCTCCATGTTTTTAAACCATAGTAGACGAGATCCCTGGACGGTCCAAGAGCAAATGAGGCCTTGCTTCGGTGAAGATGTTTCGTTTCGGTCTCTCACCACTTCTTAATCATCAAGTTCTCGCAGGACTCGTCAGCGCAAATGTGGTGCTCCAATATCCACTGACAAGGATCTTGAGCCGACCGATCTGCACTAGAACTAGCGGCAACGGCGGCCAAAATTGCATCACTGTGCACACACTTTTGCGGCGTCAAAGAAAGTGTGGACATGTATGCTAGCCACAGTTCATGACATCGGGTTTCCTCCTGCTCTTTCCAAGAGACGGCTTCTCCTTGTTTTGCGTTTCTCCATTCTCCCTGCATGCATCCAAACATCTATCAACATTCCTATTCACCACCCGATCATTTTTGTGCTTAGAAACTGGGGGACGGTGATTGGCCGATCTGTTCCCTGATGGTCCCGAGAAGTGGTGCGATTACCAAGAGGATAACATTCACACCTTGAAAGGACAACTCCCCGTCCTTTCAACCTTTCAACCCCTCACAGACCTGACCACCTTTCCTCCAATATCCTAGACAGTCCTCAACATGTCTGTACAACGAGTCCTTGCTCCATTGGCGTTGCCATCGAGCTTCTTCCTTCGACTTGCCTCCTCACCCGCAACCTCCTCTCTCCGGCCTTGTCAACATGTCCTACGAACCTTCTCCTCTGCGCAAGCATCGCAAATGTCATCAAAGCGAAAGATGCAGACCAGTACCGCATATCAGCCATATTCCCTCGACACAACACCTCCGCCACCCAGAAACGCTGGCATCCCGGACACTTCAATAGCTGGTGGGGTCCCACAGGTCAACGAGACAAGGCCACCGAAACAGACCGGGCAATATGAGATTTCTGTAGAGAGACCGGCAGAGGAGAAGTACACCATCAGCCTTACAGAACAAGAAGCCCAGAAGTCGGAGCCAACGACCACGACCTCTCAACAAACCCGAGCAAAGCCCAGACCAAAACTACGAGCCCGAAAAGCTGCCATGAACCTCACACCTGGCGCGGTAAAGCAACTGAAAGAACTCCTCAATCAGCCATCACCGAAGCTGATCAAGGTGGGCGTACGGAACCGTGGATGTAGTGGACTTGCATACCATCTCGAATTCGTGGAGAAGCCTGGAATGTTTGACGAGGAAGTCGAACAAGATGGAGTTAAGGTACTGATTGACAGCAAGGCACTCTTCAGTATTATTGGAAGTGAGATGGACTGGGTGGAGGATAAGCTGAACCAGAGATTTGTGTTTAAAAACCCAAACATAAGTATGGTCCCAAGCTCTTCCACTCGTTGATTTTTTTTTCACTGACGGTAATATCAGAGGAGCAATGCGGATGTGGCGAATCCTTCATGGTATGAACGTACGACACACTCCTCGAATCACTCCATCGACTTTACAGCATAGCGTTAGCATTGGGTTGGCGTTTGGGAATTGGATACCAGCATCGGCAATAGAGACGCATAGATGCATACATAGATGTCAAAATGAATGAAAGTTGTGCGCAAATTATGTTTCCTGGTAGAACTGTGCTTGAGAATGATTTGCAGTCGTCACTTATGTGGGAGCTTCACTCTGCCAACTCGTAAAGGCTTCTCAAATTCAACCCCTCCAACGCCCAATGCAATGCCCCAACAACGACCCAATCTAGAACGCTCCTGGTTCATAGTCCACAATTCTTATATTTTGAATAATGCCGTCCAAGCTCTTCACAAACGCCTTATGTGCTGGGTCCTCTTCCAAGTAATATCTCCTATCTTCATCGTTCGTGAAATGGCTTACGAAGCCATGTGAAAATGCGCCCTGCAATAACCCACTTATTAGAAATCTTTTATGTCAACAGTCTGAAGTGAATTGGAGAATGGGAATAGGGTGGGTACTACTTGGTGTCCTTCAGGGGAATTGTCCCTTCCGCCCGAGCAATCCAGGATGTATGGCTGCTTGCTCAAAGGGTGTAAGCAATCCTGCTTCAAAGATAGCATTCTTTTGCAGACCTATATGTTCTCAATCAACATACGAGAGCCTCAAAAAGAGCTTGCATCCAAAAAACAATCCAAGAGCCACCGTTACAGGACCCCGCGATTGCCCCGCAATTTATCTAAAGAGGAGAGTATTGACGTACGTCTTGGATCACACTGCGCTCAACAGACGGCTTAAATTCAAAGAGGACTATGTGCACGAGAGGCATTGTTGCGGATCCCGAAGAGAGAGAAAGGGGAGGCGCATTACAGTGATAGATGGAGGTTTGAAGTGTGCAATCGAAGACAAGTCAGAGCGGAACGTCATTGATGATTATTAAGAGCTTGCAGCTATCAAAAGGTGAAAACCTCCCACCGTAGCATAACATACCACCCAGACACCCAACCATCATTGCGACATGAGACGAAATGTATTGGGAGAGAAGTTTTCATCTAACGTTTGCTAGTTTCACTTCGGGGGAACCTCTTTTCCATCAGCCGACCCGCAACCACCAAATTCGTCCCAACACAGTGGATCGATCAGGGCCACCTCGAATGGTTGAGGTATGATTGACCAAAGATAAGTGAAGCCTTTTCTTTCATCACTGCTCAATTGGAGCAGCATATTCATTTTCAAGCATCGTTTCTCTCTGAGTCACGCCGAGATTTCCTTGGCCATTGCATATCAGTGCGTCCATTTGTCGCGATTCTCAAGAATCGCAAAATCACCTACAGCATCTCCTTCTCAATTGACTCAGATTCGACGTCTGCAATGGACAAGCCACGCACAGAGTAAGTCCTTCAATCCCACCACTGACTCGATCTGACCTTCCCAGCTTCCCATCAGTCCGAGCCTGTCTCTTCGACATGGATGGCCTCCTCATAAACACCGAAGACATCTACACATTATGCCACAACATCCTCCTTCAAACCCATAATGCGGGCCCAATGACCTGGGACATAAAGTCCCAACTCCAAGGCCGACCAGCCAACGAATCCATCCTGCGCCTCCTCTCCTTCTTCAACCTCTCGCACGTCAACCCCGAATCCTACACCAGCGCCCTCCATACAATCCAAGAACGCGAGTTCCCGAACGCCCGACCGCTCCCTGGCGTCGAAGCCTTGCTGCAAACCCTCAGCACAACCCAGAATGGGGGAAGGAGGATACACATCGCGCTCGCGACAAGTAGCCATGAGGGCCATTTTAAGCTGAAGACGCAGCATTTGGAGGATATGTTTGGGGTTTTTAAGAAGGAGAGGAGGGTGCTGGGTGATGATAATAGGATTCCGAAGGGGAGGGGAAAGCCGAGCCCAGATATTTATTTGGTTGCACTTAAGGCTATTAATGATACGTTGGAGGAAGGTGAGGAGCAAATTAAGCCTGAGGAGTGCTTGGTGTTTGAGGATGGGGTGCCGGGAGTTATTGCAGGTAGGAGAGCTGGTATGAGGGTTATTTGGGTGCCGCATCCGGGGTTGGCGAATCAGTACTTTGGGAGGGAGGCTGAGGTGCTAGCCGGGAGGGGAGAAGGAGGGGAGCTGGTGGATGAGTATCAGCTTGGGCGAGTTGGCGACGGATGGGGAGAGCAGCTAGTCAGCTTGGTTGATTTTCCTTATGGGAAGTATGGGATTGTGACAGGGAAATAGACGGTATAGACGAGAAGTGAGTCGAATTTGTTTTGTTCTTCAATAGTTCCTGAATATTCAACGTTCAAGCGGTCCCCCAAAAAGATGCAGATCTCTCCAGGTGCCTCACTTTAGTACTTGAGACTTGAGCTCGAGCCTGTATCAAACACCCTCGTTTCGTTCTTCAAAATTCAAAGCCCTGGCTTTCCTGCACTTCAAGTGAAGTCAAGAACATACGTCTCCATATTTCTAATTTGCCCCCTAATATTTTTTTCCAAAGCAGGGGGAAACCAAATTGGCTCAGCTTGCTTTATTACTAATTTGGCTGGTCACAAAGATGCGCGTTCGGGTTCGTATCCCTGTTCTGAACTACTCAATGCACTATGAGGTGAGATGCCCACCTTCTAGTCAGCCGAACAATTGCTGCGGAGCTTGGGGGTCCTCGAGTGAGATCTGAAGGCTTGAATGACACGATTAATACAACAATAGGGCACGTTTTCAACGTTGTTGGGAACTGATATTCTTTTCGGAGCCTCCAGCCAATCAGAGCAATCCGGGCTCGCGTTGCAGTCGATAAACCCCTAATATGGAGTACTGATTGAGCAAGTCAGACTAGAAGGACTCGCCTTATTTTGTGATTCGAAAGACTGCTGTTCAAAAGAGCCGTTGCCAGAATTTCGGGTTCGGGTTCGCGTTGGAAACTTGGCTGGAGGGATCCCGGTGTACGAGTAAGTACTTTAAAAGGCTGCAAAGCTGCCATTATGTAGGTACCATCAAGCCCAGATTTCAAGTCGCCTTCACTGTGGCACCATTCTGTCTCTTCGAATTGCTCTTTATCATGGGAAACGCCCACAACTCCAAAGTAGCTGCTCTCGAGAGCTTCCTGAAAGACCATCCATACATTAAGTTCATCACATCCTCTTCCCCAGATTACATCTCCCTTCGAGCTGTTTTCAGCCTGGACAGCACCGCCACCCCGCTAGCCATCGTTCGTCCGCAGTCCGCCAGCGATGTAGCTCTTCTCGTCAGCTACGCCAAATCTAATGGCATCAAATTCGTCATCCGAACTGGGGGACACAACATTTTTGGCCTGTCAATTGTTGAAGGAGCTTTGACTATCGATATGCGTGACATCTCATATGTCAATATCGACAAGCAGAGCTCTACTGCTCGGATTGGGGGAGGCATATTGGAAGGTGAATTGGTGGAACAGTTGGCGAAGGAGGGTCTGGCTACACCAACTGCGAGTGTAGGATCGATCGGCCATGTAGGTTGGGCGACTTATGGTGGTTATGGTTTATTTCGGTCTAATTTCGGACTGGGAGTCGATCAGATTGTTGCTGCTAAAATTGCCGATGCCAAAGGCGCCATTTTTGAAGCAGATGAAAGGCTTTTGAGGAGTATTCGTGGGGCTGGAGGCATTTTTGGCGTCATTGTTGAACTGACAATCAAAGTATATCCGCTAAAGGCTGTGAGTATTTAAGTCCTTCAACCTGCCCTTATGCAAATACTAATGTTAAATCAGATCCTCGCCGGGAGCTTATTTTATGATTCCCGAGATCTCAACGCAATTTTCCGGAGCTTTAACGTGGGATATCAAGCGCTTTCGGCTAAAGGAGTACCACCACAGTTGACACTCAACCAAGTCTTGGTCAATACGCCTCATGGCAGGACTTTTGGAGTTATCTTCATATGGAGCTCGGAAGATGAGGCAACGGGAAGACACTGGCTTAAGAAGGTTGAAGCACTGGGAACCGTTGTCATGAATATGGTCGCAATGACCTCGATTCCAGACTGGATCAGAGGAGCAGCCAGATTTACTCCCACTGGCTTTCACGGCGAAGGCCGGACTCGCAACATTCGCCAAATGACTGCCGAAGTCACGGATATCATAGCAAGAAGCTTTGAGAAGATGCCGACGGATCCTGTAAGTCCACCAGGCTCACAAACCCGTTGTGGCGTTGATCATGAAAAAAGTGCCCCATTCCCTTATGATCATAACATATCCAGAAGATCGTTGCTCCACTTTCTCATTTTCTCCATGGGCAGATCGTATTGATAACGCCGTGATGCATTTAGGGATCCATGTTTGCCATCCATGATATGCGTGGTGCTGCTCTCAATTCCGATATCGGTTCTGTCTTTGGAACTCGAGATCCTCACTTCTTGCTTGAAATTCTTGGGGGAGCCGTAGTCAAGGAGAATAGGGAGCAAGCTCTTGATTGGAGCACGTCGCTTTGGCAGGATTTTAAACACATCGAGTCAGGGAATCTTCTTCCAAGCACGTATATCTCATTGGAACCTCCCGATCAGACTCCTGGGGACCCGCTGTCCAAGATCTTCGGGTCCAATGATCAAGAAGTCCGGAATTTGAAGGGAGAGTACGATCCAGAAGACGTTTTTGACTTGGCATTGCCGAAGCTTAAGAATTATTTGTAGACTGATTTATTATTCCGGGACCGGGAAGTGTCTCAGAGCTGGAGCGCAGAAAATAGCTCGAAGATGAAGCCTCTTTTGACCAATAATGCTGAATTTTATCGTTTCTGCTCCCACCCTCTTTGCAATCGTCAACATGGTTCGAGCACCGGATCTCTTGGCTCGAATCAGTAGCGGTTAAGTGGCCTTTCCTAATTTTCGAGTGTAATCTCCCCAGAGATGATTCCGAGAGGCCAATCCATCATCCACAAATATTCCGGTGGCATCAATCCACAAATGCCGTTGACTGTTGTGTCCGCCATCTTGTGTTGCCCAGCTCCATGAATCCACCAAGCACCAGAATCCGGCAGAATACCGAGTAATGCGATATCCCGCGCGAGCATAGCCATAGCTAATGGTTCGTTCTTCTCCAGGTGCTTGATGAAAAGCTGTGGTGCGTGTGGTAAGAAGGCCGTGATGTCTTGCTCAATAGGCGGATTCCCAAACGAGCCATGAGCAATTCGAGAATATGTCGCCTTGAGAAACCCTGCGACTCGTTCGTACACATCTTTTACCTCCTGACTGGCGGAGTCTTCCTCCAATGTTTGCAGGAGAGAACCAAGATCAGCCGATGCACTCTCTAGAAAGCGTGGAAAAGGTAAATATTCGATTTGATTGTCGATGCTGGCACAAGCATCCTCATTAGTGGTTGAAAGCCAAGGAGCAATCTTTGTCACCAGAGCTTGAATGCCTTAGCAGAAGCGATACGTGCCCATATCGATCATGTACGGCTCTTGATGCATATTTGTGGACGCAGAAAGCCAATGGTGATGGGCTATCAAAACGGCAGCAATAATCAACTCTTCGGGATTTCGCAAATTCATGGTTTCCACCGCAGCCCGGTGCTCCTTAAGGGCTTTGCCTAAATACTGTCCCGAAACCAAAGCCAAAGTGTGGTCTTGGGGGTTCATGGACAGGAGATGCAGCGCCGAAATTCCCATCAAAGCGTTGAGAACGAGTTCGGATGAGAAGGCTATTTGAGGAATTTCTACCTCCCACTATGTTTAGTCAGCAAAATTCATCTCAGAAGGAACTCAGAGCCAAAATTCATAAGACTAAACATTCCCTGAGATTTTTCTACAGTGGGGGGCTGGGAATTGTTCCGGAAATTATAGCATGAGACATAGAGAACATCGACAACTTACCAGGGAAAGGGGTAATATCGGAACCGTATTAACAATGTGACGCCCACATGTTGATTTAGTGTAGTGATACATGAGACGTAGTTGTAGCGTATCAGAGTGACCAAGCCCACTTGGAGTAACTATGAGCGACCTTGGAAGAGGAAGTATCTCCCCACGGCTACGGCTCGAAGCAGTATCCGACTCGGTCAAGCACCTGGGACTTCCATCCTCATATGACACATATTCGCAATGAGACAAGCCAAAATAACGCCGCGTACAATTGCCACAGACCGGCCGTCTTTCGTCACACTATTTTCTATTCAGCGTCACGTGAAGAGTTGAGGGTCTTTAGATGTTCCTAAGATCTTACCTTAATCTTCCGTGCTTTACAGTCCTTGCATCCCTATAAGAAGTCAGAAAATACAAAACCGTTATTTTGAAATAACTTTTACCTTCGTAGACTTTCTGTATGGTCTCTTGCGGGGTTTCTTACAGTAGGTGGCAGTCGAATGGGGTTTAGGATCGACCATGTTTCCCGGATGATTTCTTTGATGCGGAAACTTTCACAATGGAATTGATCGTAAGAAAGGGGACTGTACCCGATCCACAGCCAGTCCACTTTTGTCTTGAGACTCGATCAGCGATTTAAGATGAAGGAGCAGGAAGAAGTTCATCAAGTAACTTGTGAGAAGTAAGCGGCTTACGTTATCTTCCAGATTCGGCACAGCAGTGTTTGCCACTGAGTTGCAGGTGGTAATGGGTTAGGGGAAATGACAAGATCCACTTTGGTCATGAAATCCCCGATAGTGGAATTATATGGGCTTCATATTTAGTCGTAGGGTCATGTATGCTATTCGCAACGAGATATGTTTGTGTAGAACTTCTGACCTTGCTCTCCTGAGGCTCAACCAGTCGAAATTCGCAAACAAGCTTCATGCTAATGATTGTACTCGGTCTGGCTGAAACAATCGAAGTGGAGTCTATGATTTGTGAATTGTTCGATTGTTCCAGCCAGGTCGAGTACAATCATCAGCTTGAACATTCGGTTCAACTCACCATGTCACCACCGGAAACTGTTCCCTCCTGGACGGGGGGGGTTTTCAAGACCTCGATCCCCTTCCTGAATGTCCATATCTGACGGGACGGGTGTCTCTTGTAAGCTCTCTCCGATCTCAGAACCATTTCCTGGATGCAACTTCTCCACATGTCTCTCCCTATCATGCCTTCGCACAAAAGCCTTTCCACAGATCTTGCAGTCATATGGCCTCAGATTTGAATGGGTTCTTTTATGAGCATTCAGGTTATGAGCTCTTGTGAACTCTTTCGAGCAAATGTTGCACAAGTGCTTCACGGGCGGCTTCTTGATCTTAGGAAATAGCGCTGATGGATCAGGATGCTGGACGTTGATATGTTTTTTGAGCTCTTTCTCCGTGCTGAAGCCATAGTGACTTCTAGAGCAGCTGCTCTCAGTACAGAAAAAAGGCTTTTCATGTCGACTAGCGTGGTTGTCTCGACGAGTTTCGTCAAGGAAGCCTTCGTGGAAGTAGATACAAGCATGCCGTGGACATTTATGCCAAAGAGTACCATAGTACTGCTCTAGCTTGCTTTTTGTGGCGAGGTCAAGACTCTTTGATGTTCGTAACCCTTCTAGGATAGACCTATTTTTAGTGATGACTTGTCCCAGGTCTCCAAGTGCATCAATTTTGTCCTGTTTTGCTCTAGACTTCCTCGTGTAGCTCACGAGAAGCAACAGACTTTCGTAGAAATCGGAGTCCGCGATATGTTTGCATTTGTCTTTTAACTCCTGTGGAACGCTCTCTATACGGGCGTCGACTGCACCATACGCATCTTGGAAGTCGTTGACTGACGGTCCAATGTTATATTTTTCATTGGCGGCATTCGAAAGTAGGTAAGGAATAGATCCCTCAAGATGATCTACCCAATGTAAAATGGCATACTAGGCGACAGAATAGTGAGCAACTGCTTCGTGAAGATTGTTCAGGGAAAATTGGGACATTGTCTCGGGAAATAGAATCATAGAACACTGAAGAAAGACATAATTTTCTCTCCGATTACTTACATCTTGAAAGGCGTAGTATCCCTTCATGGTATAGTCTATAATCACTTCGTCGGAGAGGCTGGGACCGAAACAGTCGAAGAGGAGATATCTGAAGAATAGCAGAATCAGCAATCGTTTGGAAATTTGACTGCACCGGAAATCGAGGAATATTCGCACGGGAAAGGTCTTGATTATGCCACAGCTTGTGGGACATTGAAAAGCTATATATCCACCGACAAGGTAATTGAAAGGACAGACATACTGCAAGCATAAGAGCGCCAGCTTGTATTCTTCGCTATGGATCTTGACGTAGTCATTATGTGTCAAATAGCTATTGAGAAAAGTCAGTATGTGGAAAGCAAGTTTCAAAGCGCAATTCAACGGGAGCCCAGGCGGAAGGAAAGACTTGCGATTTAGCAGTTCCATGGACGAGTTGAACTCGGTCACCAGGGAGAACGTCAATCAAAGATCCACAGATGTCTCTGACATGAGTACAAAGTTGTCGATTTTCAAAGTCTACTGACTGATCCTGCACGTTCACGGAAACAGCACCTTGAATTTCGTGCCACTTCAGTGAAAGTTTTGAGCAGGCGATCCAACCGAGCAACCTTTGAGCAGTATTCCGTTCTGCTAGATTTGGATTTTGATAGACTCGGGCTACGATCCTCCCATAACTGACAAATTCTTTCAGCTTAAACGGATTACTGGTTTCTCGCTGGCTACTCACGCTTGTTCAAATCCCTTTGGAAATGTTCCGGGCTGAAGCTCTTGTTCTAGTTCCTCTCTGGTCGTCTGTGCGAGGAGGTTCGTTAAGACAAGCTTTGCAAACAGGAACATCCCTCCGAATACGTCAGTTAAAAGCTAAGCCGACTCTTTAGAAAGTGTACATACCATCAGATCCATCAGAAACTGCGGATGCGATGTACTTTGTTGTGCCGTCAGGTAGCCCGAATTTTTCCTGTATGCTCGAAGCCCATTGAGTAGCATAACTTTCGATATCCGACTTATTATGCGAGTCTGTCAGATGCAAGACGGATGCCGTTCTGAGTAACTTGCGGATATCATTCTCATCTTGACTTACGAACAATGCACGTATCTTGCCCGGCATATCGTCCCTCTCGATCTTTTCGATAAGAGAGGTAAAGAAGGACAGCATAGTTTTTCGCTCGGAAAAATCGCACTCATCAATCCCATCTACAACTATGTAGACCTTGGACATCGTCTTCAGACATGTTTCGAGGATTTCTGCACATAATTGTGTGGAGACTAGTGAAACTTGACCACTGCCCACGCAATTCTCGTAAAGGTACGAGAGGAGAGCTTCATCGTGGTTCAGGAGTTGAGCAAGCATCGCTCTTGCCAGAGTCAGAAAGCTCTTTCTTTGAGCATCCTGATAGTTGCAATAGAAGTAGATAATCGTGATAGAATCTATTTTCACACACTCTTCAACAATGAGTGAGGCTAGAATCGTTTTCCTGGCGATAGTCAGCAGTCGACTCTCGGCAGCGAAAGGTCTGAATTGCCCACCAGCTCCAGGTATACCGTTCATCCACATAATAGGGACCATGGCATTGTTTGGATCCATCCAGCTTTTGATCTTCACATCGTGAAGGACCCATTTGCCAGTTGACGGATAATCATGCCGAATAGCTGCTGAGGCTTCCTGATCAAGGACTGAATCCACTGCAGCGAGCCAGTTGACGACATCGAGGCGTTTCTTCTTTTGTGCAGTCTCTTCAATAACTGTAAATTGATTACGCACATGCGCTCGCTCTGCTCGAGCTTCTTCGATCTGAATGATACTGGCTTGTCTTTCAATCAGAGTCTGGTGGGCTGCCTGAAGATCTCAGAGTCAGTACTACGGTAAACGACGAGGTAGAAGGAAGTGTCCCAGATATCGTGGGGCATTATATGGGAAACGCTTTTGAATGTACTAGGAACTTGCGGGATATTGATGGGAGATTGTTATAAAGGTTCTGAAACTCGAAGGACATTACAAAGAAGACCCGAGAGCATGCTTACAAGATCGTCCAGGATGTGTTGAAACCGAGTTTTGAAATCCTTCCATGCAGATCTGAATAGTTGCTTCCATGCTAGAGCAGCTGTTAGATCTTAACGAGCCAGACTTATCTGACAGGATCTTACTCGGCCGCTTGAATACTCTCAGAGCTGCTTGATGGAATTCTAGAATGTCCTCGTATATTACAACTAGAACGCCTGCCATTCGGGGATTGGATTTGAATAAGGAATGATACTGTTCTAACAAAGGGATATTCTCGGCAAGCTGTTGATATGCATCAAGAAGAGTATCGAAAGCATCAGCCCAGGCACTTGCAACCTTCTCAGCATGTGAGTCTCAGACCACCTTGTTTGAAGCGGTCTTACTTGGAGGCAAAATTTCATAGGTCCCCAGACAACGCAGAGCATCGATGAATCGTTGAGAAAGACCTCAATGACCTTCCCGTACTGGTCCATGGCTTCAAGGAATCGTCTGATCCGCGTGAGATTCATCAGCTCTTTGCGTCGCCCTTGTTCAGCCTTAATTCGGCCAGATTCAGCACATTGTTCCATGACTATTGGGACATTGGTCCCTTACTTGGATCCCTTCAACTGCCACCAAAACATCACTGAGCGATGAGAACCGGAAGTCCTCCAGCTCTTGCTTCGTTAGTCGCTTTGAGAAATTGGCCAGGGCCTGGTGGAAACTGTTGTCGATTGAAGAAGGCATCGCATGTGAGATGAGATGAGAAGACGCTACATGGTGTTTGGTCGTGGTGCTCTATTGTCTGATAAACTCCAAGCAGAGTTTGCTTCATCGAAAGTTCGCGGCCGACTGTTGTGCGGAGAGGGAAAGCATTTCTCCAGGTTGAAAATGGGCAGGTGAGTGAGATGATGCAGTGAGGCAGATTCAGAGGGCTGCCAAAGTTTCCAGGCGAGCCAGGTACGGGCTCCTTTAAGGACGATGCTGCAACTATAATTTTTTTTCGCAAAATCAAAATTACGATATTTTAAAAATGTGCTATTATTAATAGTCTAGCTAATTTCTATGGTAGAATACAATTAAAACAGTCGATCTATATGGTGTTTTATCGCATTCCATGGTAGGAATGCAATAGGGTAGGAAAAATCAATAAAATGCACGTGATATGCCCCCTGGCCTACTAGCCATCTGGCACACTTCGTTCATACTTTTGTTCCTATGTTATTATTTCTAATACTATTAATCTATTATTATTAAACTCTTTATAATAGGTCGTTTCAAGATTAATATTATGTGCTATCAAGCCCATATTCTTTGTTTAATTGAGCAGCAGCTATCACATGAGACTATTGTGGAGAGGTTAAAGCATGACTTTGACGTTAATATTTCCCTGAGAACGCTACGCAGTAGGCTTTCCGAATAGAAAACGCCCTCTAAACGTTCGATATTTGATCCTTCGCCGTAGGTAAAGGGTCTTATTGCCTGGTTCTTTTATAATATCCATACGACTAATGCCAATATACTTACTAACCTCCGGAGCTTAGGATATGATATTCCTAATCTACGACTATTATAACAAGCTCGCCGGGCTATGGGCCTTTAACGTCGAATGCTTAATTCGCAAGTTGAGCTAGAAAAGGAGCAACTTCGCCATATCCTCAAGTAATACACAGTGAATAAAGGCCCATAAGGCAATACTAGAAGTTATGGCTGCCGGCTTCTATATACTTATCTTAACTCCCTAGGGGATGGCCAGAAGTTTTCTAGGAATAGAATAGCTTCTATAATGCAGGAAATTGATCCAGAAAGTATATAACGTCGCTCGGAAGAGATAAAGGCAGCTAGGGGAGAATATAATATTTATGGGCCGAACTTTGTTTGGTCTATTAATGGCTATTGCAAGGTAAGTACAGTATATACTTAACTTCAAAAATCATTATCTTAATAACTACTAATCCGTTTACTTAGCTACGATTTTGTAGGATTGAGATATATGCTAGTATTAATGCCTACTTACGGTTCATACCTTGGATTTATATTGGAATCTCAAATAGTTATGCTATAAGTAGTAGTATTTCCTAATTCGGTATAAATATATCCCCTTGAAAATGCCAAAATTCACTTAGTCGTGATTCCGGCTATATAATTCTATAGTATTATAGAGAACTAGTTATTTGAAAAACCCTTAATTTAGGCAATAAATCCCCTGAATCTCCACACCACATTCTTCTTTAGGCTAATTAATATTATACTAATATATACTTACTTATACCACTTTCCAGGTTACTATCCTAGTGTAATACCTTGACTTAGTAGACGAAATGGAAGTTATTCCGCTCCATATTCGATCGGATAGAGGATGCGAAACACCCATAGTTACTAATGCCCATTATATCCTCCATAAAGCGACGTGCTAAACAAGGGGTATTAATCCATATTAGTTCTCAGATCTCTATTAGTTCGGGACTAATATAGCTAATTAACGAATTAAGGCATGGTAGGGGCAAGTTGCAAAGGTAATTTATCTATACTAATCCCATATAGACTTATTTAATTAGCTAATATTATATAGGGCATGCTAAATAAATGGAAGATATTTTTCAAGTAACTATGCTCTCAAAGACTTTACTCCCGCAAACTTCTCCCTGACTATATTACTATGCTTTTCGTCTATTTACCTATTATACGGGAGCAAACTAAGGAGTTCGTCCGGGTTTGAAATATCCATTTAATTAGAAAACAGCCTAATCGTCCACATATCGTCCCTAGTTAACTATTCCAGAACTACATGTTTTCAGAGCAGATAGGGGTCAGGGACTACGGGATTCCTATTAATATTAATAAACTAAACGAGCTACGTAAAGGATATGCTAGCTATAATAAAGACGCATATTTACCAGAGGTTATACTTGAGTGGTGTGAGCAAGAGCTTAAGAATGCCGGCTTTATACTCCCAATTACGGAGTCTACACGTGACTCGAATAGGGATCTGAACCACCTGAGTACGTATATATATCTAAGGGAGTCGATTAGCGACTACCTAATTAATACGAAGAATACTCGTCCAAAGCTAGGGCTTTTATTAACACCTAAGGGTATATATAATTGGAATCCATTACCAGAGGTAGCTATGGGACTAGAAGAGGCAAGGCTAAAGGATTATAATAATCAAGATAGTATTCAGTTCATTAATAAAGGGAGAGACGCTAGCTATAGAGATGAAGATCTCACCTATATTGGCTCTGACGACGAAGCGGAGGTTAAAGATAATGCGGAGGATACTAGATTTACTATAGATGGTATTACTTTTAATAGGGCAAATAGCAATTGGGTCATAAATAGTCAAGAGTATAGACAGTTTATGGATAATGGATACGCATCTGAGCCTGAAGCGGAGGAGGAGGATAATCTAGAAATTCCTCCTGTAAATATTAGTCGGTTTACCCGGCCTCAGAGAGGCTGAACAGGGACATATTAATATATATCCTAAAGAAAGAACTAGCTAAAAACATTAATTTTTGGTAAAGCAATTAATTACAGAAGCTAATAGTAGTCTGCTTAATTAGTTAAATTCACATAGTTACAGGTGGTTTAATATCAAAAGGTCACATAATTCACCTCGTCAGAAAATCGACCCTTGCCCCTTTATTTTCCACACCCCCTATAATTATTTTATTAACTTGTTATTTTAGTAGTAAGGAGTCCATAGTATAGATCAAATTCTCCGTTAATACTAGCTCTATTAAATTAATAGTTCTTGAGAACTTTTAAAGTAATTACAAGACATATTTAGTAAAAATGTCTCTTTTTATATGGAATTTAGTTTCCCCCCCTTAATTTCTATAGCCCCTTACTTAATATTCTATAGCCCCTAGTATAGGAAACCATAGTTTATATAGGAATAATACTAGGGATAAATAAAATATGTCCGAATTTAACTTGTACTAAGGGGCATCCCTTATAGTCCTTCCATTTACCCCTTTTTATATATTAGTAATACGCCACTATTAATAACCTCCAAAATAAGTCTCTAATATATAAATTCCCTAGGGAAAAAGTTATAGGGGCATGGGCTAAAGGATTAAAATAATATTAATATATTATAGTTCTATCCTACTACTTGACTTCATACCACCATTCACTAAACTATAGATTTATCAGCTATACCCTCCTTCTAATATTTAATTATAAATCAGATCCTTATTATATTATCCCCAAACGTTTTCAATAGATAATCTCAATCTATGGAACTCTTGTTTTATACGGGAGGCACCACACCCCCCCTCTATAGTAAAGTGTCCACTATGTGGTGCGATCAACCCAGCTACTCCTCCTCCTGCTCCTATTACTCCTACTTCAGCTACACTGACTATTGCATTAGATAGTACACCATTTTCTAGTCAAACTCAACTTCAGAATACTGCCGCCCAGCTATCAAGAGACCAAGGGGTCAATATCTCAGCTAATTCCTATCCTTTTTACCACCCCCCGGGCATGGATCTCTCAGAGGAGGTCTTTGAATCAGAAGCACGTGAGAGGAGACAGCAGGCTAAGCTCGAGTATTTAGAGCGATTACGTGGTAATTTCCATTAGGAAGCTCAGGGCGAAAGTGCGTATCCATCTATTTAACTCCTATATTAATACTAATTTTATTAGGTTCAGCCCTTAAAAGGGGTAAAGCCCTTGGTTCCCTTACTCTCGGCCAGGGGGCACGTGTAAGGGCTTTTAGTAAGAGTAAATCGCCGATCCCTCCTGCTCCTATTATCGAAAAACGATATAAGGTCCTTATTTCTATTATACTACGTATATATGAAATAGAAGAACTAGAGAGTAGCTTTACTGGGAGAAGTATACCTATTTCAACCACAAAGAAGTTCCTTAGCTTAGAAGAGTATCGGGAGGCTCAAAATATTCAAATTAAGCTATAGATAGTAGAACAGTTTAATACGTACATAAAGCTTATTTATAGAAATACACACCTCTTTACTAATATAGTACTTTATTATAGTCAAGAACTATCATATAAGGAGTTCGCTATATATTTAGCCAAGGCTTTTTTATTATTAATTCCGTCACTTGAAGACTGGGAGCTTAATCAATGGATCACGATCTTGGAACGCGCAAATGGGGTGTCTTTTGCTACTAAAGTAAGCTATTATTTATTAGTATCCTAATATAATTAGTACTAATATAATCAGGTATGGCCAAAGGACAAAAACAAGAGGATCGACCATATAACTAATCTAATATATAGAGCTAAAAATACTATTAACGGCTTATTATCCCACTTTAGCCAATCAAATAAGAAAACGCCAAAGCATATTTATCTTGTATTTGATCAAGATATTAATAAAATTCAGGCAAGAGACGACGAGATTCAGGATAAGCGTGAAAGAAGGGATAGAGAGATGCCTTACCTCCTAGATTTTAGCCCCCTATTAGGAGACTCTCCCGATACCACCCCTAACGTAGTATCTACATCTATAGTTATATCTACGGCATCTTCTTTACCTGCTTCGACTCCTAATCAACAGATCGAAGCTATATGGGAGAAGGTTACTCCTTCAAAGAATTGGTCAGGTGACGACCTGAATTCTGACGATTTTAATTCAGACGACGATATGCCTACGCTAGAAGCTAGAATTACGGTTTCTCCTGCTCCTGCTCCTACTCCTGATCCTACTCCTGCTCCTGCTCCTGCTCCTGCTTCTATACCTAGTAAGTTAATAGATTTAAATATACTAGTAGATCTGACGTTTTTACTAGCGTTCGCTCCCGCTCCCGCTCCACCCACTCAACGTCCTCTAAAGTCTATATTAAAGAGGAAGCGGGAGGTAATTATATCAAGCGATGACGACGATAATTCAGATCTTGACGATGGAGAGAAGGAATTACCAGGGGATGGTGATTATAGGCCGGGGAATAGGCGTAGGGATAATCGGGGGCAGTTCAAAAAAGCGAGAACAGAGTAATACTACTGGATACATTTGACTATGATGCATGGGAGTTGCGTCTTTGGCCATAATTAGGTGTGTTTTCCATATAAAATGTGGCCATTAAATAAATCGCGATTCATCGTAATTTTGATTTTGCGAAAAAAATTATAGTTGCAGCATCGTCGCTAAATCAGCCCGTACCAGGGTTAAGTTTAGAGGGGTTCACCAGCCAAACGCCCACACCCCTCAACCGCTCAACCCTGAATTTGGCCACGACAGCACTACAATTTCGAAAAACTAACGCTGGAATCGGACTTTTTGGAGCATTTCCCATGTTCTGAGAAGTTTTGAGAATTTTCTAAGCACTTTGAAAAATCCTTAAATTTTTGCTCTTTCGACAGGGGTATAAGTTGGCGGTTGAGTGGTTTACTGTGTGTATGCGTTTGGCTGGTGAACCCTTGTAGCGCGCTGGGCCCCTCAAAATCTGCCTGGAGTCCCACCTTTTCTGCAGGCTTCCTTGTGCAGCATGAAGCTGGCTAAGCCTCAATTCGGGAAGCGCGATCAGTTGATCTTCTTTTTCCCAGCCTTGTTGCAATTGAGGTCTTTAATCATGATCAGTCCAGCTATGCATCATTCTCTTTCTACAGTTCACACCGATGACATCCCTCAAACGGACGAGTGGCCTTGAGACCTTTACAGAAAGTCCCCTGAAGAAATCGAGAGAGTCTCTCAATACAGTGGAGCCGATCATAGATTTGGAAGGCCCGTAAGTAGCAATGGAGGTCATAAGTGAAGCGGAATGTCGGGTCTGATTCTCCACCAGTGACGACTTCGAAAAAGCTGCCAAGAGATGGCGAAGGTCGGACGGGCTTTGGTCGAGGTCTCCAAATAGCCCAGGTCAGAGCGACCAAGAAGATGATTCAGGTACGCAAGACCTGTCGAATCGATTGGCGCCGCTTTCGTTTCCTACTACGTCTGTTTGCTTTGGAATGGTAATAATTTCCATATGCCGGTCCAAGTTGCTCTCTCCACGATCACATGCTGAGACTTGCACCAGATCCACAATGCCAATACAAAAATTATGGACACTGATGGCCCACCAATCAGCCATCTTGATGGCGTCCCATCCTTCTCAATCTTCGATGAGCTCAACATGTCGTTCAAAGGTCAAGCAGTCTTCGTTGGGTTCTCCTCCGAACAAGATACTGCGGTTATGAACGAGGAGACCAGCCGAGTCCTTCGAGATCTCTCCAGCTTTGATTCATGCCGCTTTCAAGTGTTCCTACGAGGAGGTTCGCGGAACTTGTCGCGTAAAACCCTCAAGGATGCAGACAAAGACAGATTTATGCCTGTAGACATCGTCATATACGGGTCTCCTGAGATTCGAAAGAGTGTTGGTTGTCTGCTTTCATCTGCTCGAATTTATTTACAACACCCGTGCCATCAAGACCCCAAGACCGAGTACGACAATCCCCATTTTCTGAATTTGACTGACTTCTCCACCACATCCACTCTTTCCCGTCCAATCTCTGAAGCCCACACCCCCCTGGAAATTTCTGAGACTCCAATCGTCTCTTCTGGCGAGTCCAGCGGAGATATGAGAATGGCAGAGACTCTTCAGGCCCAGCTTGCCAAAGTCTTCGGCTCATTGACCAGATATAAGACATTGAAACGCTTGGCGGCTGATATCAAGATAACCACACCTTTATTGCCGTAAGTCGTCTGAGCCCCTCACGATTAGATATAGTTAAATTTTTTGAAGGCACCAAGAAGAAGCTCTGGATTTCATGGCTCAACGAGAGCTGGGGCCAATTCTGACAGATTTCTCTCTTTGGTCAAAGCACGAAAGAGGAAGCGATACTTGGTACGTAACGACCTCATTTATGCCTTGACTTAGGTCTATCTAATGCGATTTCTGTTTTTTTCTCAATAGTTATGAGCATGTCATAACGGGAGTAAGGACTGCTGAGCCTCCAATTGAGACGTTGGGCGGGATATTGGCAGATGATATGGGACTTGGCAAAACATTGACCGTCCTCTCTACAATCCTACGCACTGCTAAGATGAGCAAGTCTTACGCGGAAGAAAACAATGAAACTATAGCAGCGTCAAAATACGACCGGAGTGATACACATAAGATCTTCTCAAGGGCGACTCTCGTCATCGTACCTTCATCGCGTACGTAGGATCTACCCAAGTGAACCCTCAGAGACGAAGCCAACTGACACGAACAGTCCTGATCAATGGGTGGATAGAAGAGATATACGCGTATGTTTTGGCTTCTTTAGCTGGCCTCTAGCTAATCAGCCACCAACAGACACTGCAACGGGTCCTTGAATATTCACGTATACCATGGGCGGAGTCGGGAAATCGATCCTAAATCTCTTGCCGACTGGGATCTGGTTCTTACCACGTATCATACTGTTGCTACTGTAGCAATTCAGTCACCGGCAGCACTGAACGAGATCACGTGGTTTCGAATTGTGCTTGATGAAGGTCAGATTGAGCTTTGTTTACATCGCTAGTCATCCACAAGTTCGTTGTTGAGACTAATAATAGCAGCACATATAATTCGCCGCATGACTACCAAGCTCTGCCAAGCAGTGTCCAGGTTATCTTCGAAGTTCCGCTGGTGCCTCACCGGGACCCCTATCCAGAATAGCCTCGAGGATCTAGCATCGCTTGTTGCCTTTATTCAAATTTCGCCTCTGCACACACTTGCTGAATTCAGGAAGCACATTACCACACCCTTATTGAAAGGGAGGGACCAAGGCTCGAATAGTCTTCGCATTCTTTTGGACTCCATTTGTTTACGAAGGACGAAAAAGCTGTTAAATCTCCCCGACAGTTTTGATGAAGATCGACGGATAGATTTCACTTCACTTGAAATGAAATTCTACAAAGAAACCCAGGCCGAAATGATTGCTACAGTCAAGCAGCATGATAGCCGAGCACGAAACTCCAAGGACTACTTCGGCATGTTTCAGCTCCAATTGCAACTACGCCGTCTCTGCAATCACGGTACTTTTCAGAAAGCCCTCTCCAAATCCCCAGCCGAAGATTTTCAGTTTGATCCTGAGCAAGCGTTTGAGTTTCTTCAAGAGAAAGGTTTGGCAAAATGCACCCACTGCAATGTTGTGGTTGGAGGAATCAAAAGAATCGAAGACAAATGCAGCGGCAGCTTTACCGTATGTGGACATCTATTCTGTTCGGAATGTGTTCCTAAATACAAGGCTGCCCTTCGAAGTATTGCTAGCTCTAGTCGCCAATGCTCGCTTTGCTTGCGGAAAGTCCCCGAGAACTGCATTGCAGAGTGTGATCTTGATACGGAGGGCATTCGAACCATTCTTTCCCCGACATTGTTCCCCTTTGATGGGAGTAGCATTTCTTCAAAGGTTACAACACTCATCAACGATCTCAAGGCCAATGACACTGAAGGCAAGAGGTAAGGAGTCTCATTCGTTCCAGGAGATTAGGCACTTACTCCAACCAAGCATTATCTTTTCATGTTGGACGCGGTCTCTGGACCTCGTTTCACAACATCTTGGGCTGCAGCAGATCAAGTATGCTCGAATCGATGGCACTTATTCGTTGTCTCAAAGGCAAAAGATTCTTGGAGATTATCACACAGATGCTGCTACACGGATATTGTTAATGACTACTGGAACCGGAGCGGTTGGGTACGACCTTCCTCCCCCTGAGTTGCCCTTCACTGATCTGACCTCTCTCGACAGACTCAACCTCACAATAGCGAATTGCGTGTATATCTTAGAGCCACAGTGGAACCCAATGGTCGAGAATCAAGCCATTGGTCGGGTTTTGAGACTTGGTCAGAGCAGAAACGTCAAGGTTGTACGCTATATAGTGAAGGGAACTGTGGAAGAGGTAAGCTTCAGATCTGTTTCCTAAAGTTTTTGCTGACTTCCTGAAACTAGGGAATGCGATCTCAGCAAGCAAGAAAACTAGGCTTTGCAAAACTTGGATGGAAGGAGAGCCAATGAGCAGTTACATCGGTGTCTAAAAGGGATTGATATGCGTAAATATTGGGAAGAATTAAGTACTTATCTTGAACAGGTTACAAGTGAGCAAGGCTCTAGCTTCGCAGCCCTGTCTAGGCGAATGTATTTTCCTCGCGAGTTTCTTGATTCGAGAAAAGGGCGAGACAAGCGAGGTCACATGATAAGTAAATGATCGCTGCTGAGGACTATGTCGCGTGAAACCTAGTCAGTCAATTTGAAATGAAGCTTTCAAGAAAATTGTTAGTGATGTTGACTTCTAAGATTAATCGCTACAACCACAAGCTAAGAGGACCAGCCATCACGTGATAACAGGTGGGCAGCCGCTCGAATTTTGAGGGTAAGTTAGGATAAAATTGAAACGCTAAAAGTTGTAGCATGATTGTCAAGGTGGCCAGCAGTTACCTGGAGACATCTGCAATTATGAGGAAATGAGGGGAGCTCAGGGACATGTCGCGAGCATATCACGTGAGAGCAATGCCCAAGGGTTACTCAAGCAATAAAGAGTTAATAATGTATTTTCTTTATACCTGCGAGTAAGAGAGTACTACTAGCTGAAAAATAGAGAGCCAACTATTTGAAGCCTTCAACGGAAGTTTGATGTTGACCTTAACACGTGATTTAACGGCAGCAAGAGGGCTCCCTGGTGTGAAATATTGAAGTTACGAAGGGGCCTATGAACTTGAAGAGCCCCACGCTACATGAATGACGCTAGTCTTGCGGTAAAACAACTCATTGGACTCTCTGTTCGGACGCCTCATTTTCAGCCTCAGGCAACAAGAAATCGAAAAGCGGTGCTGAAAAAACCGGCCTCCCATCTGAGGAGTTGTCGCTTGGACGTCCAGTGAACTTTGAGGATGTCAAAAGCACTTCTACTAGCTCATTCTAAATTTAGCGACGATTCCCAGCACGTCACTGCTCCACGTGATAAAATTCTCACCTGACACAGAGAAGCGGGCCATAGGATAGGCCAGTGAGACAATACAATCAATGGAAATGGTCCAGTCTCGAAAGGCAACGGGAGACGAAAGCTCAGCCGGTACTGTTTGCAGGCTCTCGCTATCCCGTCCTCTCTATTTCGTTAGCATGGACTGCACTGCCTCGCTGCTTTTACCTCCAAATACAACTGCCTGTCAACTGCACAATTTCTGGTCAAGGCCTCATTCATTGGCACATCTGAATTTCGAAGCCGTCGAAGCCGCCGGACGCTCTGCTGGCCGCAAAATGACCAGCATCTCCAACCCGGCTAGAACCGCAACAACATCACCACTTCTTGCTCCTGCGCCCCCAGATAGCTTTTACTCGTTGTAACAAGCTTTCATACTCCAACGTCTTCCTCGCACACGAGGCGGCATCTGCCCACGTCTTTGCTTCATTCCTAATGTTGGATACAAGACTCGGTGACTTCAATATATCACCTAATTTCGTACCAAATATGTCCAGCTCTTTGATTCTAGAACAGAATTGTGTCAAAGTTTTCTAACCAGTATTCTACATATAAAGATAAGCCCTCGTTATGCTATGCTTCAAGCGCCCGAGTAGATAGTATGCAAGAGAACGTGTTTGGGGCAGGTGAACTCCCGGAGGAGGAGCGGTTGCCAACGAGTGTGCGCGACCAGAGAGCTTCTGGAATTGAGGGATACGGAGTTTCAATCACTTTGTCGTTTGATGTTGATCCAATTGGTTGGGGGCCCACAGATGGGAAACCGCTATTGTATGGGAATATTTCATCAACCTCGTATGCATGAAATGCACTCATGTTCTGGACACGGTCAAATAAAGCCCCACACAGGGATAAAATATGTCTTTTTCTTCCAGAAATTGTGACTTCCGTCTCGAAAGTGGGAGTAAAGGAGAGGAATGTCCCAACGTGGTACCTCATGGTCTCCCAGGATTCACCAGAGTCGCAGATCCAGTATGGAGCCCAGGATGCAAAGTCAGTGTGCACACACGCGCTTAAAATGGTGTCCCTCTCTACATATCTCTTCGTTAGGGTTTGCAAATCGCCTGGTTGTCGCAGGATTTCCCCGACAGGATTGCTCGTAATGCGGGGGACGTTGAGAGAGTGCCATTCCGTGATTAAGGAGCGAGCAAACCTGACGAAGACTTCCTCTGGGGAGCAGTCGTAGTCGACGAGAAGTCCAAGATTTGAGAATCCAGAGAGTCCAAGGAGCCCATAGATCTTGTCTCATGGATTGGTTGCGGCAGCTGACCGGCCGAGTAGGAGGGCCTTCTAGAGCATCTGGTCCTGATCATGAGTTTGACCCTGACCATCGCGTATCTTTTCGATTTTGGGATCAGTTTTGAGGGTATTATGATTCTTTATGGCACTTTCTGGTCGGCGCGAGAGGATAAACTGAGACTGATCCTCTTTTAAGTTTGCCAACTCAACGAATTTTTGCCATTCTGGACGATACCAGGCTTATTCCTCACCGATTCTCTCGTAATATCAGCTTTTAGCCATTCTATATATCGGTACTCTCCCTTCGCCAGGCTTTTTCTCTCGAAGGATAATGCCCAACCAGTGGCCATCCAGGCACCCATCCTAATGAAGTCAAAGTCAGCATACTTTGATCAGAGAAGTGAATACTCTACAGACCTGGCGGACCGAGAGAGGTGTAAACCAGGAAAAGACGCTGCAGGTGAGAAGGATACATAATCGTTCTGTTAGATCAAAGTTGTTGCAGCCACGATGTCTGACTATTTTTAATGCGAGTTCCAACATAGAACTGGCATATCGTATCTCCCGAGAGCAATTTCTTGGAGAATCCACAGCCGATACCAGTAATCTCGCGTTAATAAGCAACACAGATAGACATGTACCTTTCTCTTGAAAGAAGTATACCTTATTCTGGTGCAAATGCGCCAACCAGGTTGGCATATAATGTCTGGATGCGTTGAGGATGGCCCAAGGCGGTGACGTCGACTAAGATCCCTCAACGTCAACGTCGATATCGCCAAGTTGCTTCCATCAGCTTCAACGCTAAGCTAAACTACAACATGCTGGGTAGAGGCATATATGTCTTTAATTTTTCGAACCTGAGCTTCCAGCTCTTGCACGTTTTCTTGGTGATGCACATAATATCAATCTAAAGCTTGAAACCCTGCTTTACTTTCGGACAGTCTTGCAATTGCCGCATGACTGCTGCAAGATTACTCCTGATTGGAAATTTTCCTTCGCTGATCAAAACAATGACATCCGTCCAGGGATTCCGAGGGCCCCAGAGATATGACAAGGTAACGCAATCGCCCCATGTGTACCTCCAAGGGGGCAAAGTGTTGTCCAAAGCCACTAGCCTAGCTTGCACTTGAGTTTGCGGAGAAGATGAAAATGGCCAGCGGTATTTTGTCAGCTACCTAGGAATGGAACGCTCAAGGTACCTTAGTTGCCAATCACATGACTTTCCTTGCTCTACCAGGCGCCTTATATAGAGCTATGAGGTGTTCATTATTTCTGTCTGGTAACATTTTTGTAACGAATTTCAAGCTACAATGTATCTCAGATGCCAAGAATCCTTATCCTAGGACATAGCAATTTTTCAGGGGCTCTTCCGTCCACGTGCACGAGTTCACTGTGGTTTCAGGCTGACGGCACGTGAAATGCATGCTAGCCTTAGTGCATCTTGAAAGCGATGCGGCTGATTGGTCACCTTTCTTCTGTATCTCCAAGCATCACATCAACATCAATGATTAGGTTCAAACCACCAACATGAAGGGGCACGATGACGGAGAAGCAGGAGAGCCATAGCAATTACAAGGGCTTTGTGGCGGGCGTGTTTTCTGGCATTGCGAAGCTCTCTGGTATGTCAAAACCCCACTCCTCCAGGACCGTCCTCGAGATTTCGGCTGGAGAGCTTCTGGGACGATATATCGAGTTAGATTAGAGGATAGGAGACATACGAAAAGATACAGACCAAGCTAACTCACGGTATAGTGGGGCACCCTTTCGATACAATCAAAACAAGGTTACAAACCTCCGACTCAGCCCGCTTCTCTGGCCCCCTCCAATGTCTCCTCCAAACTATACGGAAAGAAGGCGTGCCCGGATTATACAAAGGTGCTACCCCACCGCTTGTAGGATGGATGTTCATGGACAGCATCATGCTCGGGTCACTCACCTTCTATCGACGAATCCTGCATGAAACCCTCTTCAATCCGCACCGCATGGCCGCCTCCCCCTCCTCCTTCGCGGAACGAGACCTCCGTCTCCCTGACTCCAAGATCCACAAGCTGCCCACAATCGGCCACGCCATGGCAGGTGTGATGGCAGGCGCAACAGTCTCGTTCATCGCAGCACCAGTCGAGCACATCAAAGCACGACTGCAGATTCAATACTCGTCCAAGAAGTCCGAGAGACTGTATAAAGGGCCCATTGACTGCCTGTCGAAGATCTACAAATACCACGGTATTCCTGGGGTATATCATGGTCTGTCCGCTACGTTGTTGTTTAGAAGCTTCTTCTTCTTCTGGTGGGGGAGCTACGATGTGTTCACGAGGCTGTTGACTGAGAAGACGGACTTGAGCACGCCGGCTGTAAATTTTTGGGCGGGTGGGCTAAGTGCCCAAGTGTTTTGGATTACGAGCTATCCAAGTGATGTGATAAAGCAGCGAATTATGACGGATCCACTGGCTGGAGGACTCAATGATGGGGCGAGGAGGTTCCCGGATTGGAAGACCGCTGCAAGGACCGTATATGCGGAAAATGGGTGGAGAGGATATTGGAGGGGTTTCTTGCCGTGTTTTTTGAGAGCATTTCCAGCGAATGCGGTAGCATTGTTTGCATTCGAAGGCGTTATGAGGGCTTTACCATAGATGATAGAGAGGGATTTTTGTGTGGCGTTCGGGTTTACAATCTCCTTCAATGTAAATGTCAAATGTACACAGTGTAGCATTATATATAGACTAAGAATAGACCAATCTCACTTCGCTTTGAAACACTCACCTTGGGATCACTTCACATGTAAAGAACCAGTGTTGGGGGACTGTAAAGAGCTTGAAGTGTAGTCACAGAGTAGTTCTTTCTGATACAGGCCATTGTGACAGGAATAGAAGCAGCTTGGCATTGGCAAGCTATCTATGCTCGATATCCTCATTCACTATCCATCGCGACGTCCATCTCAATCGACCCTCTACTCATCCTCCTCCTCATCGGCATCATTGACAACGTTGAAGAATCGAAGCTCGTAAACACCCTTGGAGGTCGAGACAACACGGAGCCAATCTCTCAACTGCTGCTTCTTGAGGAACTTCTTTGTCCTATTCCAGCGGTGTCAGTGATTATCCTTCTTCCCCCTCCCAGAAGCGGAGTAGACGCAGTTGTACTCACAAGTACTTGAGGTATCGTCCAGAGAACTGGGTGTGCGCAGTGACCTCGATCTTCCCATCACCGAGATTCTTGATCAACACAACATCGCCGAGGTTTCCGACACGATTGTCAACCTTGATTTTGTCTTGAAGGAACTTCTCGAAGGCGGAGACGTCGAAGATCTTGTCGCTTGCAGGTTGCGAAGCGTTGATGATGAACTTTTCTTCTCGTCAGCACAAGCTGTTCTACGCACGGCCTCGACTCAAATCCTATGATGAAGATCAGTCCGAGGAGGATAGGAGAGTGTTCACCTTGTTAGTGACCTTGGCCTGCTTGCCCTTGGCGGATTTCTACAAATCGATGATCTTAGCCTACTGTATCACGCCGCAACCTCTCAAGAGGCGGGCCAACAGCAAAGCAATTTCATGTACATACTGTTGATGGTGCCATTCTGTATTCGGGATGTGGTCGCAAAGAGGTAGAATCCTGCGCCGTTTGTCGATTGAGATGGATTGATGAGGAAATCATTGATTTTCGAACCAGAAAAGCTCGCGGAGTAAATTTTGTGCGGTGCCAAGACTTCGAGCTCGCTTAAGATCTTACCTAGGCCTCTCTTTTTGGGTTCACGTGCCTCCCCAGGTGGAGGAGTAAATCAAGGAAAGAGGAGAAGTAAATCAATATTAGGAGGCTAAAGATACTCAAAGTAATCTACCAATTTCCCTTCCCTCAAGCACTCTAAGCCTCTGTTCCAATTGTGAGCGTTTGCTGGGCTTTTTTCAATATCACGTGACTATAAGTGAGCGGAGAACTCTCTTTGCATTTCCTGTTACTGTTTGGCATAGTTCGGGTGGAGGGAAACAATGTTTACCTTCTGTTCGTCTAGAGTGTTCAAGTAAGAGGTACGGTATACAAAATCAGCCACACACACCGGACCGCAGCATGATCATACCTTGAGGATCACAGCATGAGGTGGGTGAACTTGGTATCACGAAACTCAATTTGGAATTGATTGTCTGGGGTGTCGAGAATCTCTTGACTTAATTAATTATCATGTACACGACCGTCTAACCCCAAAATAGACCGCAGTCCGTAGACCTGCCGGCCAGAAACGAGAAGTCCGATGAGAAAGACATGCAAGAAAACCCAATCCTCCCGTTATGAATCATGACCGCAGAAAATCCCATGTGTCCAACATTCAAGCCCCCTGCCAACATGCAGCCAACCAGGATATTAGTCGAGTGCTGAGGAGATACCCAAAAAGCCGAACATGCCGTGCCAAGAAATTCTGTGGAAGATGACGCTACGCTAAACGCCGTTATGTCAATGGAAGCGTAGAAAATTGGCGAAGATTATGTGAGTCGGGCATCGCCAGAGGATGAGATTTCGGATTCGAGAGTAAATGTCGTCGTGGTCGACTTAATACTTTAAGATGATATATCTGCAGCTTGTTAGCGATCGCTCCAGGGCTCATGACGTCAAAGAAACGTCGGATGTGGGTATCAAGGTTTTATTGTTGCCTGACGATAACAAAAAGATTGGAAATACATACAAAGCGTGAATAATTCCGGGAATATAACCAAGAATTGTCAAGAGGATGTTGATCAATAAGTCGGCACCGCAGCCACGCTGGGAGTTTGTTAGTCAAATTCAATGGGCGATGGGTTTCTTGCTTACCTCAAGGAAGACGCCAAGAGGGGGAAGGATGACGGCAAGAATGATCTTGCAAATGTCGCTGAACGTAAGTTAGCTTCTGGGGTGGAAAGACACTCTTCAAAAGTGGTGCGATGGGCCTCGATTCGGAAGTCTGTCTTACCTTGCAGTGAAAGGCATTGTGGATGAGTTATAGATGGACGAAAACTAATTTTTGGACAAGTACAAGAATCTTAAAGATTGTCTTCGGGATTGGGATAAAATTGATATGAATATCTGATGAATGAGAAAGGAAGAGCCGTGGACATCGTTGCTTTATTTAAAGCTTGCCTACCTGAACGCAGCCCACGTCATTGACCTTGGCAAGCGGCAATCAGCCCATGCGCTTGCGTTGCCAGGATTTCCAATGGAGATGCTTCTTCTCTGCGTCACTACCCGCTGGGGGCATCTAAATCGCATCAAATGCCCTTTGATTCGAGTAAGATCCCGGGTTTTCCATAGAAGTTGCTTGGTAGGGTCTCACCAAGTGGGGAGACGTGTGGTGTGGCGGTGGCCGCAAGATCGAAGTGTGGCTGATGCTCGAGACTTGTAGGTCAAGACATCACCAGAAACAGGACAGGAACGAATCCACCCTTGGAAATTGAAGGGGAATATCAGAGGCGACTTCGAGTAGGAGCAGCAAGATTTTGGCAGTTCGGGGTTTGATCCTAGAGACAAAGGGGTTCTATTTTCGTCGCCGGACTTTCCGAGGCGAGTAGAAGGTTTCACTGGCCAACCGCCCAAACTACTCAACCGCCCAAAATCGCTACCTTCAAAAAATCATAATTCAACACCCACATAATATTTTACTACCAAATCAATTGTTTTCTGAAGCTTTTTTAGCCCCTCAACATGCCTGTAAAGAAAAATCACTATGCCGAATTTCCGGACGATCCCAATGAGCTCTCTGAGAGCGTGCGATTACAGATAGCCCATGACGATTATCTCGATCACAATACCAGCAAGAAGACTAAATCCATTCGAAAATGCGCGAGAGAGCATGGAATTGCATACGAAACCCTTCGAGATCGAATTAATGGAGCGAAACCAAAGGAACAAGATACAGCGGCAAGACAGCGTTTGTCAGGGAGGCAAGAGGCGGTCATTCAGTATCATATTCAAAAATTGGAAGTATGGGGCTGGCCCCTAATAGTTCATAGGGTTCACTATATAATAGCGAATTCGGTTAATATTTGAGCTTTTATAATCGAAAAATCGAATAGTATCTAAAGCACAATTGAATATTTAAGTAATGTGAGCGATTATTTGTTCCAAAAATTAGGTACTTAAATTTAGGCTTATTACCCCACTAAACGCAAGTCACTAATTCTTATCCCAAAGAAAATTCAATAAGAAATATTATTATAATAATGCAAAAAACCTTCTAATATACTCTCTTATATTAAGCCATATATTACCAAAGAATTTAGGACGTTATATAAGATATTTAATTAATTATATAGAAATTAGTGAGGGGTAGAGATGGCAGGGTAAAAATCAGTGGGAAAATGCCAAAAATGCTACTAAATAAATAATTTTAGTAATACTATATAGTTTTAAAGTAATATATAGCCATTAGGGGGTTGAGAATACTATAAAGTATTACTATTTAATAGGAATTAAAATTTTATTAAGGCGTTAATTAAATATTAAGATTTTAATTTTGGGCGGTTGAGTAGTTTGGGCGGTTGGCCAGTGAACCCTTCTAATCGGAAGACCTGGGGTCCTCCCCTAATGATTTTCGAATGAGATCAGCTGAGAACTCCCAAGGGCTCTGTTGTACTTGGCGGTTCACAAAGTTAATCGCAAAAGGAGAACTGGAACGAACTCAAACCAGAGTAGGCAGTATTACGGAGTACGGAGGACATGGCTCGTCGTCAACTCCTTTGTCCAAGTCTTCGAGACAAGACCCTCGCTTGGCTAACCATTTTCCTTCTAGTGGTGGCTAGATCAAAGAGAGCGAGCCGGTGTACTTTAGCATTCGTCCCCTTCCGATAACTGGTTACAGTCCCTTTCAACTTTGCTCTCTTCCAGGAAAAGTTCCAGAGGAAGCCTTCACCACGTGCACAGGCCAAGGGGAAAAAGTAAAACGACCCCCCCTCCTCCCCCCCGGTGTCGATTTGGGGTGTCGATGGGGGCCACATTAACCGAAATCAGCAAGCGTTAGCAGGTGCGCGTATTGCATTCTCTGCTCTAATGGCTTGTTATTGTCATTATCATTTCCAGAGAAATTTAGTTATATTGCAATTAGTCAAAATAAATAAATAAAATTAGGGTCTTATAGGCTTATAATAATGCATATTTCCTAACAATCTCTAGTAGAACGGGAAAATATAAAACGATACCTCCCCAGATATAAATTAGGGGATATTAATTGGGGGGTGTTAATTGAGGGGTATTAATTAGGGGTGTTGACCTTAGGAGAGCCTGAAAATTTAGCGATTAAGCACCTGGAACTTATTTGCCTCGTACGCAATAATCGCCTCGCTCATCCCATATCCAAAAACTAGAGCTCTTATATATAAACTTATACGAGTAATTATTTAGACATTATTAAAACTCTAAAATCTATTAATACTCCTATTTCATACCCGCGATAGGGGAAGAGAGGTCTTGGGGGGTTTCTTAGTAATAAACTCGGGAAATGCCAAGCGCTAAGCCAAAAAAAACAAAAAAAAAAAGCTTCTGCCATCAACACCCCTAATAGACACCGGGAGGGAGGAAGGGGGGTCGTTTACCTTTTTCCCGTATCTTTCGGTAAAATTTAACCACGTAAGACTTCCGGGCGTGTCGTTAGCAGAATTACAGCCTTGACTGAGTAGCTTTCGATGGTACCACAGAAGCATGAACTTTGAAGGTGGATTCTCGAGGATCAAAATCTGCACACCAACCAAATCAACGAAGGTCCCAGTCTCTCCACAACAAAGAACCTTAACTGATTGTACGATAGTGACTCGAATAGTGACTGATCTAGAAATTGGCAAGGTATAGAGGCGCTGCAGCTTCGCCAGGACGAGTGAGGATGGGTGGGGCCTGATTTCTAGATTCAGTCGCCGAGCTTTCGACCACAATTTACGGACGTTGGTGAGTTCGATGAGGCGGCGCACTATCTACTTCAAGTCAGCATTGAAGTAACCTGGACGGGACCGTTAGGGGAAGAGCTCTCAAGACTTCGAAATCCCTGCCAAGGTAGCGGCTCGTTGCTAGCGAAGTCTTAACCAAAAATACTGGAGGCTTCTTAATGAAGAGGTCGCGAGTAATGTCAATGTCTTGGCAAGGGGGAAATGGGTTGTAAACAAACAGAAGGCCGCCGAATCATTAGACGAGCGTCGCAGAAAGAAGGAGCAACAAGAGAAGACAATAAGGGACAAGGAGCTCATTCGAAGGTTCGATTCTGCTCAGACCGATGCACAAGTTTTACTCGTGTTCGACTCTATCATGACCAGGATGAGCTGGGACGACACCAAAGAGCCTACAACACTCAATGACCTCTTTAACACTGTTCTCATGATGGTGGATGATGACGATGATGATGCAATGCGATATTCGACAGATGAAGTTGCAGTGGTCGCTACAATCGAGAAAGAAATTGGGGAGGCTCGGAGCGACTACTGGATGGATCTCGACATGCTCGCCAACGACGAAGGATAAAACCACTCGAGAAGAATGACGCTCAAGGAGCGTATGTCGATGCTATTATCGATATCCAAACTTACATCAAATTTCCGGATTTACGAGCAGACGTTGTGGAGGTTGTCATTAAGGAAGAGCTCATTGTAAGTCCTGATCCTGTGTTTCGAAATCCATAACTAATTTTCAATAGGTCAAGGAGGAAGATACGAATGAAGTACAAGGATCGAATACTGCAGTACTGGCCATTTCACCAGCCACAGTTCCAGGCAGTTCCGCCCCCTCAGCTCTGCTGCCTGAGATGTTATCCTTTAAAGTGCAGGCTAGAAGAGGGTGAAATCGACTTTACAGGGCCGACAGGATTTACTGAGCTGCTTGCAGTTGCACATGAACTTGCTAAACTAAACGGGGATGGATCACGGGGAAACATCCCTGGACAGAATGCAGTTGCTCCCGTTGTCACTCCATCGACTGCATCACTATCATAATACGTTTTGGTCATGGAGAAGTCTATTGTTATCATGTATACGCAAGTCTTCAAGTTTATTCTTGAACTATAAACGAATGCAATTGCATCAAGACATTTTGCAGGAAGTTCAAGTGTTGTCTGTCTATCTTTGGGGGCGGCTGAAAAAAGGCAGCCTCACTTGTGGAGCCTACCGAGTGGTGGGTTGTATAGATTAAAATATGTTATTTTGTTGTAAATTAGAGACCTCTGACCGCGATTGAGCTGAGACTGCTAATGAAGCCCGACAGCTTGGGATTAGCATAGTCTCAATAGCCCTCGCGGTCGTAAAAAACGAGGTATGCTCTGCCACAGATAACTGAGCGAAAGCCAAGTTTCTGGGTCCCCCGGGACGTCTTTTGCTTCTTAAATCTAGCTCAGCATCTACTTCTGGCTTGCCCAAATCGTGGTTTGGTGGGTCTCAGTTCAATTTTTGCGACTCTTTTTTCTTCTTCGTCGGACTCACTAAAATGGGAGAGCTTATTAAGCGAGCCCCTGAAGAAGATTAAGCGAGGATCCCCGGTTTCGAAGTCTTCCTCTTCCAGCCTTTTGTTAGGAGATTGATGCAATTAATCGAGGATTAACTTGATCTTTGTGGAAGTTTAACTTTATTAACATACCGCTATTGCGGGTGGAATGCAATATATATAAGTCCCAAATTTCCCCGGAAGTGCGAGACGTACTTACGTACTTGGAAGCATTCAAAGCCCCGAGACCGTTGAGCATCGAAAGATCTGAGAGACAGTTTGTTGTCAGATTTACACTTGAGAATTACGCGATCAAATGAGATCTTGACGGACGCCTAGAGGAAGGCAAACATGCACAATGAATAAAGTGCATCGACGTTGGACGGCAGGTGTGTGGTTTCACTGGCGGCCGTGTGAAACGACATACAGAGATCGAAAGATCCCCTTCTATGCAACACAGCTTCAACGTGTCAACGATTGAGACGAGGCAAGCAACACGATGTTGCACTTGACATCACCAAGATACCGAGATGCAACATCAAGACTAATTACGCAGCGGAAATCGTCAGATAAACCGCTGTGACTTGCAAGTGTAGCAACACGACTAACTGCTGCCTCCAACAACCGGCCACCACCCAAAAAATCTGCCTTCAGAAATGCGCTTGATCAGTTGCCTCCACCATTACCTCATTCTCTCCAGAGAATGGCCGTGGCCAAAATACCATAGTTGTACAATACGTCCAAATTGAGACAGCAAGAAATCGCACACTATCTTCTGTACCTTTTGAATGATTTTGTCTTCGCTTCTCCCAGAATAATGAACCGAAAACACCATACCGCCTGCCACGCGGGCTGTTTAAACCTTTAAACAATGCAATTCGAAATCTGATACGCAGTATAATGAAAATTGTAGAATGGTGAGGTTTTATGCTGCGGGGATGCTCGTGTTTGGAAGGCGGGGAGGAGCCGAGCTTTGGACTTCGATCGGTGGAGGCGGGTAAGATGATTGATAGGGCGAAGGGACGTATGTATGTCCATTCACGAGTGATCCGCCGGATTGTGAAGGTAGCGAGTCATCGCTGTTGGCGGCTTGGCTGCTTTGCGATCCTCGCTTTGACACCGGGCTGCTGTGTCCATAAGACGACTCAGACGGATCGTTGGGAGTATACAAACTCTCGCTATTGGATGATTGGTACAGCTCTTGAGATTGGGAATTCAGGATCTGTCCGGAGCTGTAGGCCATCTGCGATGACGGCAGGGATTCGGGGCTGCTGCTCGATATCGGAATATAGGAGGATTCATGAGGGGTTGCATTGCTATGGATTTTGAGACTATTCAACATGCTGGCGCTCATCAAGCCATTGTAAGATTGATATCCTGGCTGCGAAACCGGCTGAAGGCTCTCTGGGGTTCGCAAGAACGATCCTTGTGATTGACGATTGGTTGCAGGAATCGGGAGCATACGATCATTGGTTGTCAATGGTGTAGGGAGCGAGGTTGTAAAACCTGGTAATGAGAGGCTCTTAGGCTCAGGGCTGATGGCTGGGCGCAAAGGAAAGGAGGTGCTACCGTGATACGGCAACTGGCCATGATTGTAAGCTGAATCTGGTTGATCCACGAACAGCGACGTCTTTGGAAGCTGAGGGGTCGGAGTTGTCCAGCCTCGTCCTGCGGACGTCGTATAGTTCGGCATCGCCATGTGTTCAGATGGAAGCAGTGAATAAGATGAGCCTTGAAGACCGTAATCAACGTTTTCCTCAAAGTCATTGTATGAGTAGTATGACTTGATTGGAAATTGGTACGCCGGTATGGAATTGTTGCGATATTGATAGGGGTCAAGACCCAGTCCATAAGATTGCGGGCCGCATGGAACCATGCGGCAGTTCAAACGGGATCCTGGAGAGAGGTCATAATCATAACCCGCGGATTCGCTCTTCATCTGGGCTTCTGTTGATGAGACCTACAACAAGGTAAGCAAGGACAAAATCGAAGACAATCAGATCTTTTTACCCTCAAGAACTGGCACTGCTCGTTTCCGGCATTCTTGCAATTTGAACACGGACCGCCTTGATCACCGCTGCATCGAATCTTGCGCTTCCGGCAACGTCCACACTAAAGGTTGCATCAGTATTCTTATGGACGCCAAGAAACATACGCTCAGAGACTTACTGCAACAGGGATTCTGCTTCTCGGTCGAGTGTTTGAGTCGTTCTCTGAAGCTTGATCGCCATTTCGATTCTCGGGGCTACCTAAATGCGAGATTCGAGAAGGAGAATAAAGGCCATGTGCTGGAGGTAGGTCTCGGTCATGACTTAAAGGATAACCATGTCCACGGCCACTGAGGCGCCGGAACGGAGCTTCTTGATCATCAAATATGGCTCGAGTCATCACCATCTGGAAGGATGTTTTGTCAGTTTGCTGAATGATTCCCCAAGAATTAAAGATGCAAATCTCATCTCACCTTCAGGATTCTTGTCTTGTTGTCAGAGATGTATCTGGGAAAAAGATCAAAAAGCACAATGATTATTGTGCAGTCAACGAGTGTGAAAAGGATACTGTGCCAGGGAGAATTGACTACTGTAGTAAATCGCGGAATAGTCCGGCAAGGCGATGGTGACCGCTTTAAGTGTGACTTGTTTGCCTACAGGAGTTCAGCAGTAATCTTGCCTCGATTTCAAAAGCATGCGCAAGCAAGATCTGATGCATCACAATTTTCTCCAAGTAGACTCCAGTGGAATAGTGCAATCTGCAAGCAAGAGATTCATGCAGCCTTGGAGAGATTTTGTAAGCTACGGGAGGTTGCAGGATGGGGCGTGCTCACGCATGGCACTTACTACGGATCAGGCCACTGATCTGCAAAGCCCATCGGCAGATCTAGCAAACAGAGCTAGTGTCTTTGATGTGGAGAGTCTCGACGAGGCTCTCAAGGGTCTGAGTTGTTTGGACGAGCTGAGACTGACTGAAATATACCCTGACGAATGGATTCCCAAGTTTTGGGCAGAACGAGACTGTCTCGATTTCATGAAACACAGTCCCGGCAGACAAAGAATGTGGGGCGGTGGGGGAGGAGAGGGGGGCCGGTGGAGGAAGAGTACATGAAATATGACAATCTTGAGTCTCAACTGTAGGGTGGTAGGGTGGAGAGGACACTTTGAGACTCAATTCATATGCCACAATCCGGCCTTCATATCCTTCATCTCTAAATCTGAAAGACAAACCCATCTACCCGGAGAACCTTCCGAGTAAGCTTTTCCTCTTCTAGCTAGAGATACAGAAGTGAAGTGACATAAAACGATCCAAGCTAAGGAGCATGGGAAAGGAAGCAAACTCTGGACAAGTCCCGGAATCCTAACGGTGACTGTGCTACAGAGAGCAAACGTAGACTTGTATCACTCTGCAACACAAGATTGGCAAACTGCAGCCATTATCATCGAATCCTTTGAATGCGCCTCAACAATCATGCAGCTATAATTCAGCACATGCAAGACAGCACATCTGATGCAGAGCCAGCATGATTGCATCCTTGCCCCAGTGACTCTCTTTTATTTAAACCCAACGGCTGCCGCACCTGAGATAAAACCGTGGGGCATCGACTCTTGACCGTTTGATGATTGTCACAAGACTGCAGAACTTGGTGTATGCACTCACTTGAACGAAGTCTAGTCACTTCAAGATGCAATCACAGCGAAGCAAACCTAATCTGTCGCTTTTACACTTGTATCCAATCAATCGCAGACATCCATGGGGATCGCATGTTTGCTTGGATCAACCACAGTGAGGCTAGCTCAGCCACCATGCATCACAGCAGCATCAAATTCAGAATTTCAACATACACAAAATGCTGTAGAACATATTCTGCAGCTGGGGGATCATATGGGCAGACGGAGGCAATTCCTTGGAGGAGACGTCATGGACGGGCACATCTAATTGAAAGCAATGCAACCTGTAAGTGGCAAGGAAAAATATTGCCGCAGTTACGTTCCAAGTTATGAGAGTGGTACTTATGAGGGTAGGATGGGAAACCCGGGGATGTTACAGAGATTCTACAGAGATTCTGCAGCGCTCGCGGCCGTGGTCGCTGCCACAAGGCACCACATTCTCAGATTCCCAACACCCCTGACTCTCTGGCCTTCTGACCCTTGCCGATGTCTCTTTAATCAGTAGGTAAGGTTTGGAGTGAAATCGTGCACCTGGTCTGTGTTGACCAACACCAGGCATCAGTTGTCAAGTGAAGGACACCGTCTCGACTCTACACAGGCTGAGAATGAGTACAAGTTTCAGTGAAGTTCGAGAAAACTTCCGTCTTCAATATCTAACTGAGTTGAAGGCGCGGGAGCCTCCTTAGCATTGGCCTCGTCACACAGAATCTGCGTAAAAGTTTCACTGCAGCACTTTGCATACCTTGCGGTCAAGAGCATGTGAGCAGGATTATTGGCTTAAAGTCATCGGTATGCCGAGGGTGAGGCCAGTGATACAAGGCCGGTTCGGGATTTCTATTGGGAGAACGACTGCCAACTGGTCGAATTTCACACCAAACAGCACATCTCAAAACCTTGTTTGCCTCTCCATGCTATACTGGAATGATATACAGCTTGACCTTCAGCGGTCTCAATTTTTTTGTCAAAGCCACCATTACGTTTTCCGAGAATGTCCAGGCTTGCAAAGAAGGATTCAATGGCCGAGCTGTGGTCCTCGAGCCGGTACGTGTTGTATATGCAGAGGAAGCCGCACCGGCCTCTTCTCGGTCAATTCCAAGATTCCGATGCATACTGTGCGATGCTGGACGTGCTGGAGAATGATGCAGGGCCGGTACGAGTCGAATCGACGGAATGCCACCCTGGGTATGCACACACTATGGCTGCGTCGGAAGTCTAATCCGCCGTCTCCTGATGTCTAATTATACGTTGACTCTCAGTTCATATCTCTGACCGGTGTGGTATCTGTGGCGGGCACGTGGGAGATCCATGAGACTACGGACAATTTGTTGGATTCGCGGCGGCTGGCTGCATTCGGGACAAAGGAAGACGTCTCGAGCATCACTTGAAGTATGCACAGTCCCGTGTGCCTTGAGACCCCATCCAATAATTTCTTTTCATCTTCCAAATACTCGGTAATCGTTGGACAGGGTGACATTAAAGGCACATGCCGTGGATAGGAGGAGTGCAGAGAAGTCGACCTGCTCAAATTATGTAATGACGTAAACAATTTGAAGTATCGAATGTTCTTTGTCTAAGATGCTAGAGTTTAGGTAAGGGAAGGTTTCTTGCTGCAGTTAATCAAGGCAAAGGAGCCGGATCAGGAGGAAGCTGGGGTCCTGCTCGTCACCTTGAAATGGCGTCTAGCCCTTGAGCACGTCTCTCGGACAACCCGATCTCCCACGCTCGTGCAAGATCATCTGTCCGAAGAATTAGGAGCCAGTCGGGTTCCATGCCAGAAGTCACAGCATTGCAGCGTTGAGATTCTGGGAGATCGTTTTCAAGGATCTGGCCCACGGATAGAGAATGCGGTGATGCCAAAGTAACCCCTGGCACGTGACTCGAAAGTCCTCGACGACTCGATGAGAGTGTTCGCAAAGGAGGTTGGCAGGCGTCCGTGAGGCCGAAGGATCAAGGGGTAAAACATTCAAAGATCTCAATGATGCTCGTTCTGATTGGCCTGGCAAATTTGAGATCGCGTTGTCCTAGAGAATGCAGAATACTCGGTCATTGGCACGTTGCCGATTATCGTGACCTTCTTGCGTTGGAGGATCCATGGCTCAACATCCGCTTGAAATTTAAAGGGCAATAGCCACTGGTCTCTGTAGAAAACTTAGGCACCGAGAGGTATCAACACTTGATGATGGTTCTGGTGGTTGTGCTTTGATGAAGATTGTGGTGGAGTGATGAGGATCAGGATGACGCGCTTACAGTAATATGCAGAAACTCCCTGTTTTAGCGAGTTTTCGACGAAAAGCGGTACACTTAAAAATGGGTGCACCAAAAGTTACCTAAATTATCTTCAACCACCAATTGCTCCACCAAACCACGTCCGAATTAGATAAGAAGTGGATCAATTTACTCCCCTAAAGTAGCTCTTGCTAATAATAAGAGTAGATTATGGCACCTTACCTAAGCCCGCGCGAAATCGCAGCCATCGACGCTATTGTAGCACAACCGAATCACCCCGATTTGCACGAGATCGCAACCCGATTTAATACTACCTACGAGACTATACGATATCGACGGTATCAGATACAGGTTCGGAGAGCTCTTGGCTGGGATCCACGGAAAAAACCAGGCCGGCCATTAGTAATTACGCCAGAGATGGAAGAAGCGGTAATGGAGCATGTTCTGAGATACGTCGACATTTATCAGGAGGAGATTATCGACTTTCTTTATAACGAATTCGGTATTCAGCCTTACTAATCGATAATCTTACGCCTTTTGAAGAAATTGGAGGTTATATATAAGAAGATTAAGGCGGTAGCGGCGGAGCAGAACCAGGAGCTCCTTGAGCAGTAGTACGATAATTCGCGATTTTGGAGAGCAGATCAGATTGTTGCTATTAACGAATCAGCTTTTAATAAGTATACTGGATATAGGAAATATGGATAGATACCACAGGGCTTACCTGCGGAGATAAAGATACTCTTGAAGCGATCTCCTAAGTGGTCCCTCTTACCGGTATATATGATTAATAGGCACCTTGATCCTTTGGTTTATTAGAGTAATATTATAGCCGAGATATTCGAAGATTGGATGGAAAATAGAATACTCCTGCAGTATAATCCATAGCCGGTATAGTACGGCAGGCCGTACTCGTCGAAAATCATGTTGTTTTGGCAGTTTTAAGGTTTAGGTTATATAGCAAAGGCCGCAGCCTTTTGCACGTGACTTGCGGAAATCACATAAGAAAGCTGGTTTTTCTGTAGACTTAGAGAATAATCCTTTATAAGTATTTAATTAATTAAGCTTTTATATACTATATACTATTTATACTTTACTATTTATGCTTTTGATTTGTTATTTTGCTATCAAGTCACATTTTGCACTCTGGTATACTTTATATGGGTTTTTGTCTTATTACAGTTTCCCTTCTATATATTTTATAGTAAGTAATACAGGGAGGATAGAAACTTCATAGTTAAGGTAATACTCTTATAAAGTTCTGAGGGGTGTCTATAAGGCGGATTATTAGCTTAGCAAGTTAGGGGAGAAAAGGGCTATTGTAATGCCTTGAGCCTAAGGCCAAAATATTAAGAATATACGAGCATTAATCTCAGTATCTTATATTAATTTCCGATATATCTAGTAACTTGAATACAGGTTAGCTGCAAGATATAGTTACTAGTATAGTATATAGGGATAGTAGAAATAGAGACTAACTATAGAAGGAAAAGAAGCAGAGGAAATAGAATGAGAAATATTATACTAAGATAGTACAAGTCAGACCTTAGTTGGAATCAGACTTTAGTATTCGGAAATGAAGTTATACTATTGATTTGTATATTATTTTTAGTTATAGTAAAAGCCGGAATTAAAGTAGCTTTAATCTTAGTAATAAAGCTTGCTCCTAAGTCCGAAAAGGATACCCAAAAGAGGAAATACTCTTAAATTCAAGTAGAATAGTAAACTGGAATCGGAAATAAGAATCGAAAAGAAATCGGAAATAAGAAATCGTATAGATAAACTAGAGAAGCTTCTAGAGAAAGAAATAGATACCAAATAGAAAAAGAAAAGAGAATTCAGAAAAGTTAGAAAAATTAGTAAAATTATATTTATTATTTTTATTATTATCTTTAATAGTATTAATAGGTATATCTAGTTCGGTGAAATTAAGGGAAAATACTATAGGTATTAAGCCAAAAGAATAGGAAAGAGAATATAAGTAATAGAAATAAGACTAGAAAAGCTATTACTTTATTATTACTAATACTAAAACTTGAACCTCGACTATATCTGTTATTATTAACCGGTTTCTCTCTAATTCCGGTTCCTAAATTAAAAGATATACTTAAACGGGAAATTAGCCCTTTAGGAACCTTATTAGTAGAAGTTTTAGATATAAAAATTCTATAATTAACTATAGAAGAGATTATTAAGATTAATATAGCTAAGAACAAATATATACTAGTACCGGATTTAAATCTGCTATTTACGAAAGCTCCTGAAATACTATAATTTTAGGAAAATAATATCTCTATATTCTTAGAATAATATATAGATATATATAAAAACTATTATATTTCTAATAATACTAAAAGAGAAAGAATTATCCGTTATATCTTTCCTATTTATAAGAATTAGATTAAGGCTATACTAGAATACTATACTAATAATCCGAGAGATTACTAAGAGACTAAATTCTTTAAGGCCTTACTAAAGGAATTCCAAAAATATAACTGGGAAATACTCAAAATTAGCTATAACTTTCTTAATTAGATTATTATATAAGCCCAGAATAAAAGAATCTTATTTAAGTCTTATATTAATATATTTAATAGAATATTAAAGGAATTACTAAAGAGAAAAGAGATAAATGAAATTATTTAGTATCGAGAATTTATAAGAGAATTATCTATTCTAGTAAGAGATTATATTCTTAAGAATATAAACTTCGAGCCTATAGATATTTCTACCTATAAATATAATAAGATATATAAGAAGGTAATAATATCTTATTAGTATAAAGAAAAGAAATATTATTTTAATATTACTAATAACCCAGATATATCCAGATTTAGATAAAAATACTTGGATATAGTAGTCTATAATATAGTTCCCAAACTAGAAGATAATTATTTCTTACTAGTTCCTTCTATTATATTTCCTGAAACTACTATAGATATAAGTAAGAGAAGAACCCAGCCTATAGCTAATTATATAAAACCTACTAAAAGTAGTAAACTTAAAAGAGATAATATTAACTAGCTAGTAAAAAGTCTGGAAAAACTATCTATTACTACTATAACTTAAGAGAACCTATAAAAATAACTTAATATAGCTACTATTATAATTCGGGAAGATATCTATAGCCTATTTATATAGCCTAGCTAACTATAGTAAGTATAATAGTATTAATAGCCTAATAAATATAATTTGAATCTTTAAAAAAGATATACTAGAAATTATAATAGAAGTTATAGAAAATACTATAGTAGCTATAGTAATTAAGCTAGAATAAGTAAAGGGTCTAGATAACTATATTCTAAAGGAAATTAGTCTCAAGTATAATTAGAAAATACTATTTAAGTTAATATAGTCTATAATATAAACCTAGAACTAAAAGAACGAATTTGCTATAGGTACTATAATAGGGATAAGAATAATAATATTAATCCAGAATATATCTATATTTTTTGGTTCTATTACCTACTAATAGAAGAACTTATAAATTATAGATATACTTACCGATTTAATAGAAGATAATATAAAGAGCTATTTAAGCCTAGATAAGAAAGTATTTCCTTTTTCCTTACTAGTAAATACTAGTAGTTTAACTAAATTATTTCTTAAGTCTAAAAAGAAGAATTTAATTATAATTTAAATATTTGATTTAAAAATATCTAGAGATTAATAGAGGATATCTAGTTTATTAGATAAGAAAAAGAAAAGGGAACTAGCTAATCGGGATCCATATATAGGAATAAGTAAGTTATATCTAGGGAATCTAAATAGCCGCTTTACCTTAAAGGAAATTATATTAGAATTACTAATATTTCAGGTTCTAAAATTAATAAATAGTACTAAGATTTGGCTATAAATAGTATTTCTATTAATATTATAACGGGTTCCTTATTAAGGAAAAAGAGAAAAGAGATAGAAATAGCTAAAGAGGTTTTCCGAAAATAAACTAGAGTAAAAGAAAAGCTATTTTATATAAGAGGCTAGAAGAATATTATTTCAAGAAATAATAGATAAGGAAATAGCTTAGCTAAGGATATAGATATTAATACTTCCGGAAATAAATAAAATAAATTAGGGACCTAATATATTCTTAATTATAATAAATATAAAATTCCTAAAATTAATAATATTCTAATAAAACTATTAAAGAAAGTAATTATCTTATTTCCGAAGATTTAGAAGGAAATAAGAATACTTATTAATACCTTAAAAATACCAGATCTAGCTACTATATTTTAGAACTAATAAATCAAGAATAATACTTCTTATCTTACTATTTTATAAATGGGAAATACTATTATATTAAGTATAATTAGATATACTAGGAGATTTATAGAACTAGTAGCTATAGCTTATATAATAGATAAAATATTTAAGGAATTAGAAATACTAGTTTAGGTACCTAATACTAATAGAATTATTTAATTTAAAGGTAATAGTATTAATATTCGAATATTACTGGCTTATAAATATATTATATAAGCTCTATATCTCCGGTTTGTATTTTGAGAACTTTAAGGAAGTATTAAATATAAAAGAATAATTAATACTAGAACTAAAATTAATATTTTCTCTAAAAAGATCTCTAGAAATATTAGTAAAATAGTATATAATACTATAGATTATTAAATGTTTATTACTATTAGAATAGAATTTGGATTTATAGAAATAGTAAAGCTTAGAACTAAAGTTATAAATAGAGTAAAATATAAAAATGCATTTTTCCTAGTTAAAAAAGTTTTAAAAATCCTATTTAATTAATTATTCTTAGTAAAAATAAAAATAAAAATTATATATAAAAGTAATAGTTTATAGAATAGGAGGTTTACTAATCCTAAAAATAACTAGAATACCTGTATTATTATAATAGTTCTATTTTTAAAGAATACTAGAAAATAGAAGAAAGTAATAGTTCAAAAATACTAAGCTCCCAGAATTAAAAAATTAAGTAATATAGAATAGGAAACTAAAGGTAAAGAAGAAAAATAGAGCCTGGTATTATAACTAGTAGTAATATTAAGGGAAATAGAAAGATACCGGAATTTCCTATAGATTCTTTTATTTTAGGTTTAGGAGTTCAGGAAATTAATAATATTTTTAGAGAAACTAAAGCAAAAAAGGCTCTAATTAGAATATTATTAAGAGTAATTCCAGAATTAATAAAAAAAGAAATAAAAAGAATATTAAATAAAGATATTTCTAAAGAAGAAGTAAAGTAGTATTTTCTAATAATAAAGAAATATATTCCCGAAGCTAAGGAATATTAAACTTAAGACTAGAAAGAATTCTGGAATATATAGGAACTTAAGGAAGATATATTAAAATACTAGATAAAAAGATATTCTTTATATCTAACTAGGAAAAAGCTAAGTAAGAAGGTTATAAATTCCGGAGATTAGATAAAAAAAGTACTAGAGAAAATAACTATAGCTTTTAAAGAAAAGAATAATAACTATAGTCTATTTCTAGTTATAGGAATATATAAAATAAAGAATAAGAAGATTTAACTAGTAGATACTAATAATAGAACTAAAGAAGGCCCTAGTAAATATCCGAACTAGTTTAAGAGATCTAAAGCTAGAGAATACCTATAGGAATATACTAGGAAATATAAAAACTACCTTTTACTAAGGATATTAGCTATTCCAAAAGGTTTATAACTTATTCCGGAATATCTTAAATAATTAAATATTAGTAACTGGCTCTGGGAAGAGGAACTGGCTATATTCCAAGAATTAATAATTAATTAAGAAAGTATAATTATATTTAATTAGAAAGAAGTAAGAAAAGTTTATAAAAATATTAGCTTATTTATTCTAATTAAGACTATTAAGTATAAAGCCTAGTAAAAGAAGAATTTCCTATATCCTAAAGTTCTAGTACTAGTAATA